AAAGTGATAAGGGATCAAAGGATGATGAATCGAAGAACAATGCAATCTCGTTACTAATAGCTTGGTGTTAAGAAACTATATTTGAGTTGAGCACGAAGCTCCTATCTACTTGGAAAACTACCTGCTTATATAGAACCTTCCTGCTCAGGGCCGAGGGGGAACGAGGGGACCGAGACAAAAGGTCCTCGTTCCCTTCGGTCCTCCTCGGTCCACTTTAATCACGTGATCGCTGATCCCGTGCACCTGGGGCCTTCTTGTCCCGAGGTATCTCCGGCAAGCTCGCTTGCTGGGCCTATCGTAATCGCTGTTTGTAACATGTCGATCAATTGTCCTTTAAATGCTCTCAGACACTTTAAACTTTCGAGTCCTCCCATGAAATTGGCCATGGAAGAAAGCCGCTCCGGGGCGTAGTGACCGCCTAGAACAGGATTCTTGGCATACACCCTCGGCTTCGGTGGCTTCAAATATGTTTCCATATTCAGTGCCTGTTGGGAAGACCTTGACGCAACTCTGCAGTTGCAGTTAGCTAGCTCAGAGGATGCTTGCGGAATGACTTCCCCAGTATGAGGCACATTAGTATCGCAGTCAATGAATTGAGAAACATCTATGTTACAGATACAGCCATTCGATACGGAACATAGCGTTGTGGTGATAAGTGCACAATGGAAGCTTGGAGGGACCACTATCAACATGATCCACTACCTGCTTCCTTGTCGTTATTCCCTTTGCTAGAAACTTTTTATACTACAGTTTTTCCAATTCAAGCACTCATCAGCTTGGAAATCGCTTCTAAGCTGGGACTCAGGCTCCTGCAACTGCGAACTGGTTGTGTCGGACTAAGGTAGTGAGGCATTCTTGGCATGTAATGCAGAGCAGTCACACATGTGGCTAGTTCACGATATTCGACGAACGCACTTCGTGTCCATTCCCCAATTTTAACAGGGTCGAGAAACCTAGACAGCGTTGGTGACCACTATTTTTTAATATTTTACAGTCACACATTAAATCACCTGGAAATCCAATTCATCCAATTAATGCGACCGATTTGTCAGGCACGTATGTATAATTTGTGAATGTTCTACTTTACTTTGATCTGACTCAAATTAATTGGAAAATAACATGCTTCTTCTTTGTATTGACTATGTATCAGCGCAATTCCACAATGATCCTCTAATTTCTTACAACATATTCACGAAATCGAGTTATCTTTTAGTGAATTTGATCTCAAGAAGTCGGAGAGGCGGGTAGGTAAGGACAACAGCCATCAATGTGATATAATTTCCAAGATCACCGCCTTCTGGTCCAATCGCCCTCGCTGCCGGTCCGATGAACTGTTTTGATCTGATCAATATTCACACTTTGCAATCAAAAACGACATTGAGCTGCCAAAACGTGAATGCAACGACGTACCCAAGTCTGGTCCATACCCAGGAAGCTTACACCCAAACCCACTGCCAAGCTCGAACAGCCTGCAATACCCAGAGGCATTCCATCCTGATCCTGCCACCCTTCAAGATCGTAACCACCGTTCCGAGGCCGGAACCAAAAATTTTCAAACGCGAGAATCGTGCCGAAGCAAATCGTCCAGTAGCCAAGTAAAGACAGAAAATCGACTATAACAGAGGATAAATGTTCTCTTCCTCCCCAAGCGAGGGCCAAACTAATGGCAGCGAGAACAGTGTTCCAGACAAAACGTGGAACGGCCATAAAATGCTTCGCCCATAGTTGAATGGATAAGGACGAGGAGTAATAAATGGCAGTGACACCAGCCACTACATTGAAGTTAGAGACTATAGCCGTATTGTAGTACATGTGAAACATACCGAACGACAATGCGTACATAACGCAGACAAATTTCCCCCATCCAGATGGCGATAAGGTTGCTAAGATCAATGCTCCTATGCCTCCATCATCATAAATGGTAGACAGGGTAGGGTTGGTAAGTATAATTCCTCCATATTGGTTACCAAGGATGAGAACGAACACAGTCGGAATAACCAAACCGACCCAAGTCAACCAGAAAACCAGCCACTTGTTAATATCTGCAGGGTAGTGAACATAGTAATCACCCGATAAAGAACACCAGCCGGCTACCTGACCGAAAACAAGGGCAAAGTAGTTCAGTGCAGCGCCGATCTTAGCTTTTCCCGAAGAGCTTGATAGCTGTGGTGTAGGAGAAAAGTATTTAGCCGACTGGCCGAACTCGACGCAAAGGAGCACCAGTATCAGAATCCAGGCTACTTGTTCGTATCGGTGGATGAGGCGGAAACCAAGAAGAGAAATCATAAAAGATACCACGCAAAGAATTACGATTCCCACAGCGATTGTGACTTTACCTCCGCTCACAGCGCTTATAAGCTGACCCGCGACAATACAGTCAATTGTGCCGAAGCCGATGTTGATGAGAATATTGAGCAAGCCGCAAAATTTTGCACCCCATATCCCGAAAGCATATCGAGACACAGCGATTTGACGAAGGCCCGTGGCAGCACACAACGTTGCCGTGAATGAAGGTATGATGGCGCCTATAGCCGTACCGAAGACACTGATGACGATCGAAACGTTCACAGAGAGCCCAAAGATGGGACCTAAAAGACCCATGGTAATGAGACCAGGCGTCATGTTCATAGAGAACCAGAGGAAAATCATCTTTACACAACTTGTTAGTATTCTTTCGTCGAACCTTGATAGACTAACGTACATTGAATATGCTTGGAGGTTGACGTTGGTCTTCGGGGAGGCGATCCGCACCTGTTGTCTCTATGCCAAACCCTTTGTCTAGCCATGCCTCTGCGGCGTTAAGTTTTCGCAGGATTGAAATTCGCTGACGCATTTCCATGACTTCCAACTCGCCACGACCACGAGTAGCTCCATCGACCACGCCTTCATGAACCGATATTTGTTCTTCATCTTGGTGTCCAGCTTTGATCTTTGTCATAACAACTCGACCTTTAGTCATGATTGTAGAATTGCTTTCCATTTGATGAAAGAAGTGTCAATAGCTGACAGAAAATGAAGTTATATGGTAATGAGATGATGCTCACGGTTCTGGGGTAGATCTATACTTATAAATCTGAGCATCTTGTGCGATGGCATTTTCTGGAGCATCTGACGGGATAGCATGGCTGAGCGTACGGTATCTGATCAGGCAAGAGCTAGGTGGATACCTACCTAGGTAGATTGATGCCAAATTCTTCATTAGGCGGAGTCCGGAGAGATGCGATGAAGCATGAGAATGTTCTGGACTGAACTGAACTTCTACCTGTTTGTGTTGATGGCCGTGATTGTGTTGCTACTATGTTTGTGTGTGTGGTTCCATGCAAACAGACTGAGATAGTGACCTGTCTGGGCCTAGTGCAGCTGCTGAGATTGAGGCCATTTCGGGATTAGCTCGATAAAGGCGGGGTAGATCAAGCGAAAGTCCCACCTCGATGACTCCCGCCCGCCGCTCACGATATGCAATGAGAAGCCCAGGCCAGGAATACTGGAATTGCGACTGATCCAGACTAGTTCCACAGCGGAACTCGCCATTTCACTTTCATTGCCATGTTCATCTAGAAAGAAGACTGTTCTGTTTTGCTGTGGTCTTTGGTGCAAATGAGAGAGTCGTGCATAGGTATTATTTAACCACCGGCCCACCCCGTGAGCCAAACTTGACTTCACAAGTACCTTAACTCAAACTTCAATCTTACCATAAAATGGGCATCGAAGAAGCTCTTCCACATGAGCTTCGAGGGAAGCTGAGAGCGGATTTGTTGGCAGCCGATGACAAATTCGTCCTTGAGATCCCCAAGGTTGAGCTCCATGTCCACATCGAAGGCACGTTGACGCTCAACTTGAGGTGGAAGTTGACTCAAAGAAATGGAACCATACTCAGGCTTGTTCCAAATGGTCCCGAGCTCCACAGTATGTCAAGTTCTACCTTTGTTTGGTACTCATCCTAGGATCACCCTCGGGAGCTACTTGCTACAGCATGTATTTCAACTTCTTGTCTGCCAAATGTGTTTCATAAGTACATACTCATTCATCTATAGGTCTGGAAGAGCTTCATGCTGCAATGGATTCAATCATGCCAGACTCCAGTCGAATGAACAATGACGAAGAACGAGACATGTTTTTCGAATCCTATTTCGAAGGCTTCCAAGCCTTGAAGACGGAGGAGGACTATTACGATCTCGCCATGAATTACTTTGAGCATGCGGCCTCAATGAACGTTCGCTATTGTGAACCTTTCTTTGATCCCCAGGGCCACACAAGCCGTGGAGTGTCTTGGAGCAACATGATGGACGGTTTCAGGAAAGCTCAAAAAGAGGCGGAGGAGAAACTGAACGCAAGTGCCGATGCTAGATAGCTAGAAATGATTTGACTGACTGTTTCGATAGATCAAATCAAGTTGGATCATGTGCTTTCTCCGCGACCACTCTCCAGAATCGGCTACGGAACATTACAAGGCTGCGCAACCATACCGCGATATGATTGTGGGTATTGGGCTTGATTCATGTGAAGAAGATCGGCGTCCATCACTTTTCGAAGAGGTATTTGCACAGGCTCGAGGTGATGGCTTCAAGCTTACAATGCATTGCGATGTGGATCAAAAGAACACCCCAAAGCACATTAGACAGTACGTCAAGTTGTGTCCTTGTTTTGAATTTATTCTAGGAGCCGAGCTCTTGGGGGTCATCGTCAGGAGCCACTTATGAGCGAAGATGTTTTTCATCTCCTCCTATTCCAGATCTCTGTCGAAAGCGTACACTGATTTGCCGATAGGGTTGTATCTGTCGTTGCGGGCGAAGGGACTGACCGCATTGATCATGGCCTCAACGCTTCTGACGATCGGTCCTTGATAGATCTAATCCTCAAACGTGATATGGGTATGACGATTTGCCCGTGGTCTTATCTACGACACACAACATATGCAAAGCTTGGGCAGCGTATTCGAGCTCTGTATGATGCAGGAATTAAGATAACTATTAACAGCGATGACCCAGCATTCATGGACGACTGCTGGATCTTGCATAATTTCTTACTTGCCAAACACTTGTGTGGTTTTAGTGACAGAGACATTACTGTCTTAGCCAGGAATGCTATCAACGTCTCTTGGGCAGAACAGTCAGTCAAGGACAACATCCTACGGGAGATTGAGATAGTCTATGATAGATTTCACTCAAGTCAATGAGAGAATCAAATCGGTTTCCCTACAGCCCAGCTCATTTGATTTAATCCTCTGTGGCTTGTACAGCGAGACATTGCTAGATTGTTAAGACGAAATTGGTCCAGTCCCAAATACAGTGTGATCAGTCCCATTGAACTAAATAACCTACCCACGATCGAGTATACAAGCCGTGAAATCTAAATTAACAAGATCTACTACTATAACACAAGTTGACTCTGCGGAGAGCCAAAGGTAAAGAAATCGTAGGACTTATTGTCGCCCATCTGCCACACTTGTTCCAACACTTCAACCGCACGCTTTAGATTGAAACAGCCTAGGGTATGGAAATTCGCAAGTAGTTCAGTTCGTACCCAGATCTTAGCTTCGTCGTGCTCGTGCGATAGAAGTAAACCAGCCTGGAACAAAGGCCAAGTTGTCGAGATATTCCAGCCCGTCCTGACAGGAATAGCACGTGCATGAAGAGAAATGTTCTCTGAGACCGCTTGTGTTAAAGACGTCGTTATGGAGCTGAAATATTCTGACTAGGTAAAGTAAGGTCCCTAGACGCCATACTTCAACGATGTGGAGGCGAGGGTCAGAGTTGGTGATCGCATCGAATCTTTTGATATCGTTGCCAAGTAGTATAGCTTTCTGAATAACATCTTGATCAATATTCGGAACATTAGGCTGCGCTTTGTAGAGGATAGTGATATCGGCAATATATTCGAGAAGATCAATTGGGCAGTAAAACACGTCGAATCCCCACTTTCGTCCCGATGGCGTTCTAAACTTGTTCAGCGTAGCCTTAATCTCATCAGAGGTCCAGTGGGGCATTCTCGAGGTTGTCGTTGCGCCCATAACATCAAGCCGGTTGACCAGTGAGCTTCGGAAACATAAGTGAGTGTATCAAGGTACTTACGAACATGGGGACAAAAGTCCGTGCGTTCAGGCTGTAGAACCTCGAAATTAAAACTCTTCACATTAGGACTAAACTATCAACAACTCCACCATTATGGATCCTTTTACCACTCCACCTATGTCTCCACGTCTCCCAGGTGCAGAGATCAGAACCAAGCACAAAGAGGGCATACGCCGGCTCTTCAAATTCGCTAAAATAGGCCTGCAACAGCTCCAGGGCTACTACCACCTAGGAGACAGCACAGTTAGGAAGATCCTACTATACGATGTGCCTGAAAGAGCGCGCCCTACACGCACAGGGAGACCCAGAGAATCCCTCAATGAACAGGAGGTTAGAGATATTATTGAGTATATTTGCACCGACCATGCAACTAGAGTGCTGAATTGGATCCAAATACACGATGAATTGCAACTCTCTTGCTCTGTCAAGACCCTCAAACGCCGCTGCAAAGAAGCTGGATACTACTCTTGTATCTGCTGCCAAAAGCCCTACCTCACTAAGACCCAAGCCAATGCGCGGTGGCTGTGGGGGATAGCACACATGTTTTGGACTATTTGGGAATGGAGTCAGATACTGTACTCAGATGAGGTCACATTTCAAGTTGGAGGGAAGAAATGCAAGCAGAGGTGTATTAGGAATAAGAAGGAACGCTGTCATCCTGACTGCATTCAATTCCAAATGCATAGAGGTGGCACTATTCCTGTACACTTCTTTGGTGCTGTAGGCTACGGATACAAAAGTCCATTGATCAACATTCATGGAACTGGGAAGAGTGGGGCATTTACACAAACTGATTACCTTGCTCAAGTACTCAAGCCTTATATTCAGGATTTTTTAGCTGCTTTTGCGGCTGTTTTGGGGCCTGGGAAGACCCCTCAGTTCATGGAAGACGGCAACTCTGCTCACGGCCACAAGACTACTAGCAATATTTGTGCTACTTGGCGTACTTCTATGGGTATTACTCTATTCCCCCATCCTGCAGTTAGCCCTGATATGAATCCTATTGAGAAGTGCTGGAGGAGAATAAAACAAGCTCTCCATAGGCGCCTAAGGCAGCCAACAACTGAGGTTCAAATGGTTGTAGCAGTATTAGAAGAATGGGACAAAATTCCTCAGGAATGGATCAATGGGCTTATTGAGCAGCAGGACTTCTGGGTACACGACTTAATTAAGCGATGTGGCTGGTCTACAGCTAATTAATTAATAAAATTCATGATTCTGATGCCCTGAACGCACGGACTTTTGTCCCCATGTTCGTTACCATGCTAGACGCTGTTCGAAAAACCCTCGGTCGGTTCCGTCAGAGCCATGCGATTTTACAAATTTGCCTGCAGCTTCAAGATGGGTCCCGAACTCGATACAGTCCCCAGAGCATAACTCACACGAGTATCAGAAAAGTATCGCATAGCGAACGGTGGTGAGTACTTACACTTCAGGAAGTTAGTACTTACGTTCGTCCAAGAATAAAGAATAAGGAACGAAATATTCGGAGGAGGGACGAAACTTGTTTGGGGGTCCAAAATGGCATGTGTGCAAGGAATAAAGAAAAGGGATGGGTACTCAAGCTGCGCCAGTAGTAACATACAAGCTAAACACCCTAGGTCAAGTCCGTCGCCACCGCCCCTCAAATCTTCCCTCAGTAACTCTGTGGCCTTGAGTCGCAAATGAAGACTTTGTATCTTCAGTTGATTGTCATCGAGTCGATTGGCTTGGTGGCACGATGCTAACGCTGCTACTGCGCACCTTACGGATGGCATGCTCCGAACTAAAGGTAATATATGGCAAGTGTAAGGGGTTTCAACGGGTCCATTTCCGAGATAAAAGGCGGTACTGAGCTCACGACCGTCTAGGACATGGTTAGCGCTTAAAGACGCTCTAGGTACAAGGCGATGGTGTACAATAATCGACCAGATCTTCAAGATCGTTGCCGTCGATATCAATGATGCTGGAGAGGCTCCAATTTCGCTGTCGTAGGACAGTGATAGCTTAAGAGCGATCTTGTGCACCAGGCGCTGTATCTTCTGAAACGTTTTTGTGATCTTCTGGCGACCTCGTCGTCGCTATGATGTTTGCTTGATATTCCTCGGTAGGAACAAAACGTCCTTTACGGTCAATTTCGGGTGTGCCTGTCTTGCTTGGATTACGGTGCGCCCCACTGAGTTGCAAGTCCACACCATGGTGATCAGGGGATGTCTGGCTGGCCAAATATCCCCGGGCTGCTACACCAACCCAACGTAAGACGTATCCCTCACATTCCACACCTCTTTGGCTGCAGCTCGTACATGTCGGTAGACTCCGATCGCATTTTCTTCCACGGCGGCGACACGTTTTGCAAGCAGTTCCAAATACATCGGCGCGACTCATGTTCTGAGGCGGTTGTGACATGAATGTATGTAACTCAGCTAAAGCTTATTGTTGATTGACAAGTTAGATTTCTCAGAAAGCAATTGTGCTTGCAGGAAAGAAAATACTAGATTGAAATCGTTGGATTGTCGCGAAGCGGAATTAAGTCTCAGCTACCTAGGCTAAAAAAAATTTAGTGGCTTGGCAAAATAAGCAATATTTTAAATAAATATAGTTTTTTAATTTCTTAATTTCTTAATTTCTTACGCTACAACTCGTTTCTTTCTATTTAATAACTAAATATTATTTCACTACAGAGCTGCGTCCTTTTATATATTCCCTCCTCTGTACCAAGCTGTCTTTTGATACCATCATAGTACCCGTACGCAATAGCGTTCCCACATACTGCGTCGAACTCTGCAATATTTTTTTTTCGGAGCACTCTCGATTGTCCACCACTTGACTCCAGAACCCTGTTCAAAATCCTGGGAATCGATAGTATAATATGTAATAGGATAAGTATTCAACATCAGCATTTTCGAATTTCGCGCTGTTTACGCTCGAGAGACGCGCAGTGTGACCAAGAGGATGGTGCTAGAGATGAGGGTGATGAGAGACTTTGAGTGTAGGACGTGATATTTGTAAGGGCCTTGGATGTCGCGAGAGGGACACCGTCATCACTGAAAGCTCTCTCCATCAGCGTTGGCGTTTTACGCATATTGAACTCGTCGTCTTCCTCGTCACTTTCAAAGCCCGACTCGGGGCAAATATCTGTTGGATCGGAGTAAGGATAATTCGTGCCAGAGAGATATGCCTCGGTTGCATGTTCCATTTCGGCTCTGGGCTTGAGTTGGGTATGCCAAGAGCAGGCAACGAAGGCCGTGTTTGTGTGAGGTGACGAATCTCGCGAAACTAGAAGCGGAAATGAGAGGCAAGGTATAGGTAGAGGGAGACTGTCATCGAAATGATAATAAAGCGCCAGCCGTGGTTGAGCCTGTAACGGAGGATGGGCTGATGTTGGGATATCCAGCACCAGTTTCCCGAAACCGGACTTTATGCGTGAAAAGAAGGCACTGATAACTGCTGTTGAATGAATGTCAGCGTTGCATAAGGTCTTTTGGAGATAGGCAACATACCTGTTGTGAAAGGAACGAACCATATGCAGAAAGGCACCAAAAGCTTGTTTTTTCATGAAAAATGTGAGAGACTCGGACATCTGCCCTTAGGGTAAGGACGGTGATGATGGCAATCAGTAAAATGGAGAATCATGTTCCTTGAACCGTCATTTGAGCAATGAAACCATTCACTGGGCAGAAGGACCCTGGTGACAGGCTGCCACTACCAAAAGGTAAATTCTCGATATCGAGTTGTTTAGAGCATTAAGAAAATCGAAGTAAGTCACTCGTCAGAAAAATTGCAAAGGGGTATTAAGCTTATGTACCTGTGCCAGCGAGAATGAGGATGAGGATGAGGATATGTCGGAAATGAGGAATTTTAAGAAGGACAATATAACAAGCGAAGATCAGGCCTGAGAAGATAAAAGACATCAAGCTCCCGACCAGCGTAGGTATGGCAATTGCAAGATCATAAGACATGCTCATCGTGAATTTGTATTAGAAAGCAACACAAAAATAGGCAGAAGAGAGAGAATCATTGTTCTTAGGAAGTCCTGAAGACTTGCAGCGCGCGATAATTTCTTGATGCCCAGGTTTTGAGCATTGAGACTTGAGTTGCTGGTCCTCTGACAATGGCGTGTTGGGATGCGAGTCTCGGAAGGGTTTGATGTTCCATCTCAGCTACATGCGCCGTGGGGACCTTAATGACTTGTGCAGGCTGGACAGCGGCTACTCTCAGTCTCCCGATTTCATATTCAGATGAAATAAGGTTCGGAGACCCACTGAAGCCGTCTAAACAATTGACATCTTAGGGTCTATGTCAGACATGCTCAAGGTCAAGATGCATGTGTCGATATCCTCATCTCCCCCCGATACGAAGCCAAGAATACGAGGGAACTGTCCTTTCAAGCATGGATTTTGCTTGTGGTGCACTATTGGTATTAAGCGAGCTTCATTTTTCATTCAACTATATATTTATAGTTTCTTCTAGAAATAAAGTATACTTTGAGAATTCGGAAAATAACATATCAAAAGTTTAATGCAAATGTAGAAAATAGTACATAGTCTTTAGTAAGCCGTCTTATGATATTCAATATCACTCTGCATTATATCATTGGCATCCAGACTAGTTTTAGCATGTACACTAGCACTAACATTGGGCTTGTATTAGCATTCGGACTGGCACTAGTAAATCACCGGGTCTAAGTCCATATTGTAATTTCGGACGATAAAAATCATCTGCCCAGTCGTCGTTTCGCAAGTTAACACATGCGCACATTCCACCATAATCAACTTGGTCCTATCGATCTATCCAGAAAGGATCACACTACATGGTGGAAAACAGCGCTCCCTGTGTCAACTATCATACCAAGTAAATCGAGTCTCAATTGCTTGCTTTGTGGCCCTCGATATGGCACCCCACTCCAAAGAGCTGCATACGATCCTCGGTCTCCCGCAGAAGCCTGAGCCTAGCTTAGAGGCCATTCGCAAAGCTTATTACGGCGCAGCTCTCAAGTATCACCCCGACAAGAACCCTGGAGACACAAATGCCAGTAAGTTAAGTTCTGTTTCATCTCGAGAGCTTTTGAGAGCTTCTGAAGTACACTCTCGAAAGTGTTCGGCTCCGATAGTATTTAAAACTTTGACATACAAAAAGCTGATGAACGATAGCGGCTAAATTTCAGGAACTGAAGAAGGCACACGAGACGATCTTAAGTCGATATGTCACCATAGAAGAAGAATGCGATGTAGACATCAGCGAGACTTGCTATACAGAGGATAAGCAGCTCACTTTTGACAAAAAGCCAAAGCGAGTGGCAAAGAAGGTCGAGAAAGCGAAAAGACGAGCTGAAAATGAGGAGTCACAGGCCAACGCTCGTGCCAATAAATTTTTCGAAATGAAGAAACTGGCTCGTGAAGTGCGCGAACTTCTAACTCTAGAGAAGGAGATCGAGTGCGAGACACTGCGATTGGAAAACAAGCAACCGTGTCTTGGACAGCGAAAGGAGGACATCCAACCCATGACTGCCGACTATCATCGAAGAGCTCTTACTCTTGCAAAAGCCCAATTGAATGGCCGAAACAGAAAGAAACCGCGGCCTGAGATCAATCTTGATACTCGTGCCAATGAAAAAATGATCCTTGGCGATGTGTTTGAGGAATTCGAGACTGACCGAAGAAATGAGAATTCTCTAGAATTTGAGATACCTTTGGAACGCGTCGACTTCGAGAGGGAACGTCAGGTAAAGCAGAACAGAAACTTGTCATCGCTGGCCAGTGAGACAGAAGTTCGCCAAGACGCGCAGGTCTTGGCAGAGAAGGTGAACAGGTTCTGGTCTACTAAGGCTTCGAATTCTGAGCAACCAAATGTCGCTCGTGACGCCTCAAAAGTAGAACGGCCTGATGACACCGACTGCAAATTTGCGGCTGCTGCATACACGAGAGAGCATCTCGCCATGTTTGCGCAGATGAGTGGCAATCCAGAGCACTCCAACGTCCATGCCGTTCAGGTTTATGAAGATCCCATAGCCCAGAACGATAACTTGTCACAATCTCACTACTGCGATCCGCTGTCGAGGAAAGGAAGGTGGAAAGAGGGTCACGAAGTCAGACTCGAGCACTTCCCTCGAGGTAAAAAGCACCTGCGACGAGTCAGATGGGGTCCGGCAGAAGTGCTGTATACCAGAATATGATGGAGGTTTGGTGAGTCACAGGAAAACTACCGCTGCATTTAACGTTGCAAAGAAGCTAGCACTACTGGGTGTTTGGATCCTCCGTAATAATAAACAATATGTATTTGTTTCCTGATTTGAATTCCGTTGATGTTAGTGCTAGCAAACCTTGGATCGTTCTTAAATCATGATTGCAAATTCCACCGCATAAGCATTGACTAGGCTCGCATCAATAGTGCCTGACTCTCTCCCAAGGTGAATGCACTTTTGCTCACAAGGGAATGATGAACCGAATGCCGCAGAGAGCAGTATTATACACTATAGAGAGCTCTCTCACAAGGGTCTATCCTTGAACATTATAATCGCCAAGTCGGTCTAACTTGAGATCAGAGTCAACAATTGAAGTTCCGGGGATGTCGCTAAATTTCAGGGGCTCGCTTAAATTTACCGAGAAGTCGCAGGACGCAAGGCAATTAATTGAAGCAATTACAGTACGCACGAATCTCCTAGCTTCCGCCCTGGACCGTCTCACGGTGAGCTTCAGAGATCGTAGTAATTCTATAATAGAGTGAATGACAAATATTTGAATCTTTAAGAAACAAATAAAGACAAGCGCTCCATTACCACACTGTCTCGGAAAGGTTACGGCAATCGGTACCAGGCACACTTCGATAGGTACCCCAGGTCCTTTAATGGCTTGGTGGAATCGAGCGAGAATCGACAGGATCGGCTGATAGACTGACAGCCGTGTCTCGAATCGAAATCTACGAGCCAGAGAGATACACATTTAAGAAGACATCTGAGTCTGAGAAGCCCGGGATGTGTTGTCTAGCTCTCCGCAAAAAAAAGGAACCAAAGAGCATTGATACATCGGGATACTCCCTATTCCATGAACAATCGGAGCACACACGTTTTGACTCGGACTTGTGCAATGTTACTGACTTCATATAGCCATAATATATACCTATGGAGACCTTGATGCGCTGTATTTATTCTGATAAGGTGTAACGCGGATCGGAAACAGCTAGGTAAGTAATTTTCTATTAGATCAGCATAGATTTAAGTTGAGACTTTCCTACCCACAAGAAGCATGTGGCCCAACAGTTCCACTCAAGCGAGAATTCGATTCGCACCAAGTATTTGTGATCCAATTCAATCAGATGATATTGTCTCTACATTTTCCCAATGTATTCACAACTACGTCATATGTCTTGATGTCTAAGATATTTCGTAGGTTTTCATCAGCCATCGATTATCGATGCTATAATTGCTCCTAATTCCTTTTGATATCAGTCAAATTCCAATGCGATCAGCGGGTATTGTCTCTGAAAAGACGTCAGAAGTCTTTCATCGACCATTTCATCGACTTTCTCTCTCCTTGGTGGAGATGCGGAGATTTAGGATTCTGCTCAATTATATATCATGTAACGATCTTCTTTGACATTTTCTTCGGACCAGACACACTTCCCCTCAAAATTACTCCTTCGACCTCACGAGCCATTTATTGGATCTATAGACCAACGTGTGGTCCAAAACTCTTACAGGAGCACTAGCCAACGTTTTTATGATCACAGCACAGGTAAGTTACTTGAAACTCTTCATTTAAGAATATATTACACTCCATACTAATATTTTCAGATTAATTTGCCAATCTTGGGATCCGCCTCTCCCTTCGGATGTCTCTCGCTATCTGGAATAACGAGCACGGGCCTTACATCAATCACGGGCGACATTGGCGCAGTTATTAATCCCCTCATTGGGAGCTTGATTAAAGGCTTCTCGCCTCGACTTTGTAGTGGCACTGACGTTATTTCAGCAGTAGCAGCAGTAGCACTAACAGATGCAACCGCCGCATTTACCGCCATCTCTTCTATTACAGCTGCAACTATCCTCTCCGGTGACCTGGGCGGCATGACTCTTCCACCTGGTGTTTACAAATTTGCTTCTTCTGCCACACTTAGCACTACTCTGACACTACTTGGGACTGGTTCGTCAAGTGATGCCTGGTATTTCCTCATCGGATCAACCCCGGTTCTTGCCCCTGGTTCGAAGGTTTTTTTTGGTAGGAGGTGTCTCTTGTAATGTCTTCTGGCATGTGGGAAGCTCTGCAACACTCGGTACTGGGTGTTTCATGGTGGGTAGGATCCTCGCCGCAATATCTATCACGGTAAATCATGGTGCTTCGTGCGATGGAGGGCTTTTTGCTCTCGGCGGCAGTATCACTTTGGATACCAATCTGATCTCTGCTGAATGCTCAGTTGGAGTCAGTACTACTAGTTCAGTTTCACAACAGACGATATCTACCTCAATCACACAACCTCTCTCATCGCCCGTCATACCAGTTCTGATCAGCATCACCTTTTCAGTCCTGCCGCCATCATCGATTACTCCAACCCTTTTGCTTCCTTCAACAATCATCACTCTGCCATCCATTTCTCTCCCCGTGTCACTTCCTTCAAAAATCATAACATTACCATCGTTATCTCTACCTTTGTTGATCTCACCGACGAGTGGAGTGTGGCATTCCACATCTTCCTCACTTTCGTCGCTACTTTTGGTTCACACATCAAAATCTTCGAAGACTAGTTCTCAAACTTCAACGAAATCTTCGAATTCTGTCAAGTCATCCACGGGCGTTTCAAAAAGCAGTACATCCAGCAAGTATACCAGCACTACACTCAAGAGCGCAAGCTCAAGCTCCAGAACCAGTCTTGCTTTGATGTCGAGTAGCAGCAGATTTTGATCGACGTGTGCCTGCACACTGACTTCCATGATTGCAGGACCAATCTTGACGGTAACGGTCACACTCTCTGTGACATTCATTCTCACCACCAACGCTGGCATTACTGTTACGGAGCTACCTGGAATTTGCTCTTTTGACATTGCCACCACTTTCGACTATAATACCCAAAAGAGCCGTTGATGACGAGAGGAAAGAGTGGAGGGCATAGTTGTGGAATGCCTAAAGTCTAGATACAGGAGCATGGATTGAGAGCGTCTGGTGTTTCCCTCTTCTCTTTTGGCAAATGAAAATAGTTGGAACGGTATATGCGCTGGATTGAAGCTGAGGAAATAGTTGGTAATTCTGATAGCTGTGGTAATTATAATGATTAAATAGCAATTGATTATGACACAAAGGAATTATCGAATCGGACCTAGCATTTATAGTTAGTCGATATTATAGAAAGGAATCTTGCGTTGCAACCAATAAGGTGTCCTCATGATCGTACCCCTCGAATCCGCACAGGAGTAGGAATGGCGTGCCGATCTTCAAGTTCCATTCTAACAGCCTAGAGCGTTATATAACGAAATGAAATCGATTGAAGGAGTGAGCAAGAATCGACATTGCATGAGTGCCAGCGCCAGACGTGCTCGGATTTGTGTCTTCGTTTGACACGGCCACTCGTTTGTAGATGAGTAAGATTTTGAGAAACGCGCATCGACCTTCAACGGAGTTTCTGCCTGAAAAATTTAGCCCTGGGCTACCCGAGGCTGATAGAGTCGGCCATATCTAAGTTGGATTCTCGAATGGGCCAAGCGGTTATTTGTAGGAAGGGAGTGTTCATGAGTCAAACAATCGCAAAAGCAGTGGTTGACAAACTTCCCTTCTCTTGATGATTACGGCAGATGTTGGCAGCAAGTTTCGTAAACTACTGATCTAGCAATCACAGCAGCCACTGAGCGGTTGATAACGATAGGTCCATTTAATGGTTGACATACGAAGCCCCAGTGACAAGGTTGGAATCTGCCTTGCCAAGTGCTACGCCGCACCTCACCAGACTTGCACAGCCGCACCTTCCACCCCAAGTATACAAATTCCCTCCCTCTGTTTCAACGAGGGCAAGCTTCCTTGATTCTAATCATTATCGCTTTGAGATTGCGCATATCCGACCGATTCCCAATCACTCAACCCATATCAGCAATCATGACCGTGATCTCAGTCACAAACAACCCTTTCCATGACAAGGCGGCGACATGGGAAAAGGCTCACAAGTGTCATCAATATGCCTTATTCTTCCACGGAATATCATCTGGCTGGATATTTATTGTCCCTTCTTTCTTCGCTATCTGTAAGCAATGAACTCTGTTTTTCATCCTTGCTAGCTATCCAATTTGTCGTGTTGCGTTCTTGAGAAGCGTTTCATTTCTCTATCTTTCTACCTACAAGAGAAGACCAGGTTCTAAGCGAGTGTAGTATCTGCTGTTTTCACGGGATATATCAGATCAGTCACTCCAGGTGTAGGCGACCAGACTCCACCAAAACCCCCTTCGACAGATCTAGACGCCGAAGATGTTGAGGCTACATCCGTACCAGATCTCTCCGGTGCTGGCGCAGAGACCAGCTTAGCGACAGATCAAGGTACTTTCTCGGAGGAGAGCGATGAGCCTCCCCCATATCAAGGACCAGCCACACAGAATACACCGCACCTGAGTCAAACGACACCCATCAAGCGCTCGTCAGCACAGCGATTTGTGACCGGAACCATTTTGTTTATGTGCAATATAACATCCCTCTTCCTGCTTGCCCTGACTGTACAATCAGCGATCTTCTGCCAGCCTTGGAGCCCATTATCGTTTTGGCCCCGTCTTATTGTAAGCAGAAATCTTCCTTGTTTGCTTATGGCTAGTTTCGTTGTGCTGTATTCCGAATTTTCTTCAGTTTTATCAAGGAGCCCCAGACTAATCTGCTGTAGTGCTGGGCTTTGTTCAGCATTCCTGCTATATGGTCGTTGAATGGTGCTACTTGCTGGGCAATGCTTCTGAGAGACCTGTGGGGGCCTGGAATGAGAAAAAAGTATCCGATCAAGGAGTACGCGCTATCATTCACTTTGTTGTGCATCGTCATCTCACCCTTCGTGCTCTTGTGGACTGTGTTTGGAGTTGGATCCGTCAAGGCAGTGGAAGCTTGTCAGAGAAGATTTTGTGGCGATGCGTTGGAAGATGGGGATGAAAATGTTGAGCTCGGAGATGGTAGAATAGATGGAGAAAGGAATGAGGATATTGATGATGAGGGCGTTGATGAAGATTCGGTAAGACTTATCAACAACCGCATAAAGTAGCACAGCATAAGGTAAGAGGGCAAGGACACGAAGAAAATAATGGTAGGTGGTTAGGGAGTCTCGGTGAACTCCTCGACCCATGAGGCACTTGCACGTGCTTCAATCATGAAATATACATTTTTCCTCTTGAGATGATTGATAAACCCGAGCGGAAACTCGCGAGAGAGGCAGTTCTAAATTCATCTCCACAGATTTGCTACTTGCTTTCGACCTGTTCGGAAGTCTCACCATTGCTGGCTTGCTTGTTAGTCTCAGTAATGGTCTTTCCGTCCATGGCGCTTTGCTTTGTGGTTTCTGAAGGAGTCGATATTGTAGCTGTTGCTCTCGGAATGCTCTTTCCCTTCACAAGATTGACAAGGTACTCTCCAGCATCGCCTGCACCTTCTAGATTACCAATCCGATTCCGGAAGTGCTCGGCATCTCGAAGCATTCTGTCTTCATTGTCAGTGAAATTTCCTGCGAGAGTTGAATGCATGTGCAACATTCAGGATGTTTAAGCGTACCGCTTTTGAGCATCCTCGCTCCCCAACACCACATCCCCAAAAGCCTTGCCCCATTGCTCCTTGTAGCTCTTGAATACAGGGTCCATGATCATTCTGACAGTCATCTCCGGAAGGTGTTTACTCAAGACGCGGTGTAAAGTTGTGGTTTCTTTTGTCAAAGTCTCCATGTAAGCATTGACGGATGTTCCACCCTTCTCCCAGTAAATTAGTTTCATGGCCTTGACATGAGCTGTAGCACGGCCAGCCATAATATCGACTAATTTGTCATATATAGATTGCTGATGCTCGAGGTAAGCCCGTCTCACTTTATCAAATTCACCCATGAGCGACGATACAGCTGACCCAGTTCCTGAGTGTCGGCGCACAAACTCGCGGATGTGAGGTATCAAGCTGCTAATAAAAGATAGTGCCTGAGCTGCTAAGGCCAAATGTTTGGTGGTGATGTTCTTCAAACCGGCAGAGCGAGTAGCACCTGCCCCGAGGATGAGTTGTGTACAGCGAGAATTAAAAAGTGTAAGATACGAGAGAACAGAAGTCGCAATCTCAGAAGTCATGGATGGTATCCCAGTATTCAGATGTAAGAAGCAAGAGAGGCCATGAAGGCAGAGTATTGCGGATACAGGGAGTAGGAACGATTCACCCTCAATGGTCGCGGGGCGGACGGTGGTCTTTGACGATGGAGTGGAGGTTCCTGATGTCCCGTTGGTTTGAGGGATATTCAGAGATAGGTTGCTGGCGTTCATTGGCGCGGTCGACACAGATGAAGGATTCCAGATTTTGTGCCCCGACGTCCATGCTTCTGCATCTTCAGTACTTGCAGAAAGAATCCGTGCGAGTTCCTCCTTATCGCCATCCGCAAAGTCTCTTGTGTTCCACGGATCAGCTTCCATGCCAGTTGCAAGAGCCTGTCGTTGCTTTTCGCTGAGCTGTTGCACATATTCTTTGATATGGCCATTGACAACATTCTTCAACGCAGTCCCACTTCTTCCAGACACTGCTTCGCATTCATTGGCGAAGAGGAGATTCAATGTGAAGTAGCGAAGGAAATTTTCCACTGAAAGACGAGTGCTTTGTTCAGATCTCACCCGAAGGACTTTCACTATTTTATCTTGTGCTATGTCGACAGCCTGGCCGAGAAGATTTGACATGTCAAGTGTTTGATGCATCTCTTCCTGGAATTCCCTGCTAGAACTGGTCTTCGACGACTTCTGAAGTAGCCGACCGTCGAGTGCCGCAATGTTGGGACTTCGAGGAGGTGATTTTAAACCCGAAACTGAAGGATCACCCAGAGTACTAGTAACATCTAGTAATACCTTCACTTGAGTCCCAAGCCTTCGCAACGTTTCGCCAACACCTATGTATGTCATCTTCAGAAGATCCTCAGCTTCTTCTGGTTCGAGAGCTCTCAGGTTGCGCGCTAAGATCGTCGACTTCTCTTGCTGAGTCTTCTGTTTGCTTCCACCAATGGTCGAAGCAGACATAATCGAATCTGCATCATCATCATTTGACGCTGGTAGCGGGCGCCGAATGATATTTCGCACTTCTCGTAATACTGACTCGCGATAGGCTGTCGTTGCTGGTGAGGTGTGACGAGCACGGTGAAGACCACCAAGATTGGCCAAAATTTCCGATCTGAAAGTGTCACTCATGGCGAGATAAGCAGGGAACGCGGACGGTTCTCGATTATGGTGTCGTGAGCGTTGTGATGCGCTACTCCATCGTTGCAATGTCTCTGAAGTAGAGACGCTTTCGACATGATGCCGCAGGTCACCAATCAATGCACTCAGGAATCGATTCTCGTAGACCTTGCCGATTCGTAAGCGTAATGTATCAAGGTCGTTGTTGACCCCTTTCAAGGCTGTCGCCCCTCTGAGATCCCGAAGTCTTGCTGTCTTAGAGGCAACCTCGCTTTCTTCCTCGCCGGCTATGAGCTTTTCTAAGGCGTCAATATTGTCCAAGGCTTGCTCGACAAGACCCTCCTCGACTAAAGCTTCGCAGTTTCCCACCACTTGGACTATCTTTTTCAACTGCTGGACAGCATCGCTTAATTGTTTCAGATTCTCTCGCCGACGTTTCTTTCTAACAATATTCAGACCGCCAATTGCCATTTCTTCATCTAGTGTCTCTAACTCCTTTCGTAATGTTCTTATGCGCTTCACTGAATCGGCCGCCTCCGCATGAAGCTCTCGCAAAGACCCCAAAGCAGCGAAAAAGGACGTCGACGCCGTAGATATCGAAGATATCAGGTGTACTTCAATAGTGTCCATGTACCAGGACAACTTCTCTTGCAAAATCGCATTCGTTGCCAGTGCTTTTCTCGGCCCAATTGCGTTGCCATTTGAGGCTCGACGCTCATCAGGGGATCCAGGCGTCGGTTTGACCACTTCCGAGCGTTCGCTGACCACGTCAAAGGTCCGCGGGTTTTCGAGATGAAAGTCTTCTTCAAAGTAGACAGCGGGTATCGTGGATAAAGGTGTCGGCGCCTGAGCTGCGCGTCGTCCAGGCCCTCCACTTGATCTCCTTCGAATTGTTGGACTTTCAATAGATGATACTAAGGAAGCTAGAGAAGCTTGTCTGGAAAGATTTGGGCGAATGGAAAACCTGCGATCTGGCTCTAGGATATCCGAAAAATCATCGGCTCTGCTGCCTTTTCGCAGATTTTGAACGCCGGCTTCATCTTCTTTCTCCCGAGCACGCTGTAAGGCATCATATAGACTTCCCACCTGAGTTAGATAAGGTTTGAATTCTGAGGGGTCCACGCTTGTAATATTTGTGAGTGTGACTGGCGGGATATCGCGTGCCGTGGGAGGTTTATGTGCGCTCGAAGCTGGGGCCGAGGTATGGGGAATGAGACCCGTCCGGACAATTGGAGGTTGGAGGAGCGTAGATATAGCTATTTCATGTCAGCTATTGAGTAGCTACTACTTGTGGGCACCATACCATTTTGGCTTGATTCGTTCAAGCCGTGCCAATGGGTCGCTGTATCTAATGTGCCGCCGATCGAATGTATTGAACTGGCCGTCGAGCCTCTCCTAGGTTGATATCTCCCACTTGATCCGGGCCTGCACGGAGTCAGTCTGCCTGCTTTGAATGAGGTGTCCAGACCGACCTTGGAAATGGGTATTCATTCCGCGAAAAAGATGGGGAGATGGGTGAAAGGCTGTCCACAGAATGTCGCGAGGCCATAGTGTCAATCGTCTCCTGTCTCTCCCCACGCCCAAGATCCTGACATCCACTGCGCTTGTCCACTACTCAACCTCCGGCCTCCCACCGCACTCTCAAAATCAGAGCAATGGCCTGGATCCCACAGTCTCGAGTCTCGACCGATGTGGGTGAAAGTAGAAGAATGCTGTCGTCGAAGTTCGGGTCACGGAGGACAATGCGTGCTACGTAGACGTTGTCTTGATATTCGATATCAATAGGGCTATCGGGGTATCATTGCTGAAAAGATGAAGAATCTGGTCCCTAGATGGGCGAGGAGAGTCAAGATTGATGATGCGCTTGTAGAATATAGAATGGACATCCTATACCTATTCGTAGTGAATGCGAATATGACACGGCGTAGGTTCAGCCTTCACTCGGAAGTTGTATTCTATTGGCTGCATTCCACAGCAAGATACAAGGGTACGAAGGTACTAGAATTAAAAGCGGCAAGCGACAAGCGGCCTACCACTTTACACGAAATCATCGCGTCGCGTGAAGAAGCTAACCTCCTGAGCGCGTTTGATTATATCTGCCTTTCTTTCTTTCGACTTTCGACGTTCGCAAAACTTCTTCCTCAATCTCACGCACCACCCCGATCGCCCATTCCATCTACCAAAAGTCCAGAGTACTTCCGATATACAATCGACATGGACCGACAATCCGTTTATTCCCTCAGCGTTCTGCCCCCTGAGTACGAGAGTGAAGATACGCGTGGACAAATCCAAACACAATTGGAGCAATTCATTCTCCAGTTTCGCCTCGAAAATACCTTTATCTACAGGTTGGATCTATTCTGTGATTGAGATGCCCGTAGCTGACCAGTCTCGCAGAGATCAAATCCGCGAAAATGTTCTGCTGAAACAATACTATTGCGATGTAGACGTTGGACATCTCATTTCCTTCAACGAAGAGTTGGCACACAGATTAGTGACCGAACCTGCCGAGATAATCCCACTTGTGAGGCCGAGTATAGTTCATGTTCATCGGATTTGTCCTAATTCTCGAATAGTTTGAAGCCGCTTTGAAGCGATGCACTCAACGTATCGTGTATCCTTCGACGAAAGATATCGCCCTTCCAGAACACCAACTTCTTCTCCATTCCTCAGCAGGCGATATCTCGATCCGGAATCTCGATGCTCTCACGATTTCAAGACTAGTTCGAGTACCAGGCATTGTCATTGGTGCATCTGTATTGTCTTCCAAGGCAACGGCCCTCCATATCCAATGCAGAAACTGTCACCAGACAAGAGTCCTTCCAGTCGCGGGTGGGTTCGCTGGAGTATCACTACCTCGAACTTGCGACAGAATCAAGATACCAGGAGATAACCCTTGCCCTATGGATCCATACGTCGTCGTACACGAGAGTTCTCAATTCGTGGACCAGCAGATTATCAAGCTTCAAGAAGCGCCAGATCAAGTTCCCGTTGGAGAGCTTCCCAGACACGTTTTGATCTCCACTGACCGTTACTTGACAAATCGTGTTGTTCCTGGCTCAAGATGTACGATCACTGGCATTTTCTCCATATACCAGAACAAGCAGTCTAAAGGCTCGAATACTACTTCTGCTGTTGCAATTCGAACACCATACCTCAGGGCTGTGGGTATCCACAGCGACGTGGACCATACAGCGAAAGGAAATGCAATATTTTCCGAAGAGGAGGAGCAAGAGTTCCTGGAAATGAGCCGCAGACCGGATTTGTACAATGTCTTCGCAAACTGCATAGCACCTTCAATCTACGGAAATCAAGATATCAAAAAAGCGATCGCATGCCTCCTCTTCGGCGGGTCCAAGAAGATCCTCCCAGACGGCATGAAGCTTCGCGGTGATATCAACGTACTATTACTTGGAGACCCTGGTACCGCGAAATCCCAACTCTTGAAGTTCGTGGAAAAAGTTGCCCCGATTGCCATCTATACATCTGGCAAGGGATCATCTGCAGCAGGTTTGACAGCTTCTGTTCAACGTGACCACACAACTCGGGAATTTTACCTGGAGGGAGGAGCAATGGTCTTGGCTGATGGAGGAGTCGTTTGCATTGATGAGTTCGACAAAATGCGAGACGAAGATCGTGTCGCCATTCATGAAGCCATGGAGCAGCAGACTATTTCAATTGCTAAAGCCGGTATTACTACCATTCTCAATGCTCGTACATCAGTACTAGCTGCTGCTAACCCCATCTTTGGACGTTACGACGATTTGAAGACGCCAGGCGAAAACATCGACTTTCAGACCACAATTCTCTCTAGGTTTGACATGATCTTCATTGTAAAGGATGATCACGATAGAGCTCGCGATGAAAAGATTGCTAAGCACGTCATGGGTATTCATATGGGTGGCCGAGGAGTCGAAGAGCAGGCGGAGGCTGAGATCTCGGTTGATAAGATGAAGCGGTATATCAGTTACTGCAAATCGTAAGCCAAACTTTCCGACAAGAGTAACTATATTTGCTAACTCTGCATAGGCGATGTGCTCCACGACTCTCCCCAGAAGCAGCGGAAAAGCTTTCTTCGCACTTCGTTTCGATCCGTAAGCAAGTTCATAATGCAGAACTTGAAGCCAATGCCCGTTCCTCGATTCCCATTACGATTCGTCAGCTCGAGGCCATCATTCGTATCACAGAGTCTCTCGCCAAGCTTTCTCTCTCACCCATTGCTACCGAGCAACATGTAGATGAAGCCATTCGATTGTTCTTAGCTTCGACAATGGACGCCGTCAAAATGGGTAGCGGCCAAGGTAGCAAGGAGTTGAATGACGAAACCAACAAACTTGAGGAAGAGCTCAAAAAGCGATTGCCTATCGGCTGGAGTACGAGCTTGCAAACCCTCAAGAGAGAACTGTGCGATGGGAAAGGATATAGTGAGCAGGCTCTTGCTAGGGCTATCACTATCCTGCAACGTAGAGACACTGTGACTCTGAGGCATCAAGGTAGCCAGGTGTATAGGAGTGGGGCATGAGCGAGCTTCACGCGTAATGTGTTGATACTGGCGTTTGGTGTCCGGGTTGGATGATTGACGGAAGAGGTGCACATTGGCGTAGGCAGGGGTTTGGGAAGGGTAATTACGTGTGATGTATAATAATGACATTGACAAGGCAAGCAAGCATATGAAACGAGCACGTATTTTTGACTCAATGTGATTTCTCTGCAAGGCATTCATGTAGACCCCAAAATAATGCAGACTTCTTTATCGTACATCTCAGTTCCACAAAGAACTGGAAAAGATAGCCACTACCATAAATACACTGTCGCGGCTTTTGAAGCTGCGCTGGTATGCCTTTTTCTGCCAGACCAAAGTTTGAAGTCCGCTGGGATGACGCTTCAACCCGCCGAAACTGCCCAACCTGTGATAGACATGTTTTGCTTGTTTCACTTCGCATTCTCGGCTTGCGAGGCTGATGCACTTGGCGGAGCCATTTGCACCCTTTTTGCATCGCTTTGGGTAATATCTCCTTCCAATCCTCGCTTCTTCTCTTTCTCAGCCTTCAACGTAGCAGCTTCTTTCTGAAGTCGCCGGGATTCTTTATCTTTTCGCTCATTTTCCTTTCGGAGAGCTTTCGATTCGAATTCATGCCAATCACCATCTAATTTGGACAGCCTACACCAGTCAGTATAAAAGTACTGTAGGGGGAAAAAAAAAGGAAAACTTACTCTACGGCCTGCTTTGGCTGAGGATCTTCAGTCCTGAAGTAAGGATGCTCGAGGACATCAGAAGCAGAAGGTCGGTTGGCAGGATCGTATGCAAACATGACTTCGAGAAGTTCAAATGCAGCAGGTGAAAGGCGGTCTTTGTATTTCTCTGCAAAGACGTTCGGTCGTCTGGCATTAGGCCTGAGAAGCTCGAACCAAGCCATGTCGACGAGGCCGGGCCAATCAGTCTTGTTCGGAGTGCCCATGATAGCATATATCTTCTCAAGCTGACTGATCTCGCCGCCATCGCCAGGGAATATTGCATGGCGTGTGAATATCTCCACGAGTACACATGCCGCGCTCCAAATATCAACCGCGGGTCCGTATTGAGTCTCGCCGAGTAATAGTTCCGGGGAGCGATACCAGATCGTGATGACTCGATTGGTGTAGTCTAACTGCCTTCGTTTGGCGTAGAATCGTGCCAGACCAAAATCTGCAATTTTCAACAATCCTTGACCGCTGACGAGTATATTCGCAGCCTTGATATCCCGATGCAGCACTCCCCGACGGTGCAAATAATCCAGACCTTCGAACAATTGCTTTGCAAGATGCTTCTTGTGGGCCGGCTCCAATTTGAAAGTCGGATGGTTGAGTAGTCCAGTGAGGTCGTGTGATAGGTATTCGAAGACCATGAAACAATCATTCTTCTCCACCATGACCTCCTGAAGGTTGACGATGTTATGATGTTTGAGAGATTGAAGCAGTTTGATTTCCCGCACCGCTGTGATTGGAAACCCATCTCGTTCTCCTTCCATGCGAATCTTCTTCAAAGCTACGAGCTTTTTCGTGTACACGTGTATGCCCTTAAACACCTTACCATAAGTGCCAGATCCAACGACCGACTCATTGCCTGGCTTTCGATAGTAGACTGATTCCGAGGCTTTAAAGTCAGGCTCCAGTTGTGGTCGTGGTTTTAGGCGCCTCATAAGTTTCTTCACCTTTCTGGTTGTTGGGGCGGGAGGCTCAGTGCGGAAATCCTGTCGTCTAGCGGACGCTGGCTCGGTAGGAACGTTTCTGGAATTGGGACCACGAGGACGGTCTTGGCTGATTTGTAGATTCCGCGCTGGACCGGCATTCAGTTTTTGGGAGATCTCGGGCTTCGGAGGAGTAGGCGTTGCCTTCGAAGAAGCTTTAAAAGCAAAACTGAACTTTGATGAGTTCTGTTGGCTTTGAGGCCCAGTCGGGGGTGGCCGACTTGGTGGAGGCATTTGCTCATCATCTCCCTTTTTCGTTGCCTCCTTATCCTCGACCTGGAGATCTTTCGATGGCCTGAATAGATCATCAGCGTCCTCTTCTTCTTCCTCTGGCGGTGCATTGTATTGAGGAGTGCTTTCATGCGACCCAGCCTGCTGCTGATATTGTTGAGGTGAGGATTGTTGAGGGGTTGCATTGCCAGATGTGTTCTGTCCACGACCAGCCCCAGTTGATCCGCCAGTAGCATTCCAGTGAAGGTTTTGGTAATGACCACCACGCCCACCACGGTGATCGCCTCGACCGCCTCTAGGATTGAAATGATTTCCCCGGAATGCTCGTTGATTACCACGGAAATTTTGCTGGGGATTATAGGTCGTGTTCATCGGGCCTGTTGGTGCTTGATAAGGAGGAGATTGGGCTTGGCTGTTGTAATAATGACCCTGTGGTCCTGTAGGTGCGGAGTAGGCAGGCTGCTGATGTTGATAGTTCTGCGGGTATTGTCTGTTCAATGATTAGACTATGTTTCAATCTAGGATCGTATAAGAACTTACGGTTGTGGAGAGTACTGAGGACCACCCCAACCTCCTCTTCCAGCAGAATATGGTGATTGCGCCTGAGGGGAGCTATGGAAGGAATTTGGAGTCATGTGGTGCTGTGGAGATTGTGAATACTGTCGGAGATCAACTTGTGGTCCTTGGTTGTATTGTGGTTTCAGGGGGAATGCTGCTTGCATCTGTTGATTGGGATTATAGCCTTGTTGGCCCCCATAGTAACCTCGGCCTGCCATCTTATCAGACTTTACTTCGATGCTGTTTGCACCAGAGGCAGCAGCTGGTGCCCTAGAATTCTTGACTTCGATACTATTCGCACCTGACGCAGATTGAAAGGGAGATTTCGCAGTCTTCCCCTTGGGTTTGCCGGGTCGGTACTCGTCTCGGGGTGGTCTCCCTTCTCTGTCCCGGGTTGGTGAATGACCTCGACTTCCTTTTGGGCCTCCTGGGGCAGGTGATCGTTGACGAGTACGATTTGAGGGTTCGTAGCGGTCGACGTCTGGAGACCTTTGTCGTGAGTTTGGAGATCTCGGTCGCCTTTCTTCCCTATCTTTGCCCCTGGGCTTCTCAGTTGGGGACCTCTCGGACGGCTTTGTATGTCTTGTCGGTGATCGAGGGTATCTTGTGGTACTGTCCTGTGGGCGACGCGATTCCTGGCGAGAAGAGGAATAATGGCGGTCTTGCTTGGGACTGGGAGATCGTCCACGACTCTCCGATACCCTTGATCCTCGGTGATGCTTATTGTACTTGTCCCCAGCGCGAGAATCGACGGGTCGACGTTCGGAGGACCGCCTTCTTGATGGCGCTGGAGATACGATGTGTCGCTTCCTACCGGTTCTTGAATTGGAGGTTACTGACCCTTCCAAGCGTGATGGACTTCGGGATGTGTCTCGTTTCGATTTTTTGGTATGGCTTCGCGGAGGGGAAGGGCTGTGGCTCTTGCGACGCTTGCCTGATGATGGCGAATGGTGGACACTGCTTCGTTTTGGCTTGTCGGAGCCTCGTGTATCCAGGAGCTCTCGTCCTCTATTGCGTTCACGCACTTCCTCTCTAGAATCCCGTAGGGGTGATCGAGAGAGTCTCCTCCTGCTGCGTTCGTGGCTGCGGTCGCGAGGGCGTTCAGTATGCTGCGCTGGCCTCGACTTGAGCGGACTGCGATCTCTGGTCTTGGGGTCCCTGTCACTGTCTGGACGACGTGATATGGGCGATCGCGATCTTCTGGGACGTGTTACTCCTCGATCGACTCTACCTCGGTCTCTGCGATCGTCACCGTGGCTGCTCCAGCTGTCTTTCATTGCGACATACCGAAGGGCTTGTTGCGAGGGAGGAGAAGGAGGAGGTTCCATGATGAACTTCAGAAAGCGAAAAAGAGGTTCGCTCCTTGGGGTTTAGCGGCTTAGCGAAGCCGCCAATCCACAGCGCTGCGATGAGAGATAACGAAGGACGATGAACTATTCAAATGCAACTTGCACTCAATGCAACACGCTACAAACGAATATAATGAGATGGGGCTGGCTGCTGCAAGAGACAGTTCTTGCTCATTACCTCTGGCAAGCCGACTTACCGTGAGGTGTTGCGTCGAGCCGTGCTGACAAGGTGAGGTCGTTCTGAGTGTTGCAAAGTGTCAGGATCCGTCTCTTTTCCCAGCGGCTCCTTGAGTGATCCGAAGACCCTGCTTCGTCCTGCTGTTCCAGACGCATATTACACATTGAAGTCACACAAGCATGCAAATTATCTACGATGCGCAAAGACGCAGGCACTTCAGAAAGCGACCACAATAGACCCTCCGTCCCTTCTCGGGCCACCTCGTCGTAGAGGAGCCTGTAACATGATCCCAATCAACACGAGAGTGCGATGCCTGCACACTCGGAGCAAAAGACCACCAGCGTTCAAGGGCGCTGTTGAAGATGGGGGCAAGGCCATAGGTTGTGTTGATGTTGATTTTGGTGTTAATGCCATGAACCGACACCATTTTGGACCATGAACCTTTCATCCACGCTCCTCTCGAGAATTCGCTGTATGAAAATCTGGAAAGAGAAAATTGTCATAATCCACCAGTCTGCAGTATGTTGGTGATATTCCGCTGCACCGATGCCATCCACAAAGGAATCGTGTCATGAGCGTGCCACCCGAAATAGAATATCTGAGTGAGTGGGCTGAAATGGAACCGGGCTTTGGTATGTCATGCCAGTCTCTGACAGTCGACGACGATCGAAATCTTCCAAGTCATCCATTGCGACAATGTACACACCATCTGCTAAGTACAGTAGACTGTACACCGTACCGTTGGACTCGTGTCATGGGGGAAAGAGCGTGTAGTGTGCGTCTGAAACCGTGGAGATACGAACTCTCAGGGTATTATTTCAAAATGTATGGCATCATCATACTTGGGGTCGATCTTTTGTATACAACGGGCATAAGGACCAGGCTGAACGCGCCGACGTACTTGAAAGATTGGGGCCCTGGATAATGTCGGGAGGCAGAACACGTCCTATCGAAGCTGTTCCTCTTTCAACACATCGAGCGACACTTCCTATGACGAAGAAATATGGTGGGTGAACCTTGTACAGGAGTTCTCGATGCTGTTGCTAACAGACGCTTGAAATCGCGAATGATTGTGGTGATGACCAGCCACGACGGAGGTCGTCGGAGAGTCCCTCTACCGCTTGTCCAAAGGCGCCGCTGGTGTCGAAAGCGACACAAAGAGTAGATTTATGGTTGTCTTCGTTTTTGACATACTGTAGATGGACAGCTGCAAGCTGGTGGTGAGGGTTCGACGGACAGAGAAGGCTTCTGCGATCATGATCGGTGTCTGAAAGTTATTATTGCGATGTTAGCTGCTTATCGCAGTCAGTAGCCCCCTGCTTCGAAGGACCCAGTTGCGCCGGGGTGATCCAGCAAAGGCTTCAAGTTTCCAGAAAGATCGCCGTGCTCCAGCTTTTGTGAACGTGAACGATCTCTCAGATTGTGAGAATCAAAATCAAAGTGGTTCACAAGCGTGCTCAGAAATTCAACGCTAAGCTAGGCTCTGTCACGGGATCACACATCCAAAAATAACCCTAATGCACTTCAATCTGCACTTCTTTGGAGCAGTTCTTAGGGTTCCAAGCCAATGGAAGGAAAGAATCGAGGATCTATGTCGAAGAATACTCAAAGAACCCTTGTAAAATCATCCTAGAGTACAGCTTTCACAATTACTTATTGTTGAATCAAGTCACTTCAGTGCAAGTCGATGCAGAAAGTAAGTCTTATAGGATAAGCTTGGTGGTATCTCTTAAGGGTAACATGACTCCGCACTCAGATGTCTGGTGTGCTTACCGCAACACAAGTGTGCTTTTGTGGGAAGAGCAAGCGTTTAAAAGAAAGCTTTGATTTGGTCTGAAAATGACGAGAAAGGGGTAAGCAGAGAAGCATAATCAGCTATACCTAGGTGTAGTGAATTAAAAAGCACTGCCGTTCCTCACTTCTGCTGTGTACCCGACCTATCACGTATCTCAATCAAGACTTGACTTAGGCTGAACAATGCAATTACCACCAAATATCTAGTGCTATTGTACAGAAACAGCCTCTCCCCATCCAAACCCATGCTTCTTTTTACACTTCCCAACATTTATACAGACGCCAGAATCTGGATGATGATACCTCCATTACAGAAAGGGTGCGATCGTCAAATCGTACTCATTAAATCGTTATGTGTGTGAATATCACTTCATCCAAGACCAGTCAAGACGTTTCTGTCCAACCCTCAGCTGCTAAGTCTGCTGCTCTTGTGCAACGCCACCTCGACCTCTTGGTGGTGTGCCGCGTCCTCTTCCTCTGCTTCTTCCTCTGCCTCCTCGACCTCTTGCGTCGAGGGTGGGTGGAGGTGGTACTGCGTTGAAGGTCTGATAAGCAGTCGAACCACCTCTACCACCACGGAAACCATTCGTATAGCCCTGAGGACTACCTCTAATAGCCATGCTACTGTGAACAGCAGGAGTGTTGTCGCCTGAATAGCCCATTCCTCCTCTGCCTCGTGCTCTATGAGCTCCATCGCCTCGCGCATAGCCATTTTGAGCAGTGACCGCGCTACGGAAAGAACCCCTGAGAGGAGCTGGCGCTCCAGCTTCGCGAAATTGTCCTCGACCTCCAGGCCCTGAGGGAGCGCCGTATCCACCGTTGACAGTCATCGGCGTGTTGGTGGGCGCAGGTCGCTTCTCGACAGCGGCCTTGGAGCCAGCTATGACTTGCTTGTTTGTAAGATTGAGCACTGATGAGGTAGGAACAGTAGAACCGCGGAAAGCAGTACAGCGCTCGCCAAGACTTGTGCCGCTCATAAATGTCACATCAAAAACGACATCCAAGAGAATTGTTCTTGGAGTTCGCGAGATGCCGACCACAGTTCCACGGGTCGCAATAGGTACTCGGCCAGAGTCTTGTACGTACACCGCACGATCTCCAAGAGCGAATTTCTGATTGCCTAGGCGGTGCTCTGCATCTGAAGGCTTCATCAACGCATTGCGTGGAACGCCTTTGAGCTTCTTGAACTCCGGCTCTGGGTTCTTCGCCAAGGCATCATCGGCAGCTCGCTCGATAGCCATTACAACGTCTGAATCAAGTTGTTCGGCGTCCAGTGGAACCTTTTCAAAATTCTTGGATTCGATAGTCTTGAGCCACGCCGCAATTTCTTTGACCTTTGTGGTTGCGATTGCAGCAGGGTAGAAATCCGTCTCATCGTACTCGTTACCTTGAGGCTTCCGCTGTATGCCAGCAATAAATTCAGGGAACTTCACCATATATTGACCAAGTAGTTCAATGGCCTTGTTACTGAATTCCCAGCCGTTCTCGGCACGTCGAGAATAACCTAGAACCTTCAACTTCTTCGCCTCAAATTTAAGATTGAGACCGAGATTGAGTCGAGGCAGACCCATAGCTGATATGGAGAACGAGGATGTAATCTTGCTTAGAACCAAAGGATGAAGACCTAGCATCTTTGCCACGGCATATGATGGGGTGTATTGACCTTGGGACTGATTCAGAACCACATTGCGACCGAATTCAAATTCCTTTGCCTTCAAAGTGGAAAGCCAAATCTCAGCTCGATTGTCTGTGTGTCCCACAACTTCCAGAGGTCGACCGTAGTTGAATTCTCCCAGGAAGAAGGCTCGAGATCCAGGGGGAAATTCTTCCTCGATTGGAACTGCTGATTTCTCCAAGAATCTAGGATCTTCACTGATGACCTCATCAACGATCATTTGCGAGGCGAAGTCTGTTTCCATGCCTGGGATCACAGCATATTCCTTGATAGTGGCTCCTTCGTCAGTCTTCTTGAGACCTTTCAGCATTTCAACGTGCGTGATGGACTCCACGGGACCAATGATTATGCCCAACCGCTTGCTGTAAGTGTCTTCGATCCTGTGGGCTTTCTTGCGGAAATCATCTATCTCGCGTGGTCCATGAGGTTGTTGAAGTGGTTGATTCGTCCCATCATTAGAAGGTACATAATCAAAGAGCTCATCTGACACCTTGACCACCTTTCCTTCGTTCAAGAAAGGATACCCGACAAAGACTCGCTGACCAAGCTTCATGCTTGCAGTCTTGGCATTCGTGCGTAATTCGGAGTCCTCTATGGTAACAACCATGCTCTCGTTTCGACTGTCTTGTTGGAAAACATTGACACCATGGAATCCCAAAGTCGCATTGTACGGAAGTGTCGCTAAGCTGGGGAATCCTGCAAGAGCAGCATCACCAAGCTTGACACCTTCCATAAGGCCAACGTGATATTCCAAGCCCTCGATGGTCGGAAGGTCGAATATGTTCTCGACGCAGTGACAATGAGGTAGATCGGGGAAAATGCCAACAAGGGACGATGGATAGGTAAAATCCACGTCGGGGTCATGACAGAACTTCAGTGTCACGCCGAACTCGTTCCGCATTGCCTCTGCCTCGCTCAATAGCTTGTTTTTCGGCTCCATAGCGGCTAGCAGTCTCTTCTCATCAATGAACGGGATTTTGACGACAGCTTCCCACTCCATCTTTTTGCCATTCATGTCGAGTTCGAAATCACGAGGATAGAAGTCGATTATAGGCGAAGCAGGGTTTGTCATGAGATCATGATACACTACTGGAACGATCTTCTTGCTTCGATCAGGAAGAACACCCATCAGCTGTTCGTATGGATGGAATGGCTGGCCAAGTTTAAAGTTGACATCTGCTTTTAGACCCTTGATCACATCTAATTGCACTGTTAATATATGCGTGTCAGTGATACACATTTCAACATACCTGATATCATTGGAGAGTAATGGTATTGATAGTACCATGGCCAAGAGACCACACCCCTGTAATAGTAATAAAGAACCCACTGCAAACCCTGCACATAATTTTCGCAGAGCTTTGTCAACTCTGCTTCGTTGTTTCGATCCCACTCGAATTTGCCCTGATAGTACTTGTCCTTCCATTCCTGAAATTTAGACTCGTACTGACGATCCATCTCTGCCTGGGCTTCTGCCTTCGAAACATCAATCGTCTTCGCGTTATCGTATTGTTTCACCACTCTCAAGATGGCAAGTTGCGATTCTTCATCCTCGTCCTCTTCGCCATCATCGTCTCCATCCAGCTTTGGAGGGAAAGAAAATTGCATGTGCCGATCGCCTGCATCATTCTCAACTGTCTTCCACTCGAGATGGAGACTTTCTGCTAACTCTTGTACAAACTTCCTATCCGCGGCTGGTAGGGTTCCTGGAAGATCTAACGGAAGGTCCGAGCGTTGTGTGACATATTTCTTGACTTGCTTCCATACTTCACGCTGAGGTGTAGTCATTGACAGCTTGCCCTTCGTCTTTCCCTTGACCATGACATCCTCTTTGGCCATCTGCTTTGACTTGAACCAGCTCTGATCTGAGGATTCCGATTCGAAGAAACGATACTCAACATGAGACAGCTCCTCTAATAGTACAGCCAATCTCTCCACGTTGATAACACCACCTTCATTGATGTACCCACCGCATTTTGGCAAGATGGTCTTGTAGACTTTAAACATCAGTGCTAATGCTCCTTCGTTAATGTGTAGATTGGGAAGATTCGGTAAGAAATCGTTTCCAACAAAGAAGGCCATGAGGATAAAATCATCTATGACACGTTCCAGATCATAGGGAATGCTCAGAACTCCAGGCTCTTTCAGCTCCTGGAACTCGAGTTCCAGATACTCTCGGACAATGCAAAGGTGCATAAGATAGAAATTTTGATGCTCCAACTCTTTCGATTTGGTCTTGCTCGCCCTCCCAAATGTGACCTCTTCTCTCAAAAGACAGAAATGAGGATCGTGAGACAATAATCCCAACATGATCAAATCGGCATCGAGACCATAAAGACAATGGCGAACATTTGGATCATAATTTAGTTGTGCCTTGGCTAATCGAATGTACTCCATGATCTTATGCTCACCCTCACCAGGAACTTCATGCCCGGACAGTACGACTTCGACACCTTGCCAATCAACGTCTTCAGACACTTTCTTGTTGATGAAGTATTTCAACTGCTGAGTTAGTTTGTGCATGAATTCCGTGCCTAGAGCATGTCAGTCAGTGATATAAGGACATATAATCGTGAGACTTACCAGGCGTGATAGCATTGCTGTCGAAGGCTTCCTCCTTTGGTATCTCTTTGCCCTCCTTAATGGCCTTTTCCCTCGCATTTTCAGCGTCGAGCGCGGTTCTGAATCTTCGAGCTCGTTGCTGGTTCATCTTAGCTCTTGGTGCTACGCCATCAATGGCCATGAAGAACAGTTGCTTTGGCTTAATCTTGCCGAAAAGGTGCTCAATGTAGTTGAATATGGCTATGAACATCTGCTCTTCCGTCATTCGAAACATTGCGTCGTCCGAGTCCTTGTGGGTGCAGTTATGAATAATGCCATTCATATCAAGGTAGAGGCAATCGAATTCCGGAATTCTGTTCTCCGCGATTAGCTGGGAGATGCTGGGGTAGCGCTCCGAGAGCCATCGAAAGAATTTTGGTACGCCCATGATGGGCTGTTCGTAGGTTTCTGTGTCTTGTTGAAAATACAGCTCGAGTCGAGAGTAGTTCTCGTGTCGTGCGATAGTCTCGTGTATGTAGCAGTAGGAGTCGTCGTCGCCCGCAGTCGTGAGGTGGCGCACTTGAGGTCAAACTCGAAGATGCTTGTTGTGGCAGCTTGCTTTTACCGCAAAGTGCTTGCGCAAGTACAAAGACGGAGCTAGTCCCAGGAAACAGACTCCTTCGTAGCTCTTGCGATAAAGAAAAGACCTCCGCTCAACTTCCTTCCCTTCCTAACGTTCACCGAGCGGCTCTGATTTCGATTGTTTGGTTTTTCGCAGAATCAGAATCGAAGCTCAGCCTTCTCGAAGTCTAAGACCAAGTGCGGGACAAAATCCGCTAGTGGTTAGCGCGGCCTAAACACTTTACGCGATTATTCTGCCCAGACGCGTTCAGCAAAGCTTCAGCACCTTCAACACTTCGACTTCATTTGACGCAACCAGCTTCCTTCTTATTACAAGGAATTCCCCCTACTGTCGCAGAAGCAAAGAATAAACTTCTACAGGTGACAACAGACAGGAACAGACATGGCGCCTGATTCTGCGGATGTCGAAATGGAGGGTGAGCCCTTAATAGCCCTGGAGCAACGCTTAGAGAATATGTTAACATGGGAACAGTCACCCGGCCTGAGACAGAGGATGACGATACCGAGCAGAAGATCATCAACGAAGGTATTTATATCTTATATATCTCGTCAAACCCAAGCTGACGCATCCAATCAGAGTATAAAACATGGAAGAAGAACAGCCCTTTCCTCTATGACATGATTCTCAGGTACTTGCAAGCCGTCAACACATAATCCTTCAAACTGACCAGTTACAAGCACTGCCCTTGAGTGGCCTACATTGACTACACAGTGGTTTCCGGATAAGAAGGAGTGAGTCTGCCTGCCATGGAGAAGCACGAATGCTAACCTGAAGCCAGACATGCTGGCAAGAACTATACCACCCATCGACTGTTGATTGGTACACACACGTCTAATGGCGCACAAAATTACCTCCAAGTTGCGGCCGTCGAGCTACCGAAGAATGCCGCACCAAACCCGCGAGATTACGACGAGCAACGTGGAGAAATTGGTGGTTATGGCAGCTCCTCGAACGGGGAGCAAGCAGCTATCAAGATGATTATCGAGCAGAAAATCGACCACCCTGGTGAGGTCAACAAAGCAAGATATCAACCTCAAAATCCCAACATCATTGCAACAATGTGCAATGATGGAAGAGTGTTGATCTTTGATCGTACCAAGCACAGTAGCATTCCTCGAGGTCAAGTACTTCCTCAAGCAGAACTGCGCGGTCATACAGAGGAAGGTTTTGGATTGAGCTGGAACCCACACGATGCTGGCAAACTTGCGACGGGCAGTAATGACAAGACTGTTAAATTATGGTAAGATGGAGTTCTCTTTGAGAGCGTTGGTTATATTGACGTTTCTTAGGGACTTGAATACTATCCAGAGCAACAATACCGTAGTTAAGGCATGGCGTACCTATACACACCACACATCTGTAGTCAACGATGTCCAATATCACCCCCTTCATAAATCTCTGATTGGAACTGTCTCGGACGATCTCAGTCTTCAGATGATCGATGTTCGACAACCAGACACCGATAAGTGTTCAGCCATGAACAAGACTGCCCATAAGGATGCTGTCAATGCCTTGGCGTTCAACCCTGCTTCCGAGTTCGTTCTAGCTACCGCATCAGCAGACAAGACCATTGGGATTTGGGATTTGCGAAATCTGAAAGACAAGTTACACTCTCTCGAAGGTCATGTTGATGCTGTCACTTCGCTAGCATGGCATCCTCATGAAGAAGCTATTCTTGCAAGTGGTAGCTACGATCGGAGAATAATCTTCTGGGATTTGAGCAGAGTTGGCGAGGAGCAATTGCCTGATGACCAGGAGGATGGTCCTCCAGAGCTGTAAGTCTGCCACGTTGAATTTAGCACATTTCTGACACCATACAGCTTGTTCATGCATGGCGGCCATACTAACCATCTTGCTGATTTCTCGTTCAACATGAATGAGCCCTGGGTCGTGTGTAGTGCTGCGGAAAATAATACGCTCCAAATATGGAAGGTCAGTGAGGCAATCGTCGGCAAAGATTTGGAGGATATTCAGGTGGACGAACTTGAAAGATGAGAACTAGGATGACATTATGAATACCCAGCATGGTAGTGGCCAAGGAGTTATACTGCATGCAATTCTATTGGCGTTTGTGTATCATATTGTAGCTATAATCCACGCTTCTTGCATTGATTAAAAGACAGGCTTTCTTTCTACAGTCTGTGGGAAGCCTAAGCACCGGGGCAAGCTAACTAAGCTCGCGGAAACCCACAGGATCTCTACAGGCTGTGTGATATCTACAGGGTGTGGAAAAGCTTTTTTACTTCCACAGCCTGTGGACAGCCTTTACAGCTGTAGACAAGCTTTTCTTGCGAATACCCCGCTCCACTAAGGTAGGAATTCACAAAGGGCCGCAAGTGCGCTCGCTTCGTCCAGTACCTGTACCTAAGATCTCCCGCCTTGGAATCCATCTCATGGAGAAGAGATGGTATTTCTTATCAATTCTACCACGCACCCAAAATCATGTTCATAAGCCAGGCATGCAGATGATAAAAATTTCTTTCACTCATATAAGGAAGAAAGAAGTTTAAGCCGACTAGCTGTAACAGGTAAATGTAGCCGTCTAGCTTCTGTATCGCTTCTGGATATGCGGATGCTTGCTCAAGAATGAAATTTCAAGATACAAGCTGCAATACCGGAACCCAGGCGCAGAGAGCATCAGCTAATCTATCATCGCCGAGGTCAACAAGGACTACTTCCACTTGCTCAAATCATTGTCATGTATTTTGTAGTTCTGACACCTGAGCAACCGACGAAGCCGAGCCAGAAGTTCAACCTCATCTAGCTTTCGGGTTAATTCTTTTATTTCCTATGCACTTAGTTATGTGCATAACGTGGTTGATGTGTTTTTATGACGGAAGTTTTCCGAACTTGTACAGTACTTTGAGAGAGGGCGGCGTGAGGTTAATTGACTATGCCATACCGAAAGAGTCTCAAGGATCTGCTTCCTCAAAGTGACCCATCAGAGGCTTCAAACTCAGCCGTGGTTCTGCATCAGTAGGGCTAGGTAGGGAAGTTCATTTAGCGCTGACCAGATCCCATCCCTACCTACCTAGGTAACTTGAAACACTACCTAGACGTGCGCCAATTTGCTAAGCCAGCCAATGTCTTAAATTCTCCCTCGAAACTTCTGTTGGATTGTGTTGGCCGACTGTGTAGCCCTCCTGACAGAGGCGCAGCACAGCCCTGCAGAGAACACGGCCAATGATGTGGTGGCCCTCGACGTCCATTCTCAGCCACCAACAGCGAGCAGCATTCGACCCTTACAAACAAATATGCATGTTTCGCTCAAACTAATGATCATTGCTCCCTCTGTCGTCCATACAGCCTTTCATTTCAACCACCCAGTGCCACTCTCTTCAAGTCAGAATCTAATAAAGAGCATTGCCTTCTGATCGATTCGCGCCACAGTTGACATTTATTCAAGCGTTTGCTCACTGGGTAGCCAACAATCCTTGCAGCCTTGAGTGAGAATAACTCCCAATTTCTTGTGAACGGTTCGCGGAACGGTTCGCGCACTCAACACTGATATTTGTCCAAGAAACTTCTCCGTGAAACCAATCCGGGAACAACTACAGGGGATATAGTCAGCCTATCACCTTGAACTATACTTATCGAAAAAGGCAGTTGGTATTGACGAGATGGAGACTCAGGCTGAAGAGAACCAACAGAATCGAAATCTGCTGGTTGAACTCTTTTTTCCTGAGACTCCGGAAGTAACATTGGAGTAAGTCATTTTCATAAACATTTCGTTTTGGCGAAGAGCTAAGGACTATAGTATAATCGCAGTGCACGGCATGAATATATGGGACAATCCTAACCATCATGATGATACTTGGACGCATCCCGACTCAAAGAAGAACTGGATAACGGATTTCCTTCCGCAGGATCTCCCTGAAGCAAGGATTCTCGGGTTTCAATACAATGCCAACGTCGTCTTTTCTACCTCATCAGCTTCTATCGAAGAGCATGCATCGAATCTATTGAATTAGCTTTGGTTGGCACGGAGGGTAAGCTGCCAATATAATAACCACCAATTACATCAGTGACATTGGGTAGGGTGCTACATGCAGGCCTATCATATTCATTACTCACAGTCTTGGAGGTCTCATTGTGAAAGAGGTTCGTGCTGCTGTTTCTCGCATGGTCGGAGACTATCGTCTAGGTACTGTACGTTTTCCTAACATGATGTAGGCGCTTGTCCAAGCCAAGAGCGGTGATTGATCGTATGCTTCTATATGGGCTTTCACATACGGCATTGTATTCTTCGGAACTCCACACCGAGGATCCAGTCATAGCAGTTGGGGATCTACCCTTGCTGGCATTGTCAAAACAGTCTCCCAAACACCAGATAATAAGTTGCTCGATAGCACGACAGAGTACAGCGAATACAATGAACGACTGCAAGCAAACTTCAGTCCTCTCCTCGAATATTATCGAATTCTCAGTTTTTGCGAAACTCTACCTCTTGATATATATGGACTGGGCCTGGCAAGTTGATGTACTGAGCAAGTTGATGTGATATCTAGCTTACATTCGTCAGGTCGTCAATAGCACGTCAGCCACCCTTGGGCTGAATCAAAGCAGAGAGACCACGATTTATCTCAACAGAAACCACAGCAAGATCTGCAAGTTCTTCTCCGAAGCCGACCAAGAGTATCAACTGGTCTCGAAAAACTTGGTTAATTTTGCAAACTCCGCGGTGAGAGCGACCGAGTATACTGTGACACTTCCCCTGCGGGAACGTCTCTTCTCGGACCCCAATAAGTACATAGCGGGTTGGTGCCAAGTTACACTACAAATTTCAGATTTACTGACCATTTACCACAGCGCCGGAGAATACTTCCATCGACATTGCCGAGTCAATAGAGCTTGCAAAAATTGTCCTCAATCACGAAGGGATGTTTTTGGAGGTAAAAGCTATAGAAGGAGAGGTGGAACAACTAAAGTCGCAAAGAACTAATTTGATTACCATCCTGGCAGGGCTTTTTTTGTTGTTATGGCCCATAATTTCGTCGCTCCCCCCTTTTAGCCCACTTCCTATCGCCTGGATCCTCTGGCCATGGCAGAATCAAATCGACACAGCTAGATATCGCCTTCGTGAAGTAAATACCGTACAGCGAACAGTGTTAAGCCTCGAACTTCTCACTGTGGAACTCTTGGACGAGAAGAGACACGATGTTCTATGCTCTGTGCGTCAACTCGAGCAAGCGATGCGTAGCACTGAGAATTTGACTCCCGAACAAGGCTTGGAGGCTAAGTCTCTCAAATACCAGCTGGAATGGTTGTCAGCACAAATTATCATCAGGCTCCATAAGAAGGCGCAAGAGGTGGAGCAGGCTAACCGAGAGAGGGAACAGGCGGAGCATACTGAGAGAAAAGTACAATCAGCTTTTCAGGGTCAGGCGCTTCAGGAGCCTGAGGATGATTCTTCGATTTGCCCTGAGTGTACTGTCATGTGAAGCGAAGGACTTTTCACCTTAAGTAGACTTTTCAACTCAAAACACAATGGAGGATTTTCTCGCAAATTTTGTATTTACCCAATTATATTTCTTTTATAGCCTCTACAGATTAAAGAATCCTTGATAATAAAGCAAGAAGCTTGGTGAAATGGCATGTTGGCGTCAGACTCGTATCGACCTTTGTTTTCTATAAAATGGTCGAGAGTTCCTTTAGACGTTGTGAAAAGTGGTGGCTCAACAAGCCACGCGCTATCTATCACCGAAGAAGGTGCGGTAAAAGTAGCGCACCTGAACGTACTAGGTACTTTACGATCCGAATTACGATTCAGTTCGAAGAAATTATTTTCGAAATCGTACTTATATTGTCCCACACACTCTAGAACAATATTGTTTTGTATTCTATGCTTTACAATACTTTAATTAGCTTTAGATCTCTACCCTGACTCTAGCTTTTCTAGCTTAATAACAGCTCTGCCTTTACTCCAACCCTCCACCGTCTCTGCCAGATCTCTGCCAGCTCGCTACCCCAAAATCAACTCTACTGTCATAATATCTCGTTACAAACTCTCTGCCCTGTAATCAAGTCTCCCCTCTGGCTAAGGCTAGCTCTATACTTCATTTTGATTCAAACTCTTTACTTTGATTACTACCACCCACAATTAGCTCTGTACAATGGCGGGCCTACAAAGTACCTGGAGGGATACGCAAGTCGACCTTTTAGAATAGCTTCTGTGGGAATGTTCAGGGCAACGAGGGACCCCATCGTTCCTCTAATGAATTGCAGGGTCACACGTATGATCGAAATCGAGTGTTCTTCAGCTCATCAATCTTGAAAGCAAAAGGGAAATCTAGAGTTGCACAATGCCTTCGAACTACTCAAATCGATACAGCCTCTCTAAAAATCCCGCCCAGGATTCCGCATGCTATTCCGCTCCTGAAAATATGGCACCTGCGTCCCCCAAGAAGCGGTAAAGGCACCAAACCGGATCCCAGCCTGCTTACACTTTGTACTGATATCCTCAGTCAATGCCACAATCAAGTCTGTAGCTTTCTCCTTTTCAAGATATATACCAATGATCCAGATCTCCAGCTTTCGAAACGAAGGAAGTTCATCCTTCACCCTATCAATGAAATCGAACACATGTCCTTTCCACATGACATTCTCGAATTCATACAATGACTCGCCTTGTGCGAGTTTCTGGATCTGAATATTAACTCTCAAATTGAGAGTCTCTAGATTCGGCGGCAGAGCCTCGATCATCCGCACCGGAGCAGGAGCCCATTTCGGATGTCCACAGAGTGCAGTGGCATCTATCGACAAGGCCGTCAATTTCGAGAACTCCTTCAATGACCCAATCAAAATTCCATCCTTCGGCGTCCGTCTTTCTTTGGCATTGGGATGAAGTCTTAGTAACGCCTCATGTGTTGTATTAGGATTTCCTGGATGGCCTTCTCCGTTGCAATACCTGTGCCTAATGTCCAAATCCAGCATCTTTAGACTATCCTTGTGCGCTGACAGCGCTTTGCCAATCAGGTGGTGAAATGGTCCATGGCAGAAAAATGGATTCCAGCAGCCGGAAATGTCTTCGGTCCAGCGCAGACCTTCAAGTGATTTCGGGATGAGGATGGCTTTCAAGGCATCGTCCAGCGCTATTTGAGACTCGTCCCAAGCGAGGAAGGTGATGTTTGAAGTTCCTGGTTTTGCATTTAGAGGATAAAAGTAGGAATCAAATTGGGTGTAGGTGTATGTGTAGGGTGTGAGGGTATACACTGAGCGTAGATTCGGAAGCGCAAGGAATGGGAGGAGCGTTTCGTACTCCAGATGATATTCTCGGTGTACCTTGATGCCAAGATCTAAAGATGAAAGTCAGTCCCTCTGTGCAAGATATACTAACATTTGTACTTACGGAGTGCGCTACAGATATACAGAGTTTCGAGCTTTTGTAAGATCCCATCTCCAATCGTGAACCCTTCTGGTGCGACCATATACAGTGTTTGAAGATTGGAAAGGTAAGTCAATAATAGAGGAACAAGTATTTCCTCCTTATTTTCAGTCACCGCAGTGCGGTAATCTGCCAGCATGTTACGGTTAGGAACTCCTAAGCCCTCAGCCTCTATTTTGAGAATCTCCTTTTCAAGACTGTGGCCGATGGTCTCGGAGCCCAGTGGACCAACTGAGAAGTCATCTGAGTTGGAGTTCTCGTCAACCTTCGAGTCGCTTTCTCCAGTTTCTGCACCTCCTCCTTCCTCCTCGTCCGTTTCGTCTTCATCGTTGTCACTTAGATAGGTTGACCCTCCGTACTTACCGCCCTCAACATAATCCTCCACTACACCATTGATCAGCACCACAGCCCCGGACACGCCTCAATGTCCCAACAGAAGCCGAACAAACTCACATTTCGGACAATCACCCCATTCCCTCAAATCCAGAACCTTAACATGCCCGGCCAAATCCGGCCTCCTAATAACAGTCTCCAAGAAAAATTTCAACGATTTGTTCGAATGCGTAAATCCATGATACGACCAAGAATGATAGAGCTTTGGTACAGATCGATGGTATATTGTTTGAGAAACGAGACAAAGGGAAGTAAGATCCGAGGCCTTAGTAATATGCTGAAAGATGTTGTCGAAAATCTCATTTGAGAGTTTCTCCAGAGGGCTATTTCCTGCCATCTTGACAAACTGAGCTTTGGGTTCGTCAACCGAGTTCAGAAGCAGGGACCATGTTACTCACTCGTGACACTCCTTCTCTAGTCAATGTCCCACGAGTTCTCACTTCCCGGATATTTATATATCTCAAGAACTCCTCAAAGCAACCAGGCAACACAACCCCGCCTCTTGCAAGTACCTAGGTACCGTACTTGGCCCAGGCTAAGCGCTAGAGCGGCACAGCGCAAACCAGCAAAAGAACGTGGCGAACAAGTGCAGACAGGCAGCAATGGCATTAGGACCTTTCGGAGGCGTCTCGTCGGATTTCTTGAAGGGCCACATGTTGTATGTATCATGTACCGAGGATGATCGATAAGAACGGACAATGCACTTCAGTTTGTCAAGACTTGAGGTGCAGCCCCTTTAATGGCGATCCACGTGATTTAGTACACGGGATCTAAATTAGTTGAACTGTTGGCAAGTTAGCCAGCCCGAGGATCTTGTGGCATTGGGCTTGAGCTTTGACCTATATCTTTGGACTTGACGCATAGATTGTGATGGGTCGAATTGCTCGAGTCATGTCATTGATAGAAGAAGCACAACCCCGCATCATCACAGCAAAGAGCCTGGAAGTCACAGAACCAAGAAAACGTGAGATGGAGGCATAACTTCAACACTATGTATTTATGAAGCCACTGTAGCAGCAGCTTCATATCCTATTCTATCTAACACTTTGTGCCCCCACCCATCTCCATCATTCATGCACACTCGCCAACCTTCCCTCCTCAAAGACAACGAAACTTGCTACACAGAAAGAGAGGAAAAGAGATTGAGAAAAACAAGAAACAAAAAAGGACTTGCTTGCCACCGCCGCCTTCCATGCCACGCACCGACTCCACCACTCCGTTCATCCATCTGTCCAGTGATCGATCAATCATCAACATCATCGCATCCATCCAGTCCATTCAAATTCCATCAATCTAAACTACCAACACCTAGTCACAAGTTCCACCTCCCAAATCCAAAGGGACAACGTCCAATAGGGAAAGAAAGATGAGATCCTTCAACCACTACATGTCCAATACATCAACACGTGAAGAGAACAGAAGAGAGATCAGCTAGAATTATGAAACAAGGAAAAATGGTGGAAGAGGAACAGGAGAAACAGAAAAATGGACAGAAACAATCGAGCAAACGCAGGACTTTGAAATACAAAACAAGAAGTAGAGGAGATCAAGCAGCTGCAATCCTCCGTCCCATCTAAATCCCGGAACCGTATTGAACCATCGCTCCTCGAATGCCATGCCATGCTGTACTTTTGTTGTTCCCGAAGATCGAGAATTGAGATCGAGCGCGTGAGGAATCGAGAATGAGGAGGAGGAACGATGACAGCAAGTCGAGATTGTAGAACGAAGGCGAGAACCCAGACCCATCGCCGACTTAAGCAAAGACCCCTTATGCCCCGCGCTCCCTTTCGCTATGCACCAAAGCCAAGCACAAACGACAATGTCTTTCTTTTTCTGTTTTTCTTTTTGGAGTGTGTTGACAAACAATCAATTCAGTCGCACATACGTAACGTAATTGCTTCGCTGCCATTTGTCCTGCACCGGTCCATTTGCTGTCGCCCAGATTTGTGTGATCCGTAGTATAGCCCAACCCTTTCCATCCGCATTAAAGAACTCCGTCCTCCTGACAACAAATCGTTTGAGAGTGCTCAAATTTTTAGAATTCGTTCCGAAACTGTACGCGCGCTTTGATGTAGTAGATCTGAAGACGATGAATTTTTGTACCCTTGTGCCTTTTCTTTATGCCTCCCACGCCAACCAACCTGCCACCTAACCTATCCGCATGCCAAACAAAATGCCCTTGTAAACAACCCGCTGCGCAATGGTCCAGAAAGCTCTGAACAACACCAGTGTGTCTATGATTTCATTCCAACCCCGAAGCCGTCCTGAAACATAGTCATACAAGTGAAAGAGAGAGTCGAGACCTATGTATAGACCGTGATCAATCAAAGGGGGATCGATGGCGCAAAACAAACTCGAATTAAAAGCCTACGCAGGAGACTTGCTCGGTGCGCTAAGCTGAGCCGATCCTCCGTTCTGGCGTGCGTCGCCGCTGCTCATCGACAAGTTACCCAGGTTGGTAGAGAGGAACGCAAAGGGATCGCTGCTATCACCAGGATAGTTGTAGTTGTTCGAAGGTCCGGCTGAGGCAGGTCCGTTCGTAGCAGACGAAAAGGCAGCTTCAGCAGCCCGGCTGTCAAAAGGACCAGCGGAGTGAGAACCAGCACCTGGGCTAAAGTGAGTGTTCAGAGATCCAGGGTACGGACCAGTTGAACCTCCCAAACCAGATGGCAGTGCGAAAGTGCTCTGAGGACCACCGAAATGTTGACCACCATAGCCGCCAGAAGAACCAAAGCCAGCAGCAGAGGCAAAAGGGCCAGGTCCAGGTGTTCCTGCCATCGATCCAGGTCCCATGCCGTAGCTCGAAGGAGTCTCCATGGGAGAAGGGTAACCAGAATCAGCCACAACCGCCGCACCTGCACGACTAGCGCCACATCGGAGACAGCTGACGTTCTTCGCAAAGTTGTGATATCCACAGCCTTCAGATCCGCACTTCCAGTCACCAGCTCGGAAAGGTACAACACCACCACTGCCACCCATTCGTCCTCCTCCATGACCTCCCATTCCACCGTGGTGTCCACCCATATGTTGAGGTGGAGGCATCATGGCTGGGGGACCATAACCGTAACCGCCACCATAGGCGCCCATCGCATCACCACTTGGACCAGCACTCATAGCCGGGAACGAGCAACGGAAACAGGCAGTACGTCGCTGGAAATTCGAGAAACCACATGATGGGCAAGTCCAGTCTCCGGGGCGAGGTCGGTTCTTGCTGGGTGGGAATGGGGTGAGAATTTCTGCAGCTCTGTCAAGAACACGACTGGAAGATGGGGAAACTTCAATGGCTTTCTCGTTGAGGGCTCTGCCATTCATACAAAGACTCTCAGCGGCCTGGTAAGGTGTTAGACTATGCCCTCGAGATAAAAAGAATTTAACAAGTGGATGATGGGGCAATTGAAGAAGTCTGTCATAAAGTAGGAGAATGTACTCGTAGGGTGCGGACACAATTATCTGATGGCATTTGCAAGCCCAGCAGTACAAGTAGAGATGAGTAAGGGATGATGGGCTGACCTCTTCATGGGACGAAAATACGGCAAAGCCGGAACCTGTAGGCTTGTGCTGATCAGGAGTGCGTAGAGTCCAGAAAGCAATGGGACGACCTCCAAATTGTGTGAACCAGCTCTCAAGTTCGGACTGTGTAGTATCGTGAGGAAGACCGGCCATATGAAGGACTTTGCTACGTTCAGACAAAAATGCTCGCACGTCAGCCCGGGCATCCATGGGTCTCGTCAGGACATCAGGGTGCTCGTGAGGAGGTTGAGATTTGCGGATCAGTCCACGGAGTACTCGAGCCAGAGTCACTGCTTCTTCCATAGCTCTACGTGGTGACGCAGGAGCCAAAGCTTGTAGATGGAACGGAAGGTTGTGCTTAATGGGCGCGCTGGCTTGTACGGGCTCAACTTCTAACGCAGCACAGATATTGGACAGCATCGATGGGCCAAAGGGGAGAGATTCGGGATGGTGTTGCTGCCATCTTTGGTATTCTGTACGTAGATCGAAGGTTCGGGAGTGCTGTAGGTAAGGTGGGAGGACAACAGCTTTATCGCGAGCTTCACGGGGAAGTTGAACTCGAAGGTCCCACGAATCGAGGGTGACGAAGGAGAAGTCGAGGCTTTGAGAGACGAGGTGTTCGGCGGCGAATGCATCGAAGCGGTTGATTGCGTCCCGGAAGGTACCTGCATTACGAACATGCTCCCAGGTGAGCGTAGTCAAGCTGGCTGTAGAAATCCCACGTTAGCAAATGCCCAGTCCCTTGTGTGAAGATGCGCTTGGCATGGAGAGGCCTAGCAGATTTTCGATCTCGAGTTTGCTTGGTTTGCCTGGCACTTACTGCACAGCGGTGTAATAGGGGTATTGATCGGCTTCACGAGTACGCTCTCCCGGTGCAGCTGCAGGTCTCCTGTTAGCAGATTGAACAGAAGCATACGCAGAGGTTCAGTTTTGGAGCTCACCTCGTCGCAGGTCTTTGCATCCAGCAAGATCCAACCCAGCTCAATCACCTCTGCAGAATCTTTGGTGACATAGACTCCGTGCTCATCACAGGTCGTAGCCACATGGATGACCACGTACCGATCTAAATTGCCTTGCTGGCTCTGTGCAGACGACGACATCTTCGAGGACGACGTGGAAGAGTTGTCCCAGAGGGAGGGGAATTTGTGGGTACGGGGTGGAAGAGGAGTGAAGTCGTCGATGGCGGAAGCTCCAGGTTGAGACAGAGCCAGAGAGGAAGTGAAGGAGCGGGAAGAAAAAAGAGAAGGAGGACGAGATGAAGAGAAAGTGGTCGAGGAGGAGTTCAGTGAATTCCGGCGAGCAAAAAGATGTTCCTGACCCTCGGTGGTGAGAAAAGGAGAGGCTCCACCGCAAGAAAGTGGTTGACAAGCAGAATCTCGCAAATTGCTGTGCTAGCGCGGATTGGGTCGGACCAGGTCAGGATCGCGATCGAAACAGAGATGGGAAATTCTGGGATTTTGTGAGGAGACGAGGAGGGATGAGGAGGACGTGCAGTTGCATTCGTTCACTTTTGAAGAGGAAATGATATGTGTGTAGGTAGGTACGGTATGTATGTCTGTCTGTCCGTATACCTTTTGCAGTGACGATGATTCATTCATTCTGTCATTAAAGTTCCATGTTCCATTCGCCAGTCGGTCCACCACAGTCACGTTTAATGGTTCAAGTCAACTTGATGGCTATTGGGACGAAAGGTATTAATAGCTTCTGTCGCATTATTCACAAACACACTTGCTCGGCTTTGATTCATCCACCAGACAGGCAGGCATATGTACCAAACGTGCAATCTTTCATTCACCTTTGATGGAACCGTTCAGCATTGCAAGGGCAGCACACGCACCGTGAGTTTCTGATCTTGAGATGAGCTGTTCAGAGTCAGGTAAGTAAGTAGTAGGTGTGTGCCTTGACCTACGTTTCTCAACGGCGGCGGCATCGGCTCGGACATTGTTCTTTTTTCCTTCAAGGAAAAATAATGAAGCCGAGCAAAGCAGAAAGCAGCTGCCCAACACAGACAACCAACGTACCGTACGGTACAGGAGAGACAAAATGGCTTCGGGACGGAAGTGCAGTGCAGTGCATGCACACTCGAACACTATCTTGCATTCATTTATTTATTTATTTATTTATATCTTTGTTTCTACTAGCGCCCGTCGAGATGGAAAAACTGTAGAAAATATTCAGACCATGCCATGACCAGACCACACCAGGACAGGTTCGCCCCGGCTTGGAGTTTATCCTGCTTCCTGGTCCTTGATGGTCCATGGCTCGTTCGTCGTTTGTTCGTTCATCCGCCGGTATGGAAGTAAGTACGGCTACGGCTCGGAGCATCTGCTCGATATTTTTCCTTTCCTTTCTCGCCTTTCTTTTCTAGATCAGAACCACAACCAGCATCAGAACAAGCCCGGTCTGCAAGAGCCTGCAAAGGCCTGCAAGGTCTTTTAAACGGTCAGCCTCATTGTGCCTAAGCAGGTGGTTCCCCCCTATCCACTCACTACTCACTCACTCGCTCCGCTCCCACGCCATTCACATCCACATCCACATCCTGCTGCAACTGCACTGCACTGCACCTCGTCTGGCGGCTGGTCCCATACAATTATCGGCCTCTCTTGTATCGTTTGCACCGCAACCTGGTCGAACAAGGGCTCTAAAGTAGCCTTTTCCTCACCTAATTACATAACTATCGCCGTCGCCTCGTCGGCTGCTCTCTTCTCCTTCCCGCCACGACGAACATTTCCTTCCGTCCTGTGCGGTCCACCAGCCCGGGTTTTCCTGGAAACCTGCGTGCGGTACTACCGTGTCCCACCAGACTTCCCGACGCCTCGAGAATGGGTGTTCGTCGTGCAGTGCTCACATTATTGACAGCGTGTGTGTGGTGGGCGTGCGTGCGTTGGTTGACTCTGGCAGCGTGCAAGCCACGACTCCCACGAGTCACCTCCCCTTTTGCAGCTTTTGCTACAGTACTCTCGGGCCCCCGTCATGGTGTCTTGGATCCCGCAGACGACGTGCAACCTGGGCTGCCTCTCCTGCCAATCGGCGCTTCACCATGCTGCAGAGCTTGGACAAAAAAAGGACGCGAAGCATCCACAAGCTCCTTCAACGGCAGCCAGAGCCGTTGCGTAGGGTGCAGGACCGCAGGTGCTGATTCACCACCGTGGTACAAATATCCCCGAGTGTCAGTTGTATCACTGCTCAAGTCGTATCGCGAGAAGACTTCCCTGTGTCGACGAAGGCTGGAGAACCAATTGTGCTGCTCGGAAATCCCACCCATCTGGCGTAACGCAAACAAACACCGCTCCGCTTCTCCACCCAGCGCCTCGAATAAAGTCGTGAACACTTGAACCTCGCATGGCCCGCGCCGTAGCCCCTATCTTTGACGACATGGCTCGACAGGTCCCTCCCTGGAAGACTCTCCAGGGCCCATATTCCATCCCATATACGGCCGTTTCAGAAGCTGCACTCGAGCAATGATCAGCCTCGCTACCGTTCGCACGAAGGGCACAGCACAGCCTCGACCAGCAGCCAAGTGAATGGTGGTGGGAGGGGTGGTAGTGCACTGTGCAGCCTGCAGGCCCGAATCTTTCTTCCGAGTCCACGAGTCCGGATTGAGCAGTTCAATATGTTTTGTGTTCATTTCATCTCCCATTGTGCGGCAGCCTGCAGGGTCATTTGTTTGTCTTTCGTGCCAGAAAGGCGTCGAGACCAGACCCAATTGTCCCGGCAGGCCACAGGACATTTCAGGAGCAAGCCGGAGGAATCGGAGAACATGGGCCTGAAATCATTTCGGGATTTGGCGCGTTAGCCGCGTGGCATACCCCATTCATCATGATGATCAATGCATATCTTGGAATGTCCAAGTGGCCTTTGGCTTAGAAATACCTTTCCCTTGGAGAAGCCAATTTCATCTACATACTTGGCAGAGTCCGAGAGCTTCGGTACCGAATCACAACCTGGGTTTGTTCAAAGTCGCAGTGCCATTGTTGAGAAGAAACTGTCTGTCGTCGATATGGTCTCAAACTGCGAACAATCAATATGGTTTGGTTTGGATCACTGCCGTCAGCTTGTACGTCGTTCTATTGCCGCGAAGTAGACTCAATACCTCTGCTGAAAGATGAGAGTCTGGGGATTACTGCCCTGAAAACCCTTGTTTAAGGAACGGTGTTTCCGGGAAACGGTTCAAATGATATGTCAGAGAGCTATGTTTTTTGGAATCTTGAGCTTTCCGTGTTGTATCAAATCTCACCTCTTGTCTTCTCTGCACGGAGGTGTAGCTGTCCTCAGGAAAAGCAGAGCTGGGTATTTTAATTGTACGTCAAAGGACGGTTTGTCCCGATTTTCTTCCATTTCATTGCTAGCAGCGCGAATTCTGCCGCCTCTTTTCTTCGAAGCTTCTCACCATTGTCAAGAGCCAGTTGGCTTGATTTATCCTATATCCAATAAGCATCAAATTCATAAACCTCAAGCAATCGAGTCTAGTGCAATTGCGAATTCTAGATTCCGTACTTGAATAAAGCATCTGCACCTCATTAGGCATCTACACTAAAGTCCTTTTTTTTCTTTTCTATGGCGTCAACGCCATACTATGTTGCGGATTGGCGAAGAGGCCAAGAATCAAATCTAAGAACATTTTAGATATCGATTGCGGTAACAAGATCGCTGGAAATCGTTGAAGCCAATCCAACCAAGAAGCACGTGAAAGCTGAAGTGCAAGTCATCAAACACATATCAAGTCATCGAGATCCAGGGAAGGATTCCCAGTACCACGCAACGTCAAAGCCTTGCAGCGCTTAGGTGCCAAGTACTCTGCTAGATCTGGATTGCATCTCATGCTTTAGATTGTATTTAATTCTGACGAGGCCAAAGCGAGGTCTAGATTTTCGTGGCTGGTGCTATAGTCTGTGCAATGCCCATATTGCGGTTAATGCTCCCACAAAGTCAAGGAGCTATGTCCGAGCGGCGCTGAAGTAGTGCTGATCAGATTAGAATTGGTGACTCCTGCAAATAGATAAGATGGCCAATTCGAGGCTCGATCTACTCGACTTCATTCATCCAGGCCCTCGGGAGATCTTGAAGCAGATAGCATACGTATCACGTGAAACATACTTCGTAAAGTTGGATAACATCCAGCTACAAGACTAGAGCACAAAGAAAACGCAGTCAATGCATTGAATTATACCAGAAACCATTGCCGTCTCAAAGGTAGATTAATTTTCAACACTCAGCACCGTGCTGTGCGCCATTCCATGCACTTCCCTAAAGACCAAAACCCACACGGTTCCACCCATTCTAGGCCAGCACTATCTTAACATCCAACTCCAATACGATCTAGTGAAAGTGGCAGCTCCCCCAAAGCCAAATACCACACAAATCAAAAGACGACCTTGCCTCTCGCCCCCTTCCACACCCCACTCCAGCTAATTCTTTCTCGGAGGATTTTACCTAGGACGAGGAACAGGAGGTTTCAGTTTATAATGTCAGAGTTGCTTAAACAAAGTACTTTGACTAAGTGATACGTTTTAGCCTCAAGAGATGAAGGTGCTTGGCCCATAGGGTTCCGGGGATACAGTTGCAGACCTGCTTGGCTATGGGGCAACTGGAGCAGGGTTGGTTGGTGGGCAGATTCTGTTGATCTTGTTAATTGGTGCTGAAGTTCGAGGGACGAAAGGTAGGGAAGATGGAGTTTAAAGGGTTAATCGTGGATTGGCTGGTCAATCTGCTGTCAATAACCCTTTGTCAGTGTCAAAAGCCCCCTTTCACTATCAACCCTCATTGCTACGAATAACAAACACAACGGTTAAAGCACTAAAGCGTTGCGGATTGGTCACCATATTGCGGATGCATGTCATTGTTGGATCACCAAATCTAAATTCACTTTGACAAGTTTAGCGTCAGGAAAGTAGCCGAGTTGGTGTGTTGATGTGAAGGGTTAGGGGTATATATATCGATATCTTTGTGAAGAAGAGAGATGGAAATGGCTGCCACTTGGCCTTGTCGTCTAAATTGAAAGGATATTCACTTTTAAGAAGACGTACTCGTCTAAAACAAAAATTGATTCAAGTGAGATCTACTAGCCTTGCCGTCTGGAGTCAAAGGGTATTCACCAATAGAAGATCATGTTTGTCCAAGACAGAAAATAACCCCTCAGCCTCAGCCTCACCGCTCTGGTATGAAAAAAAAAATTCACCTATGAAACAGCATAGCTGTCCGAGATAGAAAGTGAATTCATCTAAGATGGAAATTCACATTCAGTCTATGGTCCAGAGTCCAAAACCATTCACCCAGCAGCAAGTCAATCGCCCGAGAGGATAGATGGCTCACCAGCGTCAAGTTCCAGAAGTCTATATAATCTCGGCTCGCCCTTCCTCTTTTTTTCCCTATCAAGACAAAGACAGCTTTTCACCAACTCTGCACTTCGAGGTAATGCAGAGCGAAGATCTCATAGAGATTTATGTGGCCGAGTATATGGGATTTGTGGGTGCGGATCGTAACGGATAGGGCGTTACGGGCTTTGTTGGAGAATAGAAGGGTATGGCTTATTGCCATGGATGGATGGCGGGGTGGAGGCATGGATATTAACAATGATGGATAGTTCTTGACAATAGTGAATGGGTGACATTCTCAGTCTTAATAATGGGGACTAGTTCTATGAGCTTGTTATGATATGTCATCTCTTGAAAATGGGCTCTTTTTGTTTCTTTCTCCTTTGTGTATTGTTTTCGACATGGAGCTTGATCACAGTACTCCTCCTTCGCCGGCTAAGTCTGGACAGAATTCGCTACCATAATATGCTTGGCATGTACAGTGGATTTGATCATTGAAGGTAGTATTGCGTTGAACAGGGCCCTGGCGATCATCTCGCGGACTTAAATCTTCAATCGCAAGGGCGGAGAATGGGATACGTTGACACTGGAAACACTTGACAAATGCTAACCATTTGCCATCTATGTAGCTCCTATGGATATCAACAGGTTGCTAATATATATTTCATTGAACATTATCTAATATTGAACGCTATGTGCAACCTTAGGATGATCTTGCAGCATTTGGAAACCATATGTCTGCTCTCACGTGATCAAAACTACACTCTCGAGGTCCTCATCGCAGCTCATTTCTTCATTCAGGACATAAGCTTCTGCCACCAACTCGCTAATAAATAGCAGTTATACTCATAGAGTTGTGTAGACTACTTCCAACCGTCTCACACCACTGGGCCTCATCGCTGCTTGCGCTGGGAGATAGCTTAAGCGAGCGGCATAGAGCAACAAGACTGTCTAGGCAAGTCACTCTAAAGGAAACAGAAAGTGACTCGTACTAGACTTGAATCCAAAGCCATGGAATCCAGAGTATCCCAAGTACCACATCAAAGACAACCTCCACACCCCTCAAAAGAACCCCCTCGCTTATCTCCCTAAGCGATCCTCTCCCCTCCCCTTAAAACCCCTTTTCAAAAAAACCCACACAATAAATCATAGACTTCAAAAGCAGGGGAAAAAAAACTCCAGGCAACCTTCTTAACCCCGCACGCTGCCAGGGCGTAGGGGAGAAGGGTGCCTTTGAAAAAACCCACTCGGCGGAGGAATGGGTTTTTTGTAGTATCGATGGTGCGGGTTGCCCCACGTTGGCGACTGGAAGGTATGCGGGATTTGCGACGGGAAAGTTTTGCTTGTTTGGATTTATATGGTAGCGAAGGGTTGGTGGTAAGGCTGTGGTAAGTAAGGCTGGGGTGGGGGACTAAGGGATGGTTTGTTTATCGATTGCTTCGCTTTTGCTTAGCGTGGTTGGCTCGAGGGTGGATTAGTATCGGGCTGTCAAGCGAGTTAGCTTTTCGGGGTTCCAATGACGGGACACATTTTACTATTTGATGCTGGGGCGAGGGAAGCCTTTGGGCCTTTCTGATGGACTTTTATCCTGAATTGTTTCAGGGATATCTTGAAGTGTTCTTTGCTTACCGCTACCGGGTAATCGTGCCAACCTTGGAACCCATTTAGAACGTAATAACTTATGTATTTCAGTTTGCTGGGAGGGTTGCGACTAGTCCCGATTGAGTAGACCACCATTGAGGCTTGAAGAAGAGAACCCTTTTGAACTCCTGATTCATTTCCGCCGGCTGCTCAGTATTGTTTCATCATCATAATAAAGTCGATGCCGTCTTCTGTATGAATTCAATCTTCATTCCAAACGTCTCTTCTCCACTCATCTAATCAATAACCGCGAAGGTCCTGTTCCGTTACTATTTTTATTTAAGAAGGCGGATTCTGTTGCGGGAGGTGATCTCAACACGCGTAACAGATAGGAGCAAGAGATGCAATGAGTTTCTATCTTGCTTACCTTCTAGTTTGAGGCATAGTGAAATCTCAGGTTGTTGGAATGGAAATTTTCTTGCACATCGCATTGAAACTTGGGTGGGATTAAGCAAATCGTGATCCGAAGAGGATGACGGAAGTCAACAGTATATATGGATTCACTCTGTGGTATTGATTAGAGACAAAGCTTTTGTTGCATGTCACACTGTTGAACTTGGGTGAATCGAAAGAGTTGAAATTTGGAACAGGATCAAGAAGGAGGGTTGAATCTTTCTTTCTTCCTTCCTTAGAAAGATGTTCAATACCATGTAGACTCACTCTATGATGTCACAAGGTAGGCGCTATCAAATCAAGGAGTATAATGAGAGCTTTGTTGCGTGTCGCACATTACAAGTAACTCAGGTGGGAATTTGAAGCTAGAGTTGAAATAAAATGATAAGACTTACACAGTTAGAAGTTCAAAGTCGAAGATAAACGAATAGATAGATTGTATACCAAATTCTATGGTACACAGTCAAAGATCCCTAAACATCTTTCCCTGTGTTATGCATGCTCCGGTGTTCTGGTTCTTGGATTTTCAATGCAAATCTAAGTCCGTCCCCCCTACTCACCTATTTCCGTATCCAATCACATTGAGATTTCCTATCAACAATTTTTCTATCTCCAGTCTCTGATGACCCATCAGCTCTGACAGCCATCCAAACTCAAATTATGTTAAGAAAACAAAGACCCCTTTCACTGACCCACGCAAACGAGCCCACAAACCACCTCTCCCCTCCCCTCCCCTCCCTCCCCCACACCATACATCACCTCCGTTCGTAGGTACACAGCCCACCACCTCTCCTCCCTCCTGCTCGTAAAAATGCAACTCCCCAAACCAACACAGTAATCTTCCAATAACACAGGATACTAAGTTTCTATATTTTTTTTAGGTTGTATACGTGAGCAAATGAGCGCCGCGCACGTGGACGGACGACGACGGCTGACCAACAACCTTGACCTAAGCTTGGGGGAGTCCGGCCGAGCGAGGAGAGGGGAGGGGAGGGGTTGTAAGCTGAGCTGATGTGGGATAACGATAACGCGGTTTGGGCTTGCGTGTGTGCGCGTTAGTTTCAGGATATGGATATGGGTGTGAGAGGCTGAATGCTGGAGTTGCTGTTCATATTGGTTGCAAGATGCGAGATTTAGGGCTTGGTTTTGACGAATCATACCATGGTGCTGAAGACGATTATTGGGACTGAATGAAGGTACTCGATTGAATGAAGACACTCGAATGAAAGAAGGAAGGAGAGGTGTAGTTTTGAGATAGGTTGAATTCAACTATCTACTAGGAGTATCGAGTCTGTAATTAAAAATAGTTCCCAAAAAAACAAAAAAACGCCCCGCTCGCTGTAAATGCCCAAAAACCCGCTTATGCAATGAAGTAACCAGTCTAACCCTCATCCCGTTATCAAACAGTAAAAACCGCTTAGTTGACCTCAATCAAACCAGGGCCAAAGATGGTAACGTTGGCAATAGAATCTATATCCGTGAAAGTCTCACCGGCGGGGGTGATGACCGCGAGCGTCAAACCGTTACCGAAGGTCGTGCCGTTGAAGGGGAAGAGAGCATCGAAGGTGATGGTCTTCAAGTTCGAGCTAAGTTGGACGTTGGTGAGAGATTCGATGACAGGGGCGTTTTGCTGGTTGATCAAGACGAGTTCCAAGCCAGAGTAGTCGGACTTCCACTCAGGCTTGGCGCCGCCGGCTGGCAAGTCGAAGGTGAAGCTGAGGGTCTGGGACTTGGGTTGGATGTTCTGGGTGACGACGGTCAAGGTGTCGAAGACTGGGAGGTCGATGTCAAAGGGGCCGACGGTGCCGGTGGTGGTAACGTTGGGGCAGGTGCCTGGGACGACGAAGAGCTGGTTGACAGCTGAGAAAGCGTAGGCGCGGGTGCTGGCAGTCAAGAATGGGAGAGCGGATGGGATCTTGTTGAGGAGGTTGCGGTAGAATCCATTCTGCTCTCCCTCTTGGCCGATGACTGAAGCGACACCGCGGATGAGTCCCGCGTCACCGTCCTCGCCGAAGAGAGTCACAACGTCTTGGAGCGTGCCGAGAACGACATCGGTGAAGAGGGATGCGAATTCGATAGCCTCTTCGATGTTGTTGACGGGGAAGTTGTATTCGCAAGGTAAGATGACACCACCGGTATTCTTCTTGACCGCGAGGTTGGCGTTCAAGGCGTGGAGCTCTTCTTGAGCTTGGACGGCAGTAAGAGCTGTCAAGATGTAGTTGCGGGTATCGATCTCGGTGTCAAAGATATAGCCTGGAACATTGTTTGTGATGTTGGCAATAAGCTCAGTGAAGAAGGCGACCTCGGAAAGCTCATTGAAAGCAACCCACTCGAGACTGGTAATCGTCGTCGGCGAAGGACCGTGTGCGGCAGCTGGAGCGTCGGGGAAGGCAACCGGCAGACTACCGTGAGCTTGAAGCTCGATCTGGGTGGTTTGACTTGGGCTGGGGTTGGGAAAGTTGTTGCCGAGCGGGTTGTTGTTATATGTGAAGGGAGCAGCGGAAACGGCAGTGAGGCATGAGAAGCCAATGATGGAGGCGGTAGCGAGGGAAAACATTATGACTATTTTGATAGATGAGACGACGAAAGAGCCTTAAGAAAAATAAAGGAAATAAGGAAAAGACGATGTTTTTTGTTTGGTTGGATGAGCTGATGATGATGATGAGAGGAAACAAGACATCTTGGAACGGAAGACAGGATGCCTTTATAGAAACATCATTTCCAACCATCCCCAAGCATCACTGGCCGACGAGCTCTTCTATCGGCCGTCTACTTTCCAGCGCAGTAAGGTCAGACTCCGCCGGGGTACTCAGCGCCACGAGCAGATATTTCGAGCTGGGAGAGGAGTTTGTCGGGTCGCTACTGGAAAAACCCTGGACCGACCCTGTAGGGCGGAACGTGGGCGTGCGCTGGCGAAGAAAAAGAAGCCTTAAGGTTACCCCTGGCCGGACAGACAGCGATCGGGTATTACCTTACCGACAAACCCCAGGTGTTTGGAGGGGAGGGCTGAGAGGAGAGGGAGGTGAACGGGTACGAAGGTGTGGTGGAGGTGTGAAGGGCTGAGAGCACGGAAGAATGAGTAAGGTTAATGGACGAGGCGGAGGACCAGCCGCCAGCCGAATTTTTGGAATCAGAGTCTCACCGTTTAACCTACCGTCTCTGTCGGCCGCCGCCAGCAACCAGCAACCAGCAACCAGCAACCAACGAAAGGCGTTCAAACACACAGCCAATCGGACACACCAGCCTCGAACGCACCCGCCAATGAAATTAGACTTTTTATCCGCATTCTTCGCTCTGCGGCCAATCATTTAATTGTTTCAAGTCTCCCCCAATGGCCAAAAATAACGCGGTTGCTCGTCCATCCGAAGAACGAGAAGACGCGTTAGACGCCGCGGCCGTTGCGGTAACCTTACGCGGGCAGCTGGCTCGTGCGCAGCAAACCACAGCGGCACAGCCCCCGACCATGGCTCTATTCTTGGCGATCATTTTGACAATTCTTACAAATAACCTTTTTTCCAACATGCCAACCTGGTCGCTGGGGATAATGATATCGATGTCCAACACAGTATCGCATACTATACATACCTTTGTCACCTTTGTCACCTTTGTCCCGATTCGGAGAATCTCTGTTCCGCTGCTGTTGTGGTTACGGCCGCTGCTAAGTACCAGTGACCCATGAGCTGCAGAGAGGAAGAATAAGCTTCATTTCGTGGCTTGCGGTGGCTGGTCGTCTCACCTCACGGCTCATTTCACGAACGGTAGAGTGAGTGACTTCCATATCCAGATCGTGGGTTCTTCAGCTTCCAGCCTTCCACGTGATGGGTCCTTTCAAATCACCTCTTTCGGGAAGTGCAGCTGATGCTCGAGAGAGTCGAGACTTCATCACTTCGTACCCTTCCGCGAATCGTATCCCAGACTCAGGTACGGGTGAGATGAACGGACTTTGCGTCCCTGTCATCGGTCGTTCGTGTGGGGAGATTAATAAATCCTTGGACTATGAGGAGAGACGAGTAAGAGAAGACAATCTCTACTCTACGAGCGAAGAAGTCCCATGCATGATGCACGAGATGAGAGTCCAGAGTTGGATTATTACTTCTTTGAGACAACCCGACTTGCCTCGCTGCTGACAGGATTTCCACGAGATATACTACCAGGTATCCATGTTGAAGCTTTTTGTTCCTGCCCGCTCCTCTGCAGAATGACGGAACGCGATAATGGTTGCAGTCAGCACAGTTCCTCGGGTAATATTTGTGTAACGTCCGAGTCAGCGTTCGACCTCCAATGTGCTTTCAACACCTTCTCCAATTCGCAATGGATGCTCATCCGAGTCATCTCGTACACAGAAGAGCGCAAATTCCAATCACAGGAGAACTGTAATCGTTCCCTCTCACCAAGGCATGCAGATTGCATTGCGTTGGCTCTCGTACAGTTACTCTCTGAAAGGCATCATTGATGTCTTCTAACGAGGAGGATCCTTATCTCATCACTTGCTAATCGATCGCGACTTGGAAGGACTTTGATGCAAGAACAACACATCAAAATCCATCAACAAGATTATTTTAGATGCAGTATCCAACATCACAACAATATCACTCTGCACGTCGAAACGAAAGACACAGCCCAGGGAATCAAATACGGCCTTTACTCTTCTCGGGCCGGCCGAACCCTGACTCGGATGTCGGTCCGGAATATCGTCGAGATCCAACTTTGCGGTCAGTCCCTCACGAGAGAATTCAATTTTCGCTGCCTGACCAATGATATCTTTCTCCCCGCCCAAGACGATTTCCATTCTTCACCAAATGGTGCCCCGCATTGGCCAAATTACCCAACAAGAAAATCCAACATTCTGTGCCACATCAGCTTCGACTCAAACCGGAAATCGATAAATTTTCATCCATGAGGAGTCTGCATCGAAGGCTATCGTAAAAGTCCGTATGGATTGGTTAATAGTGGCTCAGAGAAGTCCACGACAATGTTTGCTCGTACTGTTGTTTCCAATGAATCCTGCCAACATCTCACTAGTTGGTGATGATTCCTAGGACCCCATTCTTGCTGCGATATTCGGTCCGAAAGCAACCTCTGAAGTGTTGTACTTCTGGATGTTGACTCTACGTTCTTCTGATGGGATCCAACTTGTGAATTCTTCTTCGGTATTTTCTTTAGATCTGCTGTCGAAGACAGATACTACTCACAACTTGAAGCTTTCTTCGTCAACCACTCGAGTAATTTAGCAAGGCTCTTTGAAGAATTTAAAGGTCTCTGCATTGTACTACCAAAGCAAAGACTTCGACCGCCGATTCGACGAAAGCTCTCTTCGATGTTGTTTCAGCTGTGGAAGTGTCGATGATCAAAGGCTTATTCTCGAAGAAGTTCTCGCATCATGTCTCCATTTGTCACACCATATTTATCTGTTCTTGCTGTTCCTGAAACTGGCATCATTTGCTCTTCGTCAATTCCATGTATCGAGACGAGTCTTTTTGATGCGAAATGCACTTCAGGACTGAATGTCGGCTTCAATCTCAAGTGAGTTGGTTGTCCCAGGTTGAAGGGGTTTCTGGCGATGATATACTTTGACAAGTGGCGGGACGACGATGACTACCAAGTAGATGAACGGCAGGCTCGACACACTCCTTTCTCGCTCTGCACCTTTATCTTCTCCACCTGCGAGACAGGGGAAGCGAAAACACGCCAGAAGTCCAAGGGAAAGTCCTTCCCAGCGGCGAACTTTATTTCCTTCTTGAGTAGTTCGAGAAGTTGACGTGGTACTATAAGCCATCCACGACGACGACGATGGGCAAGACATCTCCCCAACTCTCCACGAATCGGAACCAAAAAAAGGATTGGAGGTTATTCTGCATCCTAGGAATTATCCTTCAGCCCTGCGAAGAGCCGGAGCTACTAAACCACTACCCATATCGGGAATTACGTGGGCACTGCGTCGTCCAATGGCAGCCAGTATTTGCGATTGACGTTTATATTGCGTCTGGGCGATGCAGCGAAAGACTTCTCTCTTATGGTAAGGCTGTGTTATGTCAAACTTTGGCCCCGCAGCCATTCCCAATCTGGTGTGTTTTTCGCGACAACGCAGTGCTAAGGTTGGTAGCGAGTGCTGATCGACACCACGCCACATGCCTGCTTCTGCACCTAGGTAGCCTACGGATTTCCTGCTGAACCTATGCAAAACCTTCATTCGACTTCAACTACTCTGCTCGCAGAATTTATCCCCTCCGAGGATAACGGTTGCGCGATTTAGTTTGCAGGATGACTCGGAAATTGGACATGATCAAGGCAATTGTCATTGTGGAGCAGCTGAGCTACCATGTTCCCAATGGCAAAATGCTATGAATCGTCGTCAGCTTCATGCTGCATTCAGTATTCTCTTTATGTCAAGCCTCTGTAGACCATGACGTTGAGAGGCCCTGTAGGTGTAATTTACAATTATATAAAGATGCTGGAGAGGAGACAAAGATGTCTCTTTACTCCAGATCTCGACTTCTTTCTAACTGTATCATTTCATACAAAACTTATATCATGTACTCAAACATCCTCTTTTCAGCTACAGCCATAGCTCTCCTGGCCCAGCAAGCTGCCACAGCTCCGGCATCCCCTCCTACCGGCTCCCAAGTCCTCGCCAACACAAGCTATGGCCCAATCCCAGACGAATCCTCTTACTACAGCACCTACCCCGAGAAAGCTCCCCCATTCCCCGCAAACATCACAGCTCCCGTCCTAAATACAACATACGGACCTCCCGGCCCCGACGACCTCATGTGGCAAAACCTCCTCTCCGCCGAATGGATCATCTACTCCTTCTACCAAACGGCCGTCGAAATGTTCAACACCAGCTCCTTCACCTCCCTCTCCCTCCCCAACACAACCTACATGCGAATCGTCTCCATCCGCGACAACGAAGCCGGCCACCTCCGCATATTCCAAGACCAGATCTCCTCCAACTCCATCAAACCCGGAGCCTGCCAATACGAATTCCCTTTCACCACCACCTCAGACTTCCTCGCGCTACAAAACCTCATCGAGATAGCCTCCATGGCCTTCCTAACCGGCCTCGTGCAACAAGGTAAACTCAACACCACCAAAGGCGCCTTAACCGCCATCGGCGAAACGGAAACCAGACACCTCGTCTGGGGCCTAATCGATGTGTGGAACGTCGATCCGTTCGCCGGCCCCGCCGACACCAGTTTCCCGTACGCGAACCAGATCCTCGATACCACGAACACGTTCGTGGTCGATGGTTCCTGCCCGTCCGAAAACCCAACCTATCCCTCGCCGCGCCAGAACCTGCCTCCTATCTCAACAGCAACGAATACCACGAGCGTGGCGCCTGGGTCGACCGTGGAGTTCGTGTTTAGTGATGCGGAGAACCAGCCGAGTTTTAGTGCGGAGAAGGAGTATTATGTGGTTTGGTTCCATGGGGTGGAGAATGTGACTGTGGCGTTTGATACGGGGAGTAATGAGACGGTCATCCCGGGGCGGTTTGAGGAGAGGGGGTTGATTGTTGGGGTGGTGGCTGATGAGGTGGGGGCGCCGACGCTGGAGAGTGTGGTTGCGGGGCCGGTGTATTTGTTGGAGCAGCCGAGTGGGTTGGGGACTATGTTGTCTTCGTTGTAGGACGTGATATGGGAGAAGGAGAGGTGGCACGCTGTGATTTCTGTTTGAAGAACACTTTTGTTATGTTGAACTCCTGGAAAACAACGAGGTGGGATTTGGTCGTTACTAGAGCTTTTCCTAGAAAAAATTGTGTATTATACTATAAAGAAATAGATAGACACTGTATCGAATTTGTATTACACACCAGACTTGTCCCAAAACGCCGCTCATGACCCGTCCAGACCTCCAATTATCGAATCGTGTCATCAGAACCTCTCCTCTTCCTCTTTGCCCTCTTCGGTATATTTTTAGTTTCCTTGGAAAGCTTTAGCTTGCCCGAGACCGCGGTCTTGGTAAACAAGTGCTTCGCTCGAAAATGCTCCCGAAATGATTCTCCATTCGCCATTTCTCCACACGGACATATGATATCCCGAGAGGCAGGACTTGAGAGGAAGTTTTTCCACGTCTTGTCAACTTTTTTCTTCCACTACATGATATCAGTGTTGGTTTTCTTGACAGACACAGATGAGTAATATGAAGGGAAGCGGACAAGTCAGACATCAGAGCTCTCAGAATGTCTAGTTTGCCCTCTTGGCTCATCTAGCCAGCTATGACGAACGAAGAGATTTCTGGCTTACATCCGACCTCCTTTCAATCCAGAACGTATTCCGCGTCACCTCGCTGCGATCTCCACTACAATCTGCCCACTCCAGAATATAGTCTCGGGTATCGATCCACGCCGTAACTCCAAGCAACGGCCGATTCTCTCGCAGTGCACGATCAACGCATTCGATGAACTGATGAGGCAGTTCGGCCAACGCATACGGATCTTTGCGTATGTGGAAGTCGGACTTGAATAAAGACGAAAGAACTTTTGCAGATTGTGGCGTGCTGAAATCTATGGAGAGGAGAAAACCGCCGTGAGTTGTGAATACGGCATGGATACAACCGATTGGTACGTAAATAGCTTGTGCAGAAGTCGTTTTGTAAATGAGGCCGCCTTCAAGGAGTTTTCCTATTCTGGCGAGTTTGCTTCTTTGGGTATCTGCTTCTTTCATGTGTTTCAGATTCTTGGTAGTAGGTGGAAAAGTAAGCCAGATTTTCTCTGTAGGACCAATCGTTGTTGCCAGGCCATCGTTATTATCTGCGTTCCTCTCATCTTAGCTTAGTCTTGGGATATAAGAGGGAAACGCATACCTATATGCAAATCTGTGGTCCAAAATTTTGGCGTCAACAGGATTTGAAGATTTCCTTCTGGGAAAGGCTCCACGTGCTTTGTCAATGCTACTGGAGTATCGAAACTATGCTCAGGAATCAAGTCCGGCAACCGATAGCCAACGAGTGCTACTGGGTTCGTTTTGTCTGGTTCGTAAAGCTGTGCAATGGCCGTCAAAGGATCCATGTTTTCATCCAATAAAGATTTGCTGAAAGCTGGGACGTAAACCTCGTAGTCATCAGCAATGCCTTTTGCTTCAGCCTCTTTTCTATCAGCGATCAGATTGATCGTATGGATAATCAGGTCCTTACTGCTAGGACGATTCGAGTTCCAGCAGAGATCTGAGTCGTAAATATGGGGGTATGTGGTGGTTGACTGGGTCCACATCTCCTTGATCTCAGATGATGCTTCTTCGGGCGTTGAAAGCGTGATATCTTCCAGCATACGTCGCGTACTAGATTCAAATTCATAAAGACAGTCAAGGAGTAGGTCTTTATTTGTCCTCACAATCGATGGTGGAACTTGAGTATGCTAAGGTTGCGTTAGATTTCTCAAGAAAATGTACAATTTGAGTTAAGAGGGAAGATTAAGTCTATCTCAACTGGTTGAACCCTCGAATCTGAGAGCTGACTAGGCACTTGATCCCAGAGAGTTTGTAACAATATCATTTTGGACACCGAAAATTACGGTATATGAGGGAGGCGGAGCTTACATCTCTTTGAGGCGTCTCTGAAGTGACCGACTTCTTGGCACATTCAACTGGTTTCTTCATCGATCCAAGGGCAAGTGTACTGAATGGTGGTCTGGAAACGGATAATCTCGTGGGGTTGAGTTCTGGTGGTGGGGATGGCGAACTATGACTTTTCTTGCTCTAAAATTAGAACTCTTGCGTTGATGCTGCTTCCTTTCACGTGGTTCTATGTTTGGTTTGCTATATGAGCTGATTAGCCTCGGGATCTGTTTGTTCGAAATTGAACGATTTAAATTACACATGTTTCTTTTTTTGTGGCGTCTCCGGGAAAACTTTCGATTTGCTCGAAACGATCAGATTTCGCTTTTGATACTGATCCCCGAGAAGATGGTCTTCCAGATCGAAGCAAGATGGAAATTTTTGGCCGCAATATGGACAGTTTTCCATACACAGTGCTATCGTTATAGTCTCGTTTTCCCAAGGCCAGTCGGTTTTATCAAGCGGATTACATTTACAAGGTGCAGTTAGCACTTGCCCGCCTTTTCTTGATAGGGCGGACATCGTCGTGATAATGAGTGAGAATAGAGAGCAACATGTAGTAGTATACTCGCGTTCTGTTTGTAGGATCAGCCTCAAGGTTCGAGCGTAGAGCGCGTCTGAATGGTCAGCCTTGAAAGTGACAAGGGCAACCAGAACCTATCCTTTTGTGTTACACAACCAACGCCACATAAAACACCAGTCTCTCCTCTTAACAAAAGCAAACAAACACTAGAACTTCATCCTCCAAGAAAATCTCACAATACATCCACAACAAGTCCAAATCGCCCCGTAACCCTCAAAAGACACCTGCTCTTTACTTGCTTCAGTGGCCGACTCATGAATATCCCAACATGGCACCACAGAGAACGACGGGCAAGGTGCAGAAACGCACGTCACACAGAGGTGGGCCAAAGCAGGCGAGGCGGGGCTCCGTCGAATCTGAGTCTTCTGATGGAACTTTACGAGCCTCTAATATCGAACCTGGCCATGAAGCCTCTCGGAAGATGTTGAAGCGGTTCGCGGCCAAAGTCGGCAAGGTTGTTACTCTAGAACAAGTTGCTGCAGCTAGTCAATGGATGACCTCTATGCAGTGCACAGAGAACGATTTGCAAAAATTCGCAACTTTCAATAGCCACGCTGAGAAGATTGGCCTTCAAAAAGTGTGGCCGGAGATCATCATGTATCGATCGATCGGGCAGATCTCGACATACTTCCTCGACGGACAAAGGCTGCGTAATGGCGGTCAAAGCGATATCAATGCTCTTGATGAGTTGGAGATTTCTGTTGTCGGCTGGGTCAGATTGGCCTCCGAGGGACGACTTAGCAGGCTGGAAGAGTCTGCTGAGATTGAGGACGGTGAAGGGCAATACAGCACACAAGCTGAAAGGTTCAAGACATTCCTCACAGAATTCAAACACCGAGGTAACTTCACTGTTTGGAATTACGACCAGATGAAGATGCTTCGTTACATGATATACAAAGTGGTGCATGAACCTGTTGGCTTGGAGCACACACCAAGGCAGTCCACTGGCAAGATAATTGCCCGCTTCCGAATTATTCCCTTTGCTTATCATTCTTTTAGATCCCCCTAGGAGATTCGCAAGAATAACAGATGAGGAGTCAAGTCCAGAGGCTCCCGGGAGTTACGAAGAAGAGTCCACCCACGGTGATGAACATAGCCCTGGGGTTCTAGCGCGAAGGATACTTGCCCTCGAAACAGGTCTCAAGGGGAAAAGAAAAGATCTTAGGGAGGCTCGAGCTGCTGCACAGAATGCTCAAAATATACTCAGTGATTTTGACGAGAGAGTGTTACTCGAAGTAAAAGATATCCTCGAGCATAGGCGTGCAGCGGGCCAGGAATGGACAATCGCTGCTGCTGAAGTTCAAGCGCGGAGGTTTGATGATTTGGGTCGCCAAGTGAGTCAGGAGCTCAGGAAAAAGCTTGTCGAGCCGCTCAGTGGTGAGCAAGAGATCGAGGATGCGATCAGAATAGCGGAAGCAAAGATTGCACGCCTTAAAGAGGCAATAAATGCAACATCATCGTAAAATGAAACTCTCAAGCGGATATATGCAACAAAAAGTGAGATAGATGGAGTATGACACAACTACTAGAGTAAAAGAAGGTGATTCGCTGAACCAACCGTTTCAATTCTAGGCAATGTGAGAAGCACTTGTCGATCCACATTGCTCAATGTCCGGACTCTCGTTAAGCGTTGAATGCTTTTCAAGTGCGGAACAGCAACTGCACAGGTGCCAGTTGTGTTTCGTTTCAAAGAACGAGCTCATACTGACAGAAGACAAGAACAAGCAACCGAAACCAAAACCAGGGAATGTACGCTTCATTTCTATAAGCTCCGAGCCACAAACCCCAAAGACTCCGTTTTCGAATCCACCTAGTGTCGCACATCTTAACGAGACGTGGTATCCGCAGCCTTCTTAACCTTCAATGCCGGGAAATTAAACAACTTGCTCACACCACCCTTCATCATCTTCCACTTCCCAAACTCAATCTGCGGTGTCCAAGTCAAGACTCCGACCCACGGTTGGATATTGTAGTGAACTTTCAGGACTACGTCGTTCTTCTCTGCCAGTCTGCCTCCCGGAGCGGTAATCTGGTACTTCGCTTTCTGGTTCTTGAGGTTGATCTTTCCTCTGTAGTAACAATGTCAGCATTGATCTCAGTCTACCGAGCTTCTAGGATCGCGGATTTACCTCGAAGGGTCAATCGTCTTTCCCTCTGCACTCTTCTTCAGCTTCTTCATTGCTGCTGGGCCAATATTCTGTAAATGATCCGCGCTCGGACTTGTGATAATAGTGTCCCAAATCACGGCTTCATTTGTGTGCTCTGAAGAGGTCGAATTAGGCCATGACGCTGAGACATAGACGAATAATTGTTTGGTGTTCCAATTCATGAGAGATGAAAAGTCGGCGTTCAGGTTGAATCGTAAAACAGCGTATTCTTCTTTCTTGGTGGAGTAGTAATTTGGTCTGCCTCGGACACTGTGGTGATGTGTTAGCTTATGGGGGCTCGAAGAGAAGGGTGGAAGTAGCAGAGGGGCGGACGCACACTTCAACTTTGCTCATAGAGATATTGGCTTTCGGCGTCCGCGGAGTAATCAAATCTGTGAACGCGATCAAGGCCGCGACGGCGAATGCGACAGTGGTGAAGAAGCCGAAGACATTCTGAGCGCGGACGACTGTTGAATGCATGATTGCGCTGCCCTTTGGAGGATGTAATTCTTGCTCAGATAGAAGATTGTTGTAGCATGGAGAAGAGTATCCGCAGGTCGTAGAAAGTGATATTGAAAGGAGTGGCTGCCTGGCTATTCTCACGGTCTTGATGTCTGGCCTTGAGTTGAGATTCGGATTTTAACACGTCTCGGTTCAGCCTTCTCACTGCGAAGCCACAGCTAGAGATCTCTAGCGTAATGTGGGGTAAACCGACCAGCATTGAAGTGTGGCTGATATCTTCGGTTTGATAGTATCACTATGATGAAACTACGATGATGCTCGGGCGAGTCAGGAACCGTCGCAAGGCACGTATAATCATGAATTTGATATTAGTTTCCTACTTCACAATTCAGAAACCAAGTAATTCAACGCAATTTTCCATTCTCGAACGAAACAGGTTTCTCACCACGCCACTTTTCCACCAACTTAGAAGAAGAAGAAAAGAATCAGAATCTTAGGAAACAACGTGTCCATAATTCGCAGACAACAGAATGGTATCCATGACTCCTGCTTATCCCAATCCTCCCTAAGATTATGCCTCATTCCTTCGTAGTGATTATGCTGCCAGTCTGTCCCTATATCCTCAACCCTCATGAATCATCAAGCCGCTACTGGTCCCACTGCTCATCGAAAGCTTAGTTGACAGGTTGAACAATGGTGCCGTAACCTTGTCCACCACTCTGTACGCGCTCGCTGTAGACACCTGGAGCTCGCGCAGCAGTGAATCGACCTTCACGAGCCTGCTCCTTTCGATCGTAGTAGACGTACTCGAGATAGAAAGCGTGAATGTGGCCAGGTATGTATCTGCGAAACAGCTGATTAGCATTATATCCCGCAACAATCTTGGACTGTGTTACAGTGCTCAAGGAGGGGGCCGAGGAAAACGTACCCAAGTAGCGTCAAGCAAATGTTGATAAAGAGGTCTGCACCGCATCCTGCGACTGCATAGACACCGATAGGTGGCACTGAGCACGTTAGCATCTCGTTGAGGGTCGTGGGTAAAGGGGTGGCACATACAAAGGATGGTGATGAGCACCAGGAAGATGGCAGAAACCATACCCATATTTGCAGATTTGATTGAAGATTGGAAGCGATTGGATGCAATGCTTTGCGCGTGAGGATATCGAAGTTCGAATACTCGTGTGATGTGATGTGTCGTGTGAGAAGAAAACTTGAAGAGAGCGAAGATATAAAGTGCCTATTCACTTGGAACTCTAGCGCGATGGGTGACGTAAGGACAGGCCAAAATCAGGCACGGGAGTACAAAGCTGGGAACCAACCACACATTCAAGGTGGGAGAACATGATACACGCGCATGCCAGCCGATGATTGGAGATGCTTTTAATTTTCTATTTTTGCATCGCAGCTTTCATGAAGTCATATCGACTTGCTGGGATGAATTGACGAACTCGTCCCCTTGCTCCACTTCATTGCAGGGGTCCAATCCGTTCCTCGATTGGCGCATGCAGGAGAAGAATGGCTTCCAAGATGTATCTCTCAAAAGACCACATCACTCTCTTCTCGAAACTACGTGTGCTTATCAAAAGTGCCTTGCCCTCCTGGCATTGCCGCTTTGTCGTCGCTTCCCCTATCATAGTGTGATGCTTGTTTTCACTGAGCGCCTCATCTGATCCTTGCTCCATATGAGCGGTTAGTGCTACGGCATATGCATATCCAAAGCGATCTTATTTCACAGCCTCCCCAATTCAGAGGCTTGGCTATCAGGTTTGCTGCTGAAGCGATTTCTTCCACGAGTATTTGAACATCGGCTGTTTCAAGAGCTGAGAAGCAATCCGCGCTGTTCGTGACTGCCCTGAGAATAGTGCTCAGTAAAACATCGGGTGAATCTTCCCATTGGCACGGTCCAGAAGTCGTAATGGCAGCAATTCTTCATAGACATGCTTGAGCCATTCGGCAATCATTTGTCGAGTAACCGCAGGATCGATGATCTCTTCAACACCAAATGCGTTTGCTGTCCTTACCGGATTCATGAGTCTTGAATACTCCTCTTCCAACTCTCTGTACCTGGCTTCTCGTTGACCATTTGCTTCAGCTGCTTTCAACTCGGCTGCATGGCCCACTTCAATTCCCCCATCGAGTGGTAAGCTTCCCCACTCTCCACTTGGCCATGCAACTCTCATTCGAGGGTCTCGGCAATCTAGCATAATTCCACCAGCAACTCCATAGACTCTTCTGGTCACGACGCTAAATACTGGAGTGGTGGTTGAATAGTAAGTTGTTGCCAATGCAACTCCGTGTCTCATTGTTGCGTTTCTTTCTGCGATCGTCCCAATCGCGTATCCAGGGACATCAACAAATTGAACAATCGGAATGTTGAAAATATCGCAGAACTTCAAATGTCGAGTAATTTTCTGGCTACCAGCTGCATCTAGAGCACCAGCGTTCACTTCACAGTTCAGAGATATGACCCCAGCAGGCCGTCCAGCTATTCGAGCAAGTCCAACAATAGCAGTTGTACCCCAAAGAGCGCCAATCTCGAACCAACTTGCAGTATCTACAACGGTCGTGATGATCTTCCTTGGGTCATACATCCGGGCTTTTCGCCGAGGGATGATCGTTCGAAGCTCCTCACAAGTCCTATCCGCTGGGTCTTCTGTAGGCAGGATTGGTGGTAATGAACTCCCCGAATTTGGGAGATAACTCAAAACATGCCGCAGTTGTTCAAAACATTCTTGTTCATTGGCAGCAAGATTGTCAATTGTACCGTTTGTACAATGCATTGATGGGCCACCAAGGTCTGTGAAGCTCAAGCCCTCTTCAAATGTTGCACCTGTGCTTCTTAGCATAATTCTCAGCAACCACAAGGTAACTGACCTGCAACGACTTTTGGGCCTGCGTTGAATAGAGCTCCTATATCAGCAGCCATGACCGAGAAATGACAAGCTACCACTCTTGCGGCACCCAAACCAATGGCTGGCCCAAGCACTGCTCCCAAATTCGGGATACCCAAATTCAACTGCTCGACCACAGGTCCGAAGGAGGGCATAGGAGGAATGTACGAGAATCCGGCGGTCTTGATCGTAGTGACAGAACCACCACCAGAAGATCCATCCACCAACTTAATGATCGGCAGTCTCAACGCAACGGCCAATTTCTCCATGTAAACGGTTTTCTCCATCAACGCTCCATCAGCATGACCGGCTCTAATTGAAAAGTCGTCAGCCGTAAACACAACTTTCCGCCCTCGTAACGTCCCGAAACCTTGGACATTATTGCTCGGAACGTATGAGATTGGTTCTTCTCGTATCCCATCAAGTTTCTTCCATTTCACGGTCCCAGATACAGAGCCTACTTCATGAAAACTGCCCTCATCTAATAATGCAAGAACTCGTTCTCGGACCCAGAGCTTGCCTGCCTGCTTCTGACGAACGTAGCCTTTATTCTTGGTGTCCGGTGTGCTGGCTATTGTTCGAAGTGATTGGAGTTGGCCAAGAATATCCGAGTAGTCTACCGGAAGGTTCTCTTTTGATTTTGCTAACCGACGGGTCTTCACGGGACCGACGTGGTTCGCGACTTGAGATAGACGTTCGGAAGGCTTGTTCTGAGGCTTTTTGCTACCTTTTTCGTCGGACATGTTGATTCTAAACAAATTAGAGGCTTGAAAGGAAAGTTTCCACACGTCAATGTGTCGTCAAGGTTGTCATGAAGTAAGTTTGAAGCTTGCACTAAGGCACAGTGATGGCGGAAATAGCCTCGGCTTGAGTACACCACGTTTTGGCGGGGTAGCGAGCGGGCTCCACAGCCAGACGTGGATTTCTGAAGCCCAACAAAGCACGAGTGAGGACAAATTTTAGGTTAGAATCGATGTTCATACGAATGTCTTTTTATTCTTAGAAATCATAGATATTCATTCGATGCCCATTCCACCAACAATGGCATCTGCACCTGACACTAGACGACGACCCATAAAACGCCTCCTTGTTGCAAATCGGTAAAGTTCACGATACGTTGTTCGTCCATCATACTGAACAACTACAGGGGAGAAATTGCAACTCGAATCATATCTACAGCACGAGAGCTAGACATCGAGACTTGCTCAATTTACACCACCAATGATACATCTCATACTCACGGATCCACATATTCAATCCGGCTTAAATCACCGGCTTCATATCTAGATATACCAGAACTAGTCGACATCGTTAAGAAGTACAAGATAGACACCGTTCATCCCGGATATGGCTTTTTATCGGAATCCCCCGAGTTTGCTCAGCGGATGTGGGACGAAGCAGGAGCTCTCGTGATCGGACCGGGACCAGAGATCCTTGACAGAACTGGAGATAAACTGCAAGCAAGACTACTTGCTGAAGAGTGCGGCGTTCCTGTCCTTTCTGCTTTGAGGACTCCCACCAATGATGTTGGAATTTTACAAAAGTTCGCTGCTTCGGTTGGGTACCCTATAATTATCAAAGCAGTGGATGGTGGAGGTGGTCGAGGCATTAGAATCGTAAGGAAAGAAGACGAATTATCATCTCTGGCAAGGAGGGCATTACAAGAAAGTCCAAGTGGGATGGCGTTTGCAGAAAAGGCAGCAATTGAGGGTTACCGACATGTCGAAGTCCAGATTGTGGGCGATGGAAAAGGAAACGTGCGTCATCTATGGGAGAGAGAATGCAGCATCCAAAGGAGATTCCAAAAGGTTGTGGAGTTTGCTCCAAGTTCTGTACGGGATCGGAAATTGGTAGGCGAAGTGATCAAGGCCGCTGTAAAGATGGCGCGAAAGGTCAATTACTCCTCACTGGGAACTTTCGAGTTTCTGGTCAAGGCCTCGCCCCCTGAGTTTTATTTCCTCGAAGTCAATCCGAGACTTCAAGTTGAACATACAATTACTGAGTCGATAGCTATGGGCATTGATCTTGTTCAAATGCAGCTACTTCTGGCTCAAGGGCAATCACTCTCTTCGCTCCCGATCTCCAAAATTCCTGAAGATCCTGAGACGCCTCCTCCATTTCACTCTCTTCAGCTTCGAGTCACAGCTGAGCATGTCTCACATGACTGGTCTCTGAGTGTCGGCAAGATCAATTCATTCCGATTTCCGGCGGGTAATGGCATCAGAGTAGATAGCCATCTACTTCCGGCTCAGCAAACTGTGGTTGGTACAGACTTCGACAGCTTGATCGCGAAGATCATCATTACTGCGCCAACCTGGAAAGATGTGGTCAGGAAAGCGAAGAGAGCCTTAGCTGACACATACATTGAAGGCATCAAGACCCATTTAGATGTCTTGCGGGGTATCGTTGCAAGTGAAGCATTTCTAAAACAAGAATGCGACACGAGATGGCTGGAAACGAACCTGCCTACTGTGCTGGAGGAAGGATTACGCATATCTAAGACTACAACACAAATATCACTAGCAAGTGATTCAAGTGCGGCGAACAACTCGGTGTCAGCAGCATCAAACGTCCTGTTTCGGAAAGGAGATGCATGGTCCATCTCTCTTACCCCTGAGTCCTCGCCTAGAAGCGAAGCGACACCAACACCATCTCATCTACAACTTACCCGTGTGTTAAGAAACGAATTCCCTTCCTCACTTACAGCTTCTATACTCTACAATACACCAGAATCTAAGGCACCAACTCCATACCTGCTGACTCTTGCCTCGACCACTGCGTCCTTCGGTTCTCTCACCAGTGCTGCAACTCATAGACGGGGCGATCCAGGTAATCAGAATCATATCACTCTTCCCTTTGCTGGGAAGCTGATGGAGTTACTGGTTGATGAAGGCGATGAGATTTTGAAGGGCGAGACCGTGGCGGTAGTGAGGCAGATGAAGATGGAATTGGAAATCAGAGCGAGCAAAGGTGGGAAAGTGATTTGGGTGTATGAGGGGGAGGAGGGAGATGACGTGGGGGAAGGAGTATTAGTCGCCGAGATAGAGGGCAATGCTTCGAGATTATAGAGATGATGCAGGTTGAAACGATCAATAATCGAGCCTTTGAAAGTTTCAGGGTTGAAGCCTTAAACGCGTCCTTTGCGTCCTCAGCTTCAAGTTACGTAGAATCGTCGCCCACCACCCTAAAAATTTCCAAGCTAGTACTATTCCGAACACTCGCCAGTTGACCCTTTATAGATCTAAATAAGAATTTTGCATACCATCAATCCAGCAAGCGCCTTGTCGACTTGGCGCGTCGGTTGGATTGTAACATGCTCCCCCAGCCCGGTGACCCCGACCGGGTGCATGTTCGGACGGACAAGTTTCGCACATGGGCGTTTAGGCCCCTACGGGTAGCCTAAACGTTTTGTCTTTTTATATCCATTTTGTAATCTTTTATGACATAGTTCCTATTGAAGATTTTAGGATCTAGCAAGTATTTTTTTTTATATTTGGGGGCTTAGTGACGCTAAGCGAGGTGAATAGGGAGGGATATAAATCTAGACTGTGAACAACATAGTTTGTTTCATTGATGTTCATTTTTGAATGTCGTTGACTTTACTTTCATTGCTTCAAGTTAAAGTCGCTGCCAAATCAGCTTGGAATTTGGAATTTGGAATTTGTTGAAGCCGCACGGCTGAGAGATGACCTTTTTGACTGATGCAGGCATTTAATATCGATGCCAAAATAATCGACGCTCTGCTCTCTTATATTTTAGCTTTCCAATTACATTTAAAGGGGAGACTACCTATGTTAGCTGAATCCTCGGCTAGGTATGACTTGCATTCCTCCTCCTTAAGCCGTCACCCCTCATCACAAGCATTCCTTCGAGAACAAACGCCAGTGACAGAAATGGCTTTCCAGATTCCAGGGAAATATTCCTTTGGTACTTCTTTAATATGTGAATCTATTGAGAACTCTTATAGGATATGTCGAGATCTGCGATTGATCACCCTGAGTTTGAGGTTTGGGATGAGGATCGCCATGAACATCTCGCTAAATTGACGCCTTTCCTGATTGGGATATGATGCTACTGAGTTCTTTGTGATGAGCGCACTTTTTCCATTCTTCAACAACTTCGCGACCATCACCACAGAGGCTGACCTGATATAGCTAAACGAACGTTTGTCTTTTCGAGGCGCCTCTGTCGGCATGAAGTTTCTGAGCCTGCAGGGTGGAGACTGATATGGAACAAGTGAGATCCATACTTGGTGAGATAAGAAGCCCCGCAAAAAACCCATTTGACCTCAAACCTTCTCAGATCCAGAAGAAGAAAAAGATGTACCGTGTCCGAACTGTGGGCCTGTCATTAATGGAACCCACTGGCAAAAGCAAATAAAAGTTTATTTTTAAGCTTAAATCAACATCAATTCAGTATTTCTTGCTGCACTTGCACCCTTGGATCTTCTTCGACAACAGCATCTTCGCGATCACTTTCCAACGCTTTTGGAGTGTCTTTGTTTTTGCAGCATTAATTCGTACAACCCATATTCTACAACTTGTCCATCGAATGTATGCGACCTCGTGTAACATTTCTACGAAAGGAAAACGAGTATCGCCGCTACCCAGTCGCACCAGCAACAACACCGTAGCACATTCACCTTGTACTCTTACACCACGCCTCATACATCCACCCAACTTTTGTTGGTTACGCGACGAGGATCGTCATAGTCACCTCTTGGTATTTCCTCTACTCGAACATCATAGTCGACTTTTTTGTGGATGTGGGTAGAGTCTGCGCTGAGGTTGTCCAATTCCGTGTCGCTTTTATCACCAGCTACAATTCCTCGCTCACTCCCACTATTGACGTACAAGTTAGTTCTTGAGTCTGGGAAGGGGACAAAAAGAATTTCAAGGTAGCTTGGCTGTTCGTGGGTCTTACTCGTCAAGATCAATGCCGCTTCCATTCTTTGCGTATCCACTTTTGCGTGGAACTGTGCTAGCCCAATTGTTGGATCCGCCAGGTACCTTTGCTCCTGACTTGTTGTTCTTTCCGCCGCTGCTCTGACCGTAGCTCTGAAGAGCGCTGCGAAGGCCGAGTTTGTAAGACATCGTGCGAATGAGAGGTTGTAAGGCAGGGAAGGAAGCGACCCAAAGTCCTGCATGGCCTTCCAAATCTGTCCATGGGCCAATGGTGGACATAGCAAATGTTCTGCGATGGTTGGATCTCTGATTAGTTTCTTACCAGAATTTGGAATGCAGCGCATTGTTAGGGAGAACTTACGGGTCTGCCAAGAAGAGCAACGTATTCAACATGACCATGCGTACAACTCCTGTTATCACAACAAACAAACCCACAGAGAAGACAAGAATGACTTGGACTTTCTTCGCAGACTTCATCATCTTGCTATTGATGACCCAGATTGGCAATGCAAAGAGCGCAAAATCAACAATGATACCAATAGCCTGATGTGCTATCAAATTGTTCTGCTCTTGCTGTGCCGACACGCATTTAAGGCCGGGAGTTGTCGGGACTTTCCAAATATCTCTATAACAGTCTTTCATCAGTACTCTTCATCCACCAGAAGACAGGATTAAGGTGTCTTACATGATAGGGTGGCATTCTGTCAAGCGATAGAAGAAGCATACCAAAGTCTGGCAGACAATAACAAACCCAGTTGTATAGACTAGCTTCAAAAACAATGGAGAGCTCACTGCCAAGTCTTTAGTAGGGTCTATAGAAAGGGAAAGCGGTTCACTGACAGTCTTTCGCTAGTCGAGGAAGGAATGCCACGATTGACAATCGCATCAAGCCAGTGCCAATGAAGTAGATCAGAGTGTTGTTTACTAGTGCCTGATATTCACTTAGCATGTATTGTAATGATCTCTATTGCAGAAGTTTTCTGATTACTTACGGAGAAAAATAGCGGCACTAGGTGAGGAGGGACGTATTCAATGTGCGCGCCACTGCCATAGTTGACAGCTTAAAGGTGTCAGCTCTCATCGTTATGGTCGATTTTTGGGAGATCTTACACCGAATGTCAAGCGCAGATTGTGTAACGATCAAAGCCTATCCTTATCAGCCTCGATGCCAAGTGGCATAGAATTGAGAACCTCATACAAAAGCGATGGATGCCAGCACATCATCGACTCCAAATGTCTTAGAGACGAATCCTCTGGTATACAATCTGAGACCAACGATCACCGTTGTGATTGCGATCAGCGATGCATTGAGATCTCGAACTTTGTCGCCTTTGTAATCTGGGGACTCCCAATAAGGGATTGCGGAGGCCGTCGAGTTCGAAGACATAGTGATGGTGAGAGCAGTGGAGCGAAGACAACTGTGTAACTCTCTTTGGAAGGGATCGCTCACTTATGCTTTGATTATATCATTTCCTTCTGTAGTGAGTACTCACTCCTCCTGTTCCTAAGCAGCTACTTGCCATGTGCGCCAAATAGGGCATGAAGGCACCGAGGAATCTTCTTTGCAGCAGTTCGACGCACCCCTTGCCATTCATGCCGCCACAACAAGGAATGCTTCTAGGCGAGTGTTACTTTAAGACACCGGATATGCAACTCCTTGGGTGCTGAGGATGGTTCGAAACGTAGCTGTGTGCAAATGGGAAGATTCTTCTTAGAGATTGATTGATCTTCACCAGGCTCCTGCAACAATGCTGGATTGAATTGATGTTATTTACTAATTCTCTGTACTGTATAGTCACAATGACGAACACCTTCTAGCTTCAGAGCCATCCCAAGCAAACCACTTCTGCACCACCATCACTTCGACAGACGCTTGGCGCTTCTCCCCAAGAAACTTGTTCCCATCTTCTACGACGAGGCCCAGACTTGCCAAGAACGCCTCCGAACAAAATGGGGAGTTTGAGCGAGAGCATGATAGGCTCGCTTTAGCCAATTGGCAATTAAGCGACGCCCCCTAACCGGCAACAAATGAATCGCTTCCGGCGGACAGACCCTTTCCCACACCTGCCGCAATCTTTTCACAAAATCCTCCGGCCGCTCCTCTTTAGAAACAAATTCCGAAATCCCAACCATGCGTGGGTGACCGAGCACCTCGCGTCGAAGAAAACTGCCGTTTGCCTAACACCTAAATAGAACGAAGAATGTTCGAAGGCGTCGCACTAATGGTTTCCAATACTACGGTCCAGCCACTGCTTGTCTGGCTGTGAATTCCCTCACAAACTCCGTTCAATTGGGAGCTGAACGAGCCTTCTTTGATAGCTGCCCCGGAATGATCCTTGGCTGCTGATAACGCCACTTCGAAGGACTGGGGTTAAGGTTAGACCCCTGGTCTCCACTAACTGTCAGGTGGATACCGACGCCACGGTAGCCGAAGGTTATTGGATAATTGAAAGGAATTCATGAGGATGCTTCTTGCTTAACCTTCTTACCTGAAGGAGTGATATCCCAGAAGATTGCCTAGGCCGAATTTCGTTTGCAACCACAAAAGTGGAGTGCAACCTTGAAGAGGCATTATACCGTCAGCTAATATATCAATAGCACATGATTGCAGCTTGTGGACGAAGTCGGCACAGGCACTCAAAAGGAGCTGTCTCGGTAGAGGATTTGAAGGCGTTTTTAACGACATGGGCTGATATCTCAATATTGGACTAGTCCAGACAATTGGGAACAACATCGCTTGTGAAAGTAATTCTGAGTTCTACGTAAGCTAACCTAAGCTCAGAATGTCGAAGTTGTCCGAGATTGGCGTTTTACTTCAACGAGCGGCATTCTCCATTGGCAGGCTTGAAGGGACAGGAGGTAATGAGCAGAAAGTATCAGGTACTTCTGGTTATTGAAAGAGACAAAAACTACTGGTGCAACATCGTGGATTATGTTCCACGTGGGAAGAGATCTTGGTAAGTCGACTCCCGTAGGGTCGTATTTTCGAGAAGCAACTCAGACGGCTTATCATTCGATGGCCCCCCAGTCAGAGGAACAACCCGACTGGATTCCAACACCAAAAGATGCCCATGGGCTACTGTGACTAAGCCATGTGTCGAGTGGGTGTCGGGACCAGAAGCTCTGAAAGCATCCCCGTCTGCGCCTCGTCTTGACTGGCTGCATTGCTTCATTAGCCGGAAGCGATACTGCGGAATGAGCCTTGTCTCTCATTGGTCCGAGGCAATGCCAACGTACCACTCATTAGATTTATAGCTAGTACGGATCCATGTATCTATGTAAGCCCCGCAGCTCTGCATACACTATTGCCCCTCTGCAATATCAATAATTCAAGCATCCGAATCCGTTTAGTTCGAGGGGTTCTCCAAAAGTGTAATCTCAAGCTTCTGCTCTATCCATGTGTGCCATGTGGCAGGTATATATGTCTGTTGATGGCGCATGCATCTTGTTTTCTGCACTCCTGTCAGCCACTTGCACCTTCTTCCAAGATTTCACTCCTGCCAAGCTTCTTGTGAAACAGATTCATAGTCAAAGCACAATCTTTTCACTCTCAGAATGCATTTCTCTCAGGTCTTCTCCTCGGTACTCCTGCTGCTGACAAGTGCCATCGCTGCCCCGATCGAGGAGCGCAACACATGTACTACTCTGGCAGTCAGAAAAGAATGGTTCGTGATAGAAATCCTTACGTGCAATTAAGGTCATTATGCTAATCTTGCCGTCTTACAGGAGAACACTTTCCAAAGCGGAGAGACTCGAGTATGTCGGGGCTGTAAAGTGCTTGATGGCAAAACCCGCCCAAACAGGTGCCTTCTTCGCTGGTGCCAAAACTCGCTATGACGACTTCCTGGCACTGCACATCAACTCAACCGACTATGTGCATTTCAATGTAAGTGCTGATGATCCATGGACCGCACAAGTGCAAATGCTCATAGAATCTACAGGGTCCCTTCCTGCCGTAAGAAATCTCCGTCAAGCCACCAACATGGGCCAGACTAACCATTTTCAGGTGGCATCGTTGGTTATTGCACCTTTGGGAGACAGAGCTCAGGACCACTTGTGGATATAAGGGCTATCAGCCGTAAGGAACTCAGAATAAGCCAAAGACTTATTTGGCTAATCTACTTAGATGGTGGGACCTTCTGCAGGATAATACTATTGGGGGTTATGCCAAATCTCCACTTTTTGACAACACTTACGGTCTAGGAGGTAAAATTAACACTGCAATTTTTTGACGAGCATGAATACTGAGCTGAGTCATAGGAAATGGTCCTTACATCGCTGATGTGAGCTCCAACATCACATTCCCCGTCCAGACGCCGACTGTAATTCCTGGCAGAACTGGTGGTGGTAAGTCGGATATTCTGTTATTCTCTCACAATGAGCTAACAATTCTAGGCTGTGTTGAAGTTGGGCCATTCGCCAACATGACCATCAACATGGGAATGGGTAAGCTTCTACTGCGCAAAATGACGCTGCAACATTGCTAATCATTGCCAGGCCTTGATCTTTCTTACAATCCTCACTGCATGCGTCGAGATTTCAGTCCTACCCTAGTTGCTGAGGCTTTCAGCAATGCCTACTACGAAGCTGCTCTCGCCTCTGAGAACTTCCAGGAACTCAACCAGAACATCCAAGGTTACAGTTTCGAGATCTCTGGGATGAGGCTCCACGCTGCTCTCCACATCGGCGTTGGTGGACAAGTCGGTGACGAGGCTGATATGTGGTCTTCACCCGGAGATCCAATCTTCTGGTTTATTCACGCATCATTGGATAGACTCTGGAACAATTGGCAACGAGAGTGCTGGGAGACACGCCAATCTGAGATTATGGGTCCTGATACGATTTTCGCCTACCCATTCGACTTCTTTGGCGAGATTCCGTACACGAACATCACACTAGACTACGAATTGGAGTATGAGCACTTTGGCAGCAATGTCAGGATTGGAGACATCATGGATGTTGAAGCTCCCAATTTGTGTTACACTTATGAGTAGTTGACTACGAGGATCTCGGTCGAAGTTTGGTGTTCGGGGGAGTGCCCCATTGGCGCGGGTAAACTATTGTAATCATTTGCTTGTATATATCATGAAAGATAGAATGGCTCTCGGGAGTATAGACAAAACAAAGCTTGATTCCCTCTGAGATGCCGACGGTTGTGCATGGACTATTCGATCCCAAGTAAATAATTTCAACAATACAGTGTCTTAGCATCTACCATTCTCTCTATTTCTTATGTTCGATCTTGCACGCCAAAAGGTCCATGCATGTTTTCCAGAACAAATCTCTGGGCAAGATCGTAAATTACCAGTCTGATCCCTTCAAGCATCAACTGTTCGCTCATCGACGGCGGTGAACACCCAACAATTATGTAGAATTAAGATACTCCCCTATTTCCTAGATGGCGCTTATCACATGGCCAGAGAACACCCTTCGCTCAACAGACAGGACAGCTGTAGTAATATCCTAAAGGCATCCCGAGAACTAATATTAAGAACGAACCCCCAACTTCTAGGAAGAATAAGGAGAACAATGAGATGTATGAATCTATCATCTGAGAGGTGAACTCGCTCATCAGGGTACGATTTACCCTCTTCCTGCTGCCATGTAGCTTTCTCTGATGTATTCCGTGATTATAACACTCTCTGTGGGTCCGTGTCTGCTTGACTGTGACATTAACTGTATTTGCAAGTTTGTTGTACCGATGGGCGTTATTGAAACTTTTCCCAAATAAGTGCTCAGCCAGCTTCCACCAGCTACATCTACCTCGTGCATATATCCACGAAGCTCTATATCGTCCTCAATGTGGCCATTGTTGAGTATTTTCACGTATGCCACGCTGTTGCACGACGTATGGCTCCTCGAATACTGGGCCAATACAAGTGCAAACCGATCACCATGCTTGTTCCCAAACACGAAGACGGCTTGAGCACCACGTGCGTGTTTCTCTGGTCTTAAGATCCGCTTCTTTCGGTCGAACCGTGCACCAGCTTTGCAATGGAGACTCCGAAGCTGATAACCAGATGCTTCTGGGGGCAATCCCGCGAGGAAGAAGCACCCTTGCAGGCCCTCGTTGAGTGTCGGCGCTTTTATGCGCAGCCTCTCTGTATTCTCAGGGCTCAACGTCTTACTGTCAAAGTTGAGACAATCGCTCGGAACCAGTACAAGATCTCGTAACCGACCACTAAAAGTACCAATGCCCCACTGCCGCAATGGAACCGCAAGATAATTCTGGTCGTCGTCTTGTAAACGGCAGTCGAGGACGGCGAATGACTCGTCAAGTTCTGAACGTCGAATCACAGGAAGATCAATATAGACGCATTTATTGTGTATCACTGGCGGAGAGTGATACACATGACCCCAAGAACCCATCGAAACTATTTTATGACATTTTTGGAACGCGGCAGGAGAGTCAGCTAGAAGACCACCAAAGGTGCTCTCTTGTGAGGACAAAAACTCGGGTCGAGACAATAGTTTCGTGTATCGTTTGAGTTCGATTATGGACGCTTCGTCAAGTCGCCATGCAAAGAGAGAATGATCGTAAGAAGACTTGAGGATTTCTTCTTGCAATCGGATGAAGGCTTTCTGGCCTTCTCCGTAGAGTAGCGGCATGTTGACATCGAATAAACCAAGTAAACTATAAGCAGTATCTTCTAACCGGGTAGCCTTTCTTTTCGCTGCCCATGACATCTTTTTCGCTACGCTGACAAGCTCGAGGCTTGTACCGCATAGGTCTTCTTCGTCGATAGTGGTTATGCTCGATATAATATCGGCAAGCTGTTCTTTCGTTCCGATATGTTCCCAAATCCTGGAATAGAATAAGACGAACCGAGGGGCAATGAGCTCTTGTAATGTCCAGCTTCTGGTGAACCAACGACTCTGGGCAAGTTCCTCTTCCTGTGGCGGATTGCATCCCGAAACGTCGCTCAGATAGACGTAACACACTTGAGCTTTCTGATACCATCGAAACATGGAATTGATAGCCTCGGAAAGCTCAGCACTACTTGTCTTGTCGATGCAGCATCTAGAAACAAGCGAGTCAGGAACGAGTTGGTGGCAGCCTAACCGGGTAGTACAGCCTTACGTATCGACCCAAGCCCAATATAAACCATCCTGAATTGCTTGCTCACAGCACTTTCTGATCTTCTCATATCCAAGTTTATCTTGTCCTGAACCAGCCAAATTCAGGTCCTGAAAGGTAACTTCATCGCGACCCCACGTATGGGACAGTATCGCGTAAGGAGGGGTATCATCTCCCATAAACTCGCGCAACTTCCGCGTTCGCGCATTCAGAAGGCGCATGATGGAGATTCGAATCGAGGAATATATACAGCACTAGCCGAGAGTCTAGATAGTATCAAATCTAAAAAAAAGAATTGGTGGCGAGAAAGGCGAGGCTATATATGAGGCAGGGTTGTAAGCTTTCGGGACCTGGTGGACCCCGCGCTAAGCCTTGTGATGCCACCTGCAGGTTCGTCTGTCTTGCTTTAACCAGCCAATGGACACAAGAAATGTTTTGGGTGGTTTGTAACCAGGACTTTTCAGCTGCACCGCATTGCTGTTCCATACTCGGCGAGTTGCCCCGGAAATTGAGGCCGAGCGCGCCCATCACTGGGAATGACTTCGACGGAGGAAACGATTGGTAAACGAGATAAACTAGAGTGGGGGTTTCTGCAGATTACCAACAGCATGTTGTTCAACTGCAATATATTTGGAGGGATCTAGCAGAAGAATGGAGCTGGTCATCGGTCCAAGAGTTGTAATTCTTGTCATGTAATCCGGATTTCTTTGTGTGACTATTTAATATCTGACGTTGGATTAACCTCAGCGCTCGTGTTCCCATCCCCGTCAACATCCGGTCACAGACGAATTTACACTGCTTCAGCCTCAACGGACATGCCACGGAAGAGCTTACCTATCATAAGTTTCAAGTGCCGAGCTCTGATCAAATGGCATTTGATGATGAACATTTCATCAATTCTTCATGGTGGTCCATTGTGATTGGGAGGTGGGAAGCTAACGAAGTAAGCCACCACATAGAACTCAATCGGGATGCCTGCAGCTCCAGCCTCGCTGGATACGATGCTGTGAAAGCCCGGATGAGAAGCACAGCTTGAGATGAACAAAAAATGCTCACGCGGGAGGTACGTGACCTTTGGAAATGCACAGGAATTTAAGCAATGGTATCGACTCAATGAAGCTAGAAGCCAAAGTGGTTGTACTTGCGCATTGTTGCTCGTCGTTCAAAGCGAAGCTAGCCAATTTTCATTAGAAGGCTCAAGACTCTCCCGTATGTGTCTATCCTACTAGAGAATAGGTAGCACCGAGCCATGTTATTTCATCAGCATCAGCATAACCGTGGAGTGGCGAGGAGGCGCTGACTGAAATAGGGGCAAGAGCCTCAATAAATGACCTATCGCGAAACAAAATTGGATTGATTTTATATTCCGAATTCTAATCTGGCCTCGATTTCATTACACTTTAGGAGAGTATATACGCAACAACAGTATGACCGTTGACTGGTCCTACGAGATCAAGCGGAAGCGACCTTTGTTCAATTGATCATGAGGCCACCTGGAAGAGTTGGTAACCCTGCAAGTTATAAGTATTAGAAAAGACCATCTGAACTTAAGGAAAAACTCACAATCATCTCCATCAACATCTTCTTTCATAAGTTGTGGAATCGTGCAATTCATGGCAGCTTCTGGAGTTTGTGAGACCAGCTCCTTACAGACATCATTTGAGCAGCGAGCGTTTAAAGCACGCTGCAGAGCATCGCCTTTCCACCCAAACATGTAATCTCCATGCTGACCATGACCAGATCTAAAGATCTCATTAGCTCATAGGATCATGGGGAAACAGTCGCAACTTACGGGTCTCCGGTCGAATACGAAAAAGGTTGGCTCCCATCTTCAGGCCAAAGTTCCTTGCTGTTATATGGTCTCGTATCCCACATAACCTCATACATCAACTGCGGAAGATGAACGGGATGTGTATCAGGGCACGTTCCTCTACCCATAGCCGGTGTTAGGGTAGTGTTCGTATCAATAATAGGATCTACATATGGCTCGAATGGGATCGTAGCATATGCAACATGGCTTTGGTGGTCGGGAGAATCAAGATTCTTGCCATCCCAGCACGTGGGAAAGGTAATCGTGCTACGGATACCACCTGGACAGAAGTGAGTAGGGAAACTGGTCGTGTCATTCCCGGTGCAAGGTGGTCCGCCGAAGGGCGTGAAGTTGTCGCCTTCGAAGCAGCGATGGCAGATGCCTCGAGACTCTCCTGTTGTATTGCGGAGCACAGGATTTCCTGCGAGCATACGGAAACCCTTTTCTTATGTCAGCGACTTGGAGTGTTGTAGATTTGTGTAACGACGACGATATGCCCCAGGTGGTAATTTGATCTGCTTGGGGTGTTTGACCCAAGCATGCATTAGATGAAAGGAAAACACTGACCGGTTTAAACGCGGTAACATTACTGACTCCATCATAAGGTGGGATATAATAGACTGTGATTCCTCCATTTTGCGTGAGTCCTCCATTGGGAAATTGGCTGACACGTTTGAAAGTTCCATTTCTTGCTCGGTAATACACAGCCGCGGTCCAGTAGTTGCTGAAATCTTCACTGAAAGTACAGCTGGTGCAGTTCGATCGAGAAGGAAGATCATAATTGACTGGAGTCATGGACGGCTTGAAGGAGTTTCCTCCAACAATTTGGTGAACGTGCGGAGAGCCTATTACACCAGGGTTGACAAGAGGATCGAGGCGTTCAACGACGAGTTGAGAGCATGCGAATCGCATCATCGCAGCTTGCCTTTCCGCCTGCGTGGCCCCGAGAAGGGCCAAAGTTGTGAGCGTACTCCAATACATTTCGAGACTGTTCCGTAAAAAAAAGTTGAAACGAGTTCGCAGACAGGAAACAGTGAAGGAGATTGTAAGAACTTAAATTCACATGCCGGATTTACCCCAGATGCAACTACCGGAAGATAAGATACTGCCTTCAAACACTTCAGACCGTATGAGTGGATGTGGGGCTTCGAGACTTAATATACTGGGTGCCGGGAGAAGATTCTCTCCTAAATGCTCGGGTGAGGATCCAATTAAGCGAATCTCAGTAAACAAGAGATATGCATTTCGAAAAGAGCGAGATCAATCGTAGTATATTACAACGCATGTGGGACCTTGAGATAAGAGCTTTCAGAAATGGAAAGGGCCGAAGCTTGAATGAGGAGGGACGATCTTGGAAGTAACAGTGGCTAAAAGACACACGTGGGAAGGCATGGACATGGGGCATGAACTTCTTCCGAATGATACTCCTCGGTGTCGTTGCCGAAGATTGTGTGCGCGAGTTTTTCTGTAGAAAGTGCCTTTCTTACTGAAATCTCCGCTAGTAGCAGTAGAATACACCAACCTTGCACAGAGCTTTACCAGTGTGTGGTTTCGCAATGGAGTATATCTCGTTTTTCGCGTGATCCATCCCTCGAGTCTAGCGTAGGTGATTGGACAACCCAACAAATGTGCCAATAATGCGCCAAAAAATTTCCATATCCGCATTGTTTGACCACATATCCCAATTTGAACCCGTACCGTGGATGGTCTGTAAAGAAGCCCGGAACAGGCGAGATGGTGGGGACAAGAGATGTGTGCGGAGATCATGGACAAGATCAAAAATGTCCGGAGGAAGAGCAGTCGCAGAGCAATGCAGATCCTCAAATAGTCGTCAATGTCCGAGGTGTATATATGTAATCGTCGTCCGCCGCGCTTCTTGCAGTTGAGGATTAAGTGAGTAAGTTCGAGTATGCTGGTCCAAAGATATTCATATGCCATCTCGCCCAGCCCGATCCTGCTAATTGATGGCGGATCGGTACCTCGGAATTCTCTTCATCTCCCCCGCTTGTTCTGTGACCAGATGAGAAGCATTCGTTTACAGGAGGGCTTCGAAAGACAGGCGAGGCGGAGGAGGTTCGGCTGAGAATCGGATACCGTTTTCCCAAGGCTGTTGCATAACTGGAAGCTGTAGTGGTGATTGACATAAGAGCTGCCTTTATGGAGGCTTGATATGATACTGGGGAAGGAGAGAGAAGGAGAAGAAGCTACCATAGAATATAGGAAACTTGAATAGATAGCTGAAAGCTGCATATCGATGCTGGAGGGCCCTACAAAGGCTGACACTTCAACACAGGGGATACACTCAACCATAGCATTCAAATGACAGAACCAACTGTCCATAGCACACAGCGAGCGCTTTGCTGGCATCAATCTCGTAACAACAAGTAGAGAAATATGGCGATACTGCTTGCTGATCGGCGATGACGGTGCAGAACGACGTGAGGTCAACAGATTCGAGAGGGTAGCACAGCTCATTGTACCAGCCGGACATACAGATAGCAATTTGAGACTGTTCAAGCCAAGATACGCAAAGGATAATTCAAGCTGGCATGCTGTGACTTGCTAGAAGAAGCAATGGTTCGAAGTGAACATCTTGGAGTCGAGATTTTTGTCCAGCTGTGCGTGGATGTAAGATCTTGAGGTCAAACATGTTGGTGATGAGTGCATACTTCTGGAATCGACGCTAACCCGTTAAGAGACTAGCGCTAAACCTCCACCTCACCTGGGGATATCTTCAAAATGATGCAGCAAAAGAACAACGTTTGTTACTTTCTGGAGAAGCAAGAGCTGCTGCATCATGCAGATCGGTTCCCTTGGCTTTTTTACACATTGCCTAGATTGGCACTTGTTTGAAGCCCAAGCTCCACCTTGGTCATCGAGACTTCAATCTTCTTCGATGGTCTTCAGATCCTTTGATAATCACAGATTGCCATAAACCATGCTGAGATGCCTTGACTTGAGCAGTGCTTCAAAGTACAACATACTAACCCGTTTTTCAATACATACAGTTTATTGTTTTCAGCTTAATTCAGGCCCCGCGAGCCCCACTTATGAGACCGCCCCGTTCATTCGTCTTTTTTTCTTTGCAGTATTATGCATAGAATAATATCACTCAAACTCCTCGGCTCTGTTGCTGATCTCCTTTCTCTTCCCAGAATCCTACTCAAGCGCACATGATAGAAACAGCATGGGGAGGCGTTCCGCATGCCGTCGTCCCTCTCCATGAACCTTCCAACGAGAAGGTCACAAATGTCGGTGATATAGCACCACAAACAGCATCTTCTTTGGAAGCTCCTCGTGAATCATCGGCGTCAGTCAGCGCTGAATATGAGCATGTCTACCCTGAAGGTGGAGCGCGTGCTTGGCTCGTGGTCTTTGGATCTTGGTGCGCTATGTTTGCATCACTCGGCATAGCCAACACATTGGCTTCCTTTCAAGCCTATTTGTCCAAGAATCAACTTTCTGGTTATAGCCCCGGGCAGATTGGATGGATATTCTCGATTTACACCTTTTTGTCATTTGCTTGTGGCATATACATTGGTCCTCTGTTTGATGTGTATGGCCCTCGATGGCTCATTGTTCCAGGCAGTGTCTGTGTGGTACTGAGTATGCTGTTACTGGGAGTCTGTACAGGTAACGAGTCTTTCGATGAGAGAAACAGCCAGCTTACTGACCATTGATAGAGTACTGGCACTTCATCATTGTCTTTGGTATCATTGGAGGCATCGGTACAGCTCTCCTATTTACGCCGTCCGTTGCAGCCGTTGGCCACTTTTTCAACAGAAGACGTGGCACCACGACCGGAATTGCAACGGGTGGAGGAGCTGTAGGAGGGGTCGTATTTCCCCTCCTCCTGGAATCACTTATTCCACAGGTCGGATTGGCCTGGGCAACACGCATAATGGGCTTTGTCATCCTCTGCCTTTCCATGATCGGCATTCTCCTCATCAAATCCAACCTTCCACCATCCCGTACCGCAAAATCGCCACATCCAGATTTCCGAATTTTAGCACAACCCGCGTTCTTCTTCACCGTCATGGGTAGCTTCCTAATGGAATGGGCCCTCTTCGTTCCGTTGACTTACATTACCTCGTACGCTCTTCACGCGGGATTCAATACTCCTTTCTCGTATCAAATCCTGCCTATTCTATCTGCTGGTTCTGTCTTTGGTCGCTTCTTTCCTGGCCTCTACTCCGACTTCATTGGGCGCTTCAACCTCATTCTTCTCTGCACCATTCTGACCATAATCTCCATATTCGCTATCTGGCTGCCATTCGGGACAACGACGCCGGGGATTGTGGTGTTCGCGGTGCTGTTTGGCTTTAGTAGTGGGAGCAACATTAGCTTGACGCCAGTATGTGTTGGGCAGTTGTGCAAAGTAGAGGAGTATGGGAGGTATTATGCTACTTGTTACACCATCGTCAGTTTTGGTTGCTTGACAGGAGTTCCCATTGCAGGAAGTATTGTGCAAGCTTGTGGGGGAAGTTATTGGGGACTGATTGTCTTTACTGGAGGGTGCTACGTTGGAGCGTTTGTTGCATTTGCTATAGCGAGGGGGCTTGGTGGTGGTTGGAGAGTCATGATGAAGTATTGAAACACACAATTTGGATTTATTGAGCCTACTGAGTCCTCAATGCCAGATAGACCTTGAGAACTCCCAAACACTTGATTAGTTATGGAACTTTGAGAGTCTGCCAAGTCCTTAGTTATCTAGAAAACTTCTGAAGTCTCCTGAGTTCCCAATTCCCCACAGGGCTTACGGAGTGTAGTAAGTCATCAATTTCCTACGGACGTTTATAGTCTTCTTTTGAAGGTGAATTGCCTGATCTTCTGCACTAGTTCTCCACATCATGCCTTTGTTCTGAGAAACACAAAAGCAGATCAAATCTCTAGAACAGCAAGAATCTTGACAACACTTGCACCTCCCCCTTTGAATGTTTCGAAGCATTTCAGTCACTTAACCGTAGTCCAACATCCTCCCCACCAAAAGCACCAAAAGTACCAAAAGGTTTCCCTCCACAGGCACCATACCACTTATCTACTCCAGTGACAAAGCACTCTTCGTGTTCAACCAAAAAGGGTTAGACTAAGAGATGTATTTATACCCCCGAGATACTTCCAAAGCTTGTGAGTCACTAGTAAATACCACACTTTCCGTTCCCACAGCCACGACATGATTCACCTTCTCAAAAGTACAGAATTGAGTCCAAACACAGGAGATACTTAACAAGTTCACCTTAGTACGGAAGTTCACCCATTCACACGCACAGAAAAAGGGCTGGTTATTCATTCACTCAGTTAATCTAGCAAGCCAATTTTCTGTCCCGGATGTCTATAAATGGCAGTTCAAAACATCAGCGAAAAGCAAACCAGTACAGTGCACAAACTCTGACCTCAGGAGTGAGCGTGCGATGTTATGCTCACCGATGACGTTAAAGTTTGGGGATGGATGTTTCCTTCGAAGTGTGGATAGTGGGATATTTGGTTTGAAAGCTTGGTGGAGTTGATAATAAGAAATAAATTGACAACGAAGAGATAATCAACAGTAAGAAAAAGGGTTGGGCAGTGGTAACTATCACAAGTCATTGGTCATTGATCACGGAATGAACATGTGAAAGTAAACCTTTCTATTTCCTCCCAAGTGAATTTGCACAATTTGCGCATACAGCGCAGACAGCGCAGACAGCGCATATCGCGCGAATAGCGCGAATGGTGCAAAACGCGCAATATGCGAGAAAAGCCCGCTGGGCGAGCAATCCCAACAAGTGCAACTCATTTTTTGGCCAAGAAAATAATGCTATCAGACAAAAGAGAATAGCAAGAATGTTGGTACCAAGCCAGAGCAAGGAAAAGGGCAGAACATCCTAGTCAGCCATACAAACACGTCTAAAGGAAATAAACATTGGAATGTGTGTCCACAACTAATACTTTCAAAAAACTATTACAAGACAAAATAAAAGATACTTGCGCGAAACTCAGTAAGAAATTTCAGGTAAGAAGAATGACCGGCAGCAACCAGCAACCAGCAAACAAAATCCCCAACAAGACCAACTCTTTCCTTTCAACCCTTCTCATCTCAACACAAGGAACACGTTTCAGCAATTCAATAACAAAGCAAACAACACTGTAATCTCGGCAACTCTACAAAAATATCCAAGAACAAATGAAATGGTGGAACAAGGATCAGATAAAAATCTGACCCGCTTTCAGAAAGAAGTACAACTTCAGCACTGAAATTCATAGATTAAACTAGTCACATAAAGTGGAGACGGTTGTAGACCTTGACAATAGGCTCCGCACTGCGGCAAACTGTATTCTGCCTTGAATTTAAGAAAGAAGTGAAAATGTCGGTCCCCACATGCACTTCCTCAGAGAGGAGAATGTCTTGCTTTTTCAAGTAACAAAAAAATAGCGCGAAACTTGTGTAAAGGAGAATGTCTGGTCCACTAGCGTGATATTAGCGTAGGAAAAACTATGGAACTATTAGCTAAAATCTTGAAATGTGATATCGCACTTGAGGACAATATCAAAGCATATGTCACTTTTCGAGAATATAAGGCTTTGAGAGTCTGGAAGCACTTGCACCACAATCTTCGATATTCAGAAGCTCAAAATCTGACATACATTTTCACCATCATAATGTCTGGCCCTTCGAGGAGCAGCGGAGTTGAAAATCCCGTTCCATTGTCTGAAAAGAATATACACATTTTCAAAATCTGGAAAAGCACAAAAGCCGCAAGGGTAAAAGGAACTTCATGCAGCGCGAGCGATGATAAAGTCAACGATGAAACGACTCTTGGTACAAGATTACACACACTGCTCTACCTTCCACCTCCAATGTCAACCATCCATCCATTTCGAGTTCTTATCGACCCCATTCAACACATGAGTTCTGTGTTAAATCCAGAATCCATAACCCAGCAACGCTGCCTTCAAATATGGTCCGCACTGCGAGAATGCAGCTCATTTCTCTCCCGGAATCCTTCCCGCAGATTGACTATGAAAGACCATTGCCGTTGGTGATGACTGGTTCGGCAGGACTTGTCGGCCCTTGAGGTCTCTTCGCTCGCAGGGTAAGAGGGAATGGGTACTCGTCAGGGTCTTCTTCCTCACTACAAAACCGTTAGCAATGCACGAATTAGGAAATGGAATTCAGACGTACGGCAACTTCCACGCAACATAATCTTCCGTGCTCAAACCTTCTCGTCCTTCTTGCAGACTGGCGAAATCACCCGGAGTCATCATACCACTTCTATCTCTTGGCGAACCTGGTACGCTGAATGGCCGTGAGATCTTTTGCTCAATGCCTGGGATGAAGTCGTCTTCGTCTTCGCTGCTGAAGGAAGCTGGGTAGGCTCTGCGGAGGGCCAATTGTCTAGCCTTCACATACTCCATACCCATTCTCTTCCAGTCCAGCAGATCGCTCAGCCTCTCGGTTCGGTTTCGCTGGTTAATACGTTGACGGCGAGACTTGCCCGCAAAGTCGAACATGAAAGATGTGAGCTGGTTGACTGAATCATCAACGCCCTTCATTCTTCGGTCGACAATGTAGATTCCGTAATCGGTCGAGTTTTCGATCAACTCTTCCATATAACATCCGAAACCTGATAGATTCGTTGTGATACTCGGTACACCCATCACAGTACACTCAGCAGGAGTATAACCCCATGGCTCATAGTAAGATGAGAAGACACCAAGATGGGTACCTCGAACGAATTCGTCGTAATCCATTGGCAGAACTGGATTGGCAGAGTTCAAGAACTCAGGATGGAAGACGATCTTGACACGGTCTGTAGGATGGTTGAAGAGTTGAACTCTGCGGATTTGATTTAGAATTGGGTCGTCTGCGTCGTTTGCCATGTTGTGCGTGACAATAGGTGGAAGGCCGTGTCTCTTCATGGCGAATAATCGTCTGCGGAGCAGAATTCGGTCCTGGCTGGTGATCAAATCCTTCTCATCGGGCATTGGGTCTCCATCATGCCATTTGAGAGCTCGCTCGAAGATTCGCTTCCCAACGCTGTGTTCGATCACATCCACCGTATCTCGCAATGACTTGATCACAGCTTGTCCCTTCAAAGCTTCAACAGTCAAAGATTGAGTTTGTGCAGGCATGATAATAAATGCAACAATAGTCATCTTAGACCCCGAAGACTTCAGTCTGTGGTTAAGACGCGCCAGAGACTCAATGAACATATCCACACCCTTATTTCTGTACTCGTATCGACCAGCAGTGAAAAAATAAAGGGTATTCTCGGGATCGAAATCATTGTGTCCGTAGAAGTGGCCTCGTACGAAATCGTGGATCTTCTCCTTTGCCTGCTGATGTAAATTTTGAAATTCGTGCATGGCAGAGAATTTCGTAACATTGAGACCATTAGGAAGAACACCATCTGGTTTTCGCTTTAGGAGATGCTCAGACTCGTATGCGGTAATGTGGGAAACAGTGGTAAAGACATCGCACGAGTGTGTTGCTGCACGCTCAATGCAGTATCGGTGGTAGATTCCACGCTTTCCAGCCTCTGCATCCACATCGAAGTATTGTAGGTTATTGTAGAAATCGACAGAGCCTGCGCAAAGGTATCGTCCGAGCAGGGTAGCGTGGGTAGTGAAGATTGTGGTAACATCAATTCGACGCCTCTTGCAGAGCGGAAGTGCTACACCGGACAGCCATTCGTGGAAGTGTGCAATCACAGCTTTGGTCTTCTCATGCGCAACGAACTAGACAGTGTTAGGTTTCTTCAGGTTGAAGATTTGGTGCGCATACCTCTCCCAAAAACCACGCAACAAGGTATCCAAAGACTACTGCCTCATTGGTCTCATCATCACCGGGTGGGGATGGGATTCCTGCGGTATTCCAGAGATCGGCCTTCCACTCGTCTAGAAATCGGTAGGCGGTTTTTGTATCGATCAAAACAACTCTAGGAGCTCCCTCAATCAACCAGCGCCCGTATACAATGCCAATGCCTCGCGCTTCCATCGACTCAATGGTCGCAGCTAATTGTGGATTCGTGGGCGTGAGTGCTTCGACCTCCACAGCGGCCTGCGATCAATTAGCCAGTGTCTGCGAAGCTTCTAGCAGTTGCAAAACATACCGATTGCCTATTGAGAGGCCCAATAAGGGTATATCTGTCCCCATATTCTGCGGTGGTCACCGGTGCTTTGGATTTGATGACAGAGTAGATACCACCCACTGTGGCAGAGTCAGTGGCTTCATATCTCAACGGTTTCTGTGTAACGTACCTCGGTTCGCAACCTCAGTGGCTATCTCGAACAGAAAGTGGTTCCGGATGTCTCTGTTCCCTTCAGACATGGTGTTTTGTGGGATGTTTCTCTTTGCGACGGATTTTGATGGTCTGATGTTGGTGAGGAAAGAAGATGGCTGGGGATGGCGCGATCGACGTATTTCCAATTTCGAAGCTGGAAAGCCCGTCGACTACCTGAGAGCGAGGAAGGAGCAATGATCTTGCTCTTCTCCTGCTGCAGGAATTGTGTGTGGTGGGAATTGGAAGCTCTGACGTCCTTTTGAAGCTTTCCCCACATGATCAGATCAGCTTTCGGCAGGCGGTGGATTGCTTGACGGGATGATGGCTACTTACATACGTCAATTGAGAAACCAACTGAAAGGAATGTATGCGATGTGGTACGACAGCACACAATGCGTGCGGAAGATAGGAATGTCTTTGTTTTATGAAAGGTGAAGAATAGGAAGAGGAGCAAGGTCGAGGAGGATGGAAGGAACCGGGGATAGCTTTCTGCTCTCGCTCGCACTTCTTTCTCTCAGCAGATTTCTATTCCACTCTCTCGCAGGCCCGCGCGGGCTGTCGCTAAAACCCGCTGGCTCGCCGCCCCAGCTCGTCTCCAGGTTCATCATTCGCTGGAATTCACCACCAAAACCCGTCCGAGGGCAAAATTATCCCTGCCCAAAGTTGGAACCCTGGCTCCCCAATGACCTCATGCTCTCACCACCGCCGCTGTCATTTGCAGAACACGACATAAAAATGCTGAAAGGGTTATGCGGGGTTGATATTCATTGAAGATCAGAATTGCGTGGGTGTTACGACTCAAGTGTTTGGATTAAACATGTGCAATTGAATTTATCCTGTATTTGCATCTACGGTATCGCATGCATGTATCATTTCCCCTTTCATGCTTCCGGCCTTTCTCCTCTTCTCCAGGCCATCTCCACTTCTTGACAGGAAAGCTCAGCAGCATCTCCAGATCCCACTTTTTCCCATGTCAAGCTAAGACCCCCACTAGCCTGGAATGGGCATCGAGCTTATCACATGATCCCGGTTTCAAGGTGGAACCGCAATCTCGTGCCTTGAATCTGGAAAAGATATCAACTGATCAATCCTCGCTGCTTCATACGCATCTTACACCGCTACAATGCACAGGAACAAAGCAAATGTCTCTCAACTGCCCATCCTCGAGTTCAACCCGGAGAAAAATCGAAAATAACCGGCCGTTGAGAAGTCTCACTTCGCTGCCAACCACTCGTTGAACATGTACCCCTGGCATTGGGGCGCAAATAAGCGTGGCGAGCCGCCAACACTTTTCGCGAGCATAATTACGAGGCACGGCAGGGCCGACAATGAAAATCGCCATGCCTTCAGGAGGGGAAGCAATTCGAGAGTCTTTGAGGACGAATCCCTTCTTCACGAGAGCGTCAAGTGGCTCTGCACATTATCGTCACTTCGCCGAATTGAGGGACGATCATCTGAAGATCCTTCCAAGTCACGGGATAGGTGCATATCACTTCACAATGGGCGGAATTGGCGTTGCACAATTATATCAGAGTTTGAAATTTTTTTATTTGCTATTGACAAAGAGCACGACAAAGAGCTCAAACGGAATTACGAAAACTTGCTTACCTTGTCACACAATACTTACGTTTCCCTTTGTTTGCTCCATCACTATTCGGGACTTCGAAGGCCGCTTTTGACCAAGTCAAACATGTTGCTGTTTCTGGATGACTTGATACTTGCGCTGACGATATCTTTCTGATCCGCTTCTTCATCAAGCATGAGTTTGGCGACCATATCAAGAAGCTCCTGCTTGCCTTGGTCGCCTTCCTTTGTTTTGGTGTTCAGTCTGCCTAGCAGCTTCTTTGTCCAGTCAGCATGCTCTCTCCTGGCAGTTCTTTCTTTCCTGGCTTTCATGACCTTGTACCGGTTGACGAAACAGTTCGTACATGAGCAAAATGTTGCATCGTGAGGCTCTTTATCATCAGCCCCATAGCGACGAGTACAGTGGTAGCAGAAGCAGCCAGGCCTTCGGTGATGTGGCCTCAGATTTTGTTCGCACTCACCTCTTAGATGGTCATTGTCCACGAACTGTCGAGTTGTGTTTTGGATGTCATCGACAAGGGCTTCGACATCCATGCCAAGAAGGACGTCGTCAGCGTTTGTATTAGATGGTGCTGGGTTTTGTAAGCCTCTTTGATCTAGAGTATCGTCGATATCCGAGTCCCATCCAACCGAGAAGTGTGCCAGAACGTCGTCGCCAATGTCCATCGTGTTGAGAATATCGTCGGATAAAATAAAGATATCGCTGACGGAGAAGTGACTGACAATGCGGTTCTCGAGACCACTAAACCTTCTCAGAGCAAGGTGGCTAGTATTGAATGCGTCCGCAGCGGGCGAGTCAGTAACGTCTCTCGAGCTGTCGAAGAGGGGAGAAGTATCTGGGATCTGGATTGGTAAGACGTTGAAATACTTTCCACTGTAGCTGCTATTTATGCTAGCAGCTGAATGCTCAGCTCGAGACACGAAGTCCACATGATCGCCCAGCGTCCACGAGTTCGGTCTTGAGAAGTGCGAGAATAGTTGATCTAATTCATCCTCGCTATTATCAGCACCAGGCTGATCATCGTATTCACCATAACCCTCTCCATCGTAGGTAGGGAACACCGTTTTTGGTGACACATCACCACCGTTCGATCCGCGTCTCGTTCTCTCCGAGCTCAAGAACGGATTCTTGAACTCGATACCGTGTTTGACTCGGGCAAAGAATTGCTTCTGAGCGCGCAAGATGCTCTTTCCGACCACCTGGGGTGGATCGACGAAGAGAGTTTCGAGCTTTTCTTGATATTCTTGTGCGGTGGGTACCTCGAGGACAGCAGTGGAGATTGTTTCGTCTCTTCTCTGCACCATACCCTGACGACGAAGTCTCTTCAATACCACCTCAGGTGGATCTTGAAAGAAATCGTCCTCTTCTTCCTCTGGCTCAGGCTTGCTGATAAGGAGGCTAAGAGGTGGGGAAGATTCGGAGCGAGATGAGATTCTGGTGGAGATTTCGGGATGAGCAGAGCTGTGTGCCAACTCGATGACAAAAGGTGCGAAAGACATGTCCTGCATGTCGTGTTCGTAAAGGCCGGGCGCACTCAGATCAATAGATCGGTGAGACATTTTAAGTGCTGTTGTTGAAGTCGTTGATTTCAGGAACTTGTTTACTGTGAGTAAAGGAAGTCTTGATATTGTAAGGTCGAAGTTCTGATGATGTTAAGTGTGATAAGCAGATCCCCAGACGTTGAAACCCTGAGGTTTTAGCACAAAGTAACAATGCTGTTCTTCTTGAACAATGGTATTGTTTGTGCCATCTTCTCTTTATCAACCAAGGAGCTGGAGCAACAATGACAAAGTACTCTTTATCACCGACATCGCACAAAGGCCTCTATTGTTCTTGACCCAGAGAAAGGTGACAACCCATCGGCGCATCCATCTCTTTGGAAATGCAGGCCCAAGATTTCATCGGAGAGAGGTGTGAATTCTGTCTGGTACAAATCCAGACATTGAAGATTTTTTTTGTTGCACATCGCAACCTTTTGTCCTCCTCCTCCTCCTGCTCCTCATCATCCTCATCCTCACCACTATCCTAGAATGTCTGGTCGTTTTCGGAGGATGATACTTCGTATTCGATGGACTATTATGGTGTCATGCGACATAATGGGCGGGGGACCAACTTTGATGAGTGTCCTACAGCGAAGTGAATCGGCGAATGAATGATTGGAAAGTGTGATGAGGTTGAGGAGAGGAACATTTTTGGGAAAAGATCCATTTCCTGCGTAATTCATTAGAGGAGGCTTTGAAGAAATCTCATCGGATTCTCAATAGAGGAAAACTCTTAGATCAGCTTCGTTGATTCTCATAACATAGCCTCTTTAATATATCTGATGAAATGAGCATTCTATTGTTGCAAGTGCACCAATTTCCACCTCTTATCTTGTCCTGCTTGCCTCAGCCATTTACATTTTGATTGCCATATTCAAGAGAGGTTTCCTCCCACGGAGAGGAAGTGTGGAAGCTGTATTTACATCTTCAGAATTGAGAAGCAACAAGTGAGATTATGGGTTAGCTGGAAAGAGAAAGAGGACAGCGAATGATGACCAGATGAAGTCCATTCAAACCCAAACCTATTCTACCAAGATCTCCCTCTAAGAACCAAAGCATCAACTTCTCAAAACCCCCATCCCTTCACATAAAACAACATCCCCACCTCTTCTCCTCCCTTCTGCCCATCCTGGCCAAGATAGCAGACCTCGTCAAATGCGCCTGAAAAGCATCTTCGTCACCAGCATGAAAAGATTCAAAGGAGTGTTCGCTTTCGGTATCTTTCTTTGGCTCCGGGGTCCTCCCACGACGTCGTATTGAAAAGAAGGCTTCGTCGCCGGTGTGGAATGAGAAAGAATCGAAGGAGGTTTTGCGTTTGGTTTCTTTCGAGGGTTGTGGTGTGCTGTCGTCGTGTAGCGTTCTAGATCTGCTTGTGGGGATTATGGAAGACGGGTTCGCTGTTTTGTTGAGCTTCATGGGGTTGTTCTTGAGGGTGTTTTGATATCTCTCGGCTTCAGACCTGGCTATTGATATCTCGTTGTAGACTTCGTTTGTATCATACCTACTGCCTACACTGGTGTTGTCGTCCGTCTCGGGTCCAGCAGAGCTTTGTGGTACAGGCTTCCGTGTCACGGGTCTTCGTTCTTTCTCGTTGAGTCCTTTCGAGATAGGTAAGGGGACTGAAGTTGAAAGTGGTGGTTCGGAAAACGCATTGTAATGGGGCTTGTTGGTTTGCTTGAGGGGGTAGGTGCGAGCATGGTCAGTATGAGATGTTGGTGAACTTGATAAGCTGGAAACAGATAGAGTTTGTTGTGCTGCATATCTGTCAACGGAGCGGGAGAGGGACATGTTGGGTGTGGTAGTCTGGACGTGAAAGGTGTGAGAAATTATGTTGCTGACTATGATTTTTATGTTGTATTGGGGGTCTTTTTGAGTTATATACTTAATTGTGACATTCTCGAAGCATCTTGTTGCTCGACCTCATATGACAGGATGTGCCGGATTCTTTATCAAGGAGAGTTTCAGTCCTACTATCCACTATTGAGCAGCAGATGCTTGCAGTAACATGTATGCTAGCTATCCTTGTCGAGATTTCAGAGTCAGGCTGGAGAGTGCAGTCCTTTCGTTGGGAAGCACTTGTGAAAAAGTAAGTCCAAGTTGGTTGGAGAGAGGAAGTTCTCAAGTAAGGGTCTAGCAACGCGACAATGAAGATAGGCAACGAGACTTCTTTTGACCACTCCGTTGCATCTCAGATGAAGATTACGATAGTACTCTCTCTTTCGCAGTACTACCTACAGAGTGAAGAGCTTGAAGGAATATTCACGTGATCGTCGCTACTGAAGTAAACCAATATGTTCAGAGATATAAATTATGCATTTTCTTTTCAACAATCACTTGGAAATGTGCAAATAATATTTTCGTATTCTCAAATGAAATCTATCCATCCTTTTATTTCAGTATCCTCCCCTTTGCCTCCAGTGTCACTACTCTCAATGCTTTACTTTCCCCGCCAGCACCCATATGTACCACCATCTAGCTAGGTCTACAGTACTTCGTCGGTGACGTTGGATCGTCATAAACAATCTTCTGCGTCGTCGTTGTCCGGGTCACGTTGCTCTTGACTCTTCTCAGTTCGTTCTGTCCGGGGGCTGGGTTGTTGGTGGTTGTTTGAGTGGTGGTTGTATATTCGTACGTGGACGCAGAGTTGTTATTGCTGAGTGTATTCCCCATGATGGAGTTTGTTGAGTGAGTCGAGGGGAAGATGGAAGCTTGTTCGAAGGTTGGTGGGATGGAAATGTGGTTGGAAGGAGAGTGGAGATGTGGATGATGAGAATGAATATGATTTATGCATGTAGCTGAAGCCGAAGATTATATATATACACAATCCTGATGCTTTCGTTCTTGGAGTTAGTTTGACCACTTGAAACCTTTTGTGGCGCAAGTTTTTTATTCTAGTTTTAGTCGTGAGCGCAAAACATCATGGCAAAGAGTCCCCCATTGTACTACTCATCCTCAAACACCAAACCAATCATGGAACCCAATAATGGAACCCTGTATCACCTGTAAAGTTCGTGAGTAGAGGTTGCAATCCACATTGGCTGTCACCTTGAAAAGGTCCGGATTCATTTAACAAAGAGAATCTAGTGAAACTTGCATCACTCTTTCCTTTATTCTACCAGAGAGGACTCTTTTTGGAATGCAAGGCGGTTACGCGTGACCGTGATTGTTCCTCGCTCCAGAGACATCTGTAAATCCTGGACAATGGAATCGAGCTGACAACACTAGAATCAGGCTCTCACTATGTTGCCCGTGCAGTTTGTATTTCATCAAAGGTCAAATGATGGAACTTCTTGCCAAGGAGGCCAGGTGCTTAGATACGTAAAAGGGGGCGAATTCGGCTAAAATATTTCGCCACTCGCTTACAAGATGATCCTTCCCCTCTGCATAACTAGCTATTCTATTGGCTGCAACTCTAGGTGACCTTCTGCCATCAAGAGTTTCAGGCAGCAGTCAGATAGAATATATCAAAATAAATTCTTTGAACCAACGTTCTTCACTACATCTCATCATCCATCATGCCTTCATATTCTAGCGGACAATTCTACCACGACTGGCGATACGCCATTAAGAAGGATTTCGCCGACCCTTCTGGAGAACCCGTCAAGTATGCTCAAGATGGCTTCAGAACATGGGGTCGCGAACTGCACAAGATTCCACTTTCAGAAGCTCCGAATGGAGTATCAGTGAACACCGATGGCAGCCTCATAGCAATAGCAGCAAAGGAAGATATTCTCATCTACGACACGACCAGTTTCTCTCAAATCATGGTCCTGAAAGGTCATGTTTCCAGAATAGATGCTTTGGCCTTTCAACCAGGGAAACCTAAGGTCTTGGTTTCATCAGCGCAAAATAACTATGCAGGTTCAGCTCCTGCAGAGCCTACTATCATATTCTGGGATCTCGATGAGCAGAAGAAGCATCCCATAATGGAAGATAGCGAGGTACTGAAGATCGCAAACCAAGCTAAAGACAATATTGTCAAGAACCTCCAAGAGGCTCAAACACGGATTGAATTGTCGACTGAGGAAGAAGGAAGACTAATTTCAGCCATCGAGCCTGTCATATCGCGCATCGCCAAGACTCATAGCGTTGTGAATCGAAAATTCATTCACGGCCGCCTCCAAGGCTCTTTCCAGTCCGAGATCTTCAGTCCATCTGGTTCGCATTTTATCTACTTGCCGGGTAATCGACCTATCTCCAATGGCAAAGACGCTTGGGACGTCAAGATCTACTCGATGACCACCAACGAAGACGCCTTTACCTTGATCGGGCATACCGATTGCTTGATGTGGATGGGCTACAGCCCCGATGAGAGCATGATTGCTACTGTAGCCTGGGACCAAAGCATGCGCATTTGGGATGCCGCGACTGGGCAACAAAAGTACGTCTTTGAAACAAAAGGGCAGAATTGGACGGGCGGTTTCTCCCCGGATTCTACAAAATTCGCTGGTACCTGCGGGAATGGCACGTTTTACGTTTACTCAATGGTCGATGGCACCACACTTGTGGAGCATACACCAGAAGCAGGACGCGGTTGGATGCGAGCTCTGGATTGGTCTGCCGACAACAACTTCGTCGCAGTAGGTGGAGGACATGGAGCTGGCTCAGGAATACTATTTCTGTACGATGTTGAGAAGAAGCAGGTTACCCAAGAACGGATTCTTAGCACGGATGCATGCAAAGTTGATCAGGACACAAAACGGTTTCTGGGCGGCTTTCTTGAGTGCTGCAAGGTTCGGTTCGTGGATGGAGGAAGAAAGGTTGCTGCCTTAACTGGGGGCGATGGCGGGATCGAAACGTATGATTTGAACACTTGGGAGAAGTGGCGCTTCACAAGACCTGGTATTGATCCAGAATCTGAGGAAGATGTTAACGAAGATGAAGGGAAGGCTGAGGAGAGTACTGAAAAGGGACAGAAGAAAGAGAAAGAGAAAGCACACGGAGGCTACGCTATGCAAGTTTGGGAGGATCAAAAGATGGGAAAGGTATTCATTGCTAGTATGGACACCGATGCAGTGAGAATCTGGGATGTCCTAATGACGATGGGGAACGAGTCTTGATTATTTGGAACTGAAACAATAACATGTCTGAATTTACTTTGGCAATAATTTCAACTTTTGCTTGCTGCAATAGGCTGCTCAATAAATCAAAACATTGTCATCATGTGCTAACTCCATTTGAAAGGATAATGCTCGAGTTCACTCTCTTCCCTTTGTCCTAGAATACAACTTAACCTTTGAGCTAAACATAGATCAATAACAAAGAACAGACTTTCATACAAAAGTGCTTCGGTCTCTTTCACACACCAGGTACTGAATGTATCAAGTTTCCCGCGTCTGAGACAATTCCCCGCACCCGAAACCCCAATCAACGTTGAGACTGTAGCTAATAATGTCGAGTGACTACAACCCACCCATGGGTCAATTCTGGGATGTCCACTACTCCAACTCTTCGTCCGCTTTACGGAAAGCCAAACGGAGACAAGATTCTCTAGGATCAATTGATGCTTCTCAATTCCCCACTATAGAATCGAATCAGAAGTCTCATCCCGAGTCTCAAACAGCGCATTATCGTAAATCCCGCCCACGTCGAACGCCTCCTTACGTGGCGGACTCCCAGAAGCGAAAACATTCAGTATCTATCGAGGATCTAGAACATCAACTGTCAGTCGAAGAACTCGAACGGCCAGAGACACCAACATGGGATCAAACAGCAGAGCCCAAGAGGAATAGAGAATATCAAGGATGGCACTTGCAATTTACACCGACTCAAAGACCTGCGATGGCCGTGGCACACCCTCAATGTCGGGAAGGGACTGAAGTGAGATTCGATTCTCGGCACTTCAATGAATTCCCGAGACCGGAAGGTAAGAGGAAACGTTGCTTGGCTTGTGGAGCGCTGTTGGGGTATTATAGATCTGAGGTGGACATCTACGGGAATGGGGAGGCGTATGACGAGGGACCTTTCTGTGAATATGGAGATGAAAGAGAGTACGTGTGAAAATTTTGATATCGGGGCGAGATTCCTCATTTTTCTGGAGATAAAATCAAACTAAATAGTATTCTCACTACCAACCGTCTGGATTCTACGTGGTGATTTGCAATCATGTTTTTCGGGCTTATAATGACTGGCACCAAGCCTCTCAGAGAGCTTTAATTGATCCCTATTAAGAAGACCTTAATGAGGTCTGATAAACGTTCTACTGAGATTTAAGATAAGGACGTTGACGCTTTTACAAAAACAAGAGTGTTTGTCTTAATGTGAAGCACTCGAACAATGCAAATCTGGATTTCGCATAAACTTTGAATCAAATCTATCAAAGAGTATGGCGGAGGCATAAACCTTCAGCTTCATCCAAGGTTTTGTTCAACAATGAGACTCCTTACATAGATATAAGACTCCTTCGCCTTGCCACATTCTCAGCTCCTCATCTACACATACTTTTCGATTGATAGGTATTGCTTGATTCATAACTCCACAAGCTCGAACACTAACTTTAAGCCCGCAACAACTCCGCGTCCAAAATCAAAATCCATCAACATCTCTACAATAATGTGCCCCTGCTCAGATCGAGGTGGTCTCTTCAAGCGCTGCAGAGTCTGTGGCCGCTGGCACCACGAGGATGAGTGCATCGAGGAGTTTATGGGTACAATCTGTCACGATTGCGATGAGGAGAGAAAATCTTACCGCATGCTTTATGCTTGTTGCACACAATAAATGAAACAATATGGAGCCAACGAAGAGAAGGGGGGTGCTTTGTGTTTTGGCTTTACTTAGATAAGCAGTGAAGTTGTTCCGCCCACTTTGCTGTGTCTGGAATTTCAGTTCATTTCATTTCACTCTCGAAGCGCGCTTACTCCAGAACCTCTTTGTGATGCTTAGAGGAAACATAATGTGAAGTGATACCGAGTTACAGGCTCCCCAGACGCCTCGCTTAAAAAGGGGGCGGGGTAAACGCAAACCACCGCATTCTTCTCTTGGTGCCCTTTTGAGAAATTGTCTGTTAGCTTGAGTCAAGCCAAGAAAGCTATATTGTGAAATGATCTTGCAGTTCATTCTAGAGCTATAAAGATTCGAACAAAGTTGGGCATAAAATACCGTGCCCAAAGCAAATGGCTCGGTGCAGTTGCAATTTGTTTTATGTCTATTTGTTTCATTGTGACGCATGGAAAAACCAAGAAATCATTCGAGTCTAGGACTCGAAGTCAAAAGACTGAGTTGTAACGAACAAAGAAGTTCGACAAAAATATAAGAAGAGACATAGTCTCAGTATGTTACACCCTCGAGTCTGAAAACGGGAAGTTCGTCATCTGGTGGTGACGATGACTGTATATAAAGGCGAACATTGCCTTTCTGCTCAATTCCGTTTCCAAAATCACCCCAGCATACCAATTTATATACGCCCCGAGAATAATCTTACAGTTCAGACTTCTTGAACAGCAACACAGATGTATCAACAAACTGACCTCCGCCGGCGATGCCACTTTTGCAATACATTCCATAAACAACCTGATCACCGCTGCCCAAGCCTTCAACCGCATATTCCAGTACGATGTCCGCACTGCGGCACGATGATACAGACCTCCTATCATATCGGACACTACGGTCATCATTGTCCGGGACGGTAACAGGTCGCGAAACAATGACGAAGACAGCAAGCAGTACGAAGATGACTCGGGGGCTGTGATGTTCAGACAGAAGGAAGACAGACGGGGATAACTCACATTCGAATTAGAACTAGATATAAATTGATGGTTGACAATTCTCAAGACAGTGAACTCCATTATTTTTGGGGCTTCTCATTTGCAGTCCGAATTGCAGTCCGAATTGCTGTCCGAATTGCTGTCGAGAACTGCTTTTTGTAAAAACTGACGCCAAAAACATCACCCTAAGCTTTCCCTTACTACGCCACTACCAGCGGTACTACTTATTACACCCGCCTAGTATATACCCCGTTTGTGCTGCTCAATATAGTTATCCAATTTTGCCTTGTTGTATGCCCATCGCGGTACTCCTCCACCACCAAAGTTATCCAAGATAATCCCAATATAGTCTGTAATCGCACCCAGAGTCTCCGTATCGAATGGACTTCCATCTGCGGCAGCAACAAGCACAGTTCCAATACCTCCTTGCCAGTGTGGTGGCGCAAATCCAGACTCTGGGTCAATGTTCAGCCATGTCGCATGATGATTCTCTGTATCCTGCCCGAGCGGTAAATTCTCCACTAAACGTGACATGACGAGCGGATATCCGAATTTTGCAGTAATAGGTAGGGCTCGGGTTCTGAACATGGCATAATTCGATGGCACGGAGACATCTTCGTAGCGGACGTTTGAGGAGTGGATCTTGGCGCAAGAGATAGATTGAGGTTCGGAATTCCGCGGGAACTTTTGGAGGAATTTGCAGTAGGTTTTATGGACTGACCAGTTGCGCTTCTGACAATCTGTACTACAGTAATAGGTGGTTCTGCAGGCTTTGCAGTGCGAGAGGCTGGGTTTCGAGCAAGATTCGCAAAGCTCCTCGTTCGCTGTTTGCTCTGTCGTTGCCATTCTTGCTGTATCGTGAATCGCAGATCGTGCTGTAATTCGGGGTATGCGTGAGGATAGGATAAGCTGTACCAAACGGTAGAGAGTGCGTTGAGGCGGAAGTACAGTAATTGGTTTTTGGTTGGTGGGTCCTCAGCCTCGCCGATCAATACCTTGAGCTTTTGAAGTTGAAGGATAGTCAGTAAGAAGTGTGCAAGCATGTACATAGATTCTCAACCTTAACTTGAACTCTCTCGACATGATCACTTCACCTTCTTCTCCAAAATAATCACGTAGCGGTGGCTTAAGCGAAGTTTAGCCTATTCACTTTAGAGAATTTCGGCTTTGGTACTCCATTTTGAAACACGATTTACTTTGGACCAATCTATGGATGGATATCTATGAGTATTTGGCTTCGCATGATTAGTACCTGGTCTGACAACCTTTCTTTGTTGATCATTCCTTCCTTCGATAAAGCAAGGCCGAGGAAAGCCTGGTCACCACTAGCTCGAATCCGACAAAGAAACATCGATCACTTACACAAGTCAATGGCTATACTCTCATCCAGTCTTCAAATTTGATTTCAATGCCCTACTACTTACTTCGCCATTTCGAGATGTCTTCGGAAGTCCCAAAGTCTGAGAGTAAGTATAGTTCTCAAATGTGCTGTTCTTTGACCAACATTCTGAGCAACTTAAGTACTCGGATGCCTATACCTGCCAGCCTCCATGAAATAGATGCTCATAGGTATGAGATTTCCATGAAACGACAGACCATTCGGGCTGATGAATATTCTCAAGACCTAGGATTTCACACACACTTTTCATCTCAAACTCTCATCTCATGGAAGAAAAGAATTTGCTGCCAACAAAACACTAGGTGCCGAGCGCCCTTCCATATACTCCCCATCATCAACCTTCATTCATACATGAAGCTCAACTCTTTCAAATCTTCACCTCTACCCAGCAAGAACCAGCATGCAACTAATTGGCAATAGCCTCTCTTTGACATGAAGGAGCTGGTATCTCATGAAGCGATGAACAATGACTCGATTGTAAGAGCGGAGATTCAGACTCAACCTTCAGCGTCAATCAACAATCTCATTGTATCCACAAAGACACATCGTCCAACACAATGTCTGTCAACATTTTCTTTCAACATAGCGAACAATGCCATCAAAGGTCTATTGATCGCCTCAAAGAGCTTCTTATTACCTTTCATGAGGTAACTACTCTTCACAATATATAACAAGCTCTCTATCACCCACAATGTCCCAGCATACACAATCATATTCTTCACTCACTCAAACACTCAAACACTCAAACACTCAAACACTCAAACACTCAAACAATCACATTATACTTATATACCTTCTCTACACTCTTTATCACACTTAGATTCACGGTAAAAACAGAACTTTACAATGGCATACAAAGGAAAGAACGATAACGGTAAGAAAGGTGGTAATAAAGGCGCTGGCGCCAAATCAGGAGGAAACGGAGGCGGTAAGAAGCACTGCGACAACTGTGGACCAAACAATACCCATGTAACAGCAGACTGCTTCAAAAACAAGAAGAGGTCCAACGATACCAAGCAGAATCCCAAGACTAAGGATTCGGCAAAACCACCTTCGAGACCTTGTTCTCATTGCGGAGGCCCACATTACGATAACCAATGCCCAAACAATACCGGTGGACAAACGAACAAGCCTCAAAACGGTAAGACGCCATCAAGACCTTGCAAGCATTGTCAACAGTCCGGTCACTTTGACTCTGCCTGCCCAACCCTAACAAACAATGCCTCTTCCACAGTTCCTTGGCAAAATCAGAATCAACCATTCAATCAGCCCTGCCCCTCATGCGGCCAAGCCCATCACTGCAACCAGTGCCCAAATAGACCTCAGCTGCCACAAGGCCAATACGTGCAGACAACCACGGAAGTATACGGCCAGCTCGGAGCACTCATCAATGCTCTCCAAGCAAATCCTTCTCAAGCAAATGCCATTATCGGAGAATGGCAAGGAGTTTATGGTCAACAGCAGCAACAGCCCGCAGCACCAATTTTCCAGCAACAACAACCACAAGCCCCGGCTTTTAGCTTACAGCCTCTTGCGGTATGGCATAATAATGGTGAGGACGTGCACTTTGCTCAGCCGTACGAGGAGACGAGTATGTTTGGACAACAAGCAGAGCAGCGGGGTACGTACATGCAGCAGTGGCATACTAACTCTACTAACTTTGGAGCTGTACCGGATGCGATGGATAGGGATGGTGATGTGGTTATGAGTGAATGGGATTATCTTGGATGAAAGGTAGGTTAATTGGATTGCGAGGGCTGGACCCAGCATCTTTGATGATAGTGATTGTAATCGAGTCTCGAATTTTTCCCCACAAAGCAATTTTCCCGTGCAAAATGAATGTGATAGAGGTGATCAAATCAATGATCGTGTGCATCGAACAGGCATAATTGCTGTGTACATCGGTGCCTCATATGTAATTTTGTAAGTTAAGATTGACTAAACGGCGTTTAGTTTTGACAACTAATATAACAGCTGTGTAGTTCTCAAAACTGAGACAGTCAGCTGATAGCGAAATCAAACGAAAGTTTGACTTGACCATCCGATATGTTTTTAAAAGTGGAAGGGGTGGTGCGCCCTCTTTTACCCGAAACCTCTTTCTTAAGCTTTAATAGCCTAGGATACTTTACTATTACTCACTAACTTAGGGTGCAACAGGTGAGAGCTCGCTCGGGGGCTTCGCCCCTTCGCTCGCATTCACTACTGTATTAAATGGGTACTTTGAAGCTTTGAAAGTATTGATTTTGAGAGTACTGACTTTGAGAGTACTAAATTTGAGAGTACTAACTTTGAGAGTACTAACTTTGAGAGCTCGATGTTAAACTAACTGAAAGCCCGAATCAAAGACGGGCCGCTTTTTTGGTCAGCTGATACTGTAAAGCTTTTAGTCCCACTCGCCTTGGTTTTGTTAGCTGACATTAGACTTTTAAATCCCACCCGCTAAAAATCCTCCACGCTTAATCCCCTTACCAAGGTTTCGGGAATTAGTAAGAAAAAGAGCTACCAAAAATGGCAAGGCAAGTAAGTGTAAGCGTAAATGAGGCATTAGACAATATTAAAAAAGGAAAACTCAAGATCTAAAAAAACTTCAAGACTTCGAAGTAAAAGTGACTCTCTTCGAACTCAGTAGTATTGTGCTTACTCGAGGCAAGGCTGTATGCTCGTCGTTAGCGCCACTTGAGCAGCCTCACTTGCGTATAAAAGAACCCCCCATCTCTCTTCCTCCTCTTTCACTCCATCCGCACTACAACTTTTTCTTACCCAGTCCCCACCGAAGTTCAACATCCACTTTGATTGAGCTAACGCAACTTGACTTCAAGTCTCTTCAATACGACTTACTCTTCTCTCAACCATCACCACGCACTCTTACCTTCTCTATCCTCTCTGACTTGGCCTTCCACTTTCTTTATCTTCAATTCATTGCACTTGAGCTTTGATCGCTCTCACCACTCTACCAAGGATCACAATTGCAACACAAAGGACTTTCAGCTTTCAACTTTTTACTCACGATCGTCAGACTCTTGGGCATAACCTGAACTCGATTTCGTCTTGTTCCATTGCTAGACAAGTTTGATCTTCTTTAACTCAAAGTTGAGGTCAATTGAACTCACTTTCTTGCTTATCTCACTACTACTCACTATCACCCCCCAAAACGCCCCAAGGACGTTGCCAAGTAGTCAAGCAGTCTTTTCTGTTGTGGATTCTTAGCTAACCTTTGGCTGAAGCAGAACGTCAAAAGAATTAGGATGTCTCATGACTCAAGTGGAACGAGAACCCCGCTATCCCAGTGTTTGTCACCCCAGACAGCTAAGAGAACTTCTTTTCTAACAACGTGTTTATCACAGTTCGTTCTTGGATCCCGCGTGTGAGTACCAAGTGGGAGTCTTCCAGCATGCCGGAACCAAATGCTTCCGATGGCAGTGCCTCAGACCCCATTGCCAACCCCGACCCTGAAATTGGCTTCGCGAGTGACGAGGAGGATGGCGATAATCGCGTTGCGAAGAAGCTTCGACTAGATTCTGAGAAGCTAAGTTCCTCTCAAGAACTTGTGCAACATCATGCCATGGAGAAGTCGATGGACATTGTTGATGATTCTGAAGATGAAGCCCCCACCCTCATTGTTGGGCCAGATGAGGATGACGAGGATATCGAAGAGGATGAGACTATCGAGAAGCAGACTGAGACCTCGAAAGAAGAAGAGGAATCGGCGGCCCTAGTGGATGAAGAAGAGGCACTCGACTTGAAGCTTAACACACCTGGCACATCTCGTGTGGTGGACGATTCCTTATATGACGGTTATATGTCCGATGACGAGATCCCACCGGGGACAGCACTTCCGGCATCGCAACAAGAGTCTTCGAAAAAGCGGAAGCTCAACGACTTCAATGTTTCGAACAAGCGGACAGCAGAGCTATCGAAATATGAGATAGCACAAGGCAAGCTGTACAAGCAACTCCATGACAATATAATGTTCAACCTTCTCCTGGTCAACCGTCTAGCCGAGAAATTGAACTCCACCCACCAGCCAACAGATCTTGCACAGCTTAAAGAAGTGGTGGAGCAGATGCAGGTGGATTCCCGTGCTTGTATGGAGAAATACAAGAATGCGACGGAGAGGAAGAAGTCCCCAAACAACAATGTTCCTCATCCAAAGACTGCAAAACAAATTCTCGAGCGCCTCAAAGGGGAAGAAGACAACGCAAATCCTTGGGGCACAACGCCAGAAAAGTCCGAGGAACTGCCAGACTTCGCCTTTCGTGTTTTTCACGATAAAAGCCAGTCAAGAATCGTTGATGACCGAGTTGGCTTCCAGTCTGCTAAAGCATACGGAGTCCTGAACACTGCCGCCCTGCGGAAGATCAAGATCGAGCGTCACGCCAACTGGAAGAATAGATTCTTGACCTCCTTTATCTCAATGTCTGATAGTCTGCCACACCTCATCGAGTACTTCATCCCTAAATTTCAAGAGAAATACAAAATCAAAAAGAATCCGGACAATACAAAATTAACATTGATCAATATCAATGCAAGAACAGCAGCAAAATACCCAACAATTCCAATGGGCAAGCAAGCAGGGTATTATAATGTTCGACTGGGTTCGGGCAAGATCTTCGATGCCGAGTACCTTGCTCTGTGGGAAATCACGCCGCCGCAGATCGTTTGCAAAATGGTATATGGAGGAGGTTGATGCTTGGATGGACACCTGGAAGAAAGCTAACCGGCTTGCTTTGAAGAGAGGAGAGAGGCATTCAAGTGTTTACATCGGAGCTAGCGACTACTGGCTTGGTAAGGACTTGCGAGCAGCATTGCTAGCTGCGGAAGCCTTTCAAGAGCAAGTCGCAAAGCCAGCTTACGAGAAGCATGAGACTGCGAGGCTTGCTGCGGTTGCTGCGGATGCCGCAAAGGAAAATTGAATGAGGAACATTCGCTGTGTTTGTAGTTTGGTAAGCTCACCCCGAGAACACAAGAAGCGGAGAAAACTGGGTATGAACCAAAGGGCTGGCAGGACCACAAAAATAACAACAAGACAATCATATCAGCATCGTTTTGGCAGGCGCAAAGTAGGAGACTTTTTCTTTGGTACCACTCGATGGTCCATATTCAGAAGTTGCCGAAATCGTCATCAACAATAGCAAACAATAGCAATAGCATAGCAAGCATGAAAACAGAACTAATGAAACCGTACTGGTAGCCTTGAGGCAGTCAATCTTGGTGAAAAGTATGTGCAAGCAAATAATCATAAGTGAACTTCCTCCGGCGTACAATTGCGTACAACAGAGGTTTGATGCTTCCTGTTCACCCAACATGTGTTGGTTCGTGTATCCCGAGCTCTCCATCTGTGAAATTCCTAGCCGATTTTGGCACTCGAGAACGCTAAAATGTCCTGTACCAACTCCAGCATTGCACACTATTGCATAGTTCGTTTCTAATTAGGTTCAAGTTCTGACTTATCAAGAAGCTATTCTATATTCTCATTAAAAAATATTACACATAAACTTAATTTGTTGTGCGCAATACTTTACATTTTGTGAATTTAGGCCCTATCGCAATTCGGCCACGAATTTCACCGATGGAGAGCCCGAGTTCAATAACTACTCAGTCATAAGCTCCGGCACGGATCAGAACAATCAATTATCAAACCTCGCTAAGCAGTATTGAAGGCGCAATCAATCTCGATCTCAAATGAAGTGCCGGCGGCTCTTGCACCAGAATAAGAGACGTGGGGTCGCCAAGTGGAGAGTCGTGTTCTCTTTCATTCCAAGTCAGTGCTGGTGGAGAGTTTCTGAAGCACTGGCCGCGACGACAAACACCCGACAAAAGATTCACCTGTAACCTCAATCTGCCACCAGGCAACACTGCGGTCTTTGTGCCAGCAGAGTATGAATATTCATTATTGCGGCGTGCGTCCCCCAACGGTCATCGACAACCAAACGTCTTTTTCCCATATTTGAATGGACAGGTGTGATTCGTTCCCCCTGAAATCCCCAGACCGCCCAGCCACCAACCATCACCCCTGCCGCTCAGCCTTGAACCCCATAAAGTAGCAGTTATGAGCGGCGTGAGATCTTCAGCAAGCTCGCAGAGGGCCTTCCATTCCCCTTTGCCTTTGCCTTCGCCTTCTTCCTTCCCTCCTACGCCGCGCTCCCGAGGAGGCCTCAGAAGCAAGCTGGCGAAGTTCAGTATCATGAAGTGGTTCAACAAGAACAAGCACAAGAAGTCGCATTCGACCGGCCAGCATTATGCTGCCAACCCTAGCTTCCCGGCGAGGACCCCGCCGTCTGCGACAAGTCAAAGTCAAATCGTCGCTCGTCTCCCTGATCCCATCCTAGAGCGCATCTTCACCTTCGTGTGCCCGCATTCGCAGGACGAGACCTATGAGGACTGCGAAAAGTCAAGCATCGAGGATACCTGCATGCTATGCGACCTGCGCGATCTATCTCACTGTGCGCAAGCCTCAAAACGATGGCGGGTCCTAGCTACAAAAGTGCTGTAAGTATCGTCCGATGACTCCTAGCCTTGCATGGAGGCTTGTGTACTGATGGCGTCGCTGTAGATACCACAGCGTACGCATTGATTCTGTACACTACTGTCCTCAAGAAGAGATCCTCGCCGAGAAGCGCAAACGCAAGTCGTTCTACAGTCGAAATGCGGAACCCGAAGATACGGCTGCTGCGAGGCTGAGGCTCCTGGCTCGGACATTGCGAAGCTATCAGGGGACATTGGCATTACATGTACAATACATGAAGATCCCGTATATGACGAGGGAGACATGCAAGCCTGATCTTGCTCGCGCGGTCGCTGTGTGTCCGAATCTGAAATATGTTGATCTTCCGGACGGTCTCTATACCGATGATCCCTCTTGCCATGGTCTGAAGCAAGAAGTACAGGCACGATGTCCGGATCTGCGAAAGATGTCTTACATTGGAGGAGCTGAGAGAAGTCTGGAGATCCTTGCCAGTGGACAAGTCTGGCGGAATCTGGAGGTGTTGGAGCTAACCAAGTTGAATATGGACTCGAACATTATGCGACAAGCACTCGGCTCTCTTCCGAATCTCCATGCTCTTAAGGTCACCGACATGAAAGCATTTCACGATGATTTATTCAGACATAGCGACATTCTTCCTCCTTTTCCGATTCTTGCCGAATTGAGCTTCGAGAATACTCCGAATGTCACAGCAGACGGACTCACTGCGTACCTCTCTAGGCCTGACACAGCAAATGCTCTGAAGACCTTGTTGTTGACAGCCACAGGCATAGTTCCTGGAACTTTGCATCAGATCCTACTTGCTGCTCCAGCTCTGCGGCACTTGTCTCTTATTGAGTCTGTGACTTCTTCATTCCCAGCAAGCAGCAATGTACCTACCCTACAATCAAGATCCCTGGAGACATTCCATTACGAGATCACTTCCGGCACTTCTGCAAATTCATATGCCAGCACAACTGCAAGCTATTACAACTACCTCACTAGGTCGCTTATGTCAGGGGGCTTGCCAAATCTGAAAGAACTTTATGTTCGAGGTAAGTCAATATTCGATGATACCAAGATCGCTTTCGCTGACAAGATTCAAGATCCCGACTTCCCTGAATCCCTCGTTGACTTCAGACCTCCTGCCGCCCCATTTATGTCTGATCCTGACAACTTCACACCTCCAATGAGCCCATTTTTAGGCAATCCGAATAGATTCAGCTCGAACAATCCGTTTGCAAAGATGCAAACCGGGTAATACTTCCTTCTCGTCTATTCAACCACACAAGCTAACTCAGTACAGACCGGGTCTCAGTCAGGATTTGCAAGTTTACAGCAAGGGTCTCGACGAGGAAGAGTGGAACTTCTCACGTGTTCAACCACCAGCGCGAGGCAGGCGGGGCAGCGCATCAGCGCCACGGCCAGTCAGTAGCTACGGACTAGGTGAAGGTTTGGGGAGAGCTTGGACTCAACAGGCGGGTGTCAGGAAGAGCGCCATTGTCGGGAATGGATTTGGTGGGTTGCTTGCTGTACCTGCCGATGCCAATGGCCGACCGAGCAGTTCGGCTGGTGAAAAGAAACGAGGCAGTACCTACGATATGTGGCGATAGAGTGCCGTTGCCAAGGTGGCCCAAGAGATGTATTTTTCTTGCTGCATGGATACTCGCATTTGAATCTTTTCCAACCATGAAGTGGTGTCGGCGACCTTGGGCATGGTAGAGATTTCTACCTTTTGTATTTGTACGATTGGGGGCATTCTGCTTTGAGCATTTGCGCGGCATGGCAGAGTTCTCTTCGTGTAGCTATATACCCACGAATTACGAGCATATCGCGAATACAATGGGTTTTAACGGTCCCCTGGACTTATGCAGGACTCGAGTTATTGATGCTCTTAAAAATGTTTTACTGCGGAGCGAGCTGGCTCATAAGAAGTATTGAATTTATTGGTGTCAACAACATTCGATTGCTTGACATTTTCTCGAACATGTACCACATCAACATCAGACTCGAAGCTTTCACGTCGGACAACATGAAACTTTTGGCCGAGCTTCTGGTTCATCCCAGCCACCAAGCTCTGGTGTTCCCCACCTTTCACGGCCACTAAGCAGATTCCGGCTTGGCAGGGACCAGGCCTTCTCCACTGCAGCTCCCTCTTATCCATTGGACCTCACACACACCGCTATAACCCTTACCTATACCAACCACCGACCGAGGACCCGAAAAAGAAAAGGTAAAACAGATCTTGCTGGCCATCTTCCTTCTTCTTTGTTGCTCTTCAAATCCCTCTTCTCTTCATCTCAATTGAGCTCTGTTCATCCTTTTCAACCCCATTGATTCAAGAAGAGAGTTCGACAAGATGTCGTACGAACAGCAATATCCCACCCCTCCACCAACGTCCTCTCCTAAGCACAACACCTCGACCTATCACCCATTCTCTCCCAAACTGCCCGCACAAGAGACGTATTATCAAGAAACCCAACCGGGTCCTAAACTACCAGCTCAAGAAACATATTACAAGCAGTCCTACAGCACACCGGCTTCTCCAACGCACTGGTACGTTAGACTCCGGCCTTGTATCTTCATCCCTCGAGTCGAAGTACTCGAGAATCACTAAGGAGCTGAAGAGCAATTCTTGTCAAAGACAAAGAAGCTTCAACTAATCCAATTGCTCCTCAGCTCTTAAGACCACCATTAAAACCTCTGCTAACACATCCACAGGGACCCTTCCTCCCATCCACCCGCAGACCACCCAGTAGCCACCACAACAACAAACTACGACTACCTCCCCCCGCGCCGAAAATCCTCCCCCATCCAACCAACCACAAAGCCCACCAACACAAACCCATACTACAACCCCTCCTTCCCGAGCAAAACCTCGCCCCTCATTTCCCCCACAGGCCACCGCCCCTCCTCCCGAACAAAAGTCCGCACGCCCCCTCCACGACCCATATACTTCTCCCCCACAAACCCCATCCCCACACCCTACAACGCGTCTCGGCCATCGCCTCGCCCGGGCTTCTTGTCTCGAATCAGCGCGTTCTTGCGACGGATAGTGAAATGGGCGCAGAAGAACCCGATTAAGGCTGGTCTGGCCTCGTTCCTACCGGTACTGGCTGGAGCGGGATTAATTAGAGCTGGCAAGGCGTTGGGGCTCGGTCCTGCGTTTGCGGGGGTGGCGAAGCTGTTGAGTGGGTTGATGGAAGGGATGGGTGGTGGGAAGGCGCCTGGGAGCGGGGATGAGTCTGGGAGGGTGGCTAAGGGGGTTGAGAAGGAGGTGAAGAAGGAGTGGGGGTGGGGGATGGATCATTTTGTTGGGTTTGGAGGGACGAAGAAGGGACCGTTGGATGGGATTATGAAGGTAGCGCTGATGGGAGTGTGAGTTTTATTTTCCTTCGCTCTGTTCTTGCGACAGATGAGTTGTTAAGGACCAATGCTGATAACAACACAGGAATCATTACTGCAAACTCACCCCCTCCGCCGTCCCTCGAGCAGCCAGTATACTCTTGGAACTATACTTCCTCGAAGCTAAGAAATAATGATCGCTCTTGGATATCTATACATCTACAAGGAACCAGTCCGAAGTATATACAGTACAGTGCAATTGTACCTTTACCACGATTCACGAATGATGAATACCACCAATACAAAATCTATCTCAGAGCCATGCCTCTCCTGAAATATGCACCGTTGTGGAATGCCTGAACGCCAAGACCTTTGACCTGCCGCCGAACCTTGATACCCGGAATCTTGTCTCTTGTTTCCGGTCGGGTGGAGAAGAGGAAATGGATTAAACGACACTTTGTGCATGTTTAGCTACCAACTTCTCGATTTGTTGTAACATATCGTTAATTCGATATGGTTTCGTCGTAACGTCATCCTGTCAATTCTCATTAGCTATATCTCCATCCCAATATCGTCCCAAGTGGGCAAACTCTCCCTTCTCCGAGAAAGGTAGAATGAAAGACAAAACTCACCATCCCAGCCTCCAAACTCATCAAAATCTGATCTTTCCTCGCATTCGCGGTAACGGCAATGACAGGCACATGGCTCTTAAGCCTCTGTTGTCCCTGCAATGTTCGAATCATCTTCACGCATTCAATACCATCCATCACTGGCATTTCAAGATCCATCAGGACCACAGATAGTTTTTCCGCTCCCTCTCCGCCTCTTTTGTCGATAGTTGCGATACCGTCATTAGAGTGATGATTCCCGGAAGGGTTGAAGTCAGCCCAGAACTCCGACCTCTTCAAGAAATCGATGGCTTCTTGTCCATGATTTGCCACATGAACCACATGCCCGGCCTTCCTCAACTGTTTAGTCACAACTTTCTGATTGACCAAATTATCCTCCACAACTAAAATATGGAAGACGGTCTCCTCTTTTTCCTTAGATGGCGCAGGGCTCATCGGAATAGTGTTCTCCATCTCCAGATTTGGCATTTTTGTCCCGTTCTGCAATGCAGAGATCTCCACCGCACAAGCTTCTCTCAATGCATCTTCTCTAACCAGTAGCTGGAATTCCTTGCCGTTTTGGCTATAATCAGTATTTTGGACGTTGGAGGCTGTAGGTGGAGATGTTCTGCGAGTTTTCACGTAGAATTGGAACGTGGAGCCTTTTCCAGCTTGAGAAGCGACGCCGATCTCACCACCTTGCATCTCAACCAGTTGTCGAGAAATGAAAAGACCGAGCCCAGAACCGCCGTATGTCTGATGAGTTTTTGGTGATGCTTGTGCGAAGAGGTGAAACAGTTTCTTGATCTCATTCTCATCTAGACCACGACTGTGTCCTCGACTGTGATGGAGAGAAATATTACTTCACCATCACCCCATTCCGATTTTGAGGTTTGATCTGATGCGTTGTGCGATTTCCGTACATATTGCATACCAAACGCATTCTTCTCGCTGGGTTTGGTGAGAGAAGCGCCCATGGTGATCCTGATTTCTCGAGTCGATTCGGTACGTGTGAATTTTATCGCGTTGGTCATCAAATTTATGAGAACTTGTAGCACCCGACTGGGATCGAGTAGAGTCCAGCTTACGTTCAGAGATCTGAGAGATGGTTCCTCTACAACAGCGAGCTTAGTTGATGCTCGCTTAAGCTCTGAGTCAAACATCTTGAGAGCAGACCCGATGAGTACAATGGGTTGGGAGGGTTCAGGTGAGACGAGGAGAAGGTTGGAGTCTAGGCGGGAAAGAGTGAGAATGTCATCTATTATGCGTTTTTGATGCATGGCACAGTATATAATCGTGTCGGCTGCTTCGATAGCTTCGGTTAAGAGGTGGAGTGACTCTGCTAAGGAGGCTTTGGGATGTGATATAGCTGAAGGGTCGGAGCTTCTGATGAGATCTCGTCGAAAATCGTTGAGTGAGGCTATGATCTCATCCGCACAGCCTATTAGAGCAGAGAGAGGATTTCGCATTTCGTGCCTTCGCCAAACGTGTTAGTCAAAATCATGCCTACCAGCTTGGCAGTGACGATTCAGGGAAAGCGAGAACTCAGGGGGGTAAGAATGGTGTCACGTGAGAGTAGCTTGACAAAAAGCTGCCCAGGTACAGAGAGGAGTGTCCACTCACGAAGTCATGTCAATGAATCTCTATTTTCTTGTCAGATGGGTTCAATCATTCTTGAGAGACATGCTTACCTCTTGTTGCTAGATGGAAATTTCTCGTCAGACAACTGCTGACGATTGAGCATCTTGGGAGAAGAACTTACCTTCTTCATCTCAATCGCTTGGTCCATTTTTCTTCGCAGTTAGCTTTCTGACCATTTCAATCCGCTATCAACACATCAGCACTTTATCACCACATGGAAACTCAACTCGAAACTCACCTGACATCAGTAATGCAAGACTAGGTAACGGGGAGGAGACGTTAGCATTTCCATCTTTGGTGTTTCAGGAAAAGGATAAGACAATGTCTCGGGAAAGGAAATGGAAAACGGGGCTTCCCCAATACCTACCATCACAGTACATACTTCGCCATCATCGTCAAAGTCTGGATGCATCGCGAGCAAGATATCGGTATCGGCCCATTGGTTGTGTCCATTCATGTCCAGATCTGGCGCTTGCCACGGTCTCCGAATACGTGTTTGAATAGAAATGCTTCTTCGCTCTTTTAGCATTGTATCCCATGCCGTCTGGACAGGTATGGTTTGATCTTCAGTCAGAACTGATTCCCAGTCCACTCAGTTCCAACATCCAGTTGGGTCAAGTCTCGCCAGAGATCGTTCGCTGATAAGGCAGTTCCATCAGGAGCGAGGATTGCAAGTCCTATGGGCGCTCGAGTTGCAAATTTTGCGAATTTGGTTTCACTCTCAGTGAGCTCACGAAATAAACGTTCACGGTCGAGTGCCGCAAGTCGTGCTAGAGATTGGCGGCGTTCGACCTCTTCTCGGAGAATGACAGCTGATAGCTGAGGAGTTGTGACTTGTTGAGTCAGAAGGTGGAGCCATGAGCGGTAGTCTTCGTCGTATGGCCTCCGGGGATTGAGAAAGACAACAAGAAAAGCTAGTAAATTGTCTGAATCTGTTGGAATAATTGGGCAGACAACAATTTGTGTCTATAGCCATGTAAGTCAGTAAGCAGACAACAACAGAACTTGGATCACGGCTGAATGTAGGATAACATACAGATGGAACACCATGTCCGCGCCATTCCAAACCGTGAAGCATGCCAGCGACCTTATCTTCCACAGGTGCTACAACAAGACTCCGCTCCTTGACGGCTTTCCGAATGAGTGGTGCCAACCAATGGTCGTCATTCTCAGATCCTAAACTTGTACTTGCTACTGGATGGCCAGGAGGAATACCAGATGACCCTTCTAGGATGCATGAAATGGGCGAGCTTTCCTCTGAGGATAGACGACTCGGGGTAGACCGAATGGAAGACTTCGACGTTGCCCGTGAGCCAATCGTTGGATCATCGATTGAGTAGAGCAGGGAAAGTGGGATATCTTTGTCCGCATCTTCGATCCCACGAATAATTTTGCTCCATAGATCCTTGATGGTCTGGGATCCTGAAAGCTGACGACTCAAATTTCGAACCATTCCCATCCGACAATCGCGGATGACTTCGCGAGTAACTTCTACGACGGTCGCATGAGAACCAACTACCCAACCATCTTCACCAATAATCGGCACGAACTTCCAACTAAAGTATGTCTCCTCTAGTGATCGTTAGCATCTGTTATCAAACTTCAACACATCGACCACCGCTTACTGAAAAACCCATGTCTGTGGAGCAGCAAGAAAGCGTCTCCTTCGACGGTCGTCTCGGCTGTTTCTCGCTGTCTTGTCAACAGTTTCTCAAAGTGATCCCAAATCTCAGCGAATTCTATCTTGGGATCTTGCCCTTGCAGTGCTGGGTGCTTCTGCCCAATCAAGTGGGTGTACGCTTCATTGTACGCTATTATTGCATCTTCTCCCCAGTACACAACTGCGGGAGGTGTCAGTCCATTTGGTACAATACTTGACGAAGGGTTCATACCTGCTGGAGACGGATCTTGAACAACGAGCAAGACCATTTGTTGAAGCTGCGCTGGCCATTGCTTGATAGGTCCAAGGGGTGACTTTTCCCAATCGACATCCAATATGAATTGCTGGAACGGAGTGATTTTCTCCGGTCTGGGTTCAACAGTCCAATCAAAGTTTCTCCGCCGAGGCCTATCCTTTACAGCAGGTGACCTGATTGGCAATTCCTTCGTCTCCATGATTTGATAATGTGGCGTCAGGAAGAGGCCTCATAAGCCAGAGAAAATGGCCGATCAAGCAACAAAGTTGCAGTAATCTGCTTTGGATCCCTCTAGGCTAGCAATGAGCTGGTATGAAGCTCATACCGTTCTCTCTTCGGGAACTCAACTAGACTGGATATTGCGTCATAGGTTGACGAGCTGTGCGAGTCGCAATGATGATATCTCTCGTTGAGTTCTCGTTCCTCAATCTCAGTCTCTCTCACATAGTCGTCTCTTCGTAGATCCAGAGGTAGAACTGGCCTCAAAGCAAAAGTCTGCGATGCTTGATAAAGCATCAATGGCGACTGACAACAACTAAGTTGGAAAAGTGGATTCTTTAGACCCTGCTCGGACTGCAATGTGGTTGGTCGAGATGCATAGTTGCCGCACTGGTGGCGATCCTCGCGATTCTAGATCCAGATCCAGATCTCGCTTGTCGCCCCTGAGGGCCTCGAATTTGGAATCGCTGACACTTCCTTTCGACATAGCGTCTAGCAAAGCTTTGTTCCAGGGACTCAGAATCGGCAATTTTCACTAAAAAGAGCACGATTCTAGTGAGGTGAATTACAATACGTCGTCGTTCAAGTATTCCGATGCTGTTTAATTTCTGCTGACTACATTGTCTCAACTTGCTGTCTGTTGGCTATTTTGTGGTCACCTTCTTTGCACTCACTTAATAAAAGTTGTTAGAATCAACAACAGACTTATTGTGTATAGAAGCTATGCAAATACAGTATGAATATATTAACACATCAGATACACACTTTATGGTGACAAGCACATGCAGCAAGCTAGCTGCTTCCAAGCAAAGAACAGAATCCGCGGCCTCCTTCATTTAATGAGGTGAAATAAACTTGGGATAGGAGCTAACGCTTTTACGAAGGTATAAGATACTACAAGAAGATAAATGCTGGGCATAAGAATGACGTATCCCAACGATTTCACATCAGCAGGAGCGCAATCATGGTCACGTGCTCACGACTAGCGTCACCTGCATTTTGATACACAAGCACTCCACTGCTTGATTTTCTTGTTGCAAATTCCCTAAGCTTGGGCCTAATAGACCAGTATCGATGAAAAAGCTATACAAAAAACTCAGCATGGACCAAGAATGTAGACACCTAGTTTCAACACTCCTTTTCTACAACAGAGAAGACTCCGATAGACTCATTGCGCATGTTAAATTGGTATGCAGATCTTCAGTCCGAGATCTTTAATCATTGAAATACACTGGACTCCCCGCTTGGAGACTTTGATCTTGTCTGTAGGATTCTGAAGCTGAGTAATCACCAGTGAACAACTGTACCCGAAGTCCAAGCATCTCTGCCATGAATTGACATCAAGATTTAGGAGCTTCGGTTCCTGTTTTTGTCTCCAACAACTATTGAATGACTTTTGTAAACGAGCTTTTAATAGTTCAACTAAATTGCAGTATTTAGCAGCTTCAGAATCTCGATTTTCTTCTCAGCCATTCAACAACCTCAGAATTTGCGAATCGCTCCGGTCGCAACTCCAGTTTTCCACTGTGTGACCCTCGAGCACAAACGCATCTCATCATAGATCGCCATACCAACGGTGTACGCCTCTCATCAGACCGTTGCCTAGTCTATACACCGCAAGTAAAAACGACGAACTTGAAATCTCGGGGTGCGCTTGGCATACTCCGGGACCCCGTGTTACAGTGAGAGGACTCTCTTGCCTAAGCAAATTGTTCAAAGAGAAAAGGAAAGAGGAATAAAATCATTTGAGAGGGAATAAGGAAGTGATGAGTCACGTTCCTAGTGGCTTAGACAGACTCTAGTGTTGTCCAAAATTTGGGACCTAAAACATCGTGACTTCCACATTTCAATTTATCAAAACATATTGGCGTTGCCTCTTGATCAATTTGGACTATTCTTTCAAATCTAGTATCTTTATTTGAATTCAATATGGCATATTGTGTCGCTGGAATTCGAAGCCACGGATGGCAGTCACCTTACCTACCTATGATGTCTGTACCCGTGTCACGTGCACAGCCATGGTCTCCGTTTGCTCACGTCAACGCACAAAGGCGAACTCGTTTGCTCTGGAAGTTTTCTCTTTCTTTCCTCTTCCAATGCTTGAGAGTTGTGTCAGGGAGTTATCATTACACCAGGATTCTCTTTGCAGTCTATCTCCATCATCACCGCGTCTCTTCTGCTCATCTAGATATCTCACTACGCGCTTCGAAAGATAAAAGCAAGAAGACAGCTTCGAGCATGCATTTAGCTCGCTTGCATTGCGGACATACTTCCAAGCAAGAAGAAGATTTTTCGATTGGGTATCGGCCACGATGCTCTACACGCTCTCCCGAAAGCAGACGTTCACTGCGCCTTGGTGGATTGCTTCCGTATACGAGTGGAGGACATGTATATGTACAAAGGAATAAACATGGGAATATGAATCGGTGAGTGAATTCAAGTTTGATAGTCTTTATACGATCCTCCTAATTATTCCATGTAGCCGTTCTCGCTGCGTCCCCGACTTCCGAACGTTTCTCAACCTCGCCGAATCCAGAACCGGACTCTTGCTACTGTGGTGGAACGAGAAGGACCGGCTTGCATACGAGAACCTCTCAATTCAGAGGATGAAGGGGAAATATAAGAATTCTGGTCGTGCAGAGGGAAACATCTTCGATTATACTAATAGAAGAGAAATCCAAGATCATTACGGAGATAGTACGATGCCGATGAAGTTGGGAGAGGTAGAAATCCCCTTGAAGCCCAGGAACACTGAAAAAAAAAGGGGGGACAAAATAGAGAACGAAAATTAAAGTGGCAAAAACTCTATTTAGAGAGACCCAACTTAAGGGGCTCTATCTATTTAGAGAAACCTAACTTAATAGGTTTTTTGGGGGAAGGAGTTTCTTGAGAGCTACCAGAGCCCATTAGTTTAGGAGGTCAATCACGGACCCGAACCATTACACCATCTTGTGGTTCTTGAAATAAAGTTCGCTTATTGAAATCTATATAGGTAGGTAGCTTAGCGGCGACTTTTTATGGGATGCTAAGAGGAATAGATCGCTTGTATCTATGGCAGGCAGGATTAATTATTATACACAGGTTTTGGATAGATATTTAAGTAGCGAATTCGCTGAAAAGCACTCATCAACAGTTGTGGGCATTCTGGTCGCGGCCAGGGAGGAATTTTGCTCGATTCGACTGGGCCACACGTTTTAACCAGCAACTACGAGATGTTCTAAGAATTTTCTATAAACATCCGACAACTGGGTTAAATCATGTAAATCAAATGATTAATTAATGAAATCTTCTTGCTTGGGATGTCCATAATCCATCATGCTGCCTCGTTCATCTTTTCTTGCAAATAGAAAAGCTCGCTCGTGCCTCCCCTTAAAATTAAGCGAGCTCGACCTCGCTTAAAAACACGCAAAAAAAAAACCAACAAATTCAAAACTTCATAAAGCCAAGAAACAAAAGAGTTCGCGGCCCCGAGTCGATGGGCTACTACATCTCTGTCGAATCGCGCTGGCGTTTTGGGGGGTTTGCCCTCGGAATGGCGTGTGCAGGTGACCTGCTCGGGCCAGGCGTTGTTCTTAACCATTCCAACACTTCCATCTCGCCAACTACAGAGACGTGTTTGACCTGAACCATCAAGCCTGATGGTCGCCTTCACGTCTCCTGCGGGGGACAAAAGTGTAAATTAGATTTAAATAGGACGAAAATAGAGTTTGCACGGAGCTAAGGTGACGTGAGAGAAGGAGCTATGGTTGTGTTGGACCGTGCTCGTTCTTGCCTTTCCAGGCTGAGAGGAATTGAAAGGAAATATGCGTGGTAGAGGAATGTCTAGATAACGGTTTTTTCCTCTAAATAGATGAGGTATTATAGGCTGAGATTTGGACTATATGCTACTGGTCTTCCAGTCGCTCGCTCACCTTTCCTCTTTGCTCTGCCAGAAATGTCTTGTTCTTATATGCTACATTTGTCACATACGTCACCGATACTGCTCTACGTCATCAACCGCAATCAGATCAATCAGTGCTGGAAAGACTCGATTCTGGTCAAAAGCATTGTAATTTGATACACATCTATAAGCTCCAATTAGGACGCATTCAGAAGAGTTTGAGATTCAAATCTAGTCCTGGTAATATCTGGATTCAGAATAAGCCAAGCTCGGTTAGATTAGAGTGTTCGCAACCTCAGTGATGTACTCGGCATCATTTCAAAGGGGCATATTGTCCAAACACCACCCAAACTCGATAGACATCACGAGAATACACACTATGGCCCATACTATAACGCCTGTCGACATTCTGTTCCCCCATCTTTCTCACATGATATTCTTCAGACCACGAAGGTGAACACTTCCACAGAAACCTCAGAAACATGAAAAGGTCCCACACAACAGCCCACCGCACTCGAAATCAAAGACAGGCTAGCTATGTAGCACCACTCTCTGTAAAGTCAGAATCCGGTAACGAATATGATTCTACAGTCTGCTTACCATATCCCTCATGTCGATGAGCATAAAACATCTCTGTACCCAGACGGCAAGCACCAGGTCGTCTATCCCCTATGCAGCTTAGCGCAACCTTCATCCGCCGATACATAAAGCTCCTCCTTCCCACAGATACCTTGTCCCAACATCAACCCCACTTAAAAGTCGTAACAAGGCACACGGATGCGCAGGCCGTCATTGCGTTCGCAGGCTAGTCGGCGGTCAATGATGGGTTGATTGTGAGGCGCAATAATGGGGATCTATGATGAAGTGCGATCGAGGCTCGAACTTCGCGAAGGTCGAGAGACTAGAGCGTTGGAGAAGCATGATTGCTTACTCTGAGATCGTGGGAATTGCTTCTCTGTCTCTCCAATTGGAATCGATGGTATCAAATCGATATTGCTGTATGATGGTGTCGAATATAGAGAGCTTCATCGTCTATTCTGAGATCACTTTTGAAATTCTGTTTGGGAGGCGTGAATTGAGAGCAAGATGCAATCATTTCGGAGTGATGAGGGGTGGAGCAAAGACGCCATGAAGTTCGTGGAAGCATTGCGCGTAGGAGAGGAGATGAAGCTGGCGTGATGAAGGTGGATTTGACTGCGATCGAGGAACAATTGCAAGAGGTTGACTGAATAAGAATATAACGAACTGAAGTGGGGTATCAAAATACAAGATAGCAAGCTCCCTCGCTGCATAGAGGAGAACATTTCACAGAGCATCCAAAATATCCAATAGCCTTGGATCTATTACATCCCTCGTGGCCCTCTGTGTTTCTAAACCGAGAGCAACTCTCTCAAAATATTCCTCACTTGCCAGATATTTCTCCAGTCCTTGCTCTGAACATTGCCGACTCGCTGTGTTCTCCAATGGAGATCTTGACTTGTATGACCGAGCTGCCCGTATATTCGAGGTACATTCTGTATCGAAGCTAAGGGATTCGGGCGACGGATAAAGGACGAAGTCGAGGTCGTGCTCGAAGGGTGGGAATCGTATGACGATGTTCGTATCATGTGCAACATAGGCTTGTGAGGAGGTTGACTGTGGTCCCAGATGCGAATGTTCTCCCCTAGACGATCTCACAGAATTGGACGTCTGAGGAGTTCGAGACGCTTTCGAAGGCGCGGCAGAAGACAGGGCTTTCTGTTGTTGAGCAGCTGTAAATTGTCAGTCAACCAGGTCGTCTAGGACAGTAGCAATGGACTCACTCATGGTTGCAGGATCAATTGCCTTTGTGTTCAAAGTCAATCGGGGCAGAAAGTCTGCGAGAAAAGGCTGCTAAGAAGAGATAGCAATGATGTGTAGACAGAGACAGTTGATCTTGGGAGAGGCTCTCGGTATCAAAGTATGCTTGGGATTCGTGGAAGTCAGGGGGTATTCGTGTATAGGAATTATAAAGTGCTGAAAGGGGAGACAAGAAGATCAGAAAAGAAACAGAGCGATACTTATACCTCATCCGTATGTGGACAGCCATGATGCTGAGGGGAGGACTTCACCTCGCACACAATGCAGCAATGTGCAATTGGCCTGTTGCAGCAGCGAGAGGACTTGCAGTGAGGTTGAAAAGTCCTGGACCTGAAGCGACCAATGCATGTTCACGAAACCGGACTTCGGTCAGCATGGCGGCAAGCACGGTCTGCTGCCTAAAGAGGAAAGACTCCTTGGCCGACCGCTTCTTTCGATCGGCGGCAGAAGCCCGATTACAGTCCCCTTTTAGACATGCACAAGCTGACTATGCCGCCTCAGATCCCTGCGGACAAAAGTGGAAAGGTGCAGCTCAGGCAGCTAGTCCAAATAGGGCGGCGGCACAGCCTGTTTCGTCTCACAAGGCGGCATTGCTTCTCTTTCGCAAGCGGCAACTCCTCAACTCCAACTCAATGTACCAGTACTGATGAGATCCTACCAGAGAGCCGAAAAACTTCCATAAGAAGATCAATGAGCCCTTCTCCTTCTTTGTCTCGATCGTCTCGAGACTTTCCTGAGCCAACAGCTTCAAATGGCTACCAGCAACAATGTGGGGCGGGGTAGTGATCCAGCACGTGAGGAGTTCATGCTGAAGATACAAGCTTCCATCCTGGAACGGTGCTTGAGAAAAGGTCTTTTCTCCTGATCTGACAGATACTAGAGACTGATTCCAACCCAGAAGTCCAAGAGAAACAAACAGTTGAAGAACGATGTCGACTACTACGACAGAGGATCAGCTCGATGGAAGATGAGCTCTCTGAGGCTGGTGAGTGTTGCCAAAGTTGTTGTATTTGAGTCCTCACTGATTTTTTTCAGGAAAAGCAAGTGTGGCTCGTCGTTCCTTAGAAGACTCTTCCAGATCCGAATTTGATGCCGTTGACCACGGCGAATTCTTGAGATGGCTAGCATCAACTTCAAGATCTGCTTCGAACACACCCCAACAAGAGCATGCTGAGCTCCCTATCTCCAACAAGAAAAGAACCCGGGATTCGGCAGATGGCTTTCATGTCTTCTCGGTGGCAATCTCGGAAACGTCTTCCGCTCACAGCACGAGTCATACGAAACGAGTTCGATATACTTCAAAAGAATCGCCACCCTGTCTCAGATGTCGCATACTCAAGAAGAAAGTGCGTGTTGACTTACCCCACATCCAATTGTCTGCTCAAATGTATAGTGCGATGCAGCAGAGCCCTGTAGCCACTGTCCCACTCAAAGCTATGATAGTGAGAATGATTTCTGGAAAGTCCTTGGCTGCTTTCGAGGTCATTTACGGGACATGGCAAATATCTTCTGTCCTGGTAAGCCTTCTTGAAAGCCCACGCAGCAATTAGGCTAATTCGATCACGGATTTCTCACGAGCTACTAGCAGGACACTGCAGAACCCAGTTGCTGGAATCAAAACAATAAACTTTGTTCTCACTAAATCTCGAATATCTGATCAGAAACGAGGACGTATCATGCACCTGATACACCATCTCGCCGACTTCAAGTCGCTCTCGGGTCCAGCGTGGGAAAATCTCTCCTTCCGCGAATCCATAACTCGATCTGCTACTTCTCTCGAACGATTTGAGGGCGATCCAGCTATATATGGAATTGATTTGCAGGACTATGAGGCCGCATGGGCTATACTTCAGCTAGTATCGATGGATCACATATATCTTACAAAGACAGCTTACAACCTGTTCAGCCTCTTACGACTAGGGAATTGTTACGCAAAACACGATCCAGTAGGTGTGCTCTTTCTCGTGCTGGCTTTTTTCTATGCTAAAATCTAGTCCTAGACTCGTTGGGATATTTTCTTGCAAGCAAAAAAGATACTGCGTCAATCTGTCGAGCTTTACTTACTTGAAAGACTTTGTTCTCAGATAGCCCTCGGTGCTATGAATGGTCCAATTCCCTTCGACACGACAAACCCAATGCCCAATACACTGGTTTTGGTTGATCTTAAGGAAGATATCGAGTCATTCCTTCATAACTTCGAAAGACTTTGTGCAGGCCGTGCAAAGCTGTCGTGGAGTTCACAGCTGGCAGCGTTCTTCGCTCTCGCGACCTTTGGTATCGCAAAGTCTGTCCTGACTGATGCATACATGCTTAGAGATAAGTATGAGGAGACAAGCCGCTGGAGTCTCGACCACGCCCTCAAGATGTCGAGTGCTTATAAGGGCCTAGTCAGCGTATTCTGCTGGGCGTCGAAATCAGATGTCATGCTTCAAGTCGAGGAAGATGATCCAGCCAGGCCTGTTACTCTTGAACAAATACAAGAAATGGTTCACTTCAGCTCTTGGATAGCATTAGGATTCAAGGGGACAAAAGAGTTTCTTCTCAGTCTGGGAACTTGTTTCTTACCAGATGGTTCCTTTAATGGTTTCCTTGCACAAAAATTGGGCATCGATACAATCCCGAAGCTACCGGCAGCATCAGATGAATTACGCAAAGATGACCCCACCATTTCCCAGACCTTACCTTCAAGCTCACAACAAATCGATGACCGCTCTAGAATCGTATATGCACCCAACACCCGGTCGAATTACACAACATCTATTGAAGATCTGAGTCCGCTTACTACTTTGGCCACTCCTCCTCCAATAGGCAATTATACGTCAATCATGTTTGTACCCCATGATTTGGCAGGAGATCAAGCATTGACACGCGGTCACGGTGGACGTGAATCGGACATTCTAGAAAGAGCTGGAGAAAATGGTGCAATTGAAAATCTGCCCAAGAGATGAAAGAAAGCGAAGAAATAGCTGATACTATACCCAAAGCTCGTAGAAGAACTCTGTGGAAACGTATGAGCATCAGCCAGATAACTCTTTCATCGGCTCAGCATCATTTCTGCTTCGTCAAGCTATCAGATCATTACTGATGACTTGTCCCACTGATACAGTTCATAAGATGAAATGAGAAATTCTAGACAAATGAGTTCTTGGTGTTGTCTCCTACGAACAGCAGCTTGGCCTATACGCGAGCAACCTCGTTTGTCGACATAAAGCATAATTCCTAACACACATCACTTCTTCCAAATAGATATCACATTATCTCAAAACTTCCATCCAATTCATTCAATCCAACACATCAATTCTCCTTTCCCATATAGTCCTCGGCTATCCACCTCACTCAGCCCCCTCCTTCCCCGAATGACTCTACGCCGACCGTCCCACACCAGCACCCTTCCCATAAGTCCAAATAAGCACTTTTCACTCAACCATAAACAGGCACTGTAAGCTCACACCTTTACTCGCTTCCTGAACAATGCAATAAACTAACAACAGAATAGTTGGCGGAGTGGTCTATCGCGATGCCCTGCTATTTGGCTTAGGTAGTGAGTATCCTGGGTTCTGATTCGTTAGTGACGATGATGCTAACAAAAATGTACAGTTTCCTTCGGGAGCGAGTGTTCGAATCACTCAAGTGTCGAATTTTTTTTGTTGGGGTTGACGGTTTGGCGAGAAGTCATTGCTGTTTTGGGAATTCCCTCCGTTGCATGTTTCAACAAAATGCCTCACAGGATCGCTGTAATTGATTATTGATTGACAACATAATCCAGCCACAGGGTCCCCTTGAGATTGACCTGGTTTGGCATCAGAAACCCATGATCATGTGACATCGAGCTTGGCCGGAGTATAAGAACTCATGCGTACTTGGATTTTGATAGGAATGATACGAAATACAGCATCATATGAACCCGATCTGATCTTGATATGGACTTCCTTTCTGCATATCTGACAGGAGACATTGCACATGCTCACGTGCTGCTGCAGACAGGAGCTGTATGCGAACCTCGTACACTAAGCCTAATCCAAACATATCGAGATCGACCGTAGCAAATCGGTGCAATTGCCAGCTAAGGTCCGACTACCGACATGCTGTGCCCCTTTCGTCTTGTTCCCACTATTTGACTACCAGTCTCCCATCAAAGTGAAATGCATCGCCCACGAGATTTTGCCAAAACACATTCGTTTCGTACACTAGACCGCATTTGCGTTGTGTTGGAAGAGTATGGTCGGAGGCTCTCGAAAACTTCATACAAAGAGTCGAAACGGGTGTGGACAATGTAAGAAGAGAAGAGTTAGAGTAAGCCTGCTTTATGTAGCCAAATTTGAAGATAGACTTAGATTAATCGTGTTTTCAGTGCGATTGTATTGGGCCGAGATGCAGCAATTGCAGAAGACGCGGTGAAACATGCGAGTTCAACTCCGTATCACACTCGCAGCATCATAGGGCGTACGTCTTTAAGACCTCAAAATCGTTAACGTTTGCTAAAGTTGATGTAGCACATCACCAGCTAGCGATCAACAACATGGAGAGCAAGCTGTCGGTTTCTATCTCGGTCCTCATCCCGCAGCGCTAGATCTCGAAGCCCTCGAGCTTCTACATCATTACCTCACCACCACATCGCTTACTAGTCTTCTATTACAGGACGCTGCTATGCTAAGAGTCTGGCAATTGGAGCTTCCACTTGCAGCACAATCGCACGACTTTCTGATGCATGCTCTCCTTGCGTTAGCAGCTCTTCACAAGGCTCACTTATGCCCAGCTACTCAGTCCAAGTATTATCTTCAGGCACTGCAACATCAAACTAAAGGCTCTGAAAAGTTTCGTTCCGTCGTTGAATACGTCAGCAAGAGCAATAGCACCGCCGTCTTTGGATTCTCGGTCATTGTTGCAATGTCCCAATTTAAATACTGCGCCGGGATGTTATATTCAACGCCAGCACAGGGCATGGACACTATTATCGATGTCATTACAACACTCAGGAGAACTTTCCAGCTAGCGATCCAACACGACGCCCTATTCCAAGAGAGCAGCTTTGGCATCCTGCCAGCGCGTATGAAAAGATTGCACATGAGTTCTCTGGACGTAAATACAGAACTTGCTTTGGAAGCACTGGAAGCATTGGAACAGATGAATCTAACATCAGATACATTGCAGGAAGAAAAAGAAGTCAGCTCTTCCACAATTGGACAGTTGAGGCGGTGGTATCGTATCGTTTCTGCATTTCCCAGGACGTGGGGCTTGGTCATAAGATGGCCAATGGTAGTCTCATCCGAATATCTCGCACTACTTCAAGCAAGACGTCCAATGGCATTGGTGATACTAACGTACTGGTGTGTGCCGGTGCACCGCGTGAAACCTCGATGGTTCATTGATGGGTGGGCAGAAAGTGTTGTGAGGATAATTGCTTCGATATTACCTGAGGCCTGGAAGCAAGCTATAAGTTGGCCAATAAATGAGATGAATCTAGGACATATTTTTTGACCTCCCCCGTCCGAATTATTGCAGTTATGACTGCCAATTGTTAGGAAGTATGACATGGGGCTTCGCTTGCCAGCTCGAAGTGATAGTAAAGCGATGAGATGGATCCTTCCAATGTCGGTCCGGCCCGGGATGGCAAGGGAGTTGTTTAATGGAGATGTCCAATTCGCATAGACCATATTATAATCAATAATCAGATGTTTCGCAATGGTTCCGTCTCACTGTCGACAACTTAAAGCATCGCCTTTTGATCTTCCAGCCCCTCAAGACCCCAATTTTCCACAATGTGATGCCTTGTTTTCATTCTGTTCAATTGATCTTCCGAGGCGTTGAGCATCATCTGATCTCTCCATTTTTGATCCTATTTCAAGTAGTTTTCACCTGACGGCCCCTCTTCTTGATCGGTTTCATTTTTCTCCATGTCCTTAACTGCTTCGGCACTCGCGAACTCAACCACAACCTCTACTTTCGGGACCAGCCACGCCCTGCATTGATTTCTCTTGATTGTCTCCAATGAGGAGAGTGCCTTCTGGCGAAGACTTTCAGTGCGCCTAGCATATCGTGTTCCTGGTTTTGGCCTAGCAAAAACTAGGGGGAGTGGAGGCATTCTGGGATTGTTGATATCAATATAGTATATTGAGATTGTCAAGCTTTCGAGGTTGCGAAAATCTGCCCATAACACCAGAGTAACAGCTGAAAAAATTGCGAGCTTAACAATAATGTGCTTGATGCTTTGTAGTCTGTCGAGTGCTCTCTGGAAATTTGGAAACAATGTGGGCCGAGGGGTGGTTTTTTGTATCATCATATCCACGAGAATCTTGTTCGCAAACCACGTACCACCAATGTAGAATTGGTCATAAGGTGTAGCGAAGTACCGGTAGTTGGAAGACTTTCTGTCTTTTGGGTCCCGCGTGTGCAATAAGGAGTACACCTTAAGGGCAACCTTTCGAGATGTGCTGCAGACGTGGAGAACGGCGGGCACAGGTTCGGCCCCGTTCCATCCCAGATCATATGTTATCCGACTTGACCCTTCATTGCAATCCTCCCATCCCCAATTTTCAAGCTGCAATATGCGAGGCTCTCGTGTGCGTGCTGCGATCGACCACTACAGATAATTAGTACCTGGTTTCTCTCGAGAATAAAACCCGAAGAGTATGAAACGTCCCTCGAGAAAGCAAAGCAGTAAAGTCTGACAAGTAGCCAGGATGAGGAACAAAGTTGTTGGCTGCTTACGATTTTCTCTTGGATCTCAGGCGGTAAGTCACAGAATCTCGGAAAGGTATAGGCAGGGACGACTCGTTCTCGAGTTATGGTGATACCTTTGGACTAGCCAAGCTCATCAATTTCGAATACACATACATAGGTATGGGACTTTCAACCTACCCAAAATTGACGTAAGAGTTTGTGCATGTCATTCGCTTTGCTTCTTTGCTCCTTAGCTTCGAATTCCGCCTGCCTCTTTTGTTCATCCTGCTCAAATTGAGTCCTCTTCTGCTGCATCATCGTATCGAAAGCGTCTCGTCGTTGCATGGCTTCTGCGCGTAGGCGCTCTTGTGTCTGCATGGCTTTTACGCGTACGCGATCCTGTGTCTCGAAGAGCTTTACTTCAAGTTGCATTTCATTTGGAAGATCTTCAAGAGTGGCATTTCTCCATGGGTATTGCCCATGGGCCGTCCATCCGGCAGGGTTGGCATCTTGATCCATGGCTGTTCATGCGTTCGTAAACAAAGTGAAGGCAGATTTCTAGATGTGCGCCGCGAAATCTGCTACTATGTTGTTCACTGCTGGCTGTGGTAATTCCTCGATGGCAGTGAAGTTCTGGAGAGGGGAAGCAAACAGCAAAAAGCAAGTCAAGGTTACACGGATGCACGTGATAGCACCTGAAAGGCTGCACATTTGTTTTTGTGCAAAGCCATGGTACTAAATAAGAGGTGATCGAGCTTCGCCCAATACACACGCCTTTAACAAAAAGATTAAAGTCTTTAAAACTATAGCAAAATTTAGTTTTAACTTTGCCCCCTTACTTCTCCTTTCCCCCTACTTATACCCCGCCATAAAGCTAAAGCTCAAAAACTTCAAGATAAAAGCAAACACAGATAGAAAAAAAGCTTAATTATAGTTTAAATTGTATTGCAAGAATACGAAAAAAAGTGACTTGCGATTAAATCATAATCAAACCCCTATAAAGTAGAAAAAATTGATACCCTCAGAGGAACCTTGAACTTCGTACCTCAGTCAAAGGCACATTTAATCAGACTATTATTATTGATAGCAGCAAAGGACTAGCAATATAGAATCTACATGCTCATCAAATATGCTATAAGCCGTTTTCAATGACCGTGTAGTCCCATGCCCATGTAGCTATGATGGTTTTTGTTGCCCCAAGCAATGTTGGCTTTTTGACCTCTTGGCCGAGCTGCGCAAGCAACGTGCTCAAATAGAGATGCATGTGTACCACATAGACCCATGAGCTCAGTCGTATAAAAGCGTGCTTGTTCGAGAATTCGTGCCACGAATGAACCAGCAAGAACACAAGCTGAACGATAATATTCCACAACACCCACGCTGCATCGTAGCGTTTCCCAAGACTCTCAGACTAGCACTCCCGCCTCTGTCTCGCTGTCCCCCACATATTCAAGAGAAGACGAAGGTTTTGACTCCCGTGTCTTGAACTCGCTCGGGTGATGCACTTTCTTCAGCTGTTTGATATTGGTTCTGGGCACGTCGTGAACCAGTAGTCTCGCAGCTTGTTGGTACCAACGCGAATCGTCATTTTCCTCATCTTCCGGATCGCTATTCGGGTCTGAAGAGTCTTCCAAGTTCCCTGCAAGATCGTTATCTTCGATTGTTCGTAAGACTGTATCGAGCTGTGGAATTGTCCATTTCGGGATGTCTGATCTTTTAACGGCTTCGAAGGACTCGCGAGCAGATTTGAGGATCCATTCCGCTCTTCTTCCGTACTTGCTCCGCTGTGTGACATTGACGAATTCGGGAAACGGACTGTAACCCGGGGTGTTTTCCCACTCTCCGGTCTCATCGTAGGGATACATAACGATTGTGAATTTCTCCAATTGTTCGAACTCTGCCCAGATCTTAACGGGTAAGGCTGCAAACACATGGAAGTCGACCAGGAGGAATCTGATCTTCAAGAGTCTTTCCATGTTGTCTTGGACTGTCTTTGGGAGCGGCCTGGTACTATTTAAACGGATCAAAATATCTACAAGAAGCTGATGATCCGTCCACGAGTCTTGACCGCCAATGTAGAAACGGTCGTAGAGAGTGTTCAGGTATTGCATTGCATCTGGATGGTTGGGTGCAACACGGGGCATAGGAGTGTAGACTTTAAGAACGACCATTCTCGATGCTTGGCAGACATGAAGGAGGACAGGGAAGTCGTTGGTCTCCTCATCTTTCTCGGGTAGTATGGTGCTTGTATCATGAGATCGAGGATAATACAGAGGTAGCCCGTCTGGGATATCAGCATCCTCCACCAGGAAATGTGTACGAGGCTTGTTGGAACGCGCGGCCATCGACCAGATGCGAAGTTGGAGTTCGTTAGGGAGTTCTCCAAAGCGTGTAAAGGTATACGCTGGTACCATGTGCTTCCTCGTCTTATCGATCCCATTGTCCTGTACAAAATCAGCGTCGATTGAGATGTCAAAAATGAACAGTAGTACCTTGATTTGGCGCGCGATCTGCAGTGTGTACTCCTCGTGAACCCAACTTTCTTCTCCCAACAAGGTAGCTCTCTCGGCCGCTTGCTTCTCTTCGAAAGCCTTCCGCTCATCTTCTTGTTTTCGTACAAGGGCATCTCGGCGAGCGATCCTCTCCGCTCGCATCCAATCTTGAGCATGGAACAGATCAATCTCTCCAAGCTCATCCATACCGAAATCGTGGCCGAGCTCCCGGGCATCTTCTCCTTCGACAGAGTGCACTCGCAATATTCCTGCCATTGCGCAGGGCGGCTTATAGTGGATCTTTTCAATTTGAAGTTCAATTAGAATGAAATGAAATGAACAGAGCGACAACGGATATAGAGAACAGGTTGAGGAGGGAAGATAGTGTACAAACGCGTGGGGATCATGTTCGAGTCTGGGGTTTTGAGGAGAAACGAAACTCCAACATGCGCTAAATCGCGACCAAACTTTTAGTCTAGCTCAACTTTTGGAAGTGTTTCAATCGGAAATCAACAATCAATTCCCTTCCTTCGAACATGAAAGATGAAATCTACGATGCAAATGTGGTGCGGAGGGGTCCTCAATGTACACGAATCGTGCTGCAGCGGCCTGAGGAAGAAATCCCAGCCACACCATTTCACATGCTCAAATCCCGTGCAATTTATTGCGTCCCGTCCGAAATCCTTCTGCGTACCAGCCCAGCCTCAAGTGAGCCGGGAACCTGGGAGTTGTAATTGGCCGTGCTTGGATAACATGCAGGTTCACACAACACGATCACGATCTCAAGGATCCATGCTCAGGAGGATTCGAGCTGCGCCGCAATCTTTAAATGAGGAGTTCGACAGGGTCTGAAATGACTTTTGAGATGCATTTTCGTCCTGAGTTCGAAATGTTTTCTCCGTCTGTTAGTTGTCATGAGTATGTTGAGGATATGGGCTGCTGCCCTCCTCTTTCAGTTCATAACTCTCACTGCGTCAATTCCAACCATCTCGACATCTGGGACCAAATTCTATGACAGCAATGGAAATCAATTCTATATAAAAGGTACTAACCCAATGATATTCGCTGATGATTTGAGCCTGCCGGCTGATGCTTGATTGTCTAGGAGTTGTCTATGGTGCATCAAACTTGATCGATGTTCTAGCAAATACGGCTCAATGCCAAAGAGATGTGAGTATGGTCCTCGAGCAGAAAGCTCACGACTCACGACAACAGGCCTCCCTGATGCAAACACTCGGCGTTAACACGGTCCGTGTTTACTATGTCGATCCAACAGAGGACCACGACGGGTGTATGCTAGCATTCGAAGATGCTGGCATATATGCCCTTGTTGCCCTCGATTCTCCTTACTCTGCAATCAACCGCGTATGTTGACATCGAGTCTTAAGCAGCATTTGCTTATTCGAGTTACAGATCAGCCCTGAATGGACAACCACACAGTACAGCAATTTCACAGCTGTCATGGACGCATTCGCGAATTATAACAATACCCTCGGATTTGTTGCGGGGAACGAAGTCATCAACAATATATCTCAATCGGATGCTGCATTATACGTTAAAGCATCTGCGCTGGATCTCAAAAAATACCGAGACGGGAAAGGGTATCGCGAGATCCCTGTCGGATACACTGGGGCAGATGTCATAGACCTGATGCCAGTCCTTCAAAATTATCTTGCTTGTGGAACATATGCAGTCGACTTTTTTGGTCAGAACAGCTACAGCTGGTGCGGAAGCTCATCTTTCACAGAATCTGGATATAGCGAGGAGTACGCAGATGCTTCAAGTTACAGCATTCCAATCTTCTTCTCTGAGACTGGGTGCAATCTTGTGCAGCCTAGGCCATTCACTGATCAAGCTGCAATCTTGAGTGCTGATATGGAAAACTTATGGTCTGGCTCTATAATTTACGAATGGCTTGAGGAAGCCAATGACTATGGTCTGGTAGACTACGTCGCATCTGCGACTTTGAGTGGCACACCTACTCCACTTGCAACTGGTGGATTCAGTAACTTAATGTCGCAGTGGGCAACTCTAAATCCCACAGGAACTCCAAGCTCAATGTATACACCCAATGTCACTCCTCCATCATGCCCTAGTTCGACAGCAAGTGGATGGCTTATCAACGGCAATGCTGCTCTTCCCACTTTGAATAAGGCAGTTGTCAGTACTCGAAGCTCTACCTCTTCTTCATCCTCGACATCTCAAACTAGTAATACATCTACGAGCAAATCCTCCAAGCAGACTGAAGCCGCTCCTGCTGTCGCATCCGGATCTGCAACAACCACAGGAGATGGGAGTGGGTCCACATCAGACCCGGAACCTGCGCATAATGGTAGCATCTCCGCAGGTGCGATTGCTGGCATTGCTATTGGCGTACTAGCTTTGCTTCTTGCCGTGGCCCTAGCTGCATTCTTGCTCTGGCGTCGACGTCGGCAACAACAGGCAAAAGCAACTCCTCCTCTTGACCTCACTCCAGAAGGCCTAGAGGTTGGCGAACCTCCAGTAAAACCTGAATTGGACAGTTCTACGCTTTCGATGCCGGCTGGACAACACGAACCCCAGCCTGAGCTTCAAGATACCAGTTCGAGTTTTCCTTCCAATGGAAACGGTTCAACATCGAGTCCTGCGCTCACAGCGGCACTAAGTCTAGCAGAGATGGGCAATTCTCCCACCTCACAGAGAGTTCCCAGTACATTACTGGCCTCAGAACTATCTACCACGCCCTCTACACCAAAGCTTGCAACTAGCCAACAGCAGCAGTCTGTGACTCGGCGCCCTGTGGCTTCCAAGAACGAACACGCACTGAAAGCAAATGCTCCGTGGGAAACTGAAGCTTTTCCCTACCCCCAAGCTGAGATTACAACAGCACAAGCTCAGCAAACGCCACTTCTGGCAAGCACGGAAGATGACGACGAATTGAAACAACTAGAAGACGAGGAGAGAAGAATCGATGCGCAAATCGCAGAGTCAGAACGTATCACAGCGCTCAAGGAAGAAAAGCTCGCTCTGCAAGCAAAGAAAGCGGCTCTATTGGCAGCAAAAGAGAAGACTTCTAGAACTTGATGGACATCATCCTAGCAGCGACCTAAGGATCTTGGATGCATGCAATACTTACATCCACTCCAAAATAGGAGAATGGTGGACGTCTGATTATTAGATTGCTCCATGACAGGACTGGCCAGCACTCTTTCAGCAATCTTGACCTTCTTTGCGATCAGAGTCCCTGAGCTAGCATAAGAAGTCCATCTATGTGGATGAGGACAAAGACTAAGATGTAACGTCCACTGCGTGTTTGCCCCGCACCTGGCGATAAGGTCACTCAAGATATCGGCAAACAGGGATGATAAGCCTGTTCCTGTACCTGAACACGCCTCCATCAGGAACAAGCCTCAGAGGCACCACTTTGAGCTTTTATGGATGAGGATGCAAAAATAGCCGTGCCTATCGTGTCCCCAGTATGTAGCTCAAATTTCGATGCAATGATCATGTTGTATCCTCACGACTTCCCACCTCCTTCATTAGACACGTACGATAAATGACCTGGGGGTCCAAACGCTAAAGTTGCTACCCCACTTCCATCCTCTTCGTCCTGCTTTGTCTTCAAGTATATCCACAGCAATTCCAGGAGAAGTCGAGCTGCATTGGAAGCTTTCTTCTATGGTGATTAGAGCATGAAATCCAGGAAATGTCGTAAGCCAGCAAGAAAAGGGCAAGCTCCCCACCTACATATATGCCTGCAACCTTCCCACGGCCTTCCGACGATACGGGATCAATTTAGCCAAATTGAAGAGTTGAGATGAGCCTCCATCCTAACAAAGCGTCCCTTGGGACCCTGATATATATCATCTCCACAATCTCTGGAACATTCCCAAACTTTATTCCTATCTCGCACATCGAAATGACGAGGTTCCCCACTTTCGAGATACTTCAACCTTACCGATGATCGTCATCACCAGTGCGGATCAACCATAATAGCAACGTTACTTTAGTGCATACTTAATTCCATGCCTGCGCGACAAAGTTTCTGCGTTGTTTATTGACATGAGATGAACGATAGCGAGGATTTAAAGATTCGAGATCCCGCTGGCATGGCATTGGGTTCGGAACTACTACCGACTGGACGTTGTATCGCAATATGAGGTTCTCATTAATATCAGCAGTGGGCGTGCTGCTTCCGCTACAATGCTGTGAGTCCTGTCCTTACAAAAGACGAGGGCATTTACTGACTTTCAGCAGCCGCAAGGTGGCTCGGAATTCCTACCGTCCCATTTGAAGTGTCGAATGCGACTGGCAGCTTTTGTCTGAAGAATTTGAAGGCCATCGTGGTTGATACTAAGTATCAAAATGCCGTCAACACGGAAGGAGAAACTCTTATCCCTCCAACCTTGAGGAGTTTTGCCTCAACCTTCAGCGAAGATCTAGCTTCCACGTTGAGCTTGAAGGTTCCCGTCGTAATAGGCGGAGCTGCTGAGAAGAACACCATTTTCTTGACTATTGGAAATTCAAGCGCATACCTTGATGCTGCTGGGAGACCAACATCAGAAGGTTACTCGATCGATGTCACTTCTCAAGGAATCGTCCTCACTGGGGCCAGTCCTCTTGGTGCTTGGTGGGCGACGAGAACGATTTTACAACAGGGAGTCCTTGATGATGGTATGCAATTGAGCTTGGGAAGCGCATCAGATGCTCCAGGATGGGGCATTCGAGGTACTTTCGTAAGTGCAGATAATCTGAGATAATTAGAACTTATGCTAACCGCTCGCAGTTGGATGCTGGAAGACATTATTATCCCACTGAATTTCTGATTGAAATGTGCTCATACTTGTCCTTCTTCAAGCAAAACACCTTCCACGTCCATTTGAGCGACAGTCCGAGTTTGAATCCCAACCTCACGATGGAAGAGAAACTCGACTTCTACTCTGCTTTCCGCCCAAATTCTCCCGATCCAGCCGTTGCAGGCCTGAACCATCGTCCAAATGAGTCTTACTATCAAGAAGATTTTGAGCTTCTCCAACAAAAATGTGCGAGCCGAGGTGTTACTATCATTCCAGAGATCGAAGCGCCAGGTCATGCCTTGGTCATCAACCAATGGAAACCAGAGTTGGCGTTAAGCACAGACTTCACCTTACTCAATATCTCCTACCCGGAGACCATCCCAACCATGGAAACTATCTGGAGCACGTTCATTCCTTGGTTCCATTCCAAGACGGTTCATCTTGGCGCCGATGAGTACACCGCTGCCGTTTCAGAATACAATGACTATGTAAACACAATGCACGAATACATTGGTACGAAATTCAACAAGAATGTTCGAATTTGGGGGACCTTTCCTCCAAATGACTATGCAAATGAGACGAACGTCAATACCAACGTCACTGTTCAGCACTGGGAATTCTTCGAAGCGAATCCGTACTGGGATTTCATCAAGAACGGCTACTCAGTCCTCAACTCAGATGATCAATTCTACGTGGTTGGAAAGTGGTCTGGCAGCTATCCTCAGAAACTCAACGTCACCAGGATATTCCATGGCTCACCAGACGGAGGTCCAACTGCACCATATATCTTTGACAGGACCAACGCCACGAACAACCCACCGAAAGATAGCCCATATGTTCTTGGCCAACTTCCTGCTCTGTGGAACGATTTTGGACCAAACAGTACCTGTGTGATCGAGGCGTATTGGGCACTGAGATACGGTCTCCCAGGCTTAGGAGACAAGCAATGGGGTGGTGATCTATTCATGGATGAATATTACGACATCCTCGAACCTCTCATCGCAGCCATCCCAGGACAAAATCTCGACCGAAAAATCCCTTCCAAATCTTCAACCATTCTTTCTTACGACTTCTCCTCCTCTCACGGGAACACCATCCTAGATAAGTCAGGAAATGGCTACAACGGAAAGATCATCGGAGACTGCAGCGTCAAAGATTCGATCTTAACTCTCAAACCAGGCTGCTCAGTCAGCACACCTCTCACCTCCAAAGGACGCAACTACACTCTTTCATTCTCCGTGAACCCCACAACATCCACACCATCGACCCTTTTCTCAGGCTCAGCCTCCACCCTGCGCACCGGAAATGGCACACCCTCCCAAGTCCTCTTCATAACCGGCGGCTCTCCCTACGTCCTCAACTACACGCTCCCTCTCCAGACCTGGACCGACGTAAAAATCGTCTCTATAAATAACGCTACCTATTTCGTGATCAGCCCCTCAGGAAGCAATAGGACGGAAACAGTCAACGAGTTTACCGCCACGATTGGAGATTATAGTAATAGCTTCGTCTGGGGCAATCCGATGAGTATAGAAGCACCGATTGCGAGTATAGGTGGAGATACTTTTGAGGGGATGATTAAGGATGTGGTGTTGGTGGATGGGGCGGATGAGAAGTATGCGGGGTATGTTGCGCCGTTGGTCATTGGTGTTGCGCCTTACACATAGGGGCTAGATAGAGTGAGGGTATTGGTGAGCATAATGAATGATGATTTTAAGAAGTGTTCTCGTTTTTGAGGCCGTGCTGTACTCACCGGCTGGTCAAGAGCAAGAGTCAGGCATCCCAAATTAATGACATCGACTCACAAGTAGCCAGTGCTCTGGAAAAGTTGACGAGACGCTGAAAGGTTGTGCTGTTGCATTTCATTGGGAATGTACGTTTGTCAAATTGCTAGGCAATAGGAGCCTGTTGTTGCAAGTTGCACTTTGCCCTGACACCGGTTTTGATACCATCGAAATTTATTTCAAATTTCTCTTGTTGACGTCCGATTCTGTTATTGCATTTGGCAGTGGCTATTTGAAGACTTGTCTCGGACTCTGACACCCCAGTGCATGTTCAGTGAAGTTGGCTGTCTGAGCAAGTGATAAATGAAACTGGGTCTAATTTACACATTCTGCGCAATTTGCGCTGCTTGCGCGACTCGCGCATATAGCGCATTTGTAGAAAAGATCCCATTGACCAGACAGAAAACAACTTCATATTGTATACTTTTGCCAAGCTGTTACCAACATCTTTTAGCAATTATCTTCAGCAGTTTCAACCAACTCGTCAGATTTTTTGGCCAATAATCCGACAAGTTTTACTAGGCCACGATGTCGAGAGACCAATCTTCTTGCCTCCAGGTTGCTCGCCAAGCACGAGAACTAGAAGTTGACTGCGTAGTGCATGCACTTTCAAACTCCGACACTATTTCCAACGAGGTAGAACCACTCTAAACACCAATCACAAGGCCCTGGCCAATTTTGGAGACGCAGACGTCTTTGCAGGCTGCGGAACTCGTCTGATTAGAGTCTTGTATGTTTTAATTTCGGGCACCATTGAAGAAGCAGATCAGACGGCTGCCGAAAGTCGTAAGACTTGGTTTGATGGGAATTTGCGTATTCTGAGGTTGAGTCATTTTCAGGCTGTTGAGCTATCTGATGTTTCTGCGTTGAGGTCGTATCTTGGGAAAACTCGGGCAGACGGCCAAAGAAAATCCAACCTCTGTACGGGATTGGAGCGTCTGAATCTTTGATAGCTGCTTTCTTAGGTATTTGAGAAGAAGGTGGCGACACTAAGGGCGGGAGTGGTTCGAGTGCAAGTTCTCTGATCGTTCCGACTATTCCCTTGGTAGACTCGTTCAACAAATCATACGTAGGGCAATCTTCCAGAGCCAAAAGCAGTAGTGCTCGCAAGGTGAAATTCGCATCATTTCCAGCAACATGGCACCCTTCGACCACAAGCCCAAGCCTCGCTAGAAGGTCTTTTAGACGAAGTGAAGTTCCTCCGAAAGTTGCCCGTGCTGCTTCTGCAGTATCAATATATCCCACAATGGAACTATCAAAATCAAATCCAAGGGATTGTAGTACTTGACAGTCTCCGTTGAGCCCATGGCCCACCAACACAATGTTGCGAGATCGATCAAGCAGTTTCTCCATGGAGGTCAAAAGATCGGCAAGCTGGTCAAGCCATGTTGTCTCTCCAAAGAAAAACCTTCGATCGACCTTCCTCTTATAAGATAAAGAGCCTCCTGAGCCGAAGTTGTACGTCACTAGCGCTTCTTTTGAAGAAGTTGATGAAAGTTTCTTAGGATCAAGGATGGATATTCCGGCTTGGGCATTTATCTTTCTGCTGCCAAAAGTGCCTGATGCTGCGCCAGCCTTTATTTGCTCGCCGTTTTCAAAGTCGACACAAACAAATAAGACGTCTGCGCACTCGGTCGCGCTGGGCGTCTTCGAATCTTTGCCAATGAATGGAAGACCCACTATAATGAAGCATTAGTATATGGACAAAAGCAGGAAGATGTATAAAATGCTGTGGCTTACATGCTATTCGGAGAAGGTGCCCAAATTCCGAGCGGGCATTGAGCATCTTCTCTGGATCCATGATGGAACCCAACCACAAGAATGGTAGGAATTTCTAGTTCTTACAGAAGTCGGATAAGTTAGATTATCAAGAAAATTGCCTGTTGAACCAGATATTAAAAATACTGTCCGAGGATTGTCAAAGATGAATTAAAAACTTTACAAGGGTTAACCTTCTTCGCTGAGTGAAACATATCGATTGGTTACTAATACATTAATATTTATAAAGGACGAGGAGGTCTTTGGTTCGTTCCAATCTTCTAGTCTAATTCAAAATAGCTGTTGAAATTAGTGCGAAGGTCACGTGGAGACTACCTGTGCTGCGAGTAACTGATCGTGAGTCACTTAGTGGGCCTTGTTTAATGATATCAGGAGTGATATCCTCACCCTGATTTCCAGTCCTTTTCGAATATTTTCAATTTTTTTGAAATTGTATATCATGTTGTCAACAGTTGTGAGGAATAACCTGCGATAGACCCTACCTACATACCTACCTCACCAGGATAACACCGCACGCAAGGCGAACGTGTTTACAGATGGAAATACAGACATTTAGTACTCACCATGCCAGCACCTCTAGCTGGGTTAGTTCAGTGGCTAGCAACGCAAAGGTAGTCCAGCCGTTTCTGTGTAGCCTTTTGCTTAGATTAAGCGAGGTCTATTCCTAGCCAGAAACGTCTGTATAGATTTAAATAAGCATTTCTTTGCCATAACAACAAAACCGCATAGCATCCATGTGAGAGAACTGTTGGAAGCACAGTATTCAGCTGTAGATCACGTGATATTTGCATGTGCTGTGAGACGCGGCTACAACAAGCAGCAGGTGCTGTACTAATCGTGGTATTGCGTCTACCCTTTAACTCGTACTACGTCGTACGAGTTATATACTAGCTACTGCATAAATCTGCTTACACCACGTGCTTCTATACGAAACGGCTAGTCCCGCTAATCCTGTCTGATCTTCCGGCCCGGTCTCAGCCAATGGGGTGGCGCCTGGCCTATACTCCCGACAAGAACCTAGATGGACTTGGCTTTGACAGAAAAAGAGTTTAAGTTATTCATATGAGAGAACCTAAATGAAGATTCATAATCAATTCATTCTTAAGCCCAGGTTAAAATTAATTTTTTTATCAATTTTATCTTCTTATTTTTTTTTCCATTTTTTGAATTCTTTTTTTTTTGTGTTCGCAATTGCCGCCGTTCTTTGCAAAATAAGCGAGAACCATAAAAGTTTGGCCGAGATGGGAGAGGGTTAGTCGCAAAAATGATTTCTTATGACACCAGCCTTTGGATCTGTGAGTTTTTGGTCTTTCGAAGCTAAGCGAGGCACAGCCAAATGATAGAATGAGACTTGTCAGGCTTAGGAACTTCGTTGCATGGCGTTCTTCTTGTACACGGGCTTCAAATTTTGTTAAGTCAATGAGTTATGTGTCTTTCGAGTTAAATATCTGAGTAAGTCTGATAAGAAAAGTTTCCATCACGCATTCAGCGCATTCGGCACGTTTCGCGCAATTCGCACAATTTGCGCCACTCGCGAGATTCGCGCGAACCGCGGTCTTTCAGAGAAGATCCATTGACTGGATAAACACCAAAGTATAATTTTATAATTTGTTTAACAAGATTGAAGGGAAAGTGTTAGACAAAGCTTTCTCATCCCTTTTCATGTCAATATCGCAAGGTGAAAGGCACTGTGATCCCAATGGAGTGTGGTCAAGCTTCAAGCAACCACCTCTCGATATTTATACTGATTGTTGGTATGATTCTTGTTGGCTCTTCATAGTTTCGCAAGTTGTAATTTCCGTTTGTGAATTAGGTCTGTTCCGTTTTCTGGTTGTAGAAGTAAATCCGCATGACTCCTTGAAAAGTGTCAAGCGCGAAGCACAACCAGACATTTGCATTTAACTTCTTGCTTAAAATATAATTCTTCCGGAATACGAGAAACACGAGCCCTTTCCCGTAATAGCTTCATTTACACGCTCTCTTTAATCTCTATCTCGCGTGCAGGTGCGCCGTTTCAATGATACTTCGAACTGAAGCATCATAATGCCTAGGCTGGGCAAGACAATAATTATATGTATTGTCAGCCCAAAATTCATACACTTTGAACTCTCGATGAATCGGAGAACCTACTAAGTCACCCATTGCCTCGGACTTGGAACTGCTCTTCAATACTAATACATGTGGGGTACGGAACGGTGAAGATCCCTTGAAAACGCTCCGAACGCACGCTGCACGCCTTCCTGCTCCTACCAATCGAAGCTGAAAGAAAGAAGGAGCATTTCAGATGTCTCTCTACATTGCTCCAATGTTCGATGCAGGCTTAACGCCTACAAGAAAGCAAGGAAGTCGATTTTGCGAAACAGGTTTTTGCAAAGAGAAGGATACACGCGACGAGAAGCAGAAGCAAAACCAAAAGCAAACTCGAGATGGTTAACAAAACCGAAGAGCTTAATATCATCGCTTATTTGCCAGGTTGCAGAATCTCATGGTTCCCTCTTCATTTCCATCTCCATAATTCGGACTTCTTTGACGATCTCGCGTCTTCTTTTTCCTACTACCAAAACAGCATTGTCCTCTCAACATCCACAACTCCCCAACAGAGTCCAAAACATCACCTTCGCCACGTCTCATACAATTTCTGTATCCGGGATCGTGAACTGAGCCTCGAAAGCTCCAACCATGGCTTTGCAACCTACATTTCACGTGGGAGTGCCCACCATCGAGAACCTCCTATTCCTCCCCTCAATTCTAGACCCCGTCTTCATCGCCATCGACTTCGAGGACCCGAACTCCGTGGCTTACGGATTTGACCGAAACTCTGACACACAAGTCGGGCTCTCAGTTCTCGACAGCAGAAACATTCACTCCGCGTCAGCGAAGCAAAGCCTGGGCATCAAAACATTCAACTTCGTCACCGGATCGAACCAATACTTCAAGACTTCCGCCAGGAAGGACTTGTGGGCGACTTCAGAGCATATTCCGACTACTGAGATGTTGCAATGCATCAAGAAAGTTATACCGCGAGACAGGAATATCATTCTTGTCGGGCACGGATTCTCGCACGACGTTGCGGCGCTGCAGTCCCTTGGATTCGACTTCTACACCTCGATCCTCGGTCACTTCGACACGGATGTCATCGCGCGAAGACTGAAATTCGAAGACGTGTCTCTTGGAGCCGTTCTGAAAGAGCTCGGTTGCCCGACTCTAAATCTTCACAATGCAGGGAACGATGCGAACTTCACGCTTCGCGCCCTGATTCTTCTGGGAATTAGGGCTTCTTCCATGCGAGATGGCATTCGGGGAGAGGATGGCAATAAGATGACATTGACGCTGGAGCTTCTGGAGGCTACAACCATGTTAGCTCTAATTCTCAGGAATCGTGGGGTGGGTAGGGCGAAGAATAGTTTGAGAAAGGTGGCTATGACTCGGACGAGTGAAGAGCGAGACGATATTAGAGAGCAAAGGAGGCAGAAACGGATGAATCCCAAGCCAGTCGAACGAGAACCACTGGATTGGCTTGATGACGATGCGGCAGGAGTTGGGTTGTCGGACTTCAATGATAATTTTCAGTCTTTCGAACATGACGAGAGCTTGGAGCCTGAGAACAGGATGATGCATGATCATACTGGGGTAGATAGCACAGAAGAAGACACTGCTATCTATCAGCCATTGATTTGGGGACCGGTAAGTAGCCATCAGGAATTATTCAAGCTCGTTGTACAACTTAGATAGCCAGAAAAATACTTTTTGCCACCTCGATCATTCACCAAGTAGCTTTGACTCCAGATACTATGGACTCGCTCATCCTAGTAATCCCACGTATTTGGCCAGGACGCCTTCATGCTGTCAAGAGGGGCTCTCTCATCGAGTCCGGTTCGTTTATCAATCAGCGCAACAGCCTGTAGACAGAGCACAGAATCGTAAGGTGAGAAGTTTGAATTTGTATTACCAGTTGCACCAGAATGACTTGGTTGATGCTCTCAGTCGAAGAGCAAATATGTCCAACGCTTAGGCCAGTAGCTGTTCGAATGTGTTCCACCATGGCTTGTAATCTCATCCATTCCTTCGTTGAAGCTTCTGTGTGACACGCAACCTGTCGTCTTGGTAGTGCTGAACTTCTCCGTCTCGAGATGCACTCACGGCTCGAGCCGCACTCGTAGAAGAGCCCGAAAAGCCGTCAAACTTCCAGTCAAGGAGGGCCAAAGACCGTAACAATCCCATCAGTCCCAGCACAACACCACTGATCACCCCTCCCATTCTCTTTCCACGCCACACAACTTATAACATTCCTCTTCTCCTTCTCCTTCCCATCCCTCCCAATCTTCTTCTTCCCCTCAACCTTCGAACCTTCAACCGTAATCCTCTCAACCACATCCCCCATCAACGTATCCCAAACCACCACCTCCCCATCATCCCCCTTGACCTCCTCATTCCCACAAACAACCCACCTCTCATTCCCCCCAAAACAACTCCTCACCCTAAACTCCTCATTCCTCCACCCCTCCGCCTTATAACTCCTCAAACAGCCCCCACTCCCCCGATCCATCAACCTAACACAACTATCCAACGTGCCCACCAAAACCCCCTTCCCATCCCTCGTCCTTTGCAAACTCGTAACCGGCGCCCCCAGGACATCCGTCCGCACCCTCCCCATCCTCAAATCATACGCCCTGACCCGCCCATCCGTACTCCCCGCCCAAATCACGCCCTCCTCGCTCTCACTCGCCAACACACAACTCACGCTATCCCTCGCCTCATCCAGCACCATAACCGGCTTCATGTTCCCCGCCTTGACATCCCAGATCCTGACACTCGCATCAAAACTCCCAGAAATCAACAACGAATTATTCTCCCCCGCAAACGTAACGTCGTTGATGCGGGCAGTGTGGCCCTGATTCCCGCCAAAGCGGCGGAGGGTCTGCGCGGTGGTGACGTCCCAGAGGAAGACGGACCGGTCGCCGCCGCAGGAGGCGAAGGTTGCGTTGTCGGCGGAGACGGTGAGGGAGAGGATTTCGTAGCCGTGGGCGGTGTAGGTTTGGATTAGTTGGGTTGGTTTGGGGGGTGCGAGGGGATTGGAAGAGGAGGATGAGGAGGGGTGGGATGGGTTGTAGAGGCGGATGCTGCGGTCGGAGGAGCCGGTTAGGATGTAGGTTGAGGGGGAGGAGGAGTAGGTTAGGGCGTGGACGGGGCCTGTGGTTGTTAGATGATGGTGGTTTGGAGGGGAGGTTGTATGAGGGGTGGGTTTGGGACGTACCGTTTGAGCCTAGGAGTTGGGTTAATGGTTTTGAAGGGAATTCCATCTTGGTTAGGGAGCTTTCATATCATCGATCTTGTTTTCGTTGTCCATACCTCAACGTCGCATCGAACACCACCGCTATCAACCAGTAATCGCAAATCGTCATTATCATTAAAGCTTCATCTCCAAAGCGGTCACCAGTGGCAGAATTCCCCAATCCATCCTAGCCTCCTTCCAACCACCGACCCAGAAACTCGGGCCGCCAAGTGCCCTCAAAACCCAGGGTCCATCATCCACCTACTCTCTTACCGAGGCTAACCCACCATTACCGAGCCCCTTACTCACCCAACCCAAACTCTCGCCTCCCCTGACTCAACAAGCGCACCCGCCATCTCCATATAGTAAAGTTGCCGAACAAGGCCGTTCGTTGTTCACCATCAGACCCGTACAGTAGCTTACCACCTAAAAGAAAGAAAGACGATCTAGGAGAAAATAAAGAGCTTGTCTCTCAAAACTAAAATAGCGGATAAACAAACTTATCTACACGAACCCACCAATGAGCGCGACTCCGAGCTTGTGGAACGGGTAGGGTATGTACCGTGTGGGACGGACGGGTGCACAAGTGTTCTGGAATGCGGTCCCAGTGACCTGGCTCCGTGGCTTGCGCTTTACTTTATTTTCCTTGCCAGCACTTACTTGTTGGAGGAAGAGGAGGCTAATCTCGTTGTGTGGACGAATGGGAGGGGGCAGAGCTGCGAGCTGAAGGGTGGGAACGCGTGATGGAGCTTGGGTTTGTGTACCTAGGTACTATCTACCATTTGTTTGTGTGTTTGTTTGCGAGTGCGAGAGTGTTGTACGAGGTGGACGAGGAAGAGGAAGAGGAAGGGTGGGATGGGATGGACGAGCGTTTGGGTCCGGCAGTTATGGGTGGGAAGTACTCCGTAGTGGGGTTCGGATTCCTGGGAGGGAGAGAGAAAGTTTAAGTGCGCTCGAGCGATCGCGATGAAACCTTATGCTGATGCAACGAAGGAAAGTTTGGAAAGGCGAGAAAGTTTCTTCGATGAATGAGGAAGGAAGGATGGAAGTTTGGTTTCGAATTGGTGTCGGCAGTTGGTTGGAGGGTTGCGGATGCGTTCTTCCTAACACAGTACGAGGTCGTTGCTGATCTTGGTCTCTCTTTTGAAGATCGGAGATTTGCATCGTGGTTGGTTGGTTGGTAGGTATGTTACAATCTTTTATTTTTGTATCTACTGTGTACTTATTATGTACTAAGTGTAGGTATGTGCGACACGGACTACTATGTAGAGACTTTCTTTGCCTAGGTAACTGGTATCTTACAACGAAAAGCAGTGCTTCCTCCCATATGTGACACAAGCATTTAGATAGGGAACCCATACGTGAAATGCTTAAAACGCCGAGGTATCATGAAGTCCAATCCATCATTACCTCCCATTCCCTCATAACCATAATGCAGTAATAGTAGTAGAGTAAAGTTTTTGCCATCCCCTCACGCATAAACGCAATCATAATCCCGTGAGAACGTCTTTTCAATCGGGTCCCTCATCTCGAATATTCCATCCCCGGTATCCCTTGCGATCGGGCCCATGTTTCCAAACTTGAAGCCGATACTTCCTACTCCTCCGGCTTCATCTCTGCTTGATGCAACTTCTGCCAGATCTCTGATGCGTTGCATCACAAGTCCCTGTTGATTCTTCGCGCTTTGCCAAAATGGTGCTAATTCTGCAAGGATGGATTGTGCTCCGCTGAAGGATGCCAAACGGCTGGGGATGCTTGAAATCGCAATCTTGGCTGTGAGAATGTCGATGGCTGAGATGATTCCATATCCGACGAACGGTGAAGAGAACTTGCTGTGCATGCTGGACGTTCCATTGGGGCTTGCTGGTACTGATCTGTGACGAGCGGACAAGATCTCGGCGATGGCGAGGAGGTCTTCGGCGTGTTGCTTCGCGATGGAGATATGGTGAGACAATTGTGACTTAGTCAAGGTGTATTGCTGGATGTATCGGTTCAACTTCATCGCCGTGGTGTGATAGGTAGTGTGCATCGTCATGAATGTCCCAAGCTTGCCGTTCTTCGCTGCTCTTGTAAGGTTCTCCGCTGTGAACGTGTAGCAACTTGGCAAAGAATCGACCCAAAGTCTCAAGCGACGTGTGGCATTCTCGTAGGAAACGCTGAAAGCTGTCCTCGAGGCCGAGGAGTTTGGTCGTTGAGAAGTTCTGTAGATGTTGGCCATCACATCACCCCAGATCGTGGCAATGTTGATGAGATAGGCCATCGATCCGATCGTCCAGTTGTTGTTCGGGATGGGAGGAGTAGCAGCGTCGAAGAATGGACTCTGAACATCGAGTTGATTCTCGAAACTGGCACCGTCGCAAGGAAGTCGAAGGAAAACATCGTCAGACTGTAGGAAGCTGATGTGACCAGAGCAGAATCCATTGTAGCGATCCATCAGATAACAGCTCCAGAATGTTCGTCTCCTGCATTCTGCATATCCAGCACGAGTGAGGCCGTAAGGGAAGACAGTGCGATAGGCATCCTCGCTCTTTTCGATCTCGAGGTTCAGCTTGAGGCCACTGGCTGCTCTCAACGCAGCACCGCAAAAGTCCCATGATTCTTCCGGAGCATTAATAGCGAAATAATACAAAGAGCTAAGAAGTCGTGATTGAACAAGTTGAATGCAGAAGTGGCGATTGTCGCAGGCATAACGTGAAATCGCAGCGTACTGAGCACCGTAAGGCTTGTGCTCAACTTTCTGAGAGAAGACGGTTCCGAGAGCAAGGATGGTGTAGATTAGCATTAAATCATCGACCGATTTGTCGGAAGAAGAGAGAGCCCAGGCCTTGAAAGGACCTTCGGGAAACATGCAGTAGGCAGTCTCTGGGACATGCCTGAAGAAAACATTGACGAGTTCGGTCACCAAGGTAGGATGAGAGTTGTACGGATTCGTGTGCAACTCGCGCATGAGAGCACTGTGGTCAAGGATAGTGCTGTGAATCGGCTCAGTCCAGGGAGTCGTAGGAGAGGCGGTTTCGAGCACAGAAAGACGTGGAGACGCCTCTGATGCTACAGGTGTGAAGTCATTGTAGCCATTTCTTTGACGCTTCGAGTGATGCGTCTCGGAGTCTGGTGTGGCTTGACGTAAAACCTGACGAGGGGAAACAGAATGACTGCTCTCGCGCTTTTCGCCCTTGAAAGACTCTAGATCTGCTCGAGAAGAGACCGGGCGTGATACCGAATCTTCGGGATCAGCTGGTGGAGTGTCTGGAGAGCCATGGCCACCTCGAGGACTACGCTCGCCCGTTAGCAAAAATCGCCGAAATTATCACTATAATGAGACGTTGTACTTACGCATTCTTGAACTTGCAGATCCTCCCAAACTTCTCGCATTGTACGCATCGAGGATAGTCCGGGTCGCACTTGATTTTCTTTTCTCTGCAAGTGATACAAGCGATAGCCAACCTCTTCCTTGGCTTTCCCGCCTTCGTAACACCCCAGTGAGCATTGACAATCTCGCCATCTATTACCGTCTTGCAATGTGTACCGTCATCGTAAAAGTAACACATCCCCTCACCCGGAACTTCAGCTTGTCGGACGAAGCGTGGCAAGAACTGAGTACCTGTCCAGATCTTCGGCCCGAGTCCATCTTTGGTGGTTGGGACGTCTCCCACTGCCGTGCTAGAAGGAGTCGGTGGGTAGGTAGGAGTTACTGGTGCACTATGAGGCCCATCGCGATACTGTGGTCGAGCTTCTGAATCAGGTCTGTGAGCTGAAACTGGCTGGCGAGGATCGTGGTGCGTTCTGAACGACGAAGAAGTATCTCGAGCGAACATTTCTGGCCGACTCGATTGTGAGTGGGGAGACCAGCCACTTAATGATGCTGGGGCTGGCGCTCTTGGTCCTTCCATGAGGCCATATCTTGAATCATATCGAGGTGACTCTGACCTGCTCGCTGATTGCGCGGGTCGAGATGGAGGAGGAGGAATTCCATGTCTCTCTGGCTCTGGTCTCGAGTTATACGAATACTGTCGAGTTGGAGGTGGTCGTTGAAAGTAGGATCCCTCGTATGGGCGATCTGGATGTATAGGTGTTGCTGGCTGTCGAGGATCGTGAGGAGACACAGCAGGGAAAGTCGGACTCTGATCTGAATATGAGGATGGAGGAGGTGGAGGAGGCCTTGCTGAGTGTGTTGCTGACCCAAACAAACTACTCAATGGAGGTAATGATTCTCGAGGAGCCTTTTGCGTTGTCTCCGGGCGTGATTGATACATATCCACCGGTTTGGTTGGGGCTACCTCATACGCTCCTTTCGTCGACGACTCAGACATAGGTGATCGAGGCTGTGATGGTCTCCAACCATCCCCTTCTGGTTGGCCAGTTGTATAATGTGTTGTAGTTGTTTCTGGTCTTTGCAATTCTCTCGGAGTGTAGTGAGGTCTGCTCTGCTCGTAGAGAGAAGGCCGATCATGTAGAGGGGGCATGACAGTTCTAGTGTATATCTGGGTCATTTTTAGGCTTGTTGGTCGTATCCAGGTTGACGGAGCGTTTCCAGCATCAAAGTCCTGGCGTCTCTTGGTCTAGACGTATCTCCGTGGCACAGTTCCCTTTCTGGTCAACTATTTCAGGAAGACTGAAATTACTTCGATAAACCGGTTGACTAGCTTCTGGCCTCCAACGATACAAATGATTTGCTTCCACAGCGGCAGTCGCAACGAAGTGCCGTCTGTCCCGATTCGCGCGGTAGTGCCGAAGAGGGGTGGGTGGTATAAGTTTTAATAAGGCTTTCTTTTACGCCTCTGTATCTAAGAGGAAGGTAAATAGGAACACGGAGTGTGATAGGTAGTCGAATGTCGTTTCCAACACAAATATGTGTGGAAGGTTGAATGACTGTCGGTACTGGAAGAGTTGAAGACTGTGGCTCATGCTGTGACCACCGGTTCGACCATACCCATTCTTCTGGAAACGGCAGCTCGTGCAAGTCCGAATTTTGGAGACGGCTGGCCAGCGCAAGTGCAAGCGTCACAAACGGATAGATTCCCAGGATGTTATACCTGGCTCGTGCAGGACGGACGCTTTAGTACGATGCAACTCGCGGGATATCGAACAAGGGGATGTTTGGGAAGGGAGGGAACAATTGGCTTGTTGCGGAGGGAGAAGGAGTGGCCAGGGTAACACAGTACAGTAATCGAGGTCAGTCAAAAGAAAGGAGAGACTCGAACATAAAAGAAGAGATTTTAGAAGAGTGGAATCAGACCGGTGGGACAACTTAGTCTCAGCGGCCATCTACGGTAGGAGAAATGTTTGAGCGGCGTAGACGCTTGGTGGGAGAAAGTGAGATAATCTGAGTCTGATCCGGGCTGGTTGCCGAAGAGGCGAGGGAGGAGTGAGTGATCGCTCCACGAGGTTGTTGACCTCAACCCACAGCCTTGTCTGAGATGGAGCTTAGCTTAGCGTAGGGGAAGGGGAGGGGGTTGTCGGTCGAGTCTATGCCTGATGGGGTAGTTTCTCAGTTGAGGGTCCTTTCGCAATACCGGGACGGGTCTAGGATGAACGGGTCCAAAGTTCGAAGGGGAGGGCAGTGACGGCAATGACCGCTTCTAGACAAGCGGCCACAATAAATCATCAATCATTACCCAGACCAGAGCCAGAGCCAAGCCAGAGCCAAAAAAGAAGCCAGGAAGGCACTGGACAGGAGCCAGACAGGCCGACGACACCCAGAGGAAGAGCCAGACAGCCGCCCATGCATTCGATGGGCCGTCTCACCTCCCGGTATCCAGAACGCCGCCATTTTCTGCAACGAGCTGCTGCTGGTTGGAGGTCTCTAGTCTGTGATCTTTAGGTGGCCCTTGGTGGCACTGACATTTGGTGGTGGGCCGGTGGTGGTGTGGCAAGAATCTGATCCATCGTCGACGACTAACTTGTGGGGTAAATCACTGTGGCGCGAAGATGGTGAAGGAACGAAGGAAGGGCAGTGTGATCGGAAAAAGCCATGCGTACGCTTCCATGCTCCCACGCTCCCAGAGTACCAGCAGAGCTCCACGCCAGGATCGCGACCTCACCTCATTGCGCTGGGACGCTGCTGCGAGCTTCACCAGTTACAGCAACAGTTAGTTCACCCAGATGTTTTGATATTCAACTGTAGCGTAGCCGTAGCCGACGATGCACCAACCAAGCTTCTTGGGGAATAGACGTGGTGGTCATCGTCGTCGTGTTGGAGATTACCTGATTCTCAGTCAGGATGGATCTGGGGAGGGTCGAGCACCGAGTTGTGAGAGGTCGGCTCGGTGACGCTTAGCTCCACGCAGCAGCGGCCCACGAACGAGATTTGGCGTGTCCTTCTGCTGCACTGCACATTACCGGCCCTGGATAATACGTAGATAGATATATCCTCGCCAATAACCGCGGCCGAGATTATAGTAAATGCGTAATTGTAATATACGAAAAATACGACGAGTGATGGAACACCCGGTCGACCCCCCCATCTGGAAGTGGAAGTGGTCTAAATCGTAAGAGTAACCGCAACGGAGGTAGTCCCACAACATCTCATCATGCGAGGAAGGTGATATCTGCCTTCCCTAGGCTATATGTCCCCAATTCCCAGAAGCTGGCACCGGCAGCCGCAATCCTCGAATCATTCTGCCTATATCACGAGCTATTATGATCTAGGAAGACGGCGCCTCTCGCGATGCCAGCTCCCCAGCTAAGCTGCTTGAGATGTAGCCATCCCAAGAACCAACCTTCGTCGTCCGTCCCCCGCCCACCGACAGTAGTAGGATCCGTGATGATGGGTTCACGTTCGCGGGACGACAACCCGTAAGCGGGTCTGGATGCTGGAATGCTGGATGTCGCTCTTCCCTCGCGCGCTCTTGGCTCGCAGAAGATGCCGTTGCCGTCTTGCACCTCACTGGGCGTCCAGCTATCTCCGGTCATCCTGGCCTGGGGGGTTTCGTGATTACCGTATCGCGCTTTCCAATCCCAATCCCAATCCCAATCCCAACACTCACCAGCCACGGCTTCGTATGCGCGGAGAAACTTTCCACCTTGCACCTGTTTAGAGTTTTGCATGAGAGTTTAGGACAAACCTTCGTAAGCGACGGCACGCTTGACCTGTGAAGGGCTCTCTTGGAATCGAAATGCCAACTCTTGGATCGGGCTCACTTACTGGCTGGTCAAGCTATCCCAAGCGACGGCAGAGGCAGAGAGAGCAAGAAAGAGAGAGAATGATCGCTGGCTTCGTCATCGGCTCATTACCTGAAATAATGGATACAGTATGGATACGGATATGGATGTCCTGTAAGTAGCCTCTCGTCTGATGTTGAACGGTGGGAAAGCTTCCGCGACGTGCATTGGGGGGTGCACAGAGGACGATCACCAAAAGGGAACCGACCCGCAATCTCATTCACGTTTCTCCATCTTTCGATTACTGTACCGACCGACTGACGGACCTACCCTATTGATATTAAGGTGCTTAGTCCTGGCGTGCTGGCTGGCGTCTTCCGCGCGATCATCTTCACCCTCGACCAGTGAGTGTCAGCGATCGGTCCCTGGACGCGATGGTGATGGATGACGGCTCCTTCGCACGATGGCCACGAGTTTCTGTCCTGGCCGTCGCAACTTTGTCCCATGGTAACGTTTCGCCGCTCGTCCTCGGCCTCTAAAGCCATGCAAGTGATGGAATCCCGCCAAACTGGATCAGGGCTGCGCTCCGATATGTCTAGTCTGTATGCGGTTTAGAGAGCCTCTAATTTTTGTGCGGGCTGAAGATCCCCATAATTTACGTCTGACAGACGATTCCAGCCAGAAATCTGAGATTTAGCTCCCGGAAGATCGACACAGAGACGAGCCAAGTGTCAAAGTCTAATCAATATGGGAATCCATCCATTCGATTATCATGCTCAGGAGGCGCGGGTAGCTGAAAAGCGAGACCGAGATCGAGATGTCCACGATGTTTCTTGGGAATCGCTTGGCAGACAGATTGGCCTCACTTCGAGATTCTCGGTGCTCACGCTCGCAGCAAAAGTCTCTGTGACCCCTCAGCCGTGGTGGAATGGTGGCTGAGTGGGGTGCCGATTGTGTATCATTGTATCATTGTATCAAACGGGAGAGGAGCGGGTGAGACTAGGCTGAGATATTGTGGCGGAACCGGCGTCAACTAAGGGACCAGACAGGAAGGTCTGTCTCGTTCGGCTTCTGGTCCACCGGACGGAATTACTGAATTTACATACTGTTTATCAGATGATGAACGCGAACGATGACTTTGACCCCGATGTGTGTCCGTCCTTGAATCTCCAAGCTCCAAGCTCCAAGCTCGCAAGAGCATGGAGGGGCACAGACTCGTGCAAGCGAGCTTGTCGTCGGTTCATTATTCGCTTAGGATGGATTCTCCTTTCTCCCTACAGTACAGTGGTACAGTACAGTAGCAAGCTAGTCTCCTAGTCTCCTAGTCTCCTAGCTCCTAGCCTCTGACATCGCACTCGTCTCTCGACATCCCAGAGAGCCAACAAACAGCGACCACCACCCCATCTAGAAAGTCGTGCATATTTCCAAACAGTGCCGCAGACGGGCCGGATCAGAAGCAGAGCACCTCGCGTTATGGACCAGATTGAGGAGCTGAGACCTCTTGCCTGCCTGCTCGAAGATGTCCGAGAGGAGCAGGAAAGATGGGGGTCCTGTATACCCGCAGAGACATTACCTATTCACACGCATCACGGCACTCCGCCAGGTCTCACCTCTCTCTCACACACACACACACACACACACACACGGGGCACAACGACGCTGTGGAAGATCCATGTGCCGTTCACACGATCACAAAATACCGAGCAAGGATGCCCCCTTCTCAAATTTGCTGGGCTCGGTCCCGACACTGTGCCCCTTCGCTGCAGGAACAAGCGCCGTGGGCATGGATGAGCTGCTGAAAATAAATCATCATCGGCTGCATCGCTCAAGGGTGCCACGACGCTGCTGGCCCACCCAGCAAGTTTACCGTCGGAGCCCTGTGCCGAAGCGTCCGGGACAGAAGCAGCAGCTCGAGAAGTACCGTCTGTCTCACTCACGGTCTCACGGACATGCGGCAGCAAAAGGAAACACAAAACCGTTGCACTTGTACGATCTGGCAATCTGGTGAGCGGCATCCCGTATCCCCATGATAGCGTTTGACAACAGTAATAGTGCTCTCCTTCTCTCATCTCAGCTCTGTCCCGAGTCACTGGCGCTGGCTTTCGAACTGCCTGAGTAAGTATACCGTACGCAGCGGCGGCGGTGCGAATCTTACGGCATCGGGCTGGCTGCCGAAGAAGAAGAGGAGGCTCGCTGGGACCAAATTGCTTCCTGTTCAGAAGTCTCCTTCCTCTCTGGTCGACTGCGCCAAGGATCGTGACTAAGATTACATTACATTACTGTATTGAGCATCTGCACATCTGCATCCGCGTCTTGACTTCGCTTGGGACATCGGCGACGTGAGTTCTTCCGGCTCCATGCTCTGGAGCCCAGCCCAGTGGCCGAGCCTGCGAATGACATGGCTGGAAAATGAAGATACAGGGTAGATGCAGCACGCAGCACGCCTTAAGGGAGCATGGGCCAGCATTGGCATCCTGCCACCACAAATCCTGGAGAGATTTTGCACCCAAATGAGGTCGACGCCCAGGGTTGAAGCAGAGTTGCAGTGGTGGTGGTCCTGGTCCAGCGAGCCAAGAGAAGTGAAGTGAAGTCAACCCTGGTGTCTGCAGGCCCGCGTCACCAGGCGTTGCCATTTCTCGGGACCCCTCTCTGTAAGTACCAGACTCTTTCTTTTATCTACCACACCCACACATTTATTACCACGTCCCAGACTCGACCATGCCTCATTTGCGCTCCCGAAGAATCAAGATGCAGACTAAGGCACCCACGCCTGTTGCCGGGGACGCTTTCCTGATCTCTCTGGGACGGGTTCCATTGGCTAGCATACGATAGTTGTCCCGAGTCATCTCCCATGGGAGCCAACGGCACGCGGCCTGCAAATGTAAATGCAAATGCAACCTGCACAGAATGCACAGAATTCCCAAAATAGCATGCCCACGTTGCACACATGCACGTACTGTAGCAGCAGCCCAATAACTATATACCGATATCTGGGTAAATGAGATTGTTCCCCCCCCCCGTCCCCTTTGTGCGTGGTGGGAAAAGAGAGAGTGGGAGATCAGCACATGATGATGGATGATGAGCATCACCCGTGCTGGCCGCTGCGTACTGTACTGTACTGTAGCAGCCTCTTCCGTTTTCCGAGACGGGAATCGAGCCAATGACCGAATTTTTACAGATTCGGCCTGAGACGTGACGTTCATCCATGATGCATCGAGATTGGCATCGTCAATCGCGGATTATCTTTTACAAGTACGGGTTCTGGTGTGTTTCGATGCAACGTCTCGTGCCGGCAGTGTCGTGATCTACGAGGGGCAGCAGTGCATCAGTGCATCAGTGCATCAGCAGCAGGAAGCAAGCAAGCAAGAGAAAGGGGGGGCGCGCGCGTGAGCGAGTGAAGAGTCTCGCAAGTTGATTGCGGTTCTGTTTTGTCCCGCCTTACGGACGTAAAGAGGGCTATCCAATAAAGGCAGTTCCCAACCGTCTGGTGCAGAACCCGTCCGACGGTGCGCTCTCGGCTGGACAAGTGGACATCAACAACCCTAGATCAGTGGAGAGTGGAGAGACACTGGAGGTACTGTAGAGAAGAAGCTTCGAATCTGGCGTCCGTTCGTTTCTTAACGAAGGTTTTCTCGTCTATTATTCCCGCAAGAAGAAAGAAAATCGTTGATCCCACGTTTCTAACCCTTGATGGAGCGAGGGGAGGGGATTGGGGATGGGGATGGGGATGGAGATGGAGACTTTGTCCGTCGATGGATTAGAGGCTCCACTGGCACCTGGACCGGTACAGAGCACAGTACAGTGAATTTCCAGGCCATGTCAGCGCATGGAACATGGTGCGAGGCTACTGTACTGAGATTGAAAGTGCGAAACGATCGGGCGCCAGAAACACCGTCGAGTGCACTACCGAGTGAGGGGCACGGATATGCCGTGATTCGTGGAACAGGCACAGCGTCATCGTCGAGCATCTCCCATCCATACAGTATCTACCTACCTATGGAGGGAGAAAGGAAGTGAATGCGAAAGGACGCTTGACTTGTTCTGGACAGCTCGAAGTTCTTCTCTTCTTCAAGGCTTCAAGCCACAGCGGTACGGATCCATAATGCCGACGAGGAACATCGCATCCGTCTCCTTCTGTTTACCTTTCAACAGTACCCGACTGAGTAGGATTGGGATGCTGTGCTGTGCTGTGGTTCGACAATGCCCACAACGAGTCAGTGGCAGGCTGGCATGGGCTTGGGCTTGGGCTTGCGGGGGGGGGCGGCGGGCGCATCGTGCGGACGAGGCTGAAAGATACTTACGATACGAACCGAACCTCCCTTCCTTTCCCCTCCCCTCCCAACGTTCTCCACCGGCAATGATTTGAGTTATCAACCCTACCACTACAGTATCACTATTGCTATCCATTGGCGAGAGACAGGACTTGCGTATGCGGTGGATTCTTCGCTGCAAAGACCCGATCGAGATGCGAACGAAAGGGTCTGGCTGACTGCATGCATGCATAGGTTTTTTTGACCTACGGAGTACCGGTCACTAACAAACTCCATAACTCCATACGCGATGCCTCGTTTCCACTCCTCGAACGAGCAAATGCTAAACGTTCGGTTCTGTTCTGCAGTTTCTCCTGCTTCCAAGACCACTTTGCCAGGACATGTTTCAGGGTCGAAATATTATCCGTCCATACAGCAATATCGCCCTGCTTATTAGTCCTCCACTGGTGCCGAACCGCGCGCCTCAAGATGGTATCATTCGATATTACAGTAGACTCCTGATGCCGTATTACTCATCTCAGGCATTTCCCTGTCTCAGACGACATTTTATCAAAGAAAGCAAAAAAAAAAAAATTTCTTCAGATGAAAGGATCTGTCCGTGCCGGTGCGTGACATGTGCAATGGCATGCTAACTCGTGCTTACCTTGACCTTGACCTGGACCATGCTCGCCATTGTTGGAGAGAATGTGGAGACACCTTCTTCCCTCTCTCACCGGGATGAGAAGCCGAATCCAACCTTGCTTCCTGAGACCTGTCACCTCCCATGTCCATGTCCCTCCCATTTTCCAATCCCCCCTCCCCCCCTGGCGGACCGGCCATGCTGACAATTGCAAGCCCACCTGCCACATGGCTTCACGATCTCTCTGTCTGATTTTCTTTAGCGGCACAGAACGACAAAACCCGGTCTGCACGAAGGATCCGGTCCTGTCCCTGGGGTTCTTCAATTTCGCACGCGGCACAGGGTGGTTGCCAGAGAGGGGGGGGAGGAACCTTGACCTAGCAGCAGATCATACAATAGAACCCCCTTTAGCATTACTTTCCAGCTTCTTTCTAGGTTGATGGATCCAATTCTCTCCTCTGCAGAAGCCGGATGCGGCTGCAACGCCTGATGAACCCCATCAAAGCTCTTCAGGAGGAAGGAAAGTTCGCAAGCTCTCCCGAATGCAGCAGAGCTGCGAACCGATCTGTGCGTACAATCAATCAAAGAACCAATCTATTAATTGCGCGGCAGTTCGAGAATAATTTGATCAAAAGTTACCCGCCGTAATATACTTTACGTCTGAGATTAAGGTACGTGCAGGCAGGCAGGCAGGCAGGCAACACGTGAGGAGGAAGGGATTGCCCTTTGTGTTGTGTTATTTAATTTGGATAATAACCGCATAGCCGGCCTAAATTCCTCAACTGCCAGAAAACTCTAAAGAAAGACAAACCGAGAGGAAAGTTTATTCGGTTTTACGTGCATAGACGAGGAACATCCAATCCAATCCATCCGCACAGTGCGGCCATGCGGCGGCGCACCCGTACCCCTGCTGCTGCTGCTGCTGCTGCTGTTTGCACTCCCTCCATTCCCCAAACCAAATCTTCTCTGCGGTGTCCCAAATTGCCTTTTCCCTACTTTTTTTTAGAATAGTTGCGGTCAATCAAATAGTACTGGAGAGAAGATGCTGTACGACGTGAGGAAACGAACCCTCCCTCCTCTGTCCTTTCATCCGTCGTCACCAGAGAACGGAAACTTGGCCCAATATAAGACCAACACGCACACCACGCCAACAGCCAGCAGACACGGCACAAGAATAGAAAAAAAAACACCATGAAAGTTTAAGCTTCTCGTTCGTTCGTTCATTCGTTCGTTGGCACCAGAGCTTTGGATGAAAATAGTTGCTTGCTGGCGGCCGCAGAATGAGAAAGAAAGGAAGAAAATCTCTCTCTCATCATCATGCAATCTATCATCAGCATGTGCCCCCCTGCCTCCTTTTCCCTTCGTTCGCGGAGAAGAGAGGAGAGGAGGAAAACCAATAAGACAGACAGAACCCGAGTGAAGATGGGGTAACAGTACGAGCTCGGACTTTTTCGGACGGTAGTTGAGAATACGTGGTTCTAGCATTGCTCTCTGTATCGTCAGCTTTCGTTCCAATAGGTAGGCATGGCATGGCATGGCATGGCATGAAAGATCACCGGCCGGTGGACGCGTTCATTCATGCCATGCTATGCCATGCCAGGCGCCGAACTTCCGTGCTAGGTTTCTATAGAGGGAGGAGGTAGGTAGGTAGGTAGGTAGGTAAGAATAAGCTATCTTTTCTCGCGCTACCGTATCAATCTCTTGAGCCTCTTCCTTCCTTCTATTCCCTCCTTCCTTCCTCCCTTCCTGCCTTCCTCCACATGGAAGACAAGACGAGCACCCACCCTCGTCTCTGCTTTCCCATCCCACTGCCGGCCACGCACGTTTCAATCCTGCCTGCCTGCTGCAATGCAACCACCGTCAGATCCAAACTTTTCAAACCTTTTCCCAGTTCCCACAGGGTTGCTTGCTTGCTTGCTTGCTTGGGGTAAATCCCAGAACAGAAGCTTCATAGAACGGAAAAAGAAGCGGCGTAGTACATACATACATACAGGACGGCGGCACAGCCAGCCAGCCAGCCAGCCAGTCTTCGAGAATAATCGAATGAAACTGTACTGTACTGTACGACATCGGTTGCCCAGTGGCACAGTTACTGCCCTCGTGTCGAGTGACCGCGTGTTTTTTTTGTTGTTTTTTTGGTTTGTTTGCGCGGTTAGAGGTTTATTAGGGTACCGAGCCTGGTACGTATGTACAGACAGGAAAGAGGAGGGGGCTTTAGTGGTTTGGAGAGGGAATTTGAGACAGGCCGGTAGTTGGTAGGGGAATGGGAAAGGGAAGGGTAAGGAAAGAGGGGAATAGGTGCATGGTGGTATTGGGTTGGGGTTAGAGGATATTCTGGGAGTTGTAAGGAGGGAGGGTTGTAAAGGAATGGTTGTGTTGCTGCTATGTTGTGTTTGAATTTGGGAAAGGAAAGGGGAGCCTAGTAGAAGAAGGTATTACGCAATTTTTTGAGTTGGAAAGGATGTTTGGTTGTGATACTCGGGTCTCATTTGTGTTATTTGTTGGAGAATCTATTTCTTGGGCTTGGGTCGTGGAAAGGGGGGTTGGTTGTGATGGTTCTCGGGTCTTGTTTGTGTTCTTATTTGTTGGACATTCTGGTCGGGTCGACCAAGCTGCTGGGAAATTAAGTCGTACGAACGTGTTGGTTTTATGTCAAGAAATAAACGATTGTTCTATTTTACGGACTTTCTTTCTCTCTTTGCCATGTTGGGCGAGTATTTGTCGGTACGCGCATTTGCGTAATGCCTTGTTGGTGTCTAATCTTGGCTCCTGCTCATTTCGTACATTCGTCTCATAGCGGCTATGCAGGTGTGTCTTACTCGAAACTTGCCTCGAGAGAAAATAGCCAGCCAGCGAGTGTCGTTACGTACTTTGTAGAACATCGGGTTGGGCGTCTCGCTTTAGTATGAATTCGTTTGTTCTTTCCAACATCTCCCCAACAATGGCTATTGAACTTTATTTCAGCTCCAACAACCCAGCGTTGTTCAAAATGTTGGATTGGGGTATTCTAGAACGAGGTCCAACTTTTCTATTCTTCACTATAAGTGTTGGATACATGCTCTTGGGACCAGATGCAAAGCACGCAATGTGTCGTTGGACTTCTATCCTCGGGTCTTGGTGATCCCCTCTCTGATATCGCAATATTAAAGTTTTGTTTGCCTCCGGGAAACCAACACTGTACACCACTCATCAATGACTGAAATATTCTTCTCTCGATCCAAGTCTGTGTAGTTTCTGCCCTCTTTCGGAGCGATAGCGAGCATCGAAATAGGATTAGTTCCACACCTCTCTCTCTCTCTCTCTCTCTCTCTCTCTTTCAACCAACAACCCATCCAATCCTCCCTCCACCTCGGGACTCTTTCCCTCCCTCATTCTTCCATCACCCGCTCCACCCTCCACTCCAACGTTACAGTCTTCTAGAAGACACGCAACATCGCGGCGTTGCTGCGGCACGTACAGCTAGTATGTATGACCGCGTCTCGGTACCCAATCGCACCCGCATCCTCGTCTTTGTAAGATCTGATGATGCATCTGCCTCGTGTTTTCCATGCTCGCTGCTTACAACCCACCCAACCTATTCCAAACCCTTTCTTTCCTTCTTTTTTCTTGATTGAAACAAAGTAGCATCCAACGTAGCATTCTCTGTGAAAGCTACCAAACGGACCGAACAAAACGACACCACGGCCCATCTCTCGGCATGCCATCGGTCCAGATTTCCTCTCCGGGCCTATACGACGGAATTTCATTGTTCCGCCAATCAATTGGATCGGAGACGGGGTAGTAGTGCAGAGGATCGGATGTACTGTATGTCGGTAAGAGCTAATGTAAGGTGAGCTGGATACCGGATTTGGAATCGAAGTCATGTTGGGATGTGGCGAGGGTGGCGCTCTCGCGTCGGTCGGTCCTAGGTTCCCTCGTGGCGGCTTGTGGACGCGAGTGTGAGTATTGCTTGTTGTGGAAATTGGGTATGAATGTGAGGTTATTTTGGTAGGTATAGTAGTAGTAGCATTTATTGTTAAGGCTGGATCTAGTAGGTGGAAGGCTACCTTTTGTGAATTAGTGGAACTTGTGCCGTGAGTTGACATGAAGCTTTGTACGTTCGGTGTTTTGAGGAAGGTTAAGGTTAAATTGTAAGAAAACCTAGTCCGGCAATTCTTGACAATTTAATCTTGTCTTCATGTGCATTACCAGAGCTCATCTTGACCTTGCTCGATTATTCTTTTAGTGCTCCTGCATTTTCTTGTTCACTCTTAAGTCTTTTCTCGTTGACAATATTGCTTACCTGTAGAATGCGGGCGGTGTTAATGTCTTACTGGCACCTTGAGACACCCTTCGATAGTTTTAGGGGTTATGTTTGTCCTCTTAGGTAGCGTTATCACTTCTGTCTTTCGCTCGATTTTTAATATCGAAATCTCTACTGTAAAGTCTAGTTAAGCGCTTGTAGCTAAGCACGGGAAATAAAAGGAAGCCTTCAGATTGTTATTCGCAAGTAAAGCTATAGTTTGCATACTCTTTGCTCCTGATAGAACGGTTCATGTTTTCAGGATCAAGTATTTCAGTGACAGATAGAACGGAAACTATCGCTTCACTTTTCCTTTTTGATGATACATTATGAATTCCACATAAATTCACATTTCAAGAAGTGGACTATTGTACAGTACAAACTTGGTAAGCGGAGGCTGAATCCGAAAGGCTTCTACTAGGCTACTGTACTTCCTCTTGCAGTATATATACACACCATGTATCGTTACCGTCAAAACATAAGTTCTTTCGTGCTCAACGCTCTGTCCCTTCACACAAGTCCAAGAGATAGCATTGACCCCGCATTCTTTGCTGTACCCCGCCAATTTTGCGGCCGCACAGACAAGCAGGAAGCACGTACCCTTTTATCATGTTCATCCTTATTTCTGCAACCTTTCACATCTCCCCACAGACTTAAATCCTTCTCTCCTGATCACCGCATCAAGTGGCGTTCAATCGCAACCCCATACCACCCCTCCAGAAAAAAAGAAAAAACCCAGACCCTCTGTGTCCCACAACGAAAAAAATTGCGGAGTTCGCCTGCCCCACCTCTCTAGCTCTCCACCACAATAGTCAGTCCCACGACTACGTCTCCGTCCCACGCCATCCCAAATCTTCGACGACACACACAAGTCTCGATGGGCGTGGATAAAGATTCACACGGTTTGCGGTTGCACGTGATGTCTAGGCAATCCAGGTGAGTGGTGGTTCTGGAGTGGAGACTTACGCAATAGAGTCTGGATCTGCCGAATATGATGTACCGAGCGCGATCCCGAGAGGGGATATTTCTAGAGTCCCGTAACGAACGGAAAGGGAGTCTCTTTCTTGAGATGATAAAGATTCAAGTTTGTTCCTTTCTTCGAATGTGAATATTTATTTTCAATTCTCTTTCTCTCTTTGACAATTTGATCGATTTAAAGGCAATTGTCATCTTACGGCCAATTCTCGTACCTCACCGATTTTCTCATCACCCAGTTGTCAAGATATTGACTTTCAGAATGGAGAAAGATACGAAGATAGCGATTATTGGAGCTGGTAAGAGGTCTTCAAGCTCAGACTCTTAACACCACTTACACGTGACTAGGAATGGGAGGATTGGCATGTGCATTAGCGTTGGCAAAGAAAGGATTCACCAGCATTGATGTATTTGAAACTGCATCAAATCTCGGATTCGTAGGAGCTGGAATCCAATTGGCACCAAATATGGCCAGAATCCTTGACAGATTAGGCGTGTGGGCCGATATTGAGAGAGAAGCGGTTGACTTGAAAGATACAAGTATCAGAAGTAAGCAACGTCAGCCGTTAGAAAAGGCTTTGCTAAACGTTTTTCAGATGGTGACCAAGACAACGAACTCGGCCATGTAGACCTTCTCTACATCCGAGAAACCTACGGCTACCCTCACATGGTTGGCCACCGTTCCTCACTCGCTGGCTCCTTATACGAAGGCTGCAAACGAGAAAAGAGCATTAAATTCCATTTCTCAACCGCCGCTTCAGAAGTAGAATCCTGGTCCCCAAAACCAACCATCAAAGTCCACCCTCGTGAGGGCTCTCCTTATTCTGTGCAAGCAGACATCATCCTCGCCAGCGATGGCCTCAAATCCGGTGTCCGAGACCAGATGCTAAAACTATTGAAAATCGACGCTCAAGTCATCGATACGAATCAAGCTGCGTATCGAATCATGCTCAAAAGAGAAGACATGCAACACGACCCCGAACTCCTGGAGCTAATCGATAGCGACCGAGTAACGAGATGGATAGGAGAGAAGCGTCACATCATAGCCTATCCCGTCTCCAGCAAGCAGATCTACAATCTCTCCACTGTTCAACCCGATAAGAATTTCGCCGAAGCACCGTCAGCTACGTACACAACCAAAGGCTCGAAACCAGAAATGCTGAAAGTGTTCTCCGATTTCTGTCCTAAGATCCAGAGAATGCTGGATTTGGTCCCTGATGGAGAAGTGTGTGAGTGGAAGCTCAGAGTTCACAGTCCGTTGCCGACCTGGGTACACGGTTCTGTGGCTCTGGTTGGAGATGCTTGTCACCCCACACTTCCTCATCTCGCTCAAGGAGCCGCACAGGCTATCGAAGATGCAGCTGTCCTTGCTGTTGTTCTGGATAAATGTCCTGACACGAAGCCTGAGAGTATCAATAAGGCATTGAAGGTTTATCAAGAACTGAGGAAAGAGAGAGCGGAGACGTTGGTGGAGTTGGCTGCTGCGTCAGGCAGGGCTTTACATTTGGGTGATGGAGCTGCGAAAGCAGAGAGAGATAAGCAGTTTGCGGCGCTGAAGGAGAAGAAAGGTGCTGTGCCTGATAAGTGGGCGGATGCCGATGTGCAGAAGAAGATCTATGGGCATGATTGTGCGATGGTTGCAGAGGAGCAGTTCGATGAGTTGTTTGCGAACACGAAGGCTCAGCTATGATGTACGTTTAGGCAATTGAATTCGCAGACTTTGATAATATTGTTCTGTTGGTGTTGTATCGTTGGGTGACAGTTTTGTTATTCTTTCGAGTGAACTCCTTGTTCTTCTTGCGAAGCTCTCTGGATTGCCACTATGCACAACATCGAAGTTTACTTTCGGATCTCAGCAGCTAGTTCATTCATTCCGATGCACAGGAGTCGATTGACAGCTGTGTGTTAAGTGACTACTGCTGTGTTACAGCTCTTCTCGCTTGTGATTCCCAGATTCATATCTCCTTGATTTGGAGCCTTGAATGCTTTCTTAATTGGCATGAGGACCATGGTTCCTTCCATAGTATCAGAGTGCTGGTGTTAGATTGTGCGCTTTAGTATTAGCTGCGGGTGGAGGTTTGTATGGCATCTACAAAAGATATGAGAAAGTGTTCTGCTCAAAGAAGTCCATGCATACCCGAGGATGGTGATGTTGCAGTTTTGATAAGAAAATCATCATTCTTAGGTGCTGAGTTTCGGACTTTCTTGAATACCATTGCCGTCTTCGAGGCCAGACTCTGCTCAGTATCTCAAGTACCTAGAAAGCCTTAACAAATGAAGGGCGTGTGGGAGTGACAAAATCCAACAAGGTGTGTTGTTTGCCTTCAGATGTGAACAATTGGGTTCCCGCCCTTTTCTTTACCACCTTCCGCGTTTACAGCATACTTGACTCACATGTTAAATTGTGTGGAACCAGATCGTCCTAGATACAGGTCTTTGATGATGTTCTATTGGCTTTCCTGCGGTCTTGGCAGAGTTAGACATGACAGTGGTAGGTAGGACTGTGTGTACGTTGCAAAAAGGAAGATTTTTTTCCTAGACACGAGACTACCCAACGAGCTAATTCTGAAGGTAAGCTCGGATGAATTATCTACTACGTTCTATAAGTCTCTGAACTGTTCATACGTTATCTACCAAGCCGTCTTGGTCGCGGAATGTCTACTTTCCATCTACTTCGTATACCCTTGGGTAGACACATACAACAACACTCCTCTTTGGACTAGCAATCGCCGTTGAATACGTCGTGCTTGACAGTAGAGTATGTGACCTAAGCTATCTTCATCCTTTTCATTCCGTCATTGTTCGTATTTCTTGCCTACCTGGAAGCCTATCGAGGCTTCACCATCCGAACTTCGCCTCAGAATATGGTCCATCTAGGGTCGAGGAATTCGAAGCAAACACTTAAACAAACATCACAGCCTCGTCTCTCCTCCAATTTCCTTGAGTCTAATGGCAGTTTTCATGCAGTAGTACCCCATGTCACTGGGCCACGTCAGAAGTGAAACTTAAGGGTGAGTTCCAAGAACGGAATTTGCATGCGAGCACAGCTCGTCCAAGTGAGCAAAGTCACACCAGCACTTGCTTTTTTGATAACAACTTTTCCCTATCAATATAGTGAATAATTTCAGTAACATACTTCCCTCGAGCAGAGATGGCTTTGTGACTGCAAGGAAGCATCCTAAAGTAAGGTCCAAGTGAGCTGAACTATTTTCTGGCTAGGTAAGACCTCTTGGTATTCTGTTATGGCTGGAAGTTAATCTCTAGAAGACCTCTATTATTTCAATCATGGTCTGCACAACAATACGCGAGATTAGAGAACAGGACCCACGACACTCCCTCATCGAATCAATAGCCACCTCGAAAACCTTTCCCTCGCTGCGGCAGAAATCGATTTACTCCATCAACCACACCTCGTTTTCACAAAGAAAGCCTTGGCCACATGTTTCTATGGCGTCGAGGCATCTAAAGATGACGACTTGCAGAAAGACAAACATGCCCTCCTGTCCTGGACTCTGGTCAAGGTGCAAACTTGGCTACTCGCGTCAAAGCTACTGCGATCAACTCGACGGGCATTAAAGAAGATCTTTACAGAATACACCTTGGCTAGTCTAGCGCTATTCATCACAGACAGGTCTTGCTATATTCCTGTGTAATGCTATCGAGAAGAAAGACATTGGGACTGGGACTGGGACTGGACTCTGTTCTCTGATCTGGACAGTTGGTGGTGGTCTGTATTGGGATTATTAGAAGATTTCTACCTCGAAGAAAGTGGAGGGAAATGAGGCACATTCTGAAGGGCTAGGAACAGTGGAAGGTAGTGTATCTGTGTGAACATTTCAATGGGAAATAATCGCCGAGAAGGTTGGAAGAGGATAGTCAGGAAATACTTAATGCTTAATACCGCCAGTAATCGACGAACAATCACAGCGTAAGTTCCCACATTCTTCAAAGAAAATTACTTAATTTCACAATCCACTACCCCAATGGAGAAGAATATTTATCACTCTCAACTCTGCCGGAACCTCCCACTGGACCTAAAGCATCTCCATCCTAAAAACGGCTTCCCAGGCGCAATGTTCCTCGCTCTCAAGGAGCCGAATCAAACATTTCCAAAGGAAACCACAATCTAGAGCATCTATCCAAATTCACATCTACCATATCATCTGTGCTTAGTCGTGAGTGGTTTTATAGGGATGATATTCATTAATAAATGCAGCTTCTTCAGACGTCAAACCAGGTGTCTTGATAGAGGGAAATGGGCAGGGGGTATTTTCCTTGTAAAGTATATCAAAGTATGGACGGCACTTCACGAAATAGACAGAGGAGGACATAGAAGAGTTGTTTTGCCCGTCCACGAGTCCATGATTGGCGATTTCCTCAAGTATTGGCATAAGGAGGAAGATTGGGCCAAGTTTTGGAAGCGTGGTGCTAAGAGTATCTTTGAAGAGAATAGGGACGTTGTGAAGGAGGCGATAGGAAATCGTGTATGGCGTGAAGTAGCCATCGATCAAGAAGTGAAGATTGCTAGATTCCTGGTGGACAGCCTGTTTTAGGTCAAGGCATGAGAGTGCATGGGTATGTGCTGATGAGGTTGTCTGGAGCGTTAGTATGAAGCACCGATGGTAGTTAAGGGACACTAGTGTGTATGGATAATGTACGAGTAAAAACTACACCATGACTTCACAAGCCAAGTGCCATCAAAGCGACAGGTGACAGCACATAACATAACAGTTGAGTAATCGGAAAACCTTCCACCACCTCACAGCTTCCCCCAAAGTAAGCCGTGCTAGATACAATAACGTTCCAATCCGCATTGGCATTAAACAACGGACCCCTCACCAACATTGCATCAGGACCCCACCCCCATGGACAATAACGATACAAATCCCTTGTATAGTCTCCCACCAACCAACACGGAGCCCATTGCGCCACAGTTTTCTTCCCAGACACGTTAATTATGTAACAGCTTATCAAGACTTGAGCACTTACATCGTTACAGAAGTAGATACCAGAGTTCCAGGAACAAGAAATGCGACCACAGTGCCGCGGTCCAGGGCCAGCGCCACACTGAGAGTAAGGACCAAGGCGCCAGAGGTATTCGAATCCATCATTGATGGCGAAAACCTGGGCCCAATTGAAGACATCACAGAATGGTGGCCAAGCCTAGTTTGAGTCAGTATGTGCCACAATCTACCCGATCTGTCAAACACCAACCTCCCAACCGGGGTGAGACTGTCTTTTGCTCACAGCCGAAGAAGTATGGCTCTCGAACTCGTTGTCGAAGTTCGGGTTCATGGTCTTAATTTGGTTGTAGATAGACTGTGGAATTGTATGATGAGCACCCTGAGTTGAAAAAGAGGGAAGGGATGATTGACCTCTGCAGTTCCATTGAGCTCGATTTCGGGTCCTCCAGCTGAGATGGGGCCTTTGAATAGGATGTCGGAAACGCTTGTCACTTCGTATGCAGCTCGAGCATCAACCTCAGGGCTAGGGAGAGCATGGATGATGGAGCTCAACGAAGTCAAGATGGTGGCAAGAACGATGCATAGTTTGGAAAACTATTGGTGTGGCTGAGGAGTATGAAGTGAAAGTTATTGGAAGAATGCAACTTTGTTTTGAGAGAAGTTCTTATAGAATTGGCAGCAGCAATTAACATACCTCTACCTACCTGTTGTGCAACACGAGCATGCTGTGCTCGACTCAACGGTCTCACGTGCAGCATCTTGAGAGCAGCTTCCCGTCCATGTCCAGATCTGCACGACGATGCAAGCCAATAGAAATGCTAATATTCAGGATCAAACGGAAGAACAGATTGAGTTCTATGCAGTGTATTGTGATAGACATACGACATTTAAACGTACAGAACGACTCTTAGGATGATCTCTAACCCTCTTCCCGTCTCACGCAACATATCATGACAATACAACCAGAAGATACGATCCTCGAGCAAACATTTTCCGTTCTCAGACTGACCTGATGACCCTGAGATGTCCGAACCCGAACTTGCAAAACGCGAACCTCCTACGTGCGACAATGACCCCGCATACATCTGAATATGCAACAAAGAAGGCAATTTCAAACCGTTTTACTCCCCGCCCCAATTCAAGAACATAATCCCAAAGTAATGTAAAGATGACACAAGAAGGGCTTCAAAACGCCCAGGTTTGGACCAAGTACAAATAGTACAATTCAAAAACAAAAAGAAAAAAGTTCATACAATCAGTTCTGGTCGTAATCTCGTAATTCCGAGAGAGACTTGTTCATCTGAACAACGCTAGAACATCACAGCTCGCAGGAACAGTCCTCATACCCCTCCTTATCCACCAGATAGCCATGCTAGCCGCCCACTCGGGCCTTAGCCCCAGCCATTGCCTCTCTGAATGACAAACAATGTGTCTGTAAAGAATATCCTCGTCGTTGTGGCGTTCCTTGACTTGTTGCAAGGACGCTTTTCTTGTGTCAAAGCACCACACCTCTGGGAGCAACAAAGATTGCGACGCCTTCGCCTTGTGGTATTTTTTGAACAAGTCAATGAGCTCGTCGCTTCCCGGTTCAGAACCAATGATCAGGATATCGGTCCTAGCCAGAACCTCAATCCTTCCATTACTCTCCTTCGAATCTGTAGAGAGGATGTTCAAATCTTCGATACAGGAGACGGATTCTGAGAGTAGTTCTTGCTTCAAAGCAGGGCCATAAGCACCAAGGTCACCGGCAACGGTAACCCGTCGAGACTGTAAAGAGCAAGAAGTTCCAAGAAACCAATCGAAGACCTTGAAAGTAGACCCAATGTACGAAGAAGGATCGACATGATGCAATGCGTGGTACTCAGGTCCCACCAAAAATGGATGTGGATCTTTAGGAACGACCGGTGAGTAAGATTTGTGGTTTGAGTCTCGACCTTCCATACAAGCAACCACGAAGCTGCGGACTGTTTCGAACGCTAAGACGAGGGTCAAGATCTCCTTGGAAATTAGACCTGGGCCAGTGAGTCCCACAGAGTTGGCAAGAAGATACCCAAGCCAAGTACCGAAGAGCTGGCAGGATAGCTCCAGAGGTAATTCGTAGCACATGTTTTGCCACTGGTACCTGTCATTGAACTTGAGGCGACGATTGAAATATAAATGATGAACCTCGTGTAGGTAACCAATGCTGCGTAGAATGCGAGATCTGGACTTGGAGCATTTGTGCATAGTCCAGTGGCCAACGTCGAAGAAGAACGACCCAGAGAAGTATAGCCACAGAATTGAGAGGAACAATACTGGCGGAGATGAGGCAGTGAGCGCTTGAAGCGCGAAGTCTAGTACATGCTCGATGCTGCTAAACCAATATCTCGAGTCATGACCTCGACTTGTATTGCTGGTGACGGGACGTGTTGAGGTTGTTGTGAGCTGAGAATTATTCGAAGCATTCGCAGCAGCTGATGGGTAGTTGAGTGAGACTTCATTGCTAGTTATACTGATTGGAAAGACTGATAAAGAAGAGCACGCTACTATAGAATGCTGGAAGGGAGTGTTTCGGCCCAGTGTTGTCTTGCTTTGGTATTTGCTTCCATATCTTTCGAGCGGCTCTTGATGCTAAGGACGAGTTAGCAAAACATAACGTTGGAATGATTGAGATTATAGAGGACTTACTTCGATATGGATATCTACGATATTGTCTTCGATACTCATTCCAGGACTGGCATTACCCAAGCAGTCTTCTGAAGCGTCTACTGCGCCTACTCCCTTTAGGGAGACAGCAAGCAGCGTCACCGCCAACAGAACATGTAGAGATAGTAACAGTCTCAGCTCCATCATGATGAAAGCGGTATATATAAACAGGAAATAGAGGTCAATGAAACAGTAGAGAAGGTCTTGCTCGAGTTGACTGTTCCCGAAACGAACATCCACTTCGAATGTGGTCCATGATGAGCAATGCAATGAAGTATATATCAAGAAACGGCCCAACTGCTCCGCCTCACAGATTCGTCTTCACAAATTTCACTATCGTATCGTCGTACCTGACTTCCCGAGAAGGCATTGATGATCACGTGCTGCCTTTTGAATAATCCGAGAGCCCCCTTTCGGCTGAGGTAATCTCGCTCCAAATACGGTGCCGAGTGCGCCATACCAGGATCTGCGCCAGCCCACGGCATTGCGACGATTGTCGGGACATTTCTCTTCCTAATAAGCAAGCTTGAAGCCCGGATTGGTCGGGTCGTTCCAGCACTTCGCCTGCTTCAGGTAGACACTTTCTGTGCTCGTAGGAGCGAGAATCCTTGACAAGTATTTCAGGACGAACCTCTTAGGAACCTTGGAGAAGCGCCTTGCTGAGAGTTTGATATCGTTTCAGCAGCAGGTTACGCAATAGACTTTCGCAAGCTCTGCAATTCCGCCTGTCGAGTTGGCTCCGGATGCGCCGGTAATTTGGTCGCGCAAGGCTTTCTCTGCGACCCTTGCCGCTGTACCTGCATTCCAGAAACCTTCTTTCCATTTGATCTGATAGAGGAGATCGATGGCTCGCTGGGAGATACGAGGATTATCCGCTTGCATAGCAGTGAAGTATAGCGGAGCAATGAGACCCATATCCGCTGAAAATGAGGATTTGGATGTTGACAAGGAGCTGATCATGGACTGGCAGATGTCGTTGATTTTCGTCCATTCCTCATCCTTTGGAGGGCCATAGTATTTTCCATCGACATCTGTATTGTATCTGATATCCAGCATGAGTGCAGTGGTATGGTGATGCAGAGCAAGTAAGACGCTGAGTCGAAGTTCGTCTTCTTGCCAGTTCTGACCCTCCTGGTGCGAGAAAGTGTCGAATACCGTCTTCCACTTCAAGAACTCAACTCTAAGCCCGTTCAGCAAAGACTTCCTGGCGGGTAAGTACGTATTTTCTGCCGACCATGAATGAAGCTGGGGATGCGACTTCGTGGTAATGATGTAAAAAAGCTTCGAAACAAGGGCCTCCAAAGTGGCTCGAGCTTGGTGAAGGTCCACAAATGACAGCGGCTTATTTGTGATCCTAGTAGAAGCTTGATCCAAGGAAGATATGTTAAATCGTGGTTGGCGAGAATCTAGGAATGTTGTGGCCTGCATATCGAGCCGTTGAAATGCTCTTGTAATGAACTCTCGTGCTTCCTGTTCGGAGGAAGTGACGTCCTGTGTATGCCAATGCTTCAGTACCTCGAGTCCCTTTTCCAGATGTAGTAATGCTGCATCATAATTTCCTCTCAGATTTTCCAAGCAGATGAACAAGATACAGCAAGTCAACGTGAATTGCACCGGCTGTATGGTTTGACGAGAGCACAATTGCCTGATAGCTTTGTTGTATTGTCGTAAAAATGTCATGCTTTCCATAGTGGTCTCCGACCCTTGACAATAGGTCGTTTCGTGAAGAGCACTGAGGCTCAGCACAGCTCGAAACACTGCAGGAGAAGCCTCACTGAACCGCAGAACCACATGACTCCAGAAATCGGACTTTGTGTCGAACCCGATCAACTCAGACAGTGCTTTATATCTGAAGTAATCGAATCCTCTGTTCTCTTTTTCGCTTCTATAGGAGTGGATGTCTGGACTTGACAGAGAGGACTCTCGGGCTTGAACAAGGCTCGTCACCTGCACGCCGTAACCATCACATGGTCGACCAGACTTGATGCATTTTGAGCATGAAGGCTTTCCTTCGTCGCATTTGATGCGCCTTACTCTGTATTTAAAAAAACATTAGCGGGAACGTCTCGTAAATTATTGGAGCTTCCATACTTGCATGTCCGACAGGCTGACCTGACCTTCCCACTTCGCGATCTGGCTTTGTTGGGTTTCTTGTGTTCCATCTTGGTAGGAGGAGAGGGCATCTCGTTAGTGCATGTAGCCATTCGAGGATAATTATGATGGTTCCTCTGCTGTCGTCCTGTGAAGTTCTCACGGCTCGGCATAATTATATGGGGCTCATTTTCAGGAGGTTGTCTGACGAACAGTACCAGCCGCCTGGCGAAACAGGCAGTCAGATGGCACGAGAGGCTGAGTACAGCAGCGCCTCAATTCTCGGAATCGTTAAGGTGAAAGCATCAACGAATCAACGAATGAAAAGGTCAGATCCAAAAGGGCATAACAAATGAAAATAGAGACAGTCGGATCTGTACTAAGACCTGTTATGCTGTTTCTAATTACATCAACCAGAGGCAATAATCACAATTCGATGGTCAAACACGGACAACTTAGTAGCAATCTGCACGACTCTATTTATCATCATAATATTTACAGCCACATCCTCTGTTTTGATTCGTTTCATTGCTCATAAAGCTGAGCATTCCGTCAAAGTATTGAGGCAAAAAAGCCTCCTAGACCCCAATACGCCAATGGGCCGCGAATGATGCGGCATCTTTTCTCATGCAACATATTCATCTAGCCACAGGAAGAGGTGGTGGTATCATAACGCCATTGCTATGCTGAAAATTAGAAAATTAAGACGTGCGAACACGCATGTTTGAGGACGCCTGATCATGGTAGTGGTAATGCGACGCGTCAATAAACTCGAAGCTGCATCAAGACGCAACAGATGCCCATAGCCACACCTAGGTCCATGCTCCTTATGGTGAAAATTTTGTATGGATGCCTTTTTGACGTTTTCCAATCACGGCTGCATCGGAAGGGTCAAGATGATACGACGGGGAAGGTCTCTGGCGGGCTCCACCTCCTCTTTCTTCTTCGTCTGCCACATTTCTTTGCTTCCTCAACTTCTTCTCAAGGCTCGCTGTATCGACATTCTCGTTTCCACGTCCGACCGATCCTCTTCTAGATCCTCGATTGTTTTTGTGCTCATAATCGCGCGCTTTTGGGTGTTGTTTCGTCTCCTTGGTCTCAATGATGGTAAAATCTGGCGAAACAGTACGAAAATTCTGCTTGCGTCTTTGTTCATGCTCGGAGTGTTCGTCCTCGTCAGCCAAAGACTTTCGTTTCCTTCCTCGGGAGGGGTGTGCGCTGCCGTCATTTGTACTTTGATGCACCAGAGCTGGAGGAATATCACTCTTGCGAGAGGTAGAAGTAAGGGTAGGTGAAGATAACCGGTCTTTGGGCAGATTACGAGTGCCTGGCCCATCGTTTGGCAGGAGCATCTCGGACTCGTCCTCCTCGGTCTCATTGTGACCATTTGCCTTTCCGTGAGACTCGTCAGTCTCAATTGTAAAAGTTGGGATGAGATCAACGTCATCCTCAGGAGCATCGTGACCAAAGCCTTCGACCTCGGAGTTACGTTCGGCAGCGATGCTCTGTTCTGCAGGCTCTGGTGAAGGGCTTCCAAGCTGTTTCACCTGAGGGAAGCCGCTCCGGTTACAATCATATGCTGCGAGTCTTCCTCCGCGGCCATGATTTTTACTCTCTACGGGTAACGGCGCTGGAGATTTTAATCTTCTAGTACCGTTAGCCTTCGTAGAGAGTGTAGATCCAGGTACGCTTCTTTTGCTCTCCGGCGAGTCTAGTATCTCAATGAAATCAATCGCCTCAGTCGGACTAGTGGTGTTTCGTCGTGATGAGCGGCCCTTTGAGCGAGAGCTTGCCTGGGATGACGGCTCTTGTGAGTCGACGATCTCTTGAGATTTGCCATTCAAAGCTTCCAATGAGATATGAGCACTATTCTGAGTAGACGCTTCGATTACAATAACGCTATTGCTTTGACCTGTTTGCTCACGAGATGAGCTCTCAGGTGTGTTTCGCCCTCGTCCGAGAAGGCCGCTCATTGTCGTGTAGATAGTGTTGATGATACCGGTTTGCTTTGGTGTTGGCTGGAGTGTGTTGTCTTCTAATGTGGTAGACCCAACAGTCTGAGCTCTGATCGAAGCCTGAAGGAAATCCTCGTCAGACTTTGCTTTTCCATCCGTTGCTTTATCACCAGTGGCATGCGGCTGTTTACGATCATCTGCGTCAATTAAATCCTCTCCATATTGAGCCTTGCGAATAGCTTGAACGGATGAGTTGGCATCAACTTCCTTCTTTGATTTTGCGGAGGACTTAAGTTTTTCATAAGCTTTCTTCGACTCATCGTCTCCATATTGTTCTTGTTGAAGGTTGAACAAGAGATCACGAACACGCTCACGCATGGAGGATGCGGGGGGGTATTTCTCTGACAAATCTGTAAGATCTACGGCACTTTGGAAAATATCCTTGATGAACTCATCTGGACCCTGTAGGAATTTTTCGATGTAGCTGAGAAGGAACAGACCACAATCGCTGGAGTTGGTTTGATGAGGAATGTTTTTGGCTGTCATGCCGATGGGTCCCGGATCATCTGCCTCAATGTTGAGCTTTGTCTTCATCTCTTGAAGAAGATACCTCTTTAGCTTAGTACAGCAAGGTGAACGTCCAATATGAAACGAATCTAGAGTGATGATCCGAAACTCATCGGGAGATTTCCGAGACGGCGGTGCTGACTTCTTCTTTCCTTTTTTCGCCTGATCAATCTTTGTGTCCGTGGGAAGAATGTCAGAGGTAATAGGAGGGGGAGAACTCTCAACAGAACGTTGTTCGACGCCATTGCTCTGTGGCGCTGCTGCCAGTTTTTGGTTTGGCGAGGCTTCACCGATCGATTTGCTGGGCTCAGGGGCCTTTGCTGGTTGATCGGCCAAGGTCATCCCCCTAGTCCTAGGCGTGAGACTAGAGTCCGAAGATGGCGAAGCAGATTTTTCTGTGGTCTTTTCTATACTTTGACCTTCTGTCACATCTTGGGATACAATTTCATGCTTGGCTTTCTCTGCAGCCTCGAGGAGTTTAGGAGCATTACAGATTATGGCGACATACCAATGAAGATTCTCATTGACGGGAACAACGATATAATCGTATTCGAAGATGTTGACTTTGGCAGTCCACTTCTCAACAGCTTTGTAGTTGATCCCGTCCTTGCTACCTTTAGCAGGCTTGCTAAGCTTCTCGAAGAAGAACGAGTTCTGAAAGTAGACTCGCTTTGCCACTTCCGGTTTCAGCTGATGCTCGAGCCAGCGAAGGTAGAATGTGACCAGATTATCGTTGAGAAATTCTCCCTCGTCAAGTCTGTATATATCTTGCTGATCTACTGTGGCCCTGCTTCTTCCTTCAGGAGGGTAGATGATAGAACTTCGCCAATTGACATCCTTAGCCCATGTTGGATTGAGCTTCGTCCAAGAATCAGGAATTTCTGGTGATGGTGGGCGTCGCTGAGCACGAGTTTTCTGGGAAGCATCAGTGCTTGCTATTCTCGTGGATGAGCGTGTTCCATGAGAGGTGCTCGAATCAGGTACGGCTGAGGAACGGCGATAGAACGTGTCTGGAGGAAGTGGAGGAAGTTCATGATGTTGGAAAGTCCGGCGCTTGTCTTCATCGCTATCGGCCTTTATTGAGTCTGTTCGCATTGCTTCAGTTACACGTCGCTTCCTAGGCCGAGGTTCCTCAACTTCCTGGCTCGAGTGGCGGATACTGGCATCACCTGTTTTGTAGCTCTTTGATTGCGCAGTATTCAACAGGTTTTTGACCTTCTTCTCGGACCGCGCGATTGCAAGACGAACGTCATCAGGCTGTTCCTCTCCTCGAGGGCGTTTATCTCCAGGTTTAAGATTTATTCCGTTCTTAACGTCTTCAAAGAATTTGCGGAACGCTTTGTCAAGATGTTCCTCACTGCCATTCTGTGTCAATCCTTGAAAGTCAAACTGAATTTAGTGTACTTACGACTTTACCATAGCTCTGAGACCACAGGCAGATACCAAGTGCTCGGTGAAGCCGAGACATTGCGGAATACTTGAAAACTCCATGAAAAGCTGCGTAGCATTCGAGGAAGCATGATCTCGGTGACGCTGCACTATCACTTTGGCAGATTTTTGGCTGTAATGGATAGCATTGAAAGGTGATGTAAGAAGCGGTTGCTCACGCTCGCCTTGTTCATTAAACAACGCGAGGTATTTCTTTTCTTGGTCATGCTTCATCGTCCAGGTACTGTTGCAACCGTGGAGCCATAATTTGGCATGGCTGAATACCTGGCGTAATTCATAAACTTCCCCAGTCCTCGCAGACTTTAGTTTTCCTTTTGGTGCAGTTTTGAAATTTGTAGGCTCGATGTCTGCATTTTTTGAAGGCTCATCGTCATCGGAGTCATCCAAATCAATGGGCCGTTCGCGGGGAGAATTCGGTTGTTGGAGCAGTTCTTGTAAGCAGTCAAAGTGCTTGCGTTCTTCTTCTACCATTTGATCCTGTGACAAAAGTTGATCAGGGCTCGACTCGAGTTGTCGTTCTGATTTGTCTCCAAAGCCGCCACTAGCATGGCCCTTTCTTTGAAATATTCTGGGGGTTGATGCGAACTTGCTAGCTTGCTGAACACTGGAAGCTCGAGATTCTCGATTCTCGTTGCCGTCCCTCGAAAAGTGTTGCGAGACTTGCGGAGTCTCCGAGCTCGACGAAGGATTAGCACCTCTATGAATGCCCGCTCCATTGATATCGTATGTTTGGTCCTTGGTTCTAGTGATAGGCGGACAACTTGGGACCTGAATCTCAAAGTTCGCAGCACGCTTCTTGTAGGACGACTTGTTGGTGCCATCAATATCGGAATCGGATATTGGATCAGTGGCATCCTCCTTCTCATCGAGTCTCACGATGGTTGGCTTCTTGTAGAGCGGAAGCCCAACTCCATTCCCATGACTATGAGAAGAGCTGTTCGGGCGAATCCTTCGATTGTTGCCATGGACTCTTGTTAATTCGTGGACATTTCGATATTCGCCAACACCTCCCACTCCGCTACTCGCATATCGCGTCGGCTCATTCAACGTCTGACTGTGACCTGATCTGGCTGCAGAGCTATGTCTGTGTTCTTCAGACGGATCGTTGTCTACTTCGATAGGCGATCTCGATGAGCCGCTCGTACGCACAGAACCCGTTTCCGTACGCTGTCTCTTGTTGGAGATTTGAGGCGTGGATTGGGACATCTGTGAAGGCGGACGTCCTGCATGCGCGTTCGCACTGGGGCGTGTCCATGAGTCCGCGGCTGAATCAGGAAACTCACTTCTCGGCTTGGGGCCGAAGTTGCGAGGCTTCCCCTGCTAAAGATTAGCATTGCTCCAGATGGTGGAAGGAGAACCGTGAGTGACTGACCATAGCATTAGCGTTCAAGATTCGGTTCACCTGCGATCTGATTCAAACTGTCAGTAGATCCCCCACTGACCGTCATGATCTCCAGGACGTACAGTTGTCTCGTGTGGGCTGCGGCTGCTTCTTGTTGCCTCTTCTCATGTTCGTCCCGACTTTTCAACGAGTTAGCGTGCAAGAAGAGACATGTGTGAACGTAGAACGTACTACTCTCGTATGGGCGTGGATGGTTCTCTCTGCTGAGCTCGAGGTCGTGGGGCATCTCTGGTGGCGGCGAGCCTCTCCTCCTTCGCCTTGTCCTTGCTGTTGGTCATTAGAAATTGCGTCGCCCTTGAGGAATTTGCCATAGTAAACCCACTAGATCTGTACTGGCTGCTCCGGGGAGAGTATTGCAGAGCGCACCAACGATTCTGCCTCCTTGAGCTTTTTGTCTGCAGTTTTCACACTTCGTGCCGATAAGACGCGCTCCTTGAGATCAAAGAATTAGCGACGATTGCGGAACATGCCGAGGACGGATGTCAGCCTCGTGTGCAGGCTACTTTACCTCTGCCGCCATCTTCAACTCCTCAATATCCACCACGAAATGCTTCCTCTTCTTTGTATCCAGCTCCTCGCTCTGAGCTCTCATGGTTCGAGGGATGGGATCTGGTAAGGAACGTTGCAGTCGCTCCATTGCCTCGAGACCAAATGAAACAGATCGATTTCTTGCTGGGCTGGTTGATTGAGGGATTGCCTGAACCTTCTGAATGTCGTTTTGAGCATTTTCGGATCGAGGCTCGCCAATTGATTGGTGATTACTGCGCGCGGTACTCGCCCAAGAAGGAAAGAACCACATCTTGATTGTGTGCTGGTGCTTTTGGTAGTTCTGCGAAGGGTGCGATGAAGTGGGGATTCTCCAGTGCTTGCTGCAATTCGTGATGAAAGACGAAGGAGAAGCAGCAGCAAGAATCTTCTCATGAGATTTTAGATTTCAGCGTTGTAGAAGACGTGGGTTGTGTGTTGTTACAAGCGCTGGTATTGTTCTTTACCACAATGGCAAGCGCGACCGTGGTAAATTTTGAGATTCACTTTCAAATCCAACCGAGCTGCACATTCTTCTACCATTAATCGAATTATCCGTTTTGTATCCGATTTGTGAAGCTTTTTACAAGCACTTGGACTGCCATATGGCCTCGATGAGCGTTGTCAATGATCAAGTCGGAGCGAAAGTAGAATGAAAGTAGACTGAATGTTGGATGGATTTTGAGGGATAGCCTGCCCTCATCGGATTGATCTGAAAGCTATCTTTGAACAGAGTACATGTCCTAATGTCGCTTGCGATCTTCAGCCGCGATTGGTATAAGTCTTCTTCTTGTGCAGTATGACTGCTGTGGTGCAAGTCCTCCAAAGTATTTGCATGCATGCATCTTAGGCTAAGGCGCGTTGTGTTTGGAAAGAGACAGAGTCCTTTTGACGGCTTAGGTCACTTTCAGCAAAGCGAATGTATGGGTTGTAATTGCATCGTATCGAAATGTTCTGTTGAGGTTCGGCGATATGAAGTCGTTATTCAGGAGAGACAACTGGAACTACTTGGAAACAAGTGGTCTTGGCTCTCATTCTTGGAGAGCCTTCCCCTGGAATAGAAGTCTAGTGTATCACCAAGTGACAAATGCTCCTTCTCCCTGAGGTCCTTTTTCAGAAGGGACGGGTAAGGATGCTCGCCAAAAGGTGATCTTGATCCTTATTCTTACTAGCTTACATGATATTTTCCTCTGGTTAACGAAGAGCAGCTTGTAGTAGCCTTTAAAAACTTGCTATGTGCTCTGATTTGTTAGCTCTGGCTATACAGAGGAACAAGCTGGGGATCGAAAATTATCCTCTTGAGCTGAAAATATGCCGAAGGCGATGGCCACTACTAAAAGCTGTTCCTGTAGAATGACAAAGAGGGTACCTTTGATTGAGGGTGAGCAGTGTCTTGTTGCAAATCGAGAACTGCGTCTGCGTGCTTTGATTCCATGTCTCTGAGCTTCATTGTGTAAATATTGGAGAGCAATACTCTACTATCTTAAACGTTGCTCTTGCGTCGAGAGAACTCGCTGAAGATGCTGACTGGTAATTGAGGTTGTATCTGTGGAATGACAAAGCACAAAGGGCGTCGGAGAAGTTGTGAAGTAGGGCTAGGCTCATTCTGCTTGTCTCTGTATCCTGATTAATTGCAAGTCACATAGCTGCGGGCGGAAAGTGGAAGCGTACTATTGATGCGACGATGGCGACGGAGATGACTCAGACCTTCTAGCCATGGATGCGTTAAAGATGGGCCTTAAATAATCTCTTTTCTCATAAATCTGTCAGGCATGAGTGCAAGTTCGGACAGGCCAGTATTATATGCCGAACGAATGTCCACCTTCACTGAAGCAAGAACTGATCCATCTCGATGGCCATGTATCTGTTAGACACGCGTGAAGTAATGGATACTAGAGTTGCGTTTTCATTCCCAGTTGTCTGGTCTAGGCACGCTTCGAAGCATGAAAATGGAACACTATCATCTTTTGGAATCTGAGTTTGGGGCTAGGAGCTAGGTAATACAAACTTTAGTAGAGTTGGGATAAGATAGTAGAGTGTCCAGAGAGAAGAGTCCGAAATGCATTCAGCAAAGGTATTCCAGGTGTCTTCAGAGTTGAGAAGTCGACCAATTCTCTTTCTAGCTGCTGGTATTTACCGAAGTCCATCAAACTTCGCAGGAGAGAAACGGTCGATAGAAAGCAACGACTCTGACTTCCCTTGCCTAATGCTTCGCCTTGAGACTTGAATCTCTTTTCCTATTTGCGAAGATATGTTTGTAGAACCCTTTATCTATCTTATTGAACTCCTCGCAACTTGAATTTAGAGGGTTTCGAGGCCATTGAAAATGTTGTCGCCTGCAACCATGAAAGTCATTGATAACTACCCACTTTACACAAATCGAGTATCGATGCTCTTACTGTTTATCTAAACCCCACAATGCTATACCTGCAACTTACTTGACACCCTATCTATATGGATATACTTCAATGACCAAGGAACTAAGTTTGCACTTACTTACCTATCTCATTGAAGTTGCATAAGTTGGGAGCTCCCAACGTCTACTCATTCAACGATATGACTGAAACACTAAGAACAAGAATGATCAAGAGAGGACTTTCTCTAATTACTATGCAAAAACTTGCATAAGTAAATTGGACAAATCATTACTCTATCAAAACTCTGATTTCTAGGAACGTCAACTATTTCAGGGAACGAGTGCCACAAGTACAGGCATACCGTATTTGAGTTTCATTCATGAGACAGATGATAGAGCCAGTACGGGTGAAAGTCTACCGACTTCATCCCATGACTAGATGGAGACTTACTTCTTTTGCCCGAGGACTAGAACAACAAGCCTACCTCAAATGGAACCTCACTAACCACTTTCTCTGGGAACGAAGACGGTCTGTCTACTTAACCACTGCTGAACCACCTCCCCAAAGGATAGCACGGCTCCTCCATTTAGCTCGTTAAACGTCCTGTTCAAGCTTGGAAACGCCCCACCCTCCCCCAAACCACATGCAAAGCTCCATAAAGATCGCGAAACCTATAACCATTAAGGTGTCTCACCTCTATACTAGATCCAACTTCCAAATCAGTATCACCACTGCAATTAGACATCAAAGTTTCCAAAGGCAGATGCATTGCAATTCTTGTTACAGCTGTACACAGAGTAGAAAGCCCGCAACGCAGAGCCTCGAAGCTCTACCATCGCCCCACCATCTAATCTCACCCGCAAGTGATATCCATCTACAATGTCGCCTCCATTCACCCTATGTCCCTCTTCTATTTAGCTTCTTCTGGAAAGAGATCCTCCTTCAAGCTGACACCTAGCTCATCTCGAAGTGGTTTGAGCTCCTCGAGATATTGATCGTATTGGCCACGGTTCTCAACTTTCGCTTTGATTCCTGTACGACAAAATATAGTCAGCCCTGTATTCCCACCTGTTTTCCGTATGCTGTCTTTGTGCTTGCCGAGATGCCAGCAGGAAACCACATACCCTCAAAGATCCGTACGGCTGTGGGGAAATCGTTGACTCTTCTCGCAGCCTTCAAGGCAGCAGTAAGGACGGAAGGTGAAGGGACGAGATCGTATGCAAAGGCGTTGTTGAGGTTTCGCTGTTACCATCGTACGATAATTAGCAAATCTGCAGGTGCATGCAAGCATCGTGGGTAAACACAGGGAAGCAATATAAAGCATACCTGAAGCTCAAAGACATCCTGTACTTGGTCGAACTCCTTCTCATATCTATATTTTGGCACCCAGAGGTTAGCAATTGATGGATCTTGGCCGGAGGGCGTCGTGGTGTTTCGGCAGTGCAGAACATGCTCAAAAGCTCTCGACGACCAATTGGAGGCGTATATACCTGGCGGTGAATTCCTCAAAGCTCTCCTCGTGGCCATGGCCTCCGTCTTCAGACCGACGTATGCTGCTGGTGCTGAAGCTGCAGGTAGACCCGGATGTTGCGATCAGAGCTGGAACAGCATACATGGCACTGGAATTGCGGGGAGTTAGGCTGCGGATGCCATTGGCACGGAAGAATGTGGATGGTTGTGCGCGAGCAGCGACACGCAGTATTGAGGTCGACGACATTAGGAAAGACGTTGTTGAGAAGCCGTGGTGAAAATCTTCGAGAGCTTGCAATCGTTTCTCTCCTTTGAAGGTCGAACCATTTTCCTTCGATGAGCCAGTGACCAATGAGATTAAGCCTTACTAATCTCGGCTAGTTTGGCACCAGCGAATGTCTCTCCTTCACACCACCTCGAAAATTGATCCCTCATAATACCGACATCATGAGATATGCAGCTCGAAGAATCCTACATCTCCCGCATACATGTACGGAATTCTATACTCTTTGAGTTCTAGGATTTGATGACTTCGGTTTAGTCATACTATGATCGCAGAGGATTTAAGACTGCAAACCCCGACACGAGCCCTTGAACCGGGCTAAAGGTTCCTCCGAACTCATGGAGAGCCTCACATTGAGCCCTTCAATTTCTCTTGGGAAGTTATGCCGACTATAAGTTTGATGAATACCAATCGGCATCTGCAAATGTAATATTGCGATATATAAATTCGAGTGGTTTTATTTTCAGCTTCTATTCTTGTGCCCATTTCTGCTTTCTCTCCTACTTCAAAAGGGCTCGTTCCATCATGACTTTCGTTGGTTACCTATTTCGTCAAGTCTTTGTTCATCCTTCTCAAATTCCATCCGATACCAATCTCGAAGACCAGACCATCATCATCACTGGTGCAAACTCTGGCATAGGACTCGAGGCTGCCCGTCAATGTGTTAGAATGAAAGCAAAAACACTCATTCTAGCAGTCCGATCATCCTGCAAGGGTGAAGCAGCAAAGAAAGATATTCTAAGCACGAATCCAGGGTCTAGTACCCAAGTTGAGATATGGATCCTAGATATGGAATCTTTCGAGTCTGTCCTTGCGTTTGGAGAACGTGCTTCAGCGTTACCTTGTAAGTGCTGTTTTGGCGTTGTGATTGAAATCTCACTCCATATTTACTGAATTGAGCATGAAGAAGTCCATCAGCAGTGTTTAATCTGCTCCTGAAAACTGACCTAATAATGTCTTCTAGTTCTAAACATCGCAATGCTTAACGCTGGGGTCTTCAAGTTTGAGTGGACAGTTTCCGAGTCATCTGGCATCGAGTCCTCTCTACAAGTTAACCACCTCTCAACAGCACTTCTATCGCTCCTTCTGTTGCCCGTTCTACGCAAGACCTCTCAGGAATCTGGGCATCCGGCTAGATTGACAATCACATCTTCAGAAGTACATATGTGGACTCCGTTCAAGGAACAAAAAGCAGAGAAGATCCTGGATCGGCTGAATGACAAGCAGTTCTTTAGCGATTCTATGGATCGATACAGTGTCAGCAAACTTGTTAGTCTGATGTGGATTCGAGAGCTGGCTTCTCGAGTGCCCAGCGAAGCGGTTACGATTAACCTCATCAACCCTGGATCTGTCGATACGGGACTGCATAGGGACGGAAACAAATTTATTCAGACTTTCGACCGTGTCGTGGGTAGGACGCCAGAGGAAGGTGGACGGTTGCTCATTGATGCTGCCGTGGTGAAAGGAGAAAATACTCATGGGAAGTATTTGAGTGAGGCAAAAGTCACGAAGTAGGGTCAACTTGAGGTGAAAGAATATTCGTGAAGCTGACATTCCTCAGTATGTCCGCTTTTGTTCGAAGCAAAGAGGGAGAAAAGATTCAGAAACGGCTTTGGGATGAGACGGCAGTCATGCTGGAAAGTCATGTTCCACAGAGCAAACTGGAAGAAATGCTTCGGAACGTTGGTTAATTGATTGAAACTTGGATTTGAACAGGTAATCTTACTTTAAATATTACTGAAATCTTAGACACCATGGGAGACTAGGCATGACTATTGTACTTTTTAATATACGAGATCATGAACTGCATGCCAATTTAGACTATTGATGGGAAGAGGAAAATTACATTTTGCTCGTGTGATCCATAAGTAAACGCCCGGCCGGCCGGTTGACAGCGGCTTCAAAGGTCCCAATCAGAAGCAAAAGCAAAACAAGATAAAGCCGATATCATCAAGAAAGCATGCATTCATTCACATGAAAGGAGGCTCCAGAAACAAGAACGGAAAAGGATCCTTCTCGTACCTTTACCCCTGATACTGCGGCTCGAGACATCGCACGTGCTCGTCTATGCTCGTGCCGAGGTGCTAGGCTGCAGGACTTGGAAAGAAGACCCAAGCCAATTTCGGAAGGCCCTGGTCGGGGCCCCTTTCCAATTTTTTTACGACTTCATCACACGTCTCTCTACGTCTGCGTCTGTGATCTTCGGTCGCATCTTCTAGTCACTCCTTGTACCAGCTTTCGATTCTAGAACATTTTCTTCTTCCTTTAATTGTTTTGTTGGCTGCTCAACTTTGTTGTTGAAGAGCAGCGACGTGTTGTCACCGCGGACCGTTTATTAGTCGCGTTGTAGATACATTTCCTCCTTCCGAAATCACCGAAGCGCAGTTACCTTTAGTCGCATCCTCTCTTCCTCCTTCGCGGACACCCAGGAGAGCAATTGAATCTCCATGATGTCGAAAGCCCCTTCTGATATCCTTGCGGCATTGCCGTTGCCAAGTATTGAGCGGCCATTTGGCATCCAACTATGGCCCATCTTCGATCAAGCCTTCAGAGCCCTCATGGGATACCACCCTCAGGATTTCGACTTCCAACCACGCGTAACCCCTATGTCGACATTGAAGCAAAGCTCGTTGATGATTCTTGCATATTACATTGTAATTCTGGGAGGCAGGGAGTTAATGCGAAATCGACCAGCATTCAAGCTGAATGGCCTCTTCATGATCCACAACTTCTACCTTACCGCTATCAGTGGTACTTTATTAGCTCTCTTCCTTGAGCAATTGATCCCTACGGTCTACAATCATGGCATTTTCTATGCTATTTGCGATGTTAAAGGAGGTTGGACTCCACCTTTGGTCATTCTATACTACGTACGTATTACTTGTCATCAGGCCGAAACCGCAATTACTGACTGGTTATAGTTGAACTACCTCACGAAATACCTCGAGTTGATCGATACCGTCTTCTTGGTCTTGAAGAAGAAGCCTTTGAGTATGCACGCTCTCGGATCCGCTTGACATATCTGCTAACCTCTTAGCCTTCCTCCACTGCTACCACCACGGCGCAACTGCCCTCCTCTGCTACACACAATTGATTGGATTGACATCTGTGTCATGGGTTCCCATCACCCTCAACTTGATGGTACATGTTGTCATGTACTGGTACTACTTTCAGAGTGCCCGTGGCATCCGCATCTGGTGGAAGGAATGGATCACTCGACTCCAGATCATCCAATTCGTCATTGATCTTGGTAAGGCTGAACCCACCTTTGCTGTTAGCTTTTAGCTGTTAGCATTGACAAATTCTTACTAGGTTTCGTTTACTTCGCATCTTACACTTACTTCACTTCCACCTATTTCCCCTGGATGCCAAATGCCGGAAAATGCGCTGGAGAGGAATTTGCCGCCTTCTCTGGCATGGGTATTCTCACCTCTTACCTCGTCCTCTTCATCTCTTTCTACATTGCAACATATCGCAAGGATGGAAAGAAGCCTACTGGACGTAAAGCAGCTCGATCCCTGGGATCTCTGAAGGATGCTCAGATTCCAGACATCGCTGCTCTTCGTGCGGCAGCCAGCAATGGCAATGCCAAGACGTCGAGCTCCAGCCCCAATGGCAACGGTCGTGCATCTACCAGGTCGCGCAAGGCATAGATCACCAACCACCTCGACAAATTATCGGCAGCACCGACATATTGGAACGAATTTTTGGACCCTGGGCGACGGGAATCAGTTTAGAAATAGAGTCCTCTTCTCTGTATAATGTACCGAAACGGAATGTCATGAAAAAAGTCATTCCAGATAGACTTTTATAATGTCAACAAGCATGGGACGCGAAGGGGGTTGCGCACAACAAACACAATGGAAAATAGCTTCGAAGCTTCTTTTTCTCCTACTATTTCCTTATGTATTATCGCATTGCATGCATCATCAAGAAACATGTGGCTGGATTTGGGTGCTGGATGGGGATGGCGGTTAGGCGCGTGCGAGTGATGAAAAAGTCTCTTTTTTCAGCTGGGAATAACATGTGTCGATAGCTCTTAATGGACACAGTTCCTGATTGCCTCCTTTTTGTTTTCCTTCCCTGCCACCTGATCTCATGGCCCAGCCGCAGATGACAACATCTTTGCCCCTCTCGCCAGCCTCGTCTTGTGCTGCTTCGCAAACGCAGGTCCAGAATCCGAGGAGAATGATTGTCCAGGCCCGTTTGCCACGATGCACCCTGCGGCACGTCAACCGGTAAACAAATACTTGCAGTAGTCGTTATAACATATCCTTGCAAACGGGTTGGTTATGGCAACACCTTTTTTGTGGTGAGTTGGCAAGACCACATCAAGATTTTGAACAAGACTTGACCCCGCTATATCATCATCGCAAACCAAGGCCCAGAAGTTATTTACTTCTTCTCGAAGCTTCAATGACATCACGTAGTTCCCATGATCTGGAGATAGCGGGCGATCGGGACATCTTATTACAATTCTTGTTATATATTTCCTGGGATGTTGCTTGAGACAGCTGAGTTTTTGCGAAAGGTTCTAGAATGAATGTTTGAGGACAAGGACATGTGAAGATTGTGCAAGCACGCACAACCAGCTGAAGATTTATGCACGATGACGGCCCAATGAAGGTTCGAGTGCCAGGTTTCACGACAGCACGGCACTACGCACAGAAGCTGTCAAGAGCAGCCAACGCTAAACTTTCTTTTTCCTCGATCTCTCTGCCGCAGCGCACAGAAGATGCATTCGCGCCTAAGATATGGGGCGAGCATGTGAGGGAGCGAGGATAGGTAGGATGGAGGGGTCGATTCTGTCTGTGTGTCTGCCTCACGACGGCTCACTGGTGTAAGATTCTGCAACAAGACGTGGTTCAGAAACCGTTTTGTGTGTGTGCCTTTCTGTGCGCGATCTTGGATCGGAAGGGCGGTTATGATGGTTTAAGGAAACACAGACACGGAGAAGACCAGAGGGCGTGTTTCCCCTTTATCTACTTACCGTTCCTTGCGGTGGAGCAGAGAAGGGGATGGTTCACCGGCTCGCTGGCCGATCAAACGAGGAAAGGGACCTGACCTGATGATCATCAAATCTTGCTCGGCTTGCTGACCGAGAGGACGAACGGTGCGGCCTGGAGCTGGAGCTGGAGCTGGAGCAGAAGCTGGAGACGGTGAACACAGAGGGCTTTTGTGCCTTTTGTGTGGCTCGTATGAGCGTGTATCAGAAAATAGAGAGAGCGCTGGTTCGTTCGTCCCATCAATGTAAAACACTCGTCAGCACGCAAGCACACAATACACACATAGCCTGAACGGCAAAGACATCCATCTTCATGCTCTTCCACCAAACAGCAAGCGACGCGGGCCTTTCCCCTTGCCCACACATCGAGACATCCTCGCATCCATCCTTTTTCACCACCACGCAAAGACCAGCTGGCGCCAGCCTCCACAGCCATCCTTGAATAGAAACCCAGGGACCGACCAACCAACGCGTCCTGCAGCGGCCGGATCCTGGTTCGACACGACGACCAACCCACCAATGCCCTCGCCGGATCTCACAACCCTTTCGCGCATCCCAGTTTTAACTTTGGTCCACGATCACGGCTCTGCTGGTGCGCATTGGGTGCGAACTGGAGGATGGTCGGCGCAAACTTCACAGCCTCGCTGGCCGTGGCCGTTGACTGGCCAGCTCTGTGGCGAACCTGAATTCTTGGATATGCGCGATGCTGGTGGGGGATGCAGATGCCAGCGCCAGTCCAGAGGTCAGGAGCCATCCTGGATTCATGATGCTGCTGCTGCTGCTGCGAGTCAAGACAAGAAAAGGATGCCGGTCATGGATCTGGAAAGGCAAGCCTGCTGTTGCTCCTTACCGTACGTACACTCCTCACCGTCCGTACCCAACAGCAGCAGCGCATCCCACGAGCCCTCTGGCCTCGACTATTTGACAAGGCCGTCATGCAAAAGAACGGTGGGTTTCGTTTCTTGACACTGCTCGCGCAACACATCACTCCGTTTCCCCTTCTCCTACCGTGCCTCTCAAACTGTGGCACATCTCAATCACATCTTGCTGCTTCCATTATTGCACCATCATAAAGACAAACGGCCCCTCTGTCAGTTGTGCTGCCCTCTTGCGCACGTTTTCTTCGGACTGATTGTTGTGTTCCGCATAGCATAACTTATCCCAAAAAAATACTCCGGCCCGGTAAAGTACAAAGAGGGAATCAACTTGAAACCAACCACCTCCTGGCCACTGAACCAGACTCTCCACCGTTCCGTACCACGCATCAAAGGGAATCTATTTCTGCTCCACGTCTGCGGTGAATATATTATATTCCACCAACCACCCCTGGTCCATTTGCCCCCCTTCAATTACAGTTCTTCTCTGTCCTTCTCTAGGACAAGGAGACATACACCAGCAACGACGCGACTTATCCTAGGTTCACCTTGATATTCCTCGTTAGTGAGTGTTCGGAAATTCGATATACGCACGCAGGGCGGACTCAAATTATTGGGTTATTGGGGCTAAGCGGCTGGACCCTACCCAAGGGAAACGAAAGGATTGAGCAATTGTTTCAGGAATAAAGGGCCAAAGGGAAAGCAAATATGCCACTTCTAACCAAGATGCTCCCTTTGAGGGAGACGGTCGAAGATTTCCAGGCTGCCTCTCTTCATTCCTCTCATCAACAACACCAGGACGAGGGGCAAGAGAAGGATAAGGATAGCGGGTACGAGGACTTTCAGGAATTCGACGAAGAGGACGAGTGTTTGGATAGCGATATGGAGGGCTCGATTATTCACAGGGGACGCCCGAAGAAGGCTGTCAGGGCACCAGCTATCCCGGCGAGGAACGAAAGACGTGCATCCAAGATACTAGAGAACGTTATGCTCGAACTGCAGACATTGGATGGCAAGGAGGCAAAGGATACCGATAGCAGATCAATGGTCCCAGAGTCCGATCCTCACGAATCATACCTCTCGAGCGAAGAAGATGCTAGCCTTTCAGACGACTACGATGACCTCGAATCTCTCTCTGGCACAGCGAGCCCCTCTGCCGAGGACGCAGACAATGAAGAAGGTCGAGAATCGTTCTCGCGAGGATCAAGAAGGAAATCTCAAGAGGATACTGCAAGAGTGGTTAGTTTCATCTGTGTTGGCAAGCCACAGATTGTCGATATCTTCATATCCTCCAACCATGCCTCCCCCATTGAACGTGGAAACGGTAGTATCCCCAAACGACACTCGATGAATCTCGAGGCTCTGACAGCACTTACTCAAACACAATCTTCCTCGCCAGCGAAATCTAGTCGTCGACCTACACCATTGAAGCTCTACCCCAATTCAATCCGCCGAATGTCAATTTCGAGCATAACGTCCTCTCACACTAGCAACTCGTCCTACAACCAACCCGCTCCAACGAATGCTTCGAACACAAACCTCAGTTCCCTCCCACCACGAAAATCCAGTCGATTGGCATTAAACATAAACTCCCTAATAACATCAACAAAAACAACCCTCCAGAAATCAGTTTCCGCATCCGCCGCAGTACCCTCCCACTCATTCCTAACCTCCGACCCCTTCTCCACCACAGCCTCAAACGAAGACACACAACCCACCACGCCGAAGACCCCAACAAGCATAGCAGCCGCAGCCTGGAAAAGAGGCCTCAGCAAAACCCTAACCAAAGCCCGCAAACCCAGCATGCCCAAGCTGTACACAGCCTACACCAACAGCTCCAGCGCCTCCATCTCTCCGGACAAGAAGCGAATTTCGACCGCACATTCAAACCTATCTAGCAACAACCTCGCCCGCATAATCTCCGAGTCTATACCCGACGCAGAAACTCGCTCGAGAAGCAGCGTCTATTCGTCTGCTTCCTCGCAGCGAGACCCGGCGGTGGAACCGGTGGTAGAAGTCAAGAGGTCATCAACGATGCCGGTTCTTACTTCGCCCACGACCTCGACGTCTTATATCCCGCCCGTGGTACAGAAACCGCCGCCTATTCCAGCCAGCACCACGCCTGTTTCGGCTGGTGGGAGGAGGAGTTTCAGTTTAGGGCTAGGGAGGAAGAAGAGTGTTAAGACGAAATGATTGGATTTGAATTTGTTTTGATTGAATGGAGTTTGGGAAGGCGTTCTTTTTGGGTTGGGCGCGAGGATACCATTTGCATTTTATGAGATTTTCTTTGGAATCTGATTCGAGATTTGTGTTTTTCTCTACTACTTATATTTATGAATTTCCTTGGGAAATATGTGTCTGCTGGAAAGATGGGAGATGCATGGAATGGATGGGTAGAGAAAGAGAGATGGTGTAGTCTAGATGGGATGGGAAAAGGGGGAATGAATGCATACAGATTCTATGCTCAAAATCTATCTTCAAATTATCTCAAGCTCCTTTACAATTCTAACATCTTGACCCTCTCAACCACAAACCTTCCCCTCCAAAGTATCAGACGAAGCTCCCCTCCCTCACCTCACCTCACCTCGTCGCAGTAGCTATACCTACCTACCTACCTACCCCACCGACCCACCCTCCTCGCTCGCTCGTCTATTTCTCACCTCACCTCAGCGCGCAGATCCGAGCAGAGGAAGGATCCAAATCTCACCGAAGATCAGTTAAACGACCCGAGGCTACGGGAGGGGATCATGGGAGGGATGTACGTGCGTACCCGTTGGAGGATACCAAGAATAGAATTTTATTTCATTGTTGTGAGGGTGTTAGTGTTGGTGTTGGTGAAGACGGGAGGGGAGTACGAGGCTGTGGGATTTGTGAGGTTGGTTGGGTGGGTTGGAGGGGAGTTGGAGCGAATGAGGACAGATGGTAGAGAGAATTGATGGAGAAAGAGAAGGGATGGGAAAGGGGCATACTTGATGGGTTTTTATTGGTGAATTGCTTGTTGAAGGAATGTTCATGCAAATGGAAGAATCGAGATCATTTTGCAGCTCGTGACCTTTAATCACGTGAAAGAAAGCTAGTCCCTTTATGCTAGAAATACAGCCTCAGGCCTTAGCGAGGCACCAACGAACATTTAGCTAAGCGAATATCACACAGAGCTAATTTTCGAAATATTTTGACCTCAAAACGACGATACATCAACGCCAAACCCGACACCCAACAACGACCTCAAGATGGCTTCTCGACCTACCGTCACCATCTTGTCCGCCGATGGCAAGGCCACCGGTGCGACCCATCCTCTGCCCAAGGTACGAATTGCTCTGCGCTCGCGCGATACATCGAACTTTTCTGAGGAGGACAATTGTTGAAGGGAATTGGAAGATGGAGAATAAAGCTGATTGGGAATAATTATAGGTCTTCACTGCGCCCATTCGACCGGATATCGTTCAGACTGTCCACACTGGAATGGCCAAGAACAAGCGTCAACCATATGCCGTGAGCGAGAAGGCTGGTCACCAAACCTCTGCTGAGTCCTGGGGAACTGGTGAGCACAATTTTATACCATATTGCCATTCGGCGCGGATTCCAGAACTGCAAGATAGAGTGTACTAGGGAGAGATTGATTGGTTTTTGAGGGAGCTTTGGCTGATTGAAGATGATTACAGGTCGTGCTGTTGCCCGTATCCCTCGTGTCTCTGGAGGAGGAACTCACCGTGCTGGTCAAGCTGCTTTCGGTAACATGTGCAGATCTGGTCGTATGTTCGCACCCACCAAGGTCTGGAGAAAGTGGCACCAAAAGATCAACCTCGGACAGAAGTAAGCATCCCTCTCTTCCCCTCCCCTCTCACAAAGCAACAACAACTAACACAACTCCTACAGGCGATATGCAACCGTTTCCGCCCTGGCAGCATCCTCCGTCCCAGCCCTCCTCATGGCCCGCGGTCACCAAGTCACCACCGTCCCCGAAGTCCCCCTGGTCATCGACTCCAAAGTCTTCGACGCCGCCGCCATCGCCAAGACATCCGCCGCCCTCGCCCTCCTCAAATCAGTCGGTGCTTCCGCAGACGTCGACAAGGTCAAGAACTCCCGCAAGCTGCGCGCCGGAAAGGGCAAGCTCCGCGGCCGCCGCCACAAGCAACGCCGAGGCCCCCTCGTCGTCTACGACCCCTCCGTCGACGGCATCGAGCTCTCGCGCGCCTTCCGCAACATCGCCGGCGTCGAGACCTCGTCCGTCTTCGCGCTGAATCTCCTGCAGCTCGCTCCCGGCGGCCACCTCGGACGCTTCATCATTTGGACCTCCGCCGCGTTCAAGGCCCTCGACACCATCTACGGCAGCACGACCGTCCCGTCGGCGCTCAAGAAGGACTTCCTGCTCCCTAGCCCGGTCGTCCAGCAAGCAGACATCGGCCGCCTGATCAACAGCAGCGAGCTGCAGTCCGTGATCCGCGCCGCGATCGGCCAGGCTCGCACCAAGCGCGCTGGCGTCCAGAAGAAGAACCCCCTGCACAACAAGCAAGTCCTGCTACGTCTCAACCCGTACGCGGCCGGTTACAGCAAGGAGAAGCTCGGTACCAAGGGTTTGGGAGCGGGCAAGCCGGAGCGAGCTACTGGTACGCAGTTTGCGAAGGTGTTGAAGGAGGATTAGAGGGTGGTCTATCTGTCTTTCTGGCGTATCTTTGCTTGCTGGCTTTGCGGTTTGGGTGAGGGAATGAGACCTTGCGAGAAAAATGCATGGGTGTCATTCTGAATGAATGAAGGAAGGCTAGCTGGTTACTTTGCGTAATGAAAACAGTTGCCTATGGCTTGGACTCTTTCTGTGTGTGTTGTGATGACAATTTCAAGTTTCTGCTTAACAAGTGGATGTAAGGTTTGTGCTTCTGACTTGTAAATTTTACTATGTAATGACGCCTGATCTGGCGCTCAAACCTCAAGGTAGTCTCAATAGTAACTACCAAAATTCTTACTCGCAGACTGTAATACCGTTTTAAACCTTGGGCCAGTCTAGCAAGCTGATGGCTGATTTCGACCAAGCTACTGCAGTTCTCGCTCTCTATCTTGTTAAACGTTTTGGACTGTATCTTTACTATTGTGATGACTTCCTCAAGGTAAACAAATCAACACTCTGGCGTTGAAATAGAGAACCACAATCCCATCCAAGATCACTCTAGATTATTAAACATCCATGTCACATCACTCAAGTACTACAAGATTTACTACATCGTATCCATTTTTTGGTCTCAATCTCAATATCTATGTACGCATGCATGCATTCTCCCTCAACCCAAGAGCAGAGTTCGTTAAGTATGAACAAGCAAGCCAAAGCCTTAGCTCATTGGCATCAAAGAACTCCCGCCTTAGATATTACTCCGAGGAATATGCATTGCCACTTCTCCCTTCCATGCACCCACCGCAAAATCAACGCTCACAGTAGGGAAAAAAACATCGCCATCACCGATGTGGAAATATGCTCATCACTGCAGATGACCCCATCTGGTACCTCTAGCCATACCGTCAGGAGTCAGAAGTGGACCACCAAACGGCGGCTCTCCCACCGCAGGGCTACCCGATCTACTTCCACCGAATGGTTTCGCAATAGTTCGCTTGGGACTCGACATGGGCATGGGACTTCCACGATTAGAGCCACCGCCCTTGTTTTGACGTCTAGAGGTCTTGGGCATGTTCGCGATTTCGTCACTCATCTTCTCATTCTCCTTCTCTAGTCTCTCAACGTCCGACTTGAGGGTCTTGATGGTTGCCAGATGCATAGAGGCAACTTCATCGCGTTGAATCTCATGGATACGGACTCTGTTCTCATCTGCCTTGGCTTGCAATCCTACATTGATTTCCTTGATATCGCGGAGCTCGGATGCGGCCTCGGCGGCGGATGAAGACGAGTTTTGGTAATTGCTTCGCATGTATTCCAGATCATTCTGCATGTTCACTAGGCGCCTTTGAAGACGTTCGTTCTCGGTATTGACCTTTGCGACTTCTTCTCTCATCTTGGCCATTTCTGCGACCTCCGGAATTTCTGAGCTGGCTAATGCCTTTTGTGCCGTTGAGAGTTCTAAAGCCATGGCAGCGTTCTTCTCCTTTAATTTCTCTACCTCGGCTTCTTTGGTTGCGAGACGCTTTCGAGTTTCGGTTTCACGGACGAGAGCTTCCTTAGCACCGTGCTCGAAGTGACCTCGATCGTTAAGAGCTTCCTGGTACTTTGGCTGAATGTGCTTAATACTAGTCTCATAATCGCTGCAACGACTCTCAAGATCGATATTAATCCGGCGAAGTTGTGCCTCGCTGGCTTCTCTGGTGCGCAGTTGAATCTCGAGAGTCTTGACCTAAGAATGAATGAGCAAGATAGGCAACTTGAAAGAAAGTATGGAAATACCTTTTGAAGGAGCAACGACATCTGGTCCGCGTCGCCCTCTGCTCTGGTGTTTGAAGAGAGTGGGACAGAATTGGATTGTGGTAAGCCAGACGAAGGTTGAACAACACTTTCGCTGACATGGGAGATATCCATGTCTGCGTTTAGCTCAACAGGCACAGGTGTGACTCTTTGTCGCTTCGGTGAATCGGTATCCATGGCATCTTCGTTTTCCTTCAATAATCAGTAAATAAACAACAAAGCATGGAGATAACTTACCAATTGGCGCTTTATGCTTGGGTGTAGAACGTCTGAAGGAGACATCCTCAGTGAATCAGTTGTCGAACCAACATTTAAACTGACTTCGAATTCTATTTGATGAGGACTTTCAGGACTCAAATCGATCTCCTCGATCTCCGGCATCGGAGGCAATGGCCACGAAGTTGCTATAGCTCCAAGTTCGAGATATCCAGCCACAGCATCTGCAGCAACAGCAGGATCTTCGTGTTCAGCTTTGAGTTGGCCTACACTGTCACCCAATTGTCGAAGACACTTTACCAGTCTGATTTTCTTTTGGATGGGGTCGATGTCATCATTGAAACATCGCTCTAGATGTTCAATTGAATGTGTGACGACGAGTGAAAGTAATGGCGCCAGACCTGAGAGATAGTGCTGCATGTTCGATCGCAATTCTCCTAGGAACGAACAGTCTCTGGAGGTAGAGTCAAATGCAATGACAGCGGACGCTGGCTCAACCAAGATCTGTTTCACGCTAGTAGGATGCAATGTGATTCTCAGCGAGCTGGAATGCACACTAGAAGGCGCATCACCTGCAATGCAGTAGTTGAGATTGTGAAGTTCAAAAACAGTCTGGAGAATTTCTGACATACGTCCAGCGCGGGCAAGCACAACGATGTGCAGATCTCGGTCCTTCAGACGAACCAAGAGGGCAGCCAAGAACATGCATTTTGTGCTGCAGTTCTCGGCGAACTTGGCGTGCTCAATGCGAGAGATTTGCTCGGACTGCTGCGTGGAGAAATCGTCATTGTAGATATCTTGGTGATCGCAAATGCTGCGGAGATTCTCTAACATAGAATCGATCTCTTTGACCTGTTCCTCTTCAAGTACCTCCAAATCATCTCTCACGAATAAGGACGTTAAATCCCTGTGTTCCCGAAGTTCTTCATTGTACATGTCGCGAACGTAAGAAACCATCGGCAATGGAACTAGAAACTCGCCAACTGCTGAAGGAAGTACATCCAGACTTGTTGATGCTTGTTCAGCAAGTGGGAAAGAGTTGAGAGGCGGGTCGGCACCCACATCTTCCTCCTTTGCATTTGTCTGAATGGGGAGGCTGGCGCTAAGCTCCACCGCTTCGGGATGGAAGGCAGCTGGCAATGGGGATCCTGAAGACATGGCTCTTTCCGCTTGTCTTTGCTGAACTTCTAATCTCTTAGCTGCCATCCTCTCCTTGATCGCCCTTGTGGCGTCAAATTCCTCGCGCTTTACACTCGGCTCCATGCTTGGTTTTGCGGACATAGGTCCAATTGGTGAGCTGTTGCCGAAAATTTCTGATGATGGAGGAGTAACTTGTCGTGCTGGAGCAGAAGAACTTTGGTATAATGTCTGTTCAATGCTAGGAAGAAGGTCTTCGACAGGTGGAGTGGGAAAGTGGCTGGATTGACTGCGTTGCTCCTGGGAAGTTTTTGATTGAGATTTTGATTGTGGAGCCTGATTGTCTAGACTCGATTGGACGTGAGTAGAATTGTGTTCAGCAGAGTGTGCTTCGCGGCGATATGATAAACTTTGACTAGGGATTTCGCGAGACGATGGAGCGTTAAGTTGCGATGCCACAAGCGGTGCCTCAAAAGGTTCTGCAGCCTGAGGTGTCAACGAATTAACCTTCGCGGCTCGCCAAGCTGCCTCGAAGCTAGACACTACTGGCTCTGTAGCGGGTAAAGACTGCAACGGTGTAAACTCTTGTGCAAGTGTTGCTGATTCCGACTCTCTGTGAATCAGGTCGCTTTGAGTCGTCTTAGAACTACTTATGACGTCAGAAATGTCCCAAAGAAAGTCGAGATTTGAAAACTTACTTTTGCGACTGGGATTTTGCAGGACCGCCAGACTTTTGAAAACGATCTCGCCTGCTGTTTAATTTTGACGAATTCGTTTCAAATGTACTGGAACTTGGAACCACTTGAGTTACAAATGGCTGTGATAGTTGGGATTGAGAATCGATAGGGTTTGACGATTGAAAGTTTGGGGAATAGAATCGATCGTCCGTTAAAGAATCCGTGGCAGGTATTGCCTCATCTATCTGTCTGCTAGGCAGTTCTAGGCTTTGCGATCCTATTCCGCTCGAGTTACTCCACAAGCTGGTTTGTTGGACTGTATGAGATTTTTCAATAGTAGCCTCAGTCTGGGCAGGCGTTGCTTGTGTACCTCTATAGCTTGAACTAGCCAAGAAAGTTTGAGGTTCAGCAAGATAGTCACTTCCACTTCCGGAGCGTTCTCCAGCAATAGAAGATTGCGTAGCCCCCAAGCCAGTGTGACTTGATAGCCCTTCCGAGATAGACGCACTATTAGGACCAGAGGAACCTGTCTGTTTCGTTGCTGTATCCAAGGATTTAGAGAGGATTGACTCTTCCCGTTCCCAAGAATCGGACACAACACTATCTCGGTCCTCGTCCCAGATAAAGTCTGGTCTTCGATGTCTGGGTTGCGAGGGACTTCCCGCTTGAGAGACGCCTGATTGCGAGGACTTTTGTGCAGTTTTCAAGTTTTGCGAGGACTGAGAGGAAGAAGCAGCGAGTGCGTATGCGTCCCGATCAAATCCTTCTGGTACTACTATTTCCACACGAACGTCTGGTCCACTCCCATCACGCGAACTGAATTGTGCTTCTTCGTAGGTATCTGGGATCTCGCTGCTAACACGTCTCTCAGATGCAGGTTGAAATCTCGGGGTGTCGCTCGTTACAGCTCGCCGTTGCTTCTTTATTCCGGATTCGTTTTGCAGACTACTCTCTCTTTGGGATGTTCCTCTCTTACGTTTGGCTGTCCGGATGGGTTGGCTCTCTTGACCGTCTTGAGATTCTGGGGGATGCGATTCGGTCTTGTGCGCCTGGGCTGCTTCCGCTTTGCTCTGCTCCCACTCCTGGATTGCCGCTTCAGTGACGTCCTCTTTCTTTCCCTAGAACTGATTGTCAACTTGAGACCTCAAAATGCCTCTAGGGTTGCATACCCAGGTGGGTAAGTATCTTTCTCCAGTCTTCGAGTCAATACCTTCCCAGTTCAAAAGATATTCAACCCGGTTTGCTCTCCGCCTCTCTTCAAGAATGCCAGGCGTACCAAGAGACCAGAGTATGTCTTTTTCCTGTGCGCTGGGTCGTCCAGATTGCTTCTTGCGCCGTGGTGGGCTCGACCGCGATTCTCTGTGAAGTGTGCGACTGGGCGTAGCTTTTCGAGGTGTCGACTCTCTCACGCGTTTCCGCGATGCTGGGTCCATTTGGCAGGTTGCTTCGAAGTCTGCACTTCCATGGTCAGAAAACAAGGAGAAAGAAGGTAGAGGTAGCTAGTAACAGTCAAGGACTTTTGCCCTCTATTGAATAACAAAGAAAGAAGGATTTGCCTCCGAAGTCATTTCGAATATTATTGTTGTGATTGGGTTTTGTCGTCCACGGTGCGCATCGCCTGCCGTACGATTTGCTCATTTCACTCCACATGATAAACCTCGCCTTTGACCTTCTAGGTTCAAATGCTCTGCTTCAACAGCTGAAACGGAAATTCGTACGTACCTGGTGACAGAAACCGATCAAGCTCAGCTGAAATCGATTTCAATACTATTGGCGTCTCCAGTGTTCTGTTCGCTCAAGTCGATAACCAAGAGTCAAGAGTGGCGTAAAGGTTATCACATGGTATCATGTTGAGATCAAGAAGTGTTGCCGAAGGGGAAGAAATATTCTCTGATAAATTCTTGTGAATTAACGAAGTTAGCGCTGTCAAGGAAGTTTTTTCTTTATTCTTAACCTTCGAAGACTCAAGTCCAGAACTCGGCAGCGGGATCGATCCTCAGAAGGAAGGCACGACTGACGTGTGTTGACGAATATGCTCTCGTCTTCACTTAAAGAAGCTCTTACGTTATTTAAGTTTTAGTCTTGTGGCTTTCTATGTTCAGCTTATATCTCGTCAGCCTTGCCACTGTCTAGACCTAGTGAGTTCTTTGGCCGCTAATCAGTACAAGGAGGCATGGCATATCCAAAGGAATGACTTCCAGAATGTTCGAATTTGGTCATCATACTTATTTGGCAACAATTTCATTATTAAAGGAGACAGAAAAGCTCCTATAAGAAACATTTGAGAGTGGACGGTGTCGGAACTCCAGAGGAGACGTCCTTCGCAACGGTACCAATACCTTCATTACAATCATATTACGATGGTATTTGGGTCGTTCTAGTAACTTGATACCCTCGATCAAGATTTCAACATCATCTATTACGAATTGATAGAACACAATGTATCCCTCATTATATATTAGTTTCCTGCCCACCGATTTAGTTTATTTTTATTTGGAAAAAAAAAGAAGATATCTTATATCCCTTTGTAGAACTCAACTACCGGAACAAATTCTATCTATGCACTTTCCTCAAGTTAAAGCAACATGCCTCCATATTTCTGGCAAGGTAACATATGACCATGGGGTACACTATAGCGGGCCTTACAAATTCTGATTACTACATCTCTGCGATCGCAAAATGTACAAAAGTGGCAAATGCAAAGCACTCGCCACCGGGGAACCTCCTCTCTCGCAACAAGAACGCACGTCAACAGAACTCCGCCCCTCCCATTTTGTTGAAATTCTATAGTCTAAGCACTTTCCCCGCTACCCACCTGCTGATGCAATAAAGATATCATTTAGCAATTGAAATGCAACGTTCGTACAAGAAAATTATCAGATTTATTTTTATTAGGGTATTTCAAGCTTTCTTTGGAACTAACACTTAAATGGACCTTACTCATGCTCTTCGACTAATTGTGCAAAATTGAAGGTTAAACCCGGCTTATGGTAGCGATATTGGAAGGACTTCGTCTCTATGGATGGGAGTGACAAGTGGGAAATTAACGAGACAGTGAAGGTTTGGCTGTTTGTGCTGGCAAATGACTACGGTTTCACATCCAGGAAGATATCTCTCTGACACTCGCAACGACCACACAAGCAACTAGAGACATACTTTAACAGCCAAGAATGGCCATAAGAAGGCAATGCATTGTATTGAGTTTAGCTCAATCGTATCTGAAACCATCGAAGGCCAAGGGATATTCATACATACACCCACCACACCCTGAATCCATATGCTGCAAATACCCCCCCCTAACCGTACAAAAATGCTCAGTCATAACACCATAACAATGCCCTTCAACGCCCCGCTGCAGCCTTATCACCATTCGCTCTGTTGATTTTTGCCTTTGCGACATCATCTAATGACGCATACCAAACCTTCAGAGCTATGATATGATTCTTCTCTCCATTTCCGTATTCCACTGGAGGACCACGCATCTCTGGTTCGTTGTCATCTTTGAATACGGCCCAACTGCTTCCCTCGTCTTGAGTAGATCGTAAAGCAAAACCTTTCTGAACCGATGTGACTTGAAAATTCCGGAGCAGAATACCATCACCAGCCGATATCGTAGGCAGGGCATGACTGTAGGGACGGTAAACTTGCACCTCGGTTACGCCACTGGGGGCTATCGACGGATCGGTAATGTTAAAGGCAATCTGATAATGCCTGGGGCCACCTTTTGCTCGCTGTGGCTCTGGTGGAGTTGTTGTAGCGACAGCTAGGATGTCCAACTTCTGGTTCATGTGATATCGAAGTACTTTCAGTGCGGTGAACTCACTCAACTCCGTACGCAGGGCTCGCGAAAGTCGTAATTTCAGGTCTGCCACGGGAGGTTTTCTAAGATCGTGAGTCTGCTTTGAGGGCGACTCGAGCGATGAAAGAGCTAACTCAATACTAGCATCATGACCTTTTGGGGTTGCGTGGGCATCAATAACCACCATTGGAGAGCGTGGCTCGGGTGTTTTCTTGTCCAGCTGGGTTGTGGTTTGAATTTTGATGGGCGTAACTGGACGAACATTTTCGTCATCTTTTGCAGTGGACGTGGTGGACTTGACTCTCCGGTGACTTCTTCTAGGATGCTGCAAAGTAAATTTCGGCTCCTCGATCACAATTTTAACATGTTTTTGCTGGTCTTGGGCAGGTTCAGAGGTCTTTTCTTCCGCAATCGATGCGTCAACTTCTTTTTCACCGGCTTCGTCCGCTTCCGTGAGAGCATGAGCGGCAGATCTCGTGGTGACGGTCGGTCCTGGCAACTCGGGAGTTTCTGTCTCTTCTTCGATCTTATCGGTCTGTTCAATAGCACCATCCGCAAGAGCATGGGCCGCAGACCGCGTAGTGACAGATGGTCCTGGTTGTTCAGTAGCTTCTGCCTCCTCAACCTCACTAGGTTCCTCATTGGCTTTGTCGCTTTCGGCGAGAGTATGGGCTGCAGATCTCGTGGTGACAGTCGGCCCTAGTTGCTCGATTGGTTCGGTTTCCATCTGCTGCTCGATCTTGCTGGCTTCATTATTGATCCCACCTGCTTCCACGACAGAATGAGCGGAAGACCTGGTAGTAACTGTCGGCCCTGGTTGCTCGGCAGTTTCCACCTCCTGGTCGATCTTATTCGCGTGCTCTGTTTCTTCAAGGGCATGAGTCTCCGCTCTAGTAGTGACGGCCAGAAACTGCTCCTCAACAGTGTCTGCCTCTTTCTCGATCTCGCTACATTCCTCAGGATCGCCGTTTGCTTCTGCCGCTGCATGAGCCGCAGCTCTCGTAGTGACAGTTGGTCCCAGTGGCTCAACTGTTTCTACTACCTCTTCGCTCTCGCTAGATTCTTGATCGGAGGCATCCTCGACAGAGTCCTCACCGGCTTCGTCTTTCGGCATGCTTTCAACATCCAGAGGGTGCTCGCCATGCTCCTCTGCATCGACAGTTTCATGCATTAAGCTGGTGTCGTTGTTCTGAATGTGCTCGTGCTCACCAGTGTTTGGGCTTCTTCTGGTTTCGGCAGGTGGATTGACCGCGATATTATCATCGTGCCCAGCAGATTGACTGGACTGAACGTCCTCCATCTCTTCAGCAGATTCCTCGTCCATCACAGAATCAACATCCTCAGATTTAGCGAGAGATGTCAGAACTTCGGTCTTCTCAGTGTTCTCGTCGTTGGCATCATGCAATTCGCTCTCATTGAGCGCCTCCATATCCACGTCATCTTGAGAAGGTCTCAGATCGGCTGAAGCGTGCGATTCCATGTCAATTGAAGATACATGAGTTGTAACCTGAACCTCGGTAGACGTATCCACTTCTGTAATGGTACGATTCTCTTCCAAGACCTCCATGTGTATCTCAGATGTGTGTGCAGTCGTAGAGGTGAAGGATGTGTCGGTGACTGTCATCTTCTCTATTGGCTGGGAGATATCAGGAGTCGGAAGTTGTCCGTTGGTATGTTGGACGAATAGCTCCGTTTGTTCTTGAGACTCGGACCCACGTTCTCCACCGTGGGCATTGGATGGTGATGGCTCCTCGTTGGGAAGCGTGGGATAGGAAAGTCTTGGGGACAGTGGTTCATCGGTCGCACCGTCTAGATTGAACATCCTGGGAAACAATGATGGTCCACCAGACGATTGCGGCTTCTCCTCGACAGATTTCTCATCCGCAGGCTTCTTTGCAATGTCGTTGGGTATGGAACTTGGTGCTCGTCTGCTTTCGGGCGTTCGAGGCTCATCCTCAGCATCGACACCATGGCTATCATCCTCGTCCATTAAATCTTCATCTTCGGAACCATCGCTCTCGTCCTCCTCCTCCTCTGATTCACCACTTTGTGAAGCTGCTTCATGTTTATGCCCTTCCACTATACGAGCGGGATCGCCATGGCGATCTGCAGCATCCCGATCGCTGACAAGCTCCTCTTGGTCTTCCTCATCATAATCTTCGTCGAACAAATCCTCGCCTGAATAGGCCTGAGGTGGAGGATCACGTTGAATATGAGTCCTGATCTCTTCTCGTTCGTGGTATGGCACGTCATTTTCTTGATCCGTTTCATCCTCATCGCTTTCTTCACACTCTCTCGAGTCTGCTGGCGCGCTTTGGAATTGGGAATGCGACGTTTGATGAGTACTAGGAATGGTAGCAGCTGGCTCGTCTTCGTCGTCGGATGAAAGCAAGTCAATGACAACAGGCGGTCCAGGTGGATCCTCGTCTTGCATATCGTCTTCATCATAGCTCTCTTCTTGCTCTTCCTCTTCGTCAAAGCTACCTTCTTCGTCTTCTTCGAATCCGTCATCATCAACGGCGCCGTTAATGGCTTCTGGAGTTCGTCGATAACGGGGATACTCGTCGGGACCTGCAGGATTTTCAGGATCTTCGTCCGCATCATTCTCCATATAGTACAGATTCTCGTCTTCAGGTTCCTGCGATCCCTCCGCCTCAGAGCCACTTTCATCGCCATCGTTAGATTCATGGTCCTCTTGGAGACGATGGTCACTCCGTGCTTCTGTTTGCCGACTCACGTGTCGAGAGGTGTAGACAGGAACAAGTCCATCATCTACAATTTCAGATCCTTCTAGAGAGTCGTCGTCTTCGCCTGGGGCATCCTGATCTTCCTGATCTTCCTCCTCTTCCTCATTCTCATCACTGTCTTCGGTGAGGTCAACAACTGGTGATTGGACACTCTGAGATCGAGCACTATGAGACAGAGCGCTTTGGGACCGTGACATAGCTGAGGATTGTGCAAGGTGAGGACGATAAATAGGCTCCTCAACTGCTAGATCGTCTTTGTTGTGTGACAGCTCTGGATATCGAACACCATCTGCCAATTGAGGATCAATTTCCGGATACTGTTCTGTGGACATTCGGTCATGAGAAGTGGCAAGACCAAGATTATGCTGATTGTGATTCTCGATGTTATATGATTGGCCTATTTGTGGCTCGCTGTCGTGATACTCGTCATGCTTCGATGGTGATGCAGATTGCCTAAGTTGGGCATTGGCGTTCTGCCAGTGGCCATATTGATCTTCAATCGCATAAGGGCCAGCAATAGCTGGAAATTTTGCAGTTTGGCCTCCACCAGGTGGTTCCTGAAAGCCATTGAATCCATACCTCGGGACATTGCTGCGGTGGCTAACTGGACTGGCTCCATATATGTCTTCCTCATCTTCTTCGTCTGGGGCAGCATGATTACTTGGAACCGATAACTGATTGGGCGCATTATCTGAAGTGGACTGTCCCAGTTGGCCAAAGTTGAAACCATTAGAGTGCGAAACTAGAGGAGATACAAGTGGCAGGTTGTCGGAAGGTATAGGGTGAAGTCTCGGGGACAAGGGAGGTTCCTGATTGAAGTTCATTGCTTCGTCGGATGTGAAATTTGTTTGCTGTGTATGTATCCTTGGGGGAGGCATCGCAACATCTTCTGGTTCTTGGGCTACCTGAGCTGGACTACTGGATGAAATTATCTCTGGCGGCTGAGCACCATTCATCTGTGAGTATGGAGTGGAGCCAACATTGGTAGCTTGCCTTGCGAAATCTGCCAAAGTCTCCGCTGCGACCCCGACCTCCAAACCAACTGTTTGACATGCTTCGTCCATCATAGTTGGCGCGAGCTTTGGTAGTGGCTCTGGGGAAACTTGATTCGTCGCCTGACTTTCTGCCTCTTCTGGTGTTGGTGAGCGGCTGCTGTATCTCCATACAGAGCTCAACCTGGTCCGCTTTCTTCCTTTCCCTTGGACTGTGCCATCTTCCAAGAATGGGTCATAGTCCGAGTCGAAAAGTGAGCCATACGAAGTTCTTGCCCGCTTAAGAAAAGCTGGTGAGGACCATTCATCATCGGCTTCTAATATTGTACTTGAAGGAATAGACGTGCCATTCGTGACAGGGCTTGGAGGTGAAGGTTCTGGGGTTGGGATTCTCGCAAAGACAAGTGCAGTCTCAGGATCCGGCGGAGGATGATCGATATCGATCGTGATTAATTCTGAGGCATCTTCTTGCTTGAACTGGATCGAGGTTAGCGATGGCGGTAGCATGAAGCTGGCAAGACCTTACCTGAAGGTGAAGTCTCTCTGTGAACTTGAGTTCGACTTCTACACCTCTGCCAGGCGTCCCAGCATCATTTTGATTCTCTAGCCATTCTACCCCATCTAAACATAGTGTGACCTCATCGCCGCTTGCAATGCCCGCTTTCGCAATACTCTTCGCACTGGCTCCTGCGAACTGCACACGAACTTGTCCTCTCGTTCTTCGCAAACGGAAGTCTGGCTCTGATAGCAGGAAGGCGATAGACCCAGTCGCAGAGCTGTAAGGCCATGTGAGAGTGACAACAGCTTTGATTGATCTCGTCGCGGGCGCAACCAACAGAGGAGTGAGTTGCGCGATAGGTATGTGTGCGGTTTCCATCGCGCTCAAGCCGTTGGTGTCCACCGCCATGGTGTAGGCAGTTTCTTGCGGAGCAGATCAACCATGACCATACAGAGTGCCTGTCAACAGCGTGTTCGATATCTGCAGGGTAGTTATTCGTGGTTGTGGTGCGCAAACGCGCTGTGAATTTATGGTGGAATTTATGGATGGAATTTATGACGCGCTGCCAATTGCAACAAAGCGGGAAAATCCCGATCCCGACCCTCACCTTCAGACCTGCCCCACTACTGATCACCTCATATTAAATTCACCTTTTAAATTTCATCTTTTCTTCTCTGTATATATTTGTGTTTCTACATTGTAATTCAATTGATAGGACTTTTGCATTTTGTTATTCATCTTCGATTAGCGTGTAAGCTCATCCATACTGCTTTGATACCGTGTACATCTGAACGGCCCCAGCAGTGGAGCCCCATTCTTGCTCAGATTCGACTTGAACTGCCCATGGGATCAGTCTTGAGGCCAAATGGCCCTTTCAACGTCAAGAGAATCGCTGTTATAGGGGCCGGGCCAACAGGCCTCGCAGCAGCAAAGTATCTCGTAGCCGAGAGAGTCTTTGATACTGTTGATATTTACGAGCAACAGGCAGAAGTAGGAGGAGTATGGAATTATACTCCAAGTTTGGCCGAAAGAGTCCCTGTGCCTCAGACGTCTCCACATGTTTCTCCCGCGAAGCCAGTATGGCCGAAGGATGCAGCTGCTCCAATATTCTCGAATCCGATGTATGAACGTTTAAACACAAATATTCCAAAGAACTTAATGCAGTTTTCGGACCTGGATTTTCCTTCAGAATCTCTGCTTTATCCAAGCCGGCAAGATGTGCAGAAATATCTGATCAAGTATTCTCAAGATATACGACATCTCATCAATTTCTCCACACAAGTGGAAGATATTAAGCTTACACGGGTGGATGACCAAGATCATTGGACTCTGGTTGCCAAGTCGACGGTGACCGAGGAGGAGTCATGTAAAGAGTATGATGCTATCGTGGTATCCAATGGCCATTACTCAGTACCATGGATTCCTGACGTGCCTGGAGTCAAAGAGTTCGGTACCACTTACCCTTCCGTCATATCCCATTCCAAAATATATCGGTCACCGGCATCATATGCCGGTAAGAAAGTCATTGTAGTCGGGAATGCAGCCTCTGGCTTGGACATTGGGAATCAAATCAGCGCTGTGTGTAAGACTCCACTTCTCAACTCGGTTCGAGAGCCGGCGGAGCTTCCAATCGGCGTAGACACAAAGGAAGAAGTCCCTACTATTGCAGAATTCTTGATTGATGATCGAGGAGTGCGATTCGAAGATGGCAGAGTCGAGAAGGATGTCGATGCGATCATATACTGCACAGGCTATCTCTATTCATATCCGTTCATGAAATCGCTTGAACCTCCCTTGGTTGCAACAGGACGTCGGACCATTGGACTTTGGCAACAAGTTTTTAATATAGCCCATCCAACACTTGCTTTTACAGCGCTGAGTCAAAAGATCATCCCTTTCCCACTGTCAGAAGCGCAAGGAGCGGCAATAGCGAAAGTATGGTCGAATAACATATCCCTCCTCACTACCGAGGAGATGGAAGCATGGGAGAGAAGTAGAGTCGACGAGCTAGGAGAAGGCACGGCTTTTCATGTTTACGGATATCCGAAAGGTAAGGAGACCGTTCATGCAAAAGTCCCTCTGCTTTGCCCTCTTCAACTTCACTTGATGCTTCTGCAGATGCATGCTTGTTAATGTCCCACGCCCCCTCGAGCATTCGCTCTCCGAAACCGCGAAGAAAAAAACATGCTGACTTTGAGACCGTGGGATTTCAGATGCTGAATATATTAATTACCTTCATGATTGGGTTATGACAGCCGAGAACGGTTTCTCGAAAGAGCCTCCTTTCTGGGATGAGCGAAAGCGATGGCTTCGCTCTATCTACATTGATGTGAAAAAGAGGTTCAATGAGACGGGAGGAAAGGCAACGACATTGGAGGAGCTGGGCTTCCATTTTGAAGAATATTCCTAGACCACACGACTCCATGATATTAACATAAAGGTTGAAATAGAAGACGCAAGGGTATTGCATTACACGTGATAGGGGTCCAACGCTAGTGCACAGAGCAAGTGAACTGATCCAAAGCACTCCTCAAACTTTTTGGACAATCTTCATATGTCGTGACATACCAAATAAGGGCTGATGAAACGTTTCAAAACATTTGCCATTACTCCGCCCCAAACACGTGATAGCAGTCATTGCACATTCCTCAACAATCAGGATTCATTCGCACGTCAAAAACCTGCCCATCCTATCACAATGTCTCACAACACCATCCACGCAACCCACATGCTGGATCCTTACTACCGTATTAATAGAAAATGTGAAATAGCCTCGTCATCTTTTATGCATATCGTATGCTAGCTCCAAACGTACAACAAAAGCACGGCCTCGACGAATTTTCCAATAAGATTGTGATCTTCGACGCCCATAAGTACAACGAACCCTTAACTTGTCTCCTATAACCAAGAGCAGCAGTCTTCTAGAATTTCACGAACCGATGGCCTTCCCCAATCCTCCCGCCGATGGAGCAAATCTATGCTCCGAGGAAACCGGACGACAAGCCGCATTCGTGCCTCCCGAGTACACTATAAAGGAGATTTACGACAACATCCCGCCTCACTGCCTTCAGCCCAACACACTCCTCTCATTATATTATATCCTCAGGGATTTTTTCTTCGTCCTCATTTTGGTGAGTATTGCAACGCAGATCCCCAGCATTCCGTACCCCTACCTCCGAGGTTTCGCCTGGGCTTCATATGCATTTGTTCAAGGTCTCGTGTTCACTGGTTAGTTTTGATGTTTCTTGGCAGTACTGCAATGATTTGTACTGATTTTGATTTCTCGTTCAGGGCTCTGGGAGCTCGCTCATGAATGTGGACATGGAGCCCTTTCTAAATCCAAGGCATTCAACAACATTTCTGGACTCATCATGCATTCGCTACTTCTGGTCCCATTCCATTCGTGGCGCATCACCCATTCCACGCACCATAAGACTACAAATAACCTAGACAAAGATATTGCCTTCGTCCCTGACATCAAAGAAGCGTACCAAGCGGCAAGAGAGTCCCATAGCGAGGCGTGGGATTATATTGAAGATATGCCTGTTGTTACCCTCGTCCATCTGTTCTTTCATCAGATTATTGCTTGGCCACTCTATCTTACCATCAACAATTTTGCTTTGGAGAGAATGGCTAAGGCGCCATGGTGGAAGAGGAGCCATTTCTATCTTGGAGGCGACGGTCCAAATTTCAAGCCTGAAAACACCCAGGATATACTAACCTCAGACATTGGCATTGGAGCTGTTATGTTTGCCCTGTGGGGGCTTGTGCAATACTTTGGAGCTTGGAATATGATGTTATTTTATGGATTTCCTTGGATGTGGACGAATCACTGGATTCGTGAGTATTCTGATACAAGCTGGACGAAGGACTTACTGACAAACAACAGTTACTATAACATATCTCCAGCATACCGACGTATCAATTCCATATTACCCTAATCAGACCTGGACCTTTCTGAGAGGAGCAGCGTCTGCGGTTGACCGAGATTTTGGCTTTATTGGCCGAGTCATCTTCCATGGTGCAATCGAGACTCATGTCATGCATCATCACGTCTCTCGCATCCCGTTCTATCACGCTATCGAAGCTACAGCAGCTGTGAAGAAAGTAATGGGTATTCATTACCAGAGCGACTTCAAGACACCGTACATGTGGGCTTTCTGGAAGAACCACCGTATATGTAAGTATGTGGAGGAGACAGAGAAGAATAGTCAGATATATTTCTTTGCGAAAACAGAGTAATGAGCGTCGCCATCTCGAGGCACTTTTTTGTTTGTACATACGAATAGACGGGACGGAAAAAACGATAGACGGGATAGATTGGACACGGAAGCGGTGATGAGTCTCTTGGGGGGACTTAGTGCTCGGCCTTCATCAAATTTGTACTCATAGCTCAAAGCCACAAACTCATCAAAGTTTTCCGCACTTCAAACTCTGGTATCCAAACAGATCATCTTTAGAGCGGGTACATTCACGGTCATGCGGAACATTGAGAGTTCACTTCGCGATCTCCTGTATCTTGGAGGTGATGTGCGCGGAGTCGCCACGAATAGTCTAGTCGAATGTATTGAAACTGATTTGAAAGAGATGAGTTAGCAATGGGGGTTTGGCTCGTCATGCGAACGTTGAAGTCTGGGTGAAATATTCAGATATTGCCAATGAAGATCTCACGCGCAACCAGGGCATGCAAAGCAGAAACGGTTGTATCATATTACCAGAGTTGTGTTTTCATCATAAAATTTGTTGGAGAGAAGAAGGAGATTTCTACATACGAAGTCACCAAAGCTAGTCTAAAATATGTGTATGTTCCCATCTGTAGGTCATCATCGCATCATGGAGCGCGCCAGAAGAGGGGCCCTCGTGACGATGGTTTTAGAGTGGTGAATAATCTCGACCCCTCATCGGAGTCGCCAGCTGAGTTGGAATGATTTCAAGCTGTCGAAGATTTGAGTTGGAGGTCTTGCTGTTAAAGAAGAAGAAGAAGAAGTGAACAATTTTTTGAGGCGATAAAGTTGTCTCGAATAGGCTAGCTCTTTCAGGAATAGTCAACATCTTTTTCATAGGCCCCGCTTAACCTTAGAGCAGCCATCGATTTCTCCTGTAGTGCTTTGGGTACAGCAATCATCTTTCAAATCTAGGACAATTGAACATAATACACACTCGCACACCATAATACCATCACTTAGCATCCTGCGACGATAATACAACTCACCTGCAACTACTGTGCCTTGACGCGACGCCCCAAAACCTTCTGGAAAACACCCCATCGCAATCCCTTGTCGAAACAGCTATCGACGACACTCGTTACTCGGCAGCTTTGTATTGTGAAGGACAGGCGCTTTTGCAGAATAACTACAAACTCTAGTTCCTTCGCCGTCTCTCCTCATGGATGGTCTATGGGGTCGCCGTGCCAAGTACACTCTCTCACCATTCTCTCCACCAAGCGCAAAACTAACTGTGAAATCACCAGTACCAATAAACTCTCCCTCTCAACCTCTACGACAAATGGCGGCCCTCCTAACAATGACCATCCAGCCAGGGGATTCTCCCTTGGCAGACGAACCACCGATACTTCCTCTCATAGTAATAAGAACCCGTTCGGCGCCATGTCGCCTTCGACCACCTCTCTTGCCTCTCCCACCGCTGGCGCAAGCAATGCATTTGGTCTAGGATCTGGCGCTTTCGCAGCTTTCGGTTCATCGAAGGTCCCCAAAACTCCAGGAGGTGGTTTAGACTACAGTAGTGTCATAGGAAGCTCTGCCAAGACTCCCACTGTTGAGAAACAAGTCAAGGACATTAGCTCAAAACCTTCGCGAGCATCTCTCACCGAATCCAGAACCTCCACACAACCTTCTGCACACAATTTGAGGCATAGCTGGGCGTTCTGGTTCCGTCCTCCGATTTCCAAGTCGAACGGATTCGTCGAGTACGAGAAAACTTTACACGAAACAGGAAGTTTTGATAACGTCGAAGATTTCTGGAAGGTCTATTCACGACTAGCCAGACCTTCTACCCTACCTCTCGTGTCCGACTATCACATCTTCAAGAGAGGCATTCGACCAGTCTGGGAGGATGAGGAGAATAAGAAGGGTGGCAAGTGGATCGTGAGACTCAAGAAGGGGGTTGCGGACAGATACTGGGAGGATCTTGTCCTTGCAATTGTCGGTGATCAATTCGCAGAGGCAAGCGAGGAGCTTTGTGGAGCCGTGCTTAGTGTTAGGAATGGCGAAGATATCCTCAGCATTTGGACCTGTAGAGATGGCGGCAGGGTTCTCAAAATCAGGTACGCTTTGCAGAATTGATCTAAGTGTGAACACATGCTAATAATCACCTAGGGAGACTATGAAGCGTATGTTGAACTTCCCCCCAGAGACAAAGGTCGAATGGAAGAGCCACGACACAAGCATGGCCCAACGAATCGCGATCGACGAGCAGCGGAAGGAGAAATCCAACCAGCGAAACGGAAACAAGGACAATGAGCACGCTTCTACTCCAATCACCGACAAGAAGCAAAACGCATGATTAACCTACAACAGATCTAGACCTTACAATGGGTTTGGAACGACGGATTTTCTTGATTACGAATGACCTTGGTTGTACAAGTATTTGGGTTGCATTGAATGGGAAAAGCGATGACTTGGCTATGGCGGAGATTCATATCTCCACTGGGTTTAGCAACGGTGGATGGTTTTTGTGTTGTACAATAAGACGAAAGTCTACAAGACTTGAGGTGTGATGCTTTGTTTGCGCATAACGCTGTCCAAGCAAGATTAAGATACACCTGACCGAATACAATGTCTTGTTTTCGAGAATTACTTTGTGACAAGACTGTATCCAGGATAAGGACGAATAGCGCGGGTTGACTTCAGCCACAAAGCGGCCGTGCACCACCTTAACTTTGCTCTAAATCCCATCATCTTTTCCTCTTGCCTCTTTCTCACCGCCTCTCCATTATGTTGTGCATGCCCTGACTTAGAAACATGGCCTATTGCCTAAAGTGAAATCCCAAGTGAGGCTATCTTCATCAAGACCATCTCATAAATATATCTGCAGTATGGACCCGCTTAGTCTCACGGGCACGCTCATAGCAGTTCTCCAAATCACAACCTCGGTAATTTCAGTATGCTACGACTACCGCGCTGGCGTCGCATCCGCTTCTCGTGAAGTAGTACAGATCACCGAATCTCTCAACGCGCTCAAAGACGTCTTGGAAAGCCTTCTACGCCTCGTCGAAACTTCAGAGTCAGGTGAGGATCGGGCAAGGCTGAGCAACATCGAGGTGTTGGCCAAGGATAGAGGAACATTGGAAAGTTGTCTGAATGAGTTGATCAGATTGGAAGGAAAATTGCAGCCGGAGAAAGGTTGGAGGAAGCTGAGGAGGGGCTTGGTTTGGCCGTTGAAAGAAGGGGAGATGAAGAGGGCTTTGGCGGGGCTGGAAAGGTATAAGAGCACGATGTTGCTTGCGATTTCGGCGGATCAAGCGTAAGTTTCTGTCTTAAGCTCAACAAGCATTTACTAAACATATACAGGACATTGAGCCTCGCTATCCAAGAGGATTTAGGAGACTTGACTGATATGTTTCAGAAGCATGCCCTCGGTAGTCGCTCGCCTTCCATTCTAGTCTTGCCAATCTTTCTCGTCCCGACATCAAGCTTGCATCTTTCTCTTGTTTGAGACTGTTTTCCATCTCTTACTCATTCTTCAACACAGATCAGACACGTCAAGATATTTTCAAGTGGCTCGCTGCACCAGATCCATTTGCCAACCACGCTCTCAATCGAAAGAAGAGACAGAGCTCTACCGGAACATGGCTGCTGACAAGTCGGCAATATGATAGCTGGCTCTATAATAGAAAATCTTTCTTCTGGCTGTATGGCATTCGTGAGTCACTGCACCTGTATTTCCAGATCATGAATTGATATTGCCTTAGCTGGCTGCGGAAAGACTGTTCTATGGTCAGTTGCACGGCCTTCCCACATGCTGGGGATGATTTCAGATTTTGACAGATAAGCACAGTTCCACTGTCATTGAACAGCTCATCCGCTATACACAACAAGACCAGTCGGTAGGGCTGGCTTATTTTTACTACGACCTGAACGGTCCCCAAAAACAAGACACCACTTCTCTCATACGCTCTTTGATCACACAACTGTCGTCCCAATGTTCGACCATACCCGCACCTCTCGCAGATCTATATGGCATGCGACAGAATGGCCGGAGAACCATTGATGAAGAAGCCTTTCTGTCGGTACTACAGTCACTTGTTTGGGCTTTTCACGATGTCTACCTTGTCTTCGACGCTTTGGACGAGAGCTCCAATCTTGGCGAGACCTTGCAATTCATCCATCGCCTCAAATCGTGGAATGTTCCACAACTGCACATTCTTGTGACTAGCCGACAACTTCCTGAGATCGCGGACTCTATCATGACTCTCACTTCAGACAGAATTTGTCTTCATGAATGCAACTTGAACGGAGATATTCATATTTACTTAGCCGACAGGCTTATGCACGATCAAAACTTCTCCAAATGGCCCCTAGACATTCGAAACCAAGTTATGGAGAAGCTTGTACGAGGCGAGGCAGGAATGTAAGTGGCTGTCTGCATGAAGTAGACTAGCTAAGAGGCAAATTAGGTTCCAATGGGTTGTTTGTCAGCTAGACATGCTGCAAAAATGCTTGTCAGTGGCAGCTGTCCGTAAAGCATTATCCACAGACTTTCCGCAGGATCTCGAAGGAACCTACGACCAGATTTTGCATGATATTCCCTCCAATTGTCAGCCAGAAGCCTCAAAAGTTTTGCAAGCACTCATAGCGACTAGAGAATTGTTGAGTGTAGAGGAGATTGTCGACATACTGGCGGTGGATCTTGATTCCACACCTGCCAAGTTTGACCCTGACGCCAGGCCTATCGATCCTCGGAGCATATTGTCGCTTTGCTCCTCATTGATAACGACAACCAAAGCGTCTCAGCTAGACTTCTATGACAACTTCGAGGAACCAGTCACAGTTTTGAGGCTGGCTCACGCTTCCGTCGCTGAGTATTTCGCTCGCCCAAAACCTGAAGTCTTATCTCAATTCTACTTCTCACATCGATCGGCACGTCGAAGGCTCGGTCAGGCATGCGTAGCGTATCTGATGGCGCCTGAGTTTGGTAATGTGAACAACAAAAGAAACATATTCGAGAGCTTAGAACTATTTCCTTTCTTGCGGCATGCTGCAAAGTACTGGCCATTATACTTTGGGAAGGAGAAAGGTGATCCCGAAGAGTCCATGGATGAGACCATGAGATCTTTGATTCAAGCATTATTTGCCACCAGTAAGTTGCCCAATGGAGGCAATTTTGCATTCTGGGTAGGGCTGCTTATACCAGAAGCGTCATTTCACGATGTCGCCAGCACGCAGCCGATGTATTATACGGCATCATTCGGACTTCTCGAAGTGACCAGATTGCTACTTGACACTGAGAAGGATATCGACATCGATGCCCTGGGTGGACGGGCCAGAGCTTCGGCTCTCCACGTAGCAGTTTATCGAGATCATATAGATGTTGCAAACCTCCTCCTAGAGCGTGGAGCAAGTCCAGATACCACAAACATCACAGGAGAATCCGCTTTGTATTGGGCGACTTTGAATAAAAACCAGGAGATGTCGGATTTATTACTTCGCTATGGAGCATCGCCTTTGGGCCAACAGCAACTGTACGCCATAGAGCGGAGAAAGAGGTGGTTAAATTTCCTGAACATCAAGTCCGACGATGTAAGGAAGCGAAGACCTTGACACAAGTTGACAGCAGAGACAAAGCATCGGATCCAGGAATTCGATTAAGCTTATCGATCGATTTTCTCAAGGGTTGACTACTTTCCCGTTTAAGACGACAAGGCGGCTCACTGATGATCGAGTCCCATGTTGTGGCGTTCAAGCAAATGCTGAGCTGACATTTCTCGAGGCCGAGGCGCGTCTCTGTCACTGGTTTACCACAACGCGCAGCCACTAACACTCGCTGTATCAAAAATAGTTAGGAAGCTATCAAGCCTGGAACTTTTCACTGCTTCCACCCGCAGTGAACCCCTGAGCCAACACGAGAAAGCTAAAATTACCGAAGCCACAGCGTTGATCCGTTCCTTATCATAGGCCAGTGGTGGGGCTGCTCTCAAATGTAACGCTCTCTGGTCGCCGTCCCTTCTGGAGCGACATCTTGGCAGCTGAACTAAGAAATTGTGCGAGTATGAACTTTCGTATCGCCATGATGCTCTCTTCCTCAACACTCGTTCGCCAGATCCCGAGGGATGGAGACGTTGGCAGCTCTTTGGAGTCGATATGGGAGGAAAGAAAGGGGTCCTGATGTCGAGTATTCTCCTCTGCCAGTAACGCCCAGCAGAACCTCAGACGACGAACCTACTCGACCCCACGAAACACTACATCGAAGGACCCCTTTCATTACATGGCAGACGACTCCCACCTTCGAGATTTCCATCAATGTGTATGCAATATGGCGTCTGCTGATACCCTTATTGTTGGCTCTTATCCCAAGCTTCGTCTGGTCGAGAAGGAAACCGAGAAAATTATATCCCACGAGCTATTTGGACGGATTGAGGGGTGTTGCAGCATTGTTCGTGGTATTCCACCACTATGCAATTAACTTCACAGCTTCTTCCCAAGACGGTTGGCATACGGGCGAGCCGGGATCTCACGATTGGTTCTTCCTGTTTCCACTCGTGAGGGTCATTCATTCTGGACGATTCATGGTTATAATCTTCTTTATCATCTCAGGAAACGTGCTTTCGCTCCAAGTTCTGAAGCTGGCCAGAGCAGGAGAGAAGGATAAACTTTTAGACTCGTTGGCTAGCTCGGTCTTTCGGAGATGGATTCGTCTGCACATTCCAGTCATTGCTTCGACGTTCATTGCATTTCTTTTAGCTAGAGGTGCTGTCTGGACGCTGTTACCGGGACATTGGGACCATACTGAGGTGGAGGCTGCACAACATTTTGCGAGATCACAGCCTCTGCCGTATCCCGAGGGCACATTCATGGAGCAGTTCTGGGGTATATGTTGTCCCTGTTGTGATCGAATATTGCTAACGGATTACAGACTGGTTTGGAGATGCCATACAACTATGTGATCCATTCCGCTTCGGCGCCCCCAGCAACTCGAAGTACAATATCAATAATTTATGGACGATCCCAGTGGAATGGATGGGTTCTATGCTAGTCTTCGCCACAGTTCTGGGTATATCTCGATGCAAGACGTGGGCAAAAGTCGGCTCTCTGTTACTCCTCATATACGTAGCTCACCACCACTCACGCTGGGAATGGGCCACTTTTCTCAGCGGTACTCTCCTCGCGCAAGTCTCCTTAATCCGCAACACTCATCCCGGCCCCTCCAAGTTTGAATTCATCGACGAAAAGCTCCCAGAGATCAAAGTCCCGCTTCAACTCTTGTCCAAAATCTTCTGGACCCTCCTCTTCATCGCAGGCCTCTACCTCGGTGCTCAACCCCAGAACCTCTCCTCCACCAGCCCAGGCTACAAAACCATCATGTCCTGGCTCCCAACCCAATATCTCCACAACCCCGACGGCTTCTGGCCCTGCATCGGAGGCGTAATCCTCATTTTCGCCCTCGAAAATGCTCCATTCCTCCAATCTATCTTCACAACTTCGTTCGCGCAATATCTGGGCGATATCTCCTTCTCGTTGTATATGTTGCACGGCCAAGTCCTGTTCACATTAGGGCAATGGATCGTCCCGAAGGCGATGGATATCACGGGTGGATGGGAGAATGGCGGATTCGGGTTTGGTGGGGGATTGGTACTGGCTGGTACAGTGCTTTTGCCGGTTACGTTTTGGGTTAGTGATTTGTTTTGGAGAGGGGTGGATGTTAGGAGTGTGTGGTTTGCGAAGTGGGTTGGGGATAGGTGCTTTTTGGAGTAGTTTATAGACTAGTGAGAGTTTAATAGATACCCTTTGTTTTTGAAGTTATGCGGAGGTCCATTTTCTGTCTGCATGTGGGATTTTAGCTGGTCTTGTTCGTTCTGCAGTGATTAAAGGACATAGGTAAGTGTTATGTTCTCTCCTCACAACTGACATCTTGTCGTTTTCCCCCTTTTCTCATGATCAGGACATAAAAAGGTGCCATCATCTCCTTACCAGACATGGGACATTGCGCTCATCTCCTATAGCTCCGACTTTCCCTAGATAATATGTGAAAGTTCTATGTCCCCACCTCGCAAAGGACATTGTCTCTAATTGATTGTGTATTGATGATGGTTATATTTAGCCATCTCACAATGTTGGATAGTGAAATGTCCTGTCTTAGTCTTGACCATGTTCTACACTAAGAAGAAACATCTTTTCAACTTAATTCCAGACTTCAGATGTGAAGGTAGTATTATTGTTGTCAACATCTGATACATCTCCTCACTCATGACGGTGAAGTTGGGCTTGACAACAGAAGCAGTATAATAAATAACACTTCAAAGCTTGGTTCCCGGAGGGCGCTTTGAATTATTTTGTGAGGAGTGATGAGCAAGAAAGATTAGTTGATTGATTTCCCGGCGCTTTAACACCACACCAAGAAAGGCTCCGCACGACTGTTGCTAGAAGATCTTTGTCATGGTACTCCGTACAGAACATAGTTTGGGGGGGGGGGGACTCGATAGGTATTTATACTTCAGAGTTTCGAAAATTATCTCCCTCGACCAAAATCAGTGAATTGAAGTCCACTAGGAATCCGATGCCGGATCGCCTATTCACTTCATACACCATATACGAAATCTAGCGGTTCTACAAGTGAATATAGCACGTTGTTTTCCCAAGGATTGCAAAGTTAACTAGCGTGCTTCAATCTGATGATAAAAGCGGAGCTCAAGCTTTGCAACCCTATAACTTACAGCCGCTGCTCACAAGTGTCATCTTGGTCTCGGGCTCAACTAATTTCGTGATATACAAAACATGAGGTTGCTCCGCGACCTTTTTTGCACTCTCTTTGGAAGTATAGTATGAGGGCACCCAGAGTTGACAACAGGAATTTACTTGACAACAACGACAATTGACACCGAATGGCGAGTTTGTACACTCCTCACCTCCTAGGGGTTTGGCATGTGCTGAATTGTTCTAGAGAAAAAAAGGAATGGCAAAAGCAATGCTCTTTCCCGGTTCCTGGCTACACACCTTAACCGTAATTGGGAATGTTGCGGCTCTTCTGCCTTTACTGCCTCCTTTGCCTCCCTTGTTTTGTTTGTAGCGATACAAGGAACGATTGCTAGGGTTATTTATAGAAAATTTGGAAAGAGATCGCGACACTCGTGAGAAAATAGTGAATACGATTCAAGCTTCTGATTCCTGTTCAAGATGTCTAGATTCATGTTCCCAGAGTGTCTATTTTCGCCTGAGGCGCCCATCTGGATCGGAAAAAGAGCTTGATGCTTGTAAAGAAACAGTGAATACCGTCCAAGCCTTTGATTTCCTATCCCGAACGTCCAGATCCACGCTCTTCAAGTGTCTGTTTTCGCCTAAGGCGCCCATTTGATCAGAATGAGAGCTCGACATTCGCAGGTAAACAGTGAATATGTCCACGCTTCCGATTTTCTGTTCAGAACATCCAGCTTCACGTTCTTAAGTGTCTGTTTTCGCCTGAGGCGCCAATTTGAGGACGATAAAAGAACAACCGGTAGAAGTTTCGACTTTTTCTCACCAACTTTCTCACCCACCAAGAGAATCTCTAAGTAGGAGGATCCTCGGGTGAGCCGGCTATGCTTGAGCCGGGACCAAGGTATTTATGTAGCAATCTGGTGTAGCTAACGATAGGAAGCGTGTCTGATTGTCATTGGAATTGATAGGTGACAAAGTATAGTTGACAATGGAAAGCTGAAAGGAAAAGAAAATGTTGACAACAAGAGAGAAGCTGACAGTAACAGAAGATGTTGACAATAAGAGAAGGTCTACTAGAGAGAACAAGAGAAGAAAGAGCCCGGAGGAGGGGACTTCAGGTTGGCAAAATAATTATAGAGCTGTCGGACAATTGTAACACTCATCCTCACACCTTGTCAGGACAGACTCCTGAACAATATAATTCAGAAGGTAAATGAATTCTTGCGTATGACTTTTTGAGTACTCAGGTCAACACATGTTGAAGATTGCTATTTGGGGATTGAAATAATACCGAATTCAAACCTTGAAGGACCGAGAAGTTGACCATGCGTATTGTCCAGCCAGCTGTTGAACATTTAATACTCGTATATTGTCGATCCTGGTCCCAACATATGTACAATGTCTCTAATCCCTGGCAAGCTGGCCAGGCTCCCTTTGTGCTGTTTGTGTTCGAAAGATAGTGGTAGATGAATTGCAGATTGTTCCAAGCCAGTTCGGTGCTCCGTGACAAGATCAAGCCCTTTGATCAGAACTTGAAGGTGTGTTTATGGTGTTCGTAGCTTCGATATACAATTGTCCGAAGAAACCGCACGCATACCTCGTCTCCACTTCTCCATAGCCAATCCACTCCAAACAGCACTTGCAGATCATATAAAACTATGTGTTATTCTGCCTGGAACCTTCATATTCATCCCATTGTTGCCATGGCATCTGTGTACGCTGAGGACGGCTGTCGTAGAGAGGATGCGCTGGAAGAATCTATTTTTGACGGAACGATAGGAATATGCCTAGTTGGATCGATGGCGGACTGCGGGCTGTGCGAAGCTGTTCGGAATATCGTGTTCTGTGATGTCGCTGTGGGCTTTGATGACTCCAGAAGGATTATTTCGCTCTCTGGCGACTCTGATAGGGTTAGATCCATTACGATGGCGACAGAAACGGAAATGCCAAATCAAGACTTTCCAACGTCCTTGGAGGAGCGTTGGAAGGTATCATGCGATTGAGATAGTTGAAGCATACTTCTAGGCGACATTGAAGACGGACAATTAACTTTTCATCCTTTAGGGTATCGGGATGGGCCGGTGCTGGTGCCGAGGCCTCGGCCCGACCCCTTCCCCTTGCAAAGCTCTTTCATGTCCAATCTCATTTCCTCCGCATCATACGAATCTGCCCAAGGGATGAAGACTTAGCATTTCAGATGCAGAATTTCCTGCTGTTCTTCTACGGAATCGTACACAACAGGGGCGAAACTTTTCGACTGGCAGACTTCACTATAATATTGGGAGTTGATCAAGGTTGCTGTATCTCTTGCTTAAGCATAGTACTAGCATTGATCTCCCTTCTTTATCGAATCTTTTCTAATCCCTAATTATGTCTCTCGCTCTGGAACAAAGCCGGTTCCTGATACAGAACGAGCCATACCATTCCTATATATGTTCGTCCCATTCTTCGAACAACAATTCATATTCCACTTTGGCTTTTTTGTACCCTTTGGAACAAATCCCGCCATCCTCCTCTCCTTTCCTCTTTCTCTCTGACTCGGGGCTTTGATCTAGCCTGGCATTTCTGGTACCCTTCGATCGACTTCCTTGTTCCTCTTCCATGACAAACTTAGACCCGCAATTCAAATCCTGGAATGATCCTGCCCTGTTTGTCTTCGCCGGAGGAATTCCTACACTCTTTGCGATGTTTCTCGTTTCATTTGAATAGAATGCCGCGTGCGATTCTGCTGTTTTGGCTCTCTTGGAAGCATGTTTTTCATCGGCTGCTGTGTCTCTCTTCCTCTTGGAAGCGAATGCTCGAGGAACATCAATACCTTGACCGCTACTAAGAGAGTACATCTTACCATCTGGAATATCTTCCTCCATTTCTGTGTTCGTCATTGGTGTGTCTAGTGCAAACGACTTAAAAGCATCCTCCATCTCAATGTCGAGTTCCGAATCGTGTGTGGTCGTATCTTCGGAAGTTTGACATCGTCCTTCGATCAATCGGAGCCTTTTCTCACCCCTTGGCGTCTTATCCGTCTGCTTGTCCTCGTCTTCTTCCCTTGGCCGTTTTGGTGAAGCGTCGAAAGTGTATTGATTTGAGAATCGAGCGTGCTCACAAGACGATTTTTGCTTGCTTAACAAATTACAATTGGACTCCAGACAAGGGCACGACTGAATTTCTTCAAATGATGAGGGTGTGAGAGGTGATATGGTCCCATCAAAGAGCCGACGGGACTGTGGAGGCATAGGTGGTGATGCAGGTGGACTTGGCGGCTTATTGGCATCGTCGGTATCCATTTCAGAATCCGAATTGGTATCGTAACCGTCGGAGTCTGATCCCCGGTACCAAACCCATTGGCGGATGGGATTCCGTACATGCCTAGGTGATCTGTGAGCAGTCAGCAGATCTCCCAAGGAGCACGGTACAGAGATATACTCACTGACGCGGACCGTGACCCGACATCATGCCTGTAGAGTAGTGCTTTCTAAGAATGGAAGCTAAAGTATTGAAGATACTGGTGAGCCGCGAATGATCTTACCGAACGGTGCAATAAATGAAGGAAACAGATTAAGAGGAGAGCGATTTGATTCGAGGCGCTGAACAGAACGTGGAAGGAGCGAAGCGCGCTTGCGCACCATTTGATTTAGATAGAGGATCCATGGACTGTTGCAGAAGCCGGAATTGAATACAAATTTAAGAATCTTGCAAAGACATTTTATGATAGTCCATCGTAAACAGAGCTTTACACGCTTTTTGCGAATCTTGCTCAAAGAAATCCATTAGTCACGTGGACAGCCTCCATCAACTCCAAAGCACCTCAACATATGTTGCCCGCATCATCCCCAACCATCCCAGTCTTAAATCCGCGCTATCTCCCCTTAATGTAAAACTCCGTACCATTTCCCAGTCACCTCAATCAGCCAACTAATCAACCATTCTCTGCAACTGTTGAACTCCCTTCTCACCATCCATTCCATGCAACCAGGACACACGATCCTTGATGAACAATTCTTGCTGTGGCTTCAACACAGTATCGTGCAGATTGAAATCATCTACAGTTCCAATTCGCATGATATACTGTCCTGGCCAAGCCGAACCGACTCGGTACAAGAGCGTACCGCACGACTTACAGAAGTGATTGGCCATCGAATTTCCGTGACGAAACATGGTTTTGTCTTGCTTGAAGATGGTGATGTTGTCCTTGCCACGAATGTATCTGGTGTGCGACTCGAGAGTGATGAAGTTGGATGCGAACATTGAGGCAGTTATCTTGTGGCAGTCGTAGCAGTTGCAAATGAAACTACCGACATAGCCTGGGGCTTTGAGAGGCTGGGATGATGTGTTAGAGATGAGAAGATGTTTTGGGTGAAGAGTGATACTCACGAATGCCATTTGCACGGCGCCACAAAAGCATGTAGCGGTTGCTTCGTTCTCATTCGACCAGCCGTCGGTAGCCAATCCAGCCAATGGTATAAAAGGCTTGGATCTGTCTGCAGTACTAGCGGCTGTTACACTGGAAGCCATTGTGAGGTATGCCTATTCGGTTATGTTGTAGATGGATTTTGTGATTGAGGAAGAATTGAAATTCTTGACAGATAAGATTGAAGATGGAGAGTGAAGCTGGAGATTGAAGCTGAGTTTATAATTCCTCATAGATGAAGAACTTGTGCTTTATATAATGGCATTCGATGTACTGTAGTCATTGTCTTTGAGTCCAGTTGGGGTCCATTTGCGGTGCCTGCAAGCTGACGTACGAGTGGTTCGTGCGCTGGCTGTCTCGCTTTCGCTTCCCCAGAGCGAGCGTAACGAGATAAGCGAAGGGAATAGTGAGAGTAATGTGGGGCTTATTCCCAACCAGCGAATCGAGGTTGTGCTTTATAATGCAGTCAGATTATCAAGCACATATACCGACTAATAGTTAGCAAGTCAATCTTCAAGCGACTGTTTTCGGTACCGTGCATTCTTTGTAATATTCGGGTCATCTAGAAGCGATCGGGTCTCAGTTTTGCTGACAATTACAAGAAGCTCTCAGCCTTGTGCATGGTCTTCTCAACAGCCGCAATGGTTTTGATGTAACTTGATGTGCTTTGAAGTGAAGTCACTTTCGATAAGAGCCTCTGAAAGAAATGTAATGTTACATCTCCTGTGTGAACAAGTTGACGAGCTGCATCGGAGTCCTGTCCGCAGGGGAAGTAACCACTCACAGGCCTAAATTCCAGAATGCACTCAAAGAGTCAGGATCTCGTGGGATTGGGTGATATGTCGTAGTTTATCGGATATTGTAAAAACGTGGGCTGTACCTGGCAGACGTGCAAGGATTTTCTCTCGGCTGCGGCTGTCTTGGCGGCTATATCTTAAGTCTAACATTTTCATAGGCAGTTGCATTTATTGACTGTTGCAATAAAGTTGTGGCGTGCGGGGTGGCGCCTACAGTCCCCAGGAAATATTCCTAAGCCTGTGTAGATCTTGAAATAAGCTTTTTCCAAGCAAAAGCCACTCTATATGTGTACGACGTATGGAGATACTGTCCGACCAATGAATGGCTAGTATCACCCATCGTCTGGGACTCTCTGTCTTTCTGATTGCCTCTAGTCTGTCGACAGATACCAAATGCAAACGTTCCATGGCGTTACCATGCTGTAAAAGAGTTTCCCGCTCAAGGTTAAAGGTGGGTGATGATTTGTTTGCATTTTGGAAGAGAAGTGTGATGCGAGGTACGAACGTCATTCACGGCACTTGCATATTAAATGAGGCGGGGTTGTGTTTCAGATTCCAATATACTGATATTGGAAGAACAGCAAGAACAATCGTCCGATGTCCAATATTCCGTGACGGCACTTTCGTCTGATATTGAAACATGAGAAATTCTTGAAAAAGTAAATGAATGACATTCGGCAGTAACCTTGGCGCAATGGGATCTCTCTCCATGATCCATCCACAGACTATTCCCGCTGGGAACTGCAGCAGCGTGATGGAGGATCTAGACCGTGCCAATGTTCGCCAAGGAAACGTTGTATACAAACATTTTTCCATCTTTCAAAATGCTTTATCCGATTCCGCTTGGGCCGAGTGTCCAGAGCCACGGTTCGAAATCATAAATAGTGAAGTCGAGGCCTCGAGAGAAGAGAGCAGACTCGCCACTCAAATTCGACGCTAGCCATCTCCAACCATGAAGTCTCTCACAGCCCTCTCGCTCTTGACGGCCCCTCTCTTTCTGCAGCAAGTACTCGCTGCTCTTGACTGCACCATAGCCGGAAACATTCTGACAGAGAAGAGTTGCGAATGGGATGGCTGCTCGACACGCGCAACTAGAGAGCCTGGAGACACTGTCTCTGCTACTTGCCTCGCTGATTGCAGTACCGATGAAGAGTAAGATCCCTCTCTTTCCACACAGCAAACTATGCTAATGACTTGATAGTCCATGGGTCGTGTTGGACGATGGCGCTATGATGAGAGTGAACGATGACCTCAACTGTGAATATTTCGGCGAGACTGCATCAGCTCAATGTTAGTCATATGTTCACGCATCCTCGGCATATACTGACCTCTCAAAGCACTCCCATACTGTTATGAACAGTTGAACAAAGACAAACCCACGAACTGTGCAGCTTCTTCCTCAGCCGGAGTTGCTAGTAAAGGTGCTACCACATCAAGCAGCACCTCGAGTACGTCAGTTCTGAGCACATCAGCAACGAGCACCACAGTTGTCACAACTCCCAAGGTTTCGAGCACATCCAGCTCTTCAGTAGTTGCTCCAACGAGCACTCCAGTTGTCTCAAGTCCCAAAGTCTCAAGTACATCCAGCTCTTCGGTTGTTGCTCCAACGTCCTCCTCAGTAGTGACGAGTCCTAAAGTCTCGAGCACGTCATCCATTATCGTCCCTAGCAGCTCTTCCACTGCTGTAACACCGAAGCCTCCTCCACCAACATCAACTGCTTCTCCCGTCAGCACATCATCAATGCTTTCGACACCAAAGGCGCCAACCTCAATTATAAGCTCCACCCTGTCGACCGTCTCCTCCGTTGTCAGTCCAATACTGCCAACCACGTCATCTTCGTCAGCTGTGACAACAAAAGCGCCGACAACTTCACTGACTTCTTCGTCGGCGACTGTACCCAAGCCAGTCTCAACAGTTCTGAGCTCAATCATCTCATCTCTGTCTTCGGTCCTCTCTACCACGACCAAACTACCAATAGCAAACACGACAAGCAGCTCTACAAAGACAACATCCTCAACAAAAGGCCACGAAGACGCAGGGACGACTACATCCACCTTCGCGCCTAATTCGACCACAAAAGCTCCCACGTCCAGCTCAACACTACTTCCCACGATTTCATCCAATTTGACATCTACTTCAAAAGCCTCTACATCCAGTTCAACGGTTCTGACCTCCTCCTTGACAACTCCCAAGCCAGTATCGACAATTGTCAGCTCAATCTTGTCAACTCTCTCATCCATTCTTTCGACGACCCCAAAACTCCCTACGCCAACATCTTCCTCATCCTCATCGTCCTCAATTCTAACGACAAAGTCCTCCACGAGTACACCTGTTCTCACAACAAAGCCAACCACAAGCACGAAAGGACATGGAAATGCAGGAACGTCGACAACTCTTCTAAACACAACTTCCTCGCTAGTCACAAGCTCAAAGGCCACCACTTCGTCATCGTCTTCCTCTTCCGTGGTCACGACTTCGAAACTGACCACGTCTTCTTCGTCCTCCTCCTCAGCTACGGTGCCAAAGCCAGTCTCTACGGTACTCAGCTCGATCATCTCATCTCTTTCATCAATCATATCCGTGACAGCTCCAGCTACTAGCCCCACCACGCTTAAGACGACTACATCCAGCAGCAGTTCGAGTCTGACGGTGCCAAAGCTGACTACGTCCAGCTCAAGTCTGACTCTAGCGCCAACGACCACAGTAAAGCCACCTATGATTCGCGGGCGAAGAATCTAAGATCTGCCGTCCAAAAATCGAAAATGAACCAAGAACAGTCGAACATTCAGGAGGAAAAATGAGAAAAGGAGGTGCTCAAGTTCTTTTGTTGCTGAAAGCGAGTTGAAAATCGAGGAGATTTTGCGATAATAATTATGATTTTGGATTTTGCAGTACATAAATAGTGAAACGCTCCTGTGACGGGTTGAGACCCGTGCGAAGACTTGGTGCCCAAAGGCCTAAGGCACCTGCGTTGCTATTAGCAACTAAAGGATACGTGGCCAGAACAATGTATATAATACCGCACGAGAGTCTGGGAGTAGACTTTTCTCTTCAGTTTGTTCTTCTTGTATTTAGGGAAACCATTTGCTTGAGCATAGCACTGCCGACCCGTGACAGCTCCTTTGATTAGTTGTATATATTATTGCACGCTCTTTAATGAAATTCAAGGTTGATTTACGATTGGAAATCGAAATATAAAATTAAAATATTTCAGACTTTTCGGGAAAATAAAAAATTTATTAAAAAAAAATATTTTCGTTATTTTTATATTATTTTATTTTTTAAATTTTAAATTATATATATTTATGTAAGGGGCTACGCCAAGAGGGAACACTTAAGACGTAGGCAGTGGGTAAAACTGTCGTTGAATTCGATAAAGAACTAAGAGCTAGCTAGCTATGGCTTTATATACACAGAATAGGGGCTTCGAAGAAGCCTCGACACACGCTAAGTGTTCTAAGATTAAAGTCTTAGATCGGAGATTACACTCGTAAAGAAAATAAGGAGGCTAGTGCTTAAGCGAGGCGTAGCCGAAGCATTATGGGGTTCAACCCCTGACATTTAAAAATTTAAATTATTTAAATTATTTTATAAATTTTAAAATAATTTATATTTATAAATAATTTTTTTTAATAAAAAATTTCAAATTATTAAATTGTTACGACTCTCTCCTTACCCTAGTAAGGTCACGTAGGTTGGTATAGTGAATGAAGTAAGATAAGGCAATGATATTGTAGTTAGGAAAACTTAATCAAGTTGAGCACAAAGCTCTTACCTAATGGGTGACGACCCAGAGTTATATAGACAATAAGAAACTTAGATTATAGCTAGATTAGCGATCCCACGATCCAAGGGTACTAGATCTATTAGATCCAAATGATCCAATCATATGACCCTAAGGCCCACCGCTAATCGAGGAGCCTCGCTTGCTAAGCCTATAGTCCACTAGTCCTGTGATTGTGACACTATCCCCCATTTCCTTTAGCGTAGTCCCGTGCGCTTAACTAAAGTAAGGAAATTTAGAAGGGAGAAGGTAACCCTCTTCTTCTTTCAACATGCCACCCTCCGACCGTCTTATAAAACACAAACAACGCGTACTACTTTCTGAGACTATAAATTTCTACAGTGATCCTCTTATTATACCTTGTTCCAACTGCGTTAGATACTACCGCACTTGCGTGGTCCTTAATCCGAAATCCTAGCGGTGTGGAGAGTGTGTCCGTCGAGGTTCTCGATGCGACGCACTACAGGCTTCTATAAACGATTTACAACACCTTCGTGCTAAGGAGGATCGGTTAAAATTCGAAAAGGATATAGCCTTCGAGGCGGCTATGACCGGTCTGGCTCGTGTTCGCAAGCTCGAGCTACAACAACAAGAGTTGCGTGTAAGGGGCATGGAAATGGTTCGGCGGAACGTTAGAACCTTAGACGAGCTAGATGCCTTAGAGGAAAAGGAAAGGTTGGAGAAGGAAGAACGGGACCGCACTACGGCCCCTCCTCTAGTCGGCTGGGGCGACCCTAACGTTGACTGGGATGCCGTGGAAGCGTCCCTTCTTCTAGAACCTAGCGGGCCCTCTGCCGCTGCTGCTCCTTCCTGGGAAGGTCTGGATACCGGCGGTAGAAGTTAGTTAGGATCTCAGGGCAGCTAAGATTCGACCTAGGCTCCTAAGTGTTTTCTGATTGTGGGTATCCCTACCACTTGATTAAATACTTGATCCTTCCCCTAACATACTTGCAATCTAGTATTTGTTCCACCTCATACTCGGCATCTGGGTTAACTAGGTCGATCTCGACTTAAGGAGCCGGTGGCGCTCCTAGTGGCGCAAGCTCGAGAAGTGATATGTGGAATGTTGGGTATATCCTCATGTTCTTAGGCAGCTGCAATTCATAATTAACAAGTCCTTTCACCCTCTTAATCTTATAAGGTCCAAGCTTCCTGTAATCGAGCTTATCGCTTAGTCTCTTAGTTTTAATGTTCTTCCTAATTAGATATACCCTATCTCCTTCTTTTAGCGTAGGCTCCTAGCTACGTCGCTTGTTGTAGTAGTGTGCAATGCGCTCGGAAACAAACTGTAACTCAAAGGCTAGCTAGGTGTGTAGTTCCTTAATCTTAGAGACACGGATCCTAGCTAGGTTATTGTCGATAGCTGTAATGCCTAGTTCTCTGTATGCCACGGGTTTATAACCGAAGTTGGTATAAAAAGGTGTTTCTTTCGTGGTCTCTGTGGTTGAACTGTTATACGCGAACTAGGCAAGCGGTAGTAGTGTTACCTAGTTGTCCTGTTGGTAGTTGACGTAGCATCTTAAGTATACTTCGACTACCTGGTTCATTCTCTCGTTTCCTCTATTAGTCTACGGATAGAACGCAGTGGTTATTTTCCTCTTAATCCCTAGGGCGGCCGTAAGGGCCGTCTAGAATTTAGAGGTAAAGAGCTTGTCTCGATCTGAGAGTATCTCTTTAGGCAAGCTATGCCGGCTGACTACTTCCCTAAGGAAAGCGTAGGCAAGCTGCTTAGCCGTGCTTGCCTCCTAGTAGGGTACTAGTATTATGTACTTCATGAGTCTTTTTATAATAACTAGGATTGAGTCGTACTTAACTCCTGATACCGGATCTCCAGATAGCGGGAGTTTCGTGATAAAGTCCCACGATATTGATTTCTAGGGGGTGTCTAGTATAGGGACTATCCCCATTAACCCGTATGGTGCGAGGCGACTTGTCTTGTTTCTAACACAAGTATCGCAATTTTTAATAACTTTCTTAACGAGGGCTCTCATTAACGGACACTAGTACTCTCTCGAGAGTCGGAGGAAGGTCCTTCGCTCTCCTTGATGGCCATAGGCCGGTAATCCGTATTGTTCCCTTACGACTTCTTCCCTAATACTTAAGGGAAGGTAAATCTTTCCGTCGTGTGTGAGTAGTCCCCCGGGCGTCTTCTTAAAGTACTAAGAGACGGAACCTGCCATCGGGTCCGTATCATAGGCCTCTTTAATACGTGCCTCCAGCGGAGTCCCGTCTAGGCGTCTTAGAGAGGCTATTTCCCTGATCGCTGGTGCCAGGTCCCCGTTGTCGAGAGTACGAAGCAAGGGTTACTTATCGTATACTTTATCGCTCTCGTATCCAGGTTTCCTGCTAAGGGCGTCTGCCCTTGGGTTCTGTGTGCCCGGTATGTGCTTGATTCTCAGATTAAAGCTAGTAAGTTCCTCAGACTATCGTGCCAACCTTCGATTGTCAAGGACTTTAGTGGTTGTAAAAGCCCGAAGATTCATATAGTCGGTGTGGATAGTAACGGGGAACTTAGCCCCTTGGAGGTACACCCTCTAATGCCTGAGTGCTTCTACTATTGCTAGAAGCTCTTTCTGGTAAATATCGTAGTTTTGTTCTGTAGGTGACATCTTCTTAGAGAAGTATGCGACAGGGTGTAACTTTCCGTCGTCGGCTTTCTGCAAGTGTACTGCTCCTATAGCTGTGTCCGATGCATCGGTCTCAACGATGCTTTCTCGATCCTCCTGGTACTACTAGAGTATAGGTTCTTCCGAGAATCTAGACTTTATCTCTTGAAAAGAAGCCTTCGCTCGAGGTGTCCACACGAACGGGACATCCTTCTTGGTGAGCGCCGTGAGTGGTTCCGCGAGCTTAGAGAAGTCTCGGATGAACATCCTATAGAAGTTGGCGAAGCCCAGAAAGGACTGAATATCTTTAACCGTCTGGGGCGACTGCCACTCTCTTATCTCCTGTAGTTTGTCTAGGTCGACTAACACCCTTCCTGGCTTAATGACGTACCCTAGGTACTTTGTACTAGTGACTCCGAAGTCGTACTTCTTGAGTTTGAGTCTAGAGTCGACCCTAGAGAGGGCTTTGAGGACTAGGCGCACGTGCCCCTTATGGTCCTCCTTTCTCTGTGAATACACTAGGATGTCATCTAAATAACAGACTATAAACTTGCTTAGATATTCCCGTAGAATATCATCATTTTGTCGTTAGCATGTGGCTAGCGCGTTCGTAAGTCCGAATGGCATAATAGTGTATTCCCATAGGCTAGAAGGCAATAGAAAGGCTATCTTCCATTCGTGGCCTTCCTTGATCCTAATTAAGGCAAAAGCTGTGTTCTAGTCTAGCTTCGTGTAAATGACTGCCGACCCAATCGCATCTCTCAAACTCTAGAGATTAAGCAAGGGATACACGTCCCTTACCGTAGCGTCGTTTAGTCCTCTGTAATCTACATAAGGCCGTCCCTTTAGATCGTCCTTCTTGTGTGCGATCAGTATATTCGATGCTATAGGGGACTTGGATTTCCTAATCTACCCCTTTGCTAACGCTTTTTGCATGTACTCTTCGAGTATACCCAAAGTCTGCGGGTTGTGCCGGCGAAGCTTCTGGTAAGGCGGCTGCTTGCCTTCTTTTAGGTTGATCTCGTAGTCCTAGGGCTGATGTTTGGGTAGGGCCCTCAAATCTTCGGGGTCCTTAAATAGCTTAGCATACTTCTTATAGGGATGAGGTATTCCCTCTCGTCCCTAATCAAGCTGCCTAGCGGTTGCTTGATCCTATGCCTCAGAGGCCGTGGCACTAGCCTCCCTAGGTCCCTGTAGTCACTCATTTGGGCAATCGCATCGATTTAGCCTCAAACTGTGATCTATCTAATTGAGTTCTAAGTTGTGCTTCCGTAGCTAGGGGATCCCTAGAACCACCTAGTGTCGGCCAATAGGAGCAATGTCTAAGACGATTATCTCGATATATCCTTATATTTTCATTTATAGAGGGGCTGTCTTATGTATGACCCTTCCCTCGTTTTGAGCGATAGTTGTCTCGTTTATCGTACTTAGTCGGTACGGCTCGTCTTTCGGCCAAGCTAGTATGCCTAGCTAGGATACTACTTCCCCTGAGATGTAGTTTCCCTAAGCTCCTGAATCGAGCATAATTATGGTTGATATTCCCTGGATCGTTGCTCGTATATAGAAGTGACTCGTACTTCTCCGAATTGTTTTTACTGTTGCATTTAGTTCCTTGGAGGACTCCTTAATAAATCTCACCCGAGCTTATCGACGTCCTTCCGTTGTAAGGATTTCCACCACTTCTTGATTAGTGAACTAGTATTCCCATCTTTTTAGGGACGTGTTCTATTCCTTTAGTCGGTATAGAGTCCTTTCCCGCAATCTAGCTATAAGTAGGTTGTCTTGTCGCTGTACTACGAACCTTGCTCTCTATCCTTCGAAGAGTGGGAACACCGCTTCCCTCCAGACCAAAAGGCTTTGGTTGTATGCAACTATTTCCCAGATTTGTCCTACCTCTAGGACTTCATCGAGTGGTTGGGGCTAGTCCCCTTGCTAATTAAAGTAGGATACATGTACGGGTAACCGAGATGCTTGGAGGGCAACCCTCTATGCGTCTCGGTACACAACAGTATAGTAGGTTCTAGTTTCCGGCATATCCATCCCCCTCTATAAAGGGCTAATATATTCTTCCTTTCTCCTATATTTTGGTTCCCAAGTTACTAAGAGGGAACCTACACTAGTAACGATCTACTCTTCGTTGACTTTAGGGAAACGTTCCCTTAGAGACTTAACTAGACTAATTCCCCCGAGTTGATAGTCTTCCTCTTAGACACTCCTCTCAACTAGGGTTCCTGATTCCTCTGACCCGTCGTTAGAATCATAGAGTTCAGGCGTGCTGTCTGGAGGCCCCCACTAGCCGCTGTCTGAGCCTAGCTGAGTATCGTGCTCCTATTTTTCCATACAATGGGTAGTATTAGCTTATCTTAAGGTCTCGGTTTCCTTAGTGGCATTAGCTTGCTTGCCTTTTCCCTTATTGTGGGAAGATGCAACGTGGCTAGGTAGCCCACACTTGTAATAGAGTCCCTTCTCTCGACGCTCCTTCTTAACTTCTGGCGAAAGCTGCTTCCTAGGCTTCTTCCTATAAAAGCCTCTTCTTTCGCTCTTCCTCTAACCTCTGGCTATGGTTGCGTCGAGCTACATGGGATCCCCCTTATTATGTGACTTTGGAGAACCCTATGTTTAACGATAAGAGTATACTCCTTTTCGTTCGAGGCGCCTCTCGTAGAACCGTTCGTCGAATCTTGCGGCTAGGCGTATAGTTTCCTAGAGGCTAGTGGGTTCTAGCTCCACTCGGGCGAGCTCGTCCTTAATGAACTCTTTGAGGCCTATGTAGTACGTCCTTTTCAGAGCTTTCCTATCCCATCCGGCCTAACCAGAATACTACTAGAACTTAGAAGTATAGTCCTTAACAGACCTTGTTTGTTGTAGCCTCAACAATTCCCTTTCAGCCGTTTTCTCGACTTCTAGATCCTTGTAAACCCCCACTATAGCCTTCTTAAATCCTCCAAACCCTCTAAAGATGACTTTAGTTTCCTCCCTAGCACTATTGAGGATCGTTCTAGTTGTTGCGTGTCGATTAGTCATATAGTCAGACAAGTAGGCCTTGAACTAGTTGAAGGCTAGTCCCCTTAGGTAGCTAGCGGCAAAAGCTACCTTAGCCCCCTCGCTAGGGAACAGGTGTGGGTTGAACATCAAATAGATATCCATAGAACAAAGGAATGATTCGAGCTTGTGTTGAGTACCGTTATAAGTGTCTAGTACCTTGACAGCTGGGGTACGTTCTTGTACCGCGATGGTCGTTACCTCCGTGGGTACTAGGGTCTCGGCTCGTCTAGAGGTGGATATAGTTGCCGAATACTAACTTTAAAACCAGGTGCTTAAAGTGTCACAACTCTCTCCTTACCCTAGTAAG